TGTGGACCTCCCGAAAGTGATGGCGGGGACCTTGGGACGCAAAGAGGTGAGTGGGTGATGGGAGTAGGAGATTGTGCGGGGATATCTGCACCTTTCCGAGCGGATTGACACGCTTGTACCATTCCGGCTTGTCGCGATGGACGTTTATTTGGCAGAGGGTGTACTCCGCGCCCGCCTCTTCGAGAGCAATATGCGCCTACCAGGAGTTCGCGTTAGTGAGGACATGTGCAACATCCATGCCAACTGTTGGGACAGACCCGATGGCCGTACGGCGAGAACTAGTAGAGTGGTAGGTCAGACACAGAGTTTCTATAACCCTCAACGAGAACAACTGACCGTGGTCGTATACAAGGTGATCTGCTCGGTGCAAGGCATGTCGGTGAAGTGGGATGTGTTGTACGAAATCCATTCTGCATGCAGTCTTTAAGTATCAAGTTCGAATGCATAGGCTCCGAGCTGCTCTGAGTCAGTAGCCGCGCCAAGTTGGCAACACGCATCGTACCTGTACACCTGTGCCACGGCTTAGTTAGCGAAACGATCGCAGCATTGAACATCAGACGTGCCTGTGGTGCCGTCTCCACACAATCTGCAGAAGAGCTCGCACGTTGATATATCGGGCTGTGCGGACGAGTCACTATGTACGCATATGATCGAGTCTTGACCAAGCACAACCCTGCGCCGTCCGTGCTCATCGCTAGGAGAGGGCGGATGACGAGAGATGCGGAAGAGACATGACACCTCCCGATGTCACTTACAGACGCCATCCGACTGGCGGAGGACCTGGGTGCATATTGTTGAGGAAAGCGGCTATTTAGAAAGTTCACTAGGAGTGATATCTGAGCAGAGATTACAGATGGGAAAAAAGATGAACGTACAGTGTTTTGTCTTGCATCGTCCCCAGGCGAGATCAATGCGAAGGGCGTACGCTTCGACTGAGGGGACAGCGCGAATCACCTTGCACAAAAGGTACCATCTTGTCAACGAATATAGTCGTCCACGGGGGTACCTAAATATCTAGTTCATTCGCGGCTGCTATGTACAGACCCGCCTTCCGAGCATCCACGTCCCTGCGAAAACGACGAACGCGCGGTAATATACACAAAGTTCCCAAAGAAAACGGACGCCAGCTCGTCACCCGAGCGAACGAGGGCCCAAGACGTGCTGATGCATAGCAAGGGACACGTAGAGAGGAGGAGGGAAGAGACTAAAGAGTGGCAGCTGCGCGGAGGAGCGAGCGGTATCGAGTATAGCGGGTAGGCCGGGGTTGCGTGGCGAACAGACGCGGCGTATTAGTACCTTGGGAAGGCGTGGAGGGCACCAGGGGGAGGTGCCGAAGGGTAGTGGCGGGGGTGATACAACAAGGGCGCATCGAGAGCATAGAGCAGGCGCCGAGGCGTGGGGAAGGGCGCGAAGACTGAGATGTGTCGCTACGCAGAGCCACGGCTGCAACGGCATGGCGAGTCGTTTTGGGTCGAGGGGAGGGAGCAAAGGGAGCTCGCAGGAAGCGCGACGCCCTGGGAAGCATGCGCGCAAGGGCTTACAGAGGGTGCAAGCCCGCTATCCGGTCCTCGATGACCTTTACGACTGTTGGCGGGTACACAGGGATCTCTGTGCCCTGGAAGCCTTCTGGGTAGTTCACCTGTGGCTCGTTGGGATACGTGTGGTACCTGAATACGGAATACACCGCGTTAGTCCATGGTTTTATTCCGCTCCACCACCAGGAACAGTCAGGGCGATACGCACGTGTCGTTCCATATCGCGAAGTGCCGCATGCCAAGGGCGTGTGCTGTCCAGTGGTAGTCGTGTGCGAATCCTCCCGGATAAAAGATCTCAATGACCGTCGACACAGGGGTAACAGGCATCATAATGAGGTGCTGTAAATGAACGAGTTCCAGGAAGGAAGAAGTGGATGAGCATCGAGAACTTTAAACGTTAATCGACCGGGCTCACCGTCAAGCCGTTTCCATGCACTCCGAGCATGACCTACGCAAATGAATTCAGATCGTGCCTGTGGCGCGAGAACATATTAAAGCTTACCGTTGTGCGCGCCGCTATAGCAAGCTGCTGCTCCTTGCTCAGCTTCTCCGCCTGTACGACGTTCAACTCCCACCCATGCTTCTTCACCATCTCCTCCAGGGCCGCCACGAGCGCAGTGTGGTCAGGGTCCAGCAAGTGTCTCCGTGACGCCTGCCTGCTGATGTACGTGATCACGACCTCCGAGTCCCGCATGCCCGACGTCGCCCGCGTCCCAGTCCCCTCTGCCTGCCCAGCTAGCAGCCCCGTACGCCCCGCCATGTACGTATCCGCCCGGACCCCGACGTTCTGGATGCGCTCATCAACGCCCGCGAAACGCAACACCGCGCGTCGAACGGGCTCCCACCACAGCTTCGTGAGGTTGCCCGCCTTGCGCATGTGCTCCGTGGCCTCCGCGGCGATCCGCTGCGTCTGAGACCCACAGATCGGCCCACGGAACGACGCCGAGCGGTCGGAGAAGAGCACGGTGTCGAAATGCCATGCGCGGCGCGGAGCAGTGGGCGACGACGTCGCGATGATCCGGTCCTCCCAGTCTTCGAGGACCTCGACCGTAAGCGCCGGGAATGCGGAGCGGAAGACGTACGAGTTGAAGCCGGGGCGGTCGCGCCAACCGTGCGCGCCCGCGTTGGCAAATATGGCGCGGTGGACGGGCGGCGCCGACGTGAGCGCGGCGTTCTGCGGATCCACGTTCGCGTTCCATGCACCCTGCCAGAATGCCCATGCGCCAAACAACCACTCGGCGCAGAAGTGGTAGTAGTGATCGAGGAATTGCGAGGGTTCGTTGATGATGAATGAATTCCCCGGTGCGGACCAGATGCGATTCTTCTCGTGTGACCCGTCCCCGCCCCAGTAGTCCTGCGCTTCCTGTGGTGTAATGAATGCCATATCCTCGGCTGTGGGCATGCGCGCAGCGATGTTTTCCGGTGTGTTTTCCGCAGCGAGCCCAGTGGAGGTCATCATAGTGATGTCGGGGAAAGAGGAAGGACGCGACGTGACGATGTACATCGTACCGTTCGACATGTAAATGTTGCGGAAGACAGTCCAGCCTGGCGCGTGAGACAGGATGGTGGTCTCGGGTATCGTGTAAGAGGTATCTACAGTCGCAGGCGACTTGATTGGTTCCTGCGCAGGCTCTCGATGTTCCTGGAGTACTGGCGCCGGCACATGGTCGACGTGGAGTTGCTTGTGTGCATCGTGCTGCGCTGGTGGTGCTGCGAATATGTTATGCTGGTCGGTGTCGTACTCCGAGCTGACCTGGAGGGACCGTCTGATTAGCCCGGACTTTACGGGAAGAGGACGCCGGCGCCAGGTCCCATTCCCTCCTTCTTTTCCTTCCATGAGCACAAGCCAATGCTCCACGCTTCCCTCCCGCGCACCGCACTCGCTTCACCAAGCAGGACCTGGTCCGAGGCAGAACGGATACTCACCTGGGTCTTTACCACGATCGAGCTGGTGTGATCCGTCAAGGGACCCACGAAGCTCGTGGTGAAGTGCATGGCCGCCGCGCCAAGGAATATGAGTGCGACATCGCGGAGAGTCCGTGTGCGGGCGAGGCCGACCATCGTCGCCGGCGTCGAGGCAGCTGGAGAGAGAGGGGAGGAAGAGAGGGAGAGTGGGCTCTAGTAGGAAGTCATCAGGACGAATATACTCTGACGAGGCTTGTCTGCCGCCAGACAGATCGCGAAAGCGCCCATCTTGTCTGCACTTTCGTCTTCCCACGCCAAGGGTCCGCCCGTTTCGCCGGTCCCATATAGGGGCGGAGCCCAAACCCCTTACCCCGTCTTGTTACCGTTGTCCAACCAGCGTGTAGCGGGATGCAGATATTACGGGCGGAGACGAGCGGAGACGCCGCTCTGATGATAGGCTTTGTGCGCACTCCTTCCGCCGCGGGGACTTTAATCGGCACCGCCCCAACTCTATGGACGCCTCCGAGTCTGGACGGAGACTCTTCGCCGCGCAAAACCCTCCTGATCCACGCTGTGATATCGGCCCTGGTTTGATGGGATCCCCCCGCAACCGCACAGCGAAGAGATACACAGGGTCCTCGCTAATCGCTTCTCTCTTCTTTGTGCATCGCATGTAAGTGAAAATTCAAAGTTTGGGAAGCCGGAAAACATGGTGCTAAACCCCACCCTTCTCGCGCAGACAGAACCCATAGTCATGTGTCGTTCGAGGCTCAAGTCGATGCCATACAAACGCCGCGTCGGAACACACGTTTCCCATCTGCGAGCAGATGGCCGTCCCCGTGGACGGATATGTCGTGTGTGCATTTGACGGGATCACAACATTCGTGCACCGTGGCGTCTCTCCACGACGCATTGCAACACACAGCTCCGTAGATGCGAATTTATCATCGGCTAATCCTCTACACAGGTCCGTTCTCAACGGGACTGACAGAGCGGGCCTAGCCCGTGTGTCGATCCCAGACCGTCGGCGGTGAGCCGGCACACAAACAGCAGAGCACTGAACAGTATACCGGTCCATCCAACCGACTCACAAAGCTTGTAGGAATTGAGTGTCCGCCGCATATGCACTGATCTTCGGCCTTTTCGGCCTCTCCGCCTCGGGCGAGACTATGCGAAGTCGTAAGTCTCGCGTTCGTATGGACCCCGCTGGCACTCGCTCATTAACAGCAGACGACGGTAGATTCCTACGGACTCGGCGGGAGAACGCGTATTAGGTCTACATCGCCGCCAGAAAGTTCCCGGAAGGCTCTGCGAGGCAACTCACCGGAGGACAACCCTACCGGTCGCATACGATCGGCTGCGCCCACGCTCTGAACCCAACTTGTTTTGAGCTGAGCGTATAGGCGAAGCGGGCATAAACACCGAAGGCCTTCACGTCTCATCGTCCGTCTGTGAGTCTTGGATGTCGATAATAGACTATCATATCCAGTGCAAGACTCATTAGAACTTCGAGCAGCTCCTAAGGTACCCATATCATACAAATGTCACGCCTTTTCCAGTTCCATACAGGAAGCCCCGCCGTCTGCTCAACATCATGGTGTCTATCTCTTTTCGCGCGACTTTTGATCCTGTCGGGTACGCCGATCGTGTGAACAGATCCGGAAAACCCGGACACCGCGACGGTCTCTCAGCCAACGTTTCCGGCGATTTCGCTCACGGTGAACGGGTAAGACGGCATGGCGGGTTCTACAAGACGCATTCAGCCGCAAGAAGTCGCCGGAAAGGGGCATGCTCGCTGCAGGCCGTCTCCGCTCGGAACCCGCTGTGTTCATCATTGGAAGACCCACTTTTGGGTGTATTACATCCTTTTGACTCCTCGCCATATCTACCGACCTGTTTCGGGGCCGCGCGGAAACCACCTTCGCCTGCACACGATCGCTCGAGGTGAGGAAGTATTGCAGCGTTCGACGTGTTATCCGCGACTCCACACATTTGATGTGTAGAGCCCGAGTCTCACAGTACGAGTGTACATTTATCTCTCCCATGACTTTAAGGCCCGCCGCTGACATTTTGAAAAGTACGCACTGGAATCGAGTTAGTACCGGCAAATACTGGGTTGCTTTCATGCTTGAAAGCGCTCCTGCCATCACTGGCTGTCGATTCGCGGCAGAATTCTGTCCGGCGCGATGCCGCTAATGGTCAGTGCGCAGTAGCTCGCTTCATTCCGTCATACCATAACTAACTTCCACATACCGCAGATAAGGTCCCTTGGGAGTGGTCTAAAAAAACTCGTACACACGTAACAGGTGAATTCATGCGCACCTAGACCGACTTACGACTAGCTCTCTCTCGCACCGCTCGCCCTTCGTACAGAAGCGCACTCCCAACGCGCAAGCTTCAGCGGTGGCGACCGGCATCCCCGCCACCAGGCTGAGACAACAACGTAAGGTCCTTTCCTCTTTGTATCCTCGTGCTGTGAAAAGAGCTACGCAGTAGAGGTCGTACCGCGCCGGCCATGACATGGCAGAGCACCGGGTTTAAGGCTACACGCGCTTTGTAACAGCGCTGGCGGTGTCCGGCTACAAGCCTCTTGCCGCGGAAGGGGTACGCACTCCGGACAGATACCGCGGCACTGTCAAAACTTTCTCGGTCCCAGCACGGAGATCACGCTTCTAGCGATTACTGAGTCATCCTAACGTACATCCCCTCCTACTCATGTACGAGTTCATTCGGCACATCGTATGCGAAGAGCATCATTGGTACGTCCCATGGTTGCCGCAGCCGTTTCGCTGACGAGTCCTGCGGCAAGTCACTGTCCAGTGCACGCCTGGGCACCATTTCCCCATACTTAAAAACTGTATGCATTGTGAGCTTGGTGCAACACATCCCCACAGACCGCCATGCCTTGCACACAACAGATCACCTTGTACACGGCCACGGTCAGTTGTTCTCGTCGCAATACTTGCAAAGTCTGCTTCTGATAAGCCACCTTGTTAGTTCTCGGCGTACGCCCACAGGGTATGCCTTCATAGTCGACGTAGATACTGAACGTAGCATCACTGAAGTTGCTCTGCTCTAGGCTGAAATTGCGCTCGAAGAGGCGGGAGCGCAGTACACCCTCTACAAGATAGACCTCTATATACGCGACATGCCGGAATGGTACACACGCGTCAATCCTCTTAGAAAGGTGCGAATGGCGCCACATCTCCCGCGACTACTCGTCCACTGACCCTAACGCACCTCCGCACCTCTTCACCTCAGGTTCCCGCGATCACGTTCGGTGGACCGCAGGTGCCGCCCGACGAGCCCTCCCCCGGGTCCCAGAAGCTCAGAGAATCGCTGGCGCTGATCGAGTTCGTCGCGGACACATTCCCGGAGTCAAAGCTGCTCCCGGCGGACCCCTTCCTTCGCGCCCGCGCCCGCACATTCATCTCCCTCTATCACAGCTACATCCACGAGCAGTTCATGAACGTATTCTTCCGCGGCGTCCCGGTGACGGACGGCTTCTTCCAGGCGTTCGAGACGCTGCAGAGCGCGCTGCCCCCCACGGGGTTTGCGGTGGGCGAATGGTCGCTCGCGGAGACGGCGGTGGGGCCGTTCCTCGCGCGCATTATGCTGTACCTCGATGCAGGGTTCGGGTGGTACAGTGAGGCGGATCGCGAGACTATGCGGGCGGAGTTTGCCAGTGCGCGGTTTGCGCGCCTCCAGCAGTACATCCAGGACATCCGCGCGCGTCCGAGTTTCGCGAAGACCTGGGGAGGGGATGTGAGTTCCGCCTTGCTTTCGGCTTCTCCCGACGCGGACTGACCTCTCGCGATGAATGCGACTTTGCAGGCCGTGCAAGTCGAGACGGTGAGAGCTACTCTTCCCAAGCTACGACGTGAGCGTATAGCGTAAATGGTATTATGGACCTGCGAAGAGATTATTAGCGTGGCCACAACGCATGGCTTTTGGTGTATCGATTCATATGGGCAGGAGCCGCCACAGCAGATAGCATTTTTAAGCCCCTCGCCGGACTGCGAAGAGCCGGAAGTATTTGGTTCCCAATCACATGGGGGATTGCGCCCGAGCGACGTCGATGACTGCGTACTGACGTCGACGTTTAAATTTATGCACCACGGTGAACGGTGGAGCTGGACGAAGCAGACGCCCTCAAACCGTCCACTGATCTTCCGATGACGTGCATGTATAAGTGTGCCATCTTGCTGGGGACACGCGGAGGGTAGCCACGACCATTACACACGCAGCTCGGAATATCGGACGCCTTGCTTTGAGTTCGTAGCCGCCACAGGCAACCTCACCAGGATACAGACAAACTCACCTTGAAGGTCGTCAGACACCATCTACTCACAGAGACCTCTCTATATCTGTGAAAAACATACCAGTGTTCGCTGCATTATTAAACCTACGAAACGAGTAATAAGCATACGTACACCATGGTGCGTAGTCAAATAACTCTCTAAGTTATGTAAAACTAGTACTCACCTTGGCTTGTTCGAATTCGTGCTCGCCATCCTCTGTGCGGACTTCCAGGGCGCATTTATCTCAACATTAGCAAACGCAATCATGGGCGCCATTGGCGGTATCGCCGCGGTGCTCCAAGCGATCGTGGGCGGAATTGCAGCAGTGAGTCCCTAGCCTCAGAAGCTTTAAACCACCAGGCCACCACGAAAAGCTGACTGAGCCGCGTGTAACTCGCTAGATCCTGGCTGGTATTTTCAACGTTCTGACCTGCGGCGCGCTCTCGCCCGCGGGCGCAGCGGTACGCGAAGCTTCCGCGGAAGCCGAAGCCGCAGAAGAGACGGGGGCAGCACCGCAGATGGCGGAGGCGGCACGCATGGCTCCGGGTGGGATGGCCGGGACGGGGGCAGGGGCAGCGATGGGTGGCGTCGGTGGCCTGGGAGGTCCTGCGAGCGGCGCAATGGGCGTGCCTCCCGGCCTAGGTGCAACCGGTGGGGTTGGCGCTCCGCCTGGAATGGGGATTGGTATGGGGGGATCTAGTGCGGTGGGAGTACCCGGTGCAATGGGTGGCCCTGGTGCAATGGGAGGTCCTGGCTTGTCGGGAGGCCCTGGTCCGATGGGCGTCTCGCCGGCGGTGGCGATGGGCAACGGTGGCGGGTTGCCTGGCAGCATTCCGGCTGGGCCGGGGGTAGGGGAGGGCGGTGTGGCTGGTAGTCCAGGAGCGGCAGTTTACTGAGGGGGTCCGCGGCCCGCGGGGATAGGAGGGCTGCTTGCAAAGGGATGACTTGTAATCAGTGTAGGAATTGGGAATTGCATGATCCTGTTGCGTCTGCACAAAGTAATCACCGAGCCAAGTCTCTTTTGTAAAGAGAGCGAATATTTTGACAGTATCAAGTGTTTGAAGTCTTGCATAGTGTTGCTTGCAACGGTGCCAGTCTGCGCAAACTACTGGCACAGACATAACGGATGTATAGCCTCGATGGCCGATGTCGAGCAAACCACCCAGGCTGAACAGGCCGTCAAGATTTCAGTCATCTCAGGAGTACGAATGATGATGTCGATGCGTCCCCACTTGACATCCCGTCGCAACATTGTTCGATATCGTCACTATAAACAAAAGTGACACAGGCGTCCCCGTCTCCCCTACGAGGCAAAACGTCGATATCAGCGTACTTTGCTAGGTCGTCTACATATGGTACAGACTCACATTTTCTCTGTGTGGATGTTTCTAGGCTGAATGGTCGCTGGCAATACTATATGTTGGAAATTTCAGCGTGCCGGGACGCGGACGATGTGACATAGTCGTTTAGCACCATTAAGTATATGCAGCTTCAAATACCTATGACTATAGCCTCGAAGAGACCAGCGATCGAAGCTCAGATCGGTCAAGGTGAGACTCAGGCAACTTCTGCAAGGAGAATACAAGGAGGGACGTGAGGGAATGGGAGTCGTCGGACGCGTACTGGTGCGTTGCCGCCGGCGTTTGCCGATGACCGGTTGACCCCGCACCTCCCCGCACGCTAGGCTCCGCTACCTACTGTGACCTCGTATCTCAGGCTCTTTCCAGTTCTTTTCTTCAACTCTCCTCCGAAGAAATTTACTGCAAAAATGGTCTCAGGTTGAAGTAGCACAGCTGACCCGCATGTACAGATGACCGCCACTTCGCATGGCCACATCAGCAACGTCTGTCATGAGTCGCAACTTAATGAGTGAGCATGATTTCACAACTCAACCCTGCGCGCGGCTCTCTAATGTATTGTGCAGTGCCTAAGGGATCTACTCGGGGTCTGCTACCTCCAGGAACCCATCAATTAGCTTGATCTGAGCCCCGAGGATGGATACAATGCTGCGCGAGAACGCGTTGAGCGATTTACCGACTCCGGATGAGCAGCCGCTGACACGTTCAAAGTCGGCTCTGTGCATTCTTCGCGGAGAAAAACTCCTTCAGAAGCCCCGAGCTCCGAGTAGCTACAGCCATCAAGCTGCATGCTCCCTTGTCGCTTCCGGCCGCAAGATGCAAGTACTCTGCCGCATTGTAGCGGGCGATTGCATGCGGGCGAAGACTGCGCGGTCACTGCGCCTGCCTGCGGGGGCGCGAGCAGCAGCCCTTCCCGTTCCTGGGAGTAGAGTTCCGGGATCTTCACTCGGGCGTTCCCACCCCGTATGCGGCCCTGGCTTCGATGTGTGCGCTCTTCCAAGTTCTATGGCGCCGGCTGTCTGAACAACGTGGGCTCGTCATTCGCAAAATCTTCACGGGCGTAATTGAGCACGTACCGAACTATGCCGCGTGAATGAGATACGAGCCTTCCATCCGCAGCCTCGGAGCGCCGACTTGCAAACCACTATCAGAAGCAGGCGGAGAGGGGGGCTCCCGCGCGCCCACTGGGAAGCCAGCCCGTTTTGTGTTTCGGACCGCCGACTGATCATCGAACGATGTAACCATTGCTCCAAGGCTAACTCCCCTTTGCCTGTCTCGGCGCCAGCCCAAATCACTGCGCTGCCACCACCCCTCGACACCTGACCCACCCCTCCCTGATGGCGAAGCTCAGCCAGGCCCGACAGATGTCGTTACCAACGTCCGTGTGTGTTCAGGCCCGCCGGAAGCTCTCCCGCACTATACTCTGGACGCCGCGCGGTTGCGCAAATGTATAAGTAACAGCCGAGCACGCCCCGAGCGGCTCTTGGAAGCTCGCCCCCCGAGCCGACGCTTACGCGGTGCCTAATACTTGCCTTCCCGCACTCCCACCTCTCCCTCGACCCACCGTGACGATGTCGATGCAGCACACTGCAGTGTACGAGGTCGTGCCCCGCCCGGCGGTGGTAGCCCATTGGGAGCGCAGGCGCAATCGCCGGCAGGTGCACTGGGTCGTCGAGTGCATCGCAGAAGCGGTCCGTGCCATTTGCCCTTATTTATTTGGGCGGCGGTAGGGAATGTTGGTGCTGAGATGTGCGTCGTTTGTAGACGGGAACGTTCCTGTACACGTTCGCCGGCGCGGGGGCTACTGCCGCGTACGTCCTGGGCAACATCCTGGAGCTCCCTGGATTGGGCAGTCAGTCCACCTTTTCTGCATTACTGGAGGCGGAGAGTGCTCACACGGCTGCAGGCCTGCTGCAGATCGGTATTGCGTACGCGGTTGGGATCGCGCTCGCGCTTGCAGTGTGCCTGGTAAGCGTACAAGGACTTCGTGAAGTTGGAGGAAGCTCACGATCGTCCGCAGCCCACGTCTTATGGCCAGTTCAATCCCGCGATCACCATCCATGCCGCAGTGTTCCATAAACTACCTCCTCTTAAAGCTGTTAGGTGAGTACACACAAAGTGGCACGATTTGAGTACGGACGCGCCTGACATCCCGCAGATATATAATTGCCCAAATATTCGGGTCGTATATTGCATGCCTATTGATCTATGTCCAGTACAAACAGCTCATACATGTGCGTAGCCACGCTCCTGCATAGCTGTTCGATACTGATAAGCGATGCAGACAGCTGTTAGTGCGCTCCAAGCGAAGGGGGTGTACGACACGGTCATGTTCACGTCTGCCGGCCCTGGAGGTATCTTTGGGCTGTACGTCAACCCGGGCTCGGACCTCGGCTACGTCCTCCTTAACGAATTCGTTTGCGTGCGTACCCCCTTCCGATATTACCAGTCCGCGAGCTAAAGCTCAGCCCCTTGAAGGACTTCATACTCGGCATCGTCATTTTCTCGTGCACAGACCCGGGAAACCCCATCTCCACACCGAGCACGATGCCATGGCTCATCGCCCTCGCATAGTACGCTGCACCCATCATCACTGCACACGTGCGCGTCCCTGACACGACCATCTCCTTACAGCGGCGTCGTGGTCTGGGGATATTCCCCTATCGGCCTCGCTGCCAACTCGGCGCGCGATCTGGGTGGCCGGTTCGCCGCGCTGACACTGTTCGGCAAAGCCGCGAGTGGCGGAAACTACGCCGCACTCGCCGCGCTCACGAACATACCCGCAACGCTCCTCGCCGGCGTCTTCTACGAGCTCGTCTTCAGCGACTCCACACGCAGTGCGTACCCCTCGTCGGCCTCTGCTACCGCTCACACACTGACAGGGTCGCGCGTGCAGCGATTCACCCCGAGTGGGAGCGGCTCATCAACGCGCGGCATGCCGAGCTCGAGCGCAAAGAGCACGGGCCCCCGACGACGACGTTCAATGTCTCTGACTCCTCCGTAGAGAAGATCAGCGACAAGGCGTAGGTGCGACGCGGGCGGTGGCCCCCTCCGTGTTTATCGCCCTTTTTGCGTAGATGAGGATGACTGCAATGATAGACCCACGTACGAATGGTTACGACGCGCTGGTGCCGTCCCGGGCCCGATCGAGATCTCCTTTCCCATCTCCATTTTGTGGGGAGACCGAATGCGGGGTAATTTCGAGATTGAGTGCGTCTGGCCCGATCGCGGCGTGCGTGCGACTTGCCAGGTATGTGTTGTGGCTGCAGCCACCGTTTGAGAGCGACCTTGTCTGGCATCGTCGGGCGGCTCGGAGGCGCTCTGTACCATAGCGCGTGGTGTTCAGGTCGCGCGACCCGTGATGCTGCCCCGCGGATGGGCGAGGAGCCGTCGCGCGAGTCCGCAGCGGTGTTTATTAGGGATTATTTGCAACGGGGGCGGCCTTCGTGGGGTAAGACCGACAGTACGGTGGAGCAAGATTTTACGGCCTCCACAAAATGCGCGCCAATATCCCGTCGACGAGCTCGCTACCCCGCTATACGTACTCTCTAACGCGCGCCAGGCGCACGTTGTTGCCCCACCCGAGACAAGACGGGCTCCACCCGAGACAGAAAAAACGCGTTGCAAATAATCCCTATTACCCCGCATTGTTAGGCTTGGCTGATCGACACGCGATCGCACATAGGACCCCTGAAAATGCCTATAGTAGGCCGTCCGGTAGACGCTCGTCATCCGGACGGCGTTTGAGAATTTTTGGCCAAATGATGGGTCAAAGTCCGGACAAAATGACCCTCAAAAGGTCACCTAGCCGGCCGGACTTCCCGGACAGCGAGGCCTCTGGGCTCCCTCGGCCGGGCCCCAGAGTCCGGACACCACCGGGGTCAGGCTGAGGGGCCCCCTTCGGAGGGGTGTCCGGCCTCCGAGATTCCCGGCTTATCCACCATTATCAGCCGTGTAAGAACCATTGTTGATGGGACTTACTCAGGACTTACTACTCACTGTAGTGCGTTTGTAACTTCTCGGCTAAGGTATGTCAGAATGCGGCCTAGCAATTCGACGGGCGCTTCGAGACACCATACGCATCATCCTGTTCGTAGAATTTTTCTGTACTAAGCACACCTTCCAGCCTCACTTTAGAGGTAGATTTGGACGTCTAAAGGCTGTAAACCGCAAAATAACGTCCGCTTGAAGACTATGGCGGCGCGCCGGGAAAAAATTGCGGTTTTTAGAGGCCGGCCAGGAAATCCGGACACCTCCCCGGCCCCGAAGGGGCCGGACGGAAAATCCGGACACCACCGAGCAAAAACGGCATGCTGGTCGCGAGTCCGGACAAATTAGGCCAAAACCTCGAAAATATCGACCGGACACGGAGGGCCAAAATCATGGGCGTCTACCGGACGGCCTACTATAGGCATTTTCAGGGGTCCTTCGCACATCCGCGCCGGGCGAACTGCTCAGCCGGCCCCCGTCGCCCTGCGCACGCACCCCGCGAGATCTCGCATCTCGAGAACAAGCCAGGACCCGCGACCACCTGCGCCCACTCCCCAGGCTAGGACATGCGTGCCTGTGTATCTCCGGTCCTCGGGCGATCGACGGTCGACCGCGACTGGCCAGGCTGCCGCTCCTGTCTGCGGGGCCCCGCGTCGTCCAGGATCCCGCGCACGCTAAACCCCTTCGCGCAACGCCCGCGAGAAACCGCCGCCCAAAACGCGCAAGGGGAATCGGCGTACCTAGATGGCGCCCCATTCTTCTGCAGCTGTCGCGAGCGCGGTGACAGAATGCGGTGTCTGCGGTCGCAAGCGAGGGTCAGCGAGCTAGAATGAGCTGCCGCCCCCACCGTATAGCCGGCACGCCCCGGTCAGGCGAGCGGTGGGCGGGTCATGTGGGGGAGGCGTCCGCAGGATTAGGACGGCGGGTCGTGATTGCCACAGGGGGCTCCAGCGTTCGCATGAGGGCATTCGCAGCGTCTCCCACTGGGTGCCCGGACTCAGATAAAGTCGCGAGCCCTCGCGTGGAGAGCCGCCCCAGGCGTCCAGCAGCTCCCCTCAGGACCCCCTCCGTTCCCTCTCAACCTTCTCCTCTTCACGCGTTCTGCACGACCCACGATCCCGAGTGCAAGATGACAGCAGCAGCAGGCACCCACCACCTCCGCCAACGCGAGTTTGTGCACCTCGCCGACATCAAGCCCCGCTCCTCCGGCCACATCGCCTGGGAGCGTCGTCGCCACCGCCAGGCGCACTGGCTGGTCGAGTGCCTCGCCGAGTTCGTGAGTACATACCCGGCGCGCCGATAGCATATTGGACGAGTTCCTGACGTCGCGTCTGACGGGCAGATGGGCGTCTTCTTCTACGTCTATGCCGGTACGTGTGGTCCCATGATGTCCTTCTTGCTCCGTGGTCCTCAAATAGTCTGCGATAGGCGTTGGTTCCACGGCCTCCTATCTGCTGGCGAATACCGCCCAATTGAATGGCCTGGGTTCCCTGTTCCAGATCGGCACTGCGTACGCATTCGGTATCTTGTTTGCCCTCATCGTACGTTGCTCCTGCAAAATCGATCTATGAAATTCCGTACTCACCGTTTCGATCCGTAGGTGTGCGCGCCCACATCGGGCGGGCACTTCAACCCCGCGATGACGATCGCCTTCACGCTCATGGGGCGCTGCACCTGGAAGAAAGCACTCCGGTGAGCTATCACACATTGTAGCGGTTTGAATATCGCGCTGATAGAGGGAAACAGCTACTTCGTAGCCCAGATTCTAGGCGCATACGTCGCGTGCCTTCTCATCTACGTGCAATGGCACGATCTGATCGAGGTACATTCACACCGCGGCCGCTCTCCCCGCGCAAGCTCTGACCACATGGAACCATGCAGGAGGCCTCCGAAATCCTCGCGGCCGCGGGCAAGCTCGACGCCGTGATGTTTACGGCCAACGGCCCCGCAGGTGTTTTCGCGCTCTACGTTCCCCCCGGCACCAACCTCGGCCGTGTCTTCCTGAACGAATTCGTCTGTGTACGTCCCCCTTTCCTCAAACAACCCTAGCGCACTTGACTAACGATCCCTCTTACGGACGCAGGACTTCATCATCGGCCTCGTCATCTGGTCATGCATGGACCCCACCAACTTCGGGGCGTCGCCCGTCTCCGCGCCATGGATCGTCGCCTTTGCCTAGTAGGTATTCTTCTTCTGCTCCCGGTGCACCCGTCGCTGACCGCCTGCTCAGCGCTGTCGTCGTATGGGGTTACTCGCCCGTAGGAGGTACGCAGCCAGGCCACCCCCATCCTCCGCGCGCACGATACTTACAGCGCCCTTCTTTACAGTCGCGACCAACGCTGCTCGTGACGTCGGCTCGCGCCTTATGGCCATGACCATCTGGGGCATGCCCGCGAGCGGCGGCTCGTACGCCGCGATCGCCGCGCTCACTAACATCCCCGCCACCCTCCTCGCGGCGGTCTTCTACGAGGTCGTCCTCGCGGACTCTAGCCGCGGTACGTCCCCTCCTTCCCCTTACGCCCAGGCCTGCAACTGACTGAAGGGTACGCACCTAGTGGTCACCCCGGCGCACGTGGACTACCTCTCGGGCCACCTCGCGCACGAGGAGCACAGCCAGGGCATCGTGCGTGGCGGCTCCGTCAGCCCCGGCCTTGACGAGAAGTCGCGCGAGCAGACGATCGAGCACGTCTGAGCGCGCCCCCGCGCTGCGCTCCGTCGCCTTCGCCGCTCTTCGTCGCGCGGTTGTTCAACCGGCATCTGGTCACGTCGCATCGGCGACCTTCGTCTCGTCTCTGGAATATACGGGCCATGCATGAGCCACGGGTGGAAGGAGGGGATATCGGACGGTCCTTGTTGTATCATAGGGAATGTACGCACCGAGTTGTACTGTACTTTAGGAAGAACGCGCGCAGCTTTGACGCCTCCTTGCAAGACCCTCAGCGCGCGATATGTGGATGTGAGCAGTGGACGGTACGCGCGCGGAACACCCGTGCGGCGGTCTTATACGCACCTTGGAGGAGAGCCGGCTATGGGTACCACCGGTGCCGGCATGCTGGATAAGCGGCTCGGCCGCTGGCCGAACTGATCGACGCGGGCCACTCATCCGCTCCCTTCGTGTCGCCGGGCTACTCACGAAGACGCCCCGATAGCCGACGGTCTGTGATTGCGACATGTGTCTAATTCGGAAGGTGGCAGGAACAATATATGCAAGTCTCGAGACCGATTTTTTGTAAGCAAAGCGACCTCTTCGAGCCTTTCATATGCAGAACAAGTTCCTGACGTAGTACCGCAATAACAGGTAATAACAGCTCCGACATGATGCCAAAAATATTATCTTGTGCTCTGGCAGTGTCCGCAGGTGTACGCGCCCAAGGTCCAGGGTCCTAGGACACTCGCAGCGCCTCGGTCGATTCCACGAACTTGACATTGCTTCATTCTTGCAACTGAGTACCCGGAGTCGAGAAGGCGACACTGCATTAATTGCGGTCGCGGGAGGACACCGTAACTCTGAGGCAAGTCCTACCTGGCTAGGAAGCCTCTCCTACTCTGCGAGGACGTTCACAGCCACCCTACGATGGTGAGCCTAATGATTGACGGGCCGTGCGCAATTTAGGTTGGTACGTTCCGACCGTGATCGCATTGATTTTGACGGGTTCGATTGTTGTACATCCAATGTGTACATGTTGTGCTCCCTATCAGCCCATGTAGACATCCAACGGTGTGAACATGCTACCTCTACAGGCTTTCTCTTGCCAGAAAGCGGGGTGGGCTGTGTTGCACAGACTCACGACAGCCTGAGAGTCTGACCGACCGCCATGAAGACGCACATTGTCCTGGTGGCGGCAGCGAGCCCGGCGCGGCCGCCTTCCCAAACCCTGCAGCTTCCATTACAATTGCGGCCCTGAACATTTACTTCTTACGAGTATGACATCGGCGCTGTCAAGCTGTACATGTGTCTATGGCAAGCGCGGGACGCAGAAGGTGAGAAGAGCCCGTATACAGAGTACGTAAATATATACTGCAGCTGGCGTTCTTGTCTCCGAACGGCGCTTCTTGTCGTACAGCCCGTTCCTAGCGTTCCTGGCCTACAAGATACGAGAATACCCGCTTCCCCCGGGTTTCATTGTCCTCGGAGTCATGTCTCTCTGAAACGGCCCCGAGGTGGTGGAGAGTCATGTCGAGTCGTCGTTGTCCTCCCCCTCGGAAGCGGTGTGTGTGCAAGCGCTTGTGTGCGTCGCGGTCACGTGACCAATTTAAGGATGCGCGACGCGTTTCTGCTCGACGCGTCGAAATTCGCGCACGACATTCTGAATCATCGAGGGCGAGGGAACGGGAAAAGGTTTGCATATGTGTACATACTTGATGAGTCTGGATCTAAGCAACATAGCCTACACGCATAGGGTCTTGCCGTCGTGCTCACGCTTAAGCCACCTCCGCCATCGCGGAAGCAGCAGTTGGAGACATCCAGTGCAACGGTACACATGGCTGTACGGTCCCCGGACTTAGGCGACTAGCGAGCAATATATTGAAGCTGTATCATAACAATTGTATAGACGTTTACATGACACATCGTTGTTGTACAGTTCGCGCCTGTACACTTACGCCCTGAAGACTTCGAGAACGAGTCGTGGCAGTGCGGGACTGACGGCGACGCCACAGCCAATGCTGATAAAGGGTTGTCACATTGACAGGATGCTAGTACATTAGACGTCGGGTAGTTACAATGACACGACAGAGCGCGAGAGTTCGGCTGGGAGATACAGTACACATCGTCCGTGGGCGAGAGAGCGAGGCTATTCAAGAAAGATACACACTAAGTTATAAAGATAATGTAGCGAGAGGGTAATGGGGTAGCAAATGCTAGTAGGTATAGCGTTCAAAACGTCCGGGATGGTGGTATGTGGAGGCTGGGTGCAACAAGAAGAGCAAGATCGAAAACAGGGAGAAGGGAGAGCGATAGCGAGGGGGTCGAGGTCGGCGTGCGCCTTAAATGGTGCTGGCGACTACCATCTGCGTCGATCTGACTGCAATGCTGCCAGGGTTTGTCGTGCAGCCTCTTCTCGAACGGCGTACTGGCTCGGGCCACACGAGCGACCGTATTCTACGCCCCTGACTACACGACGTCAGAAACAGGTGCATTATATTGTATCGAGAGACTTACTGTACGCTATTGCCGTCCACATCGGCTGGTGTAATGGCCCGGACTGGAAGACGTCCCAGCCGAGAAGATGTACGCCTCCATTGGCTTGGAGGTAGTTGTTAAGACGCATGCGCCAGTCTGCAACGCAAGCGGAATGTCAGGCAAGGTCCACGACGACAGCGGGATGGACGTACGGTCGATAGATGCCATAACGGTGCAGGAGTGTCTCTGAGGTGGTGGTGGATGGTGGTGGTGGACTGAAGAGGAAGGTAACGATGACCGATGACTCTTCCCGACTGCGACGTCAGCCTATATAGGCCCCTTCGCGCTCTACGGTGCAACTGGCAACGTTCGAATACCCGTGAGTCACAGTATTGCGCACAGCATACGGGGCTCGTTATTCGATGATTCAGCGGATCCGGAGGATGGATCCTAGGACAAGCCGCAGGGCGAGCGGGTCAGTGTACGGAGCAGACCGCGTCGGCAGTCAGCTAGACATATGGCGCATATGCTTGCGAAACGTACAAGACAGCTCTAAATGCGGCAACATTGCCCGGGGCGCGCCCACGGAGTGACATCAGAGGGCGCGCAGCGGCTGCTGTGCTTCCCGGCTGGTAGGCCTGCGGGCGTGCGTGGCTGGAAACATTTAGACCAGTATATCGGCCTTCGACGTGCTGCTGGGTGGCCAGGAACTGCGTGAGTCACCGTATTCGCCGGCGGGGTGGCTGCATTGACTCGACGTCCGAGGGGGCGCGGTACCCATCACTGGAGACGGTCCTCGGCACGTGCTTTCACAGGGAGTCATGTCTAGCATCAGCTTCAGATGCTAGCATAGCAAATCCACAGATTGTGAGACGCACCTTAGGCCTTAACCCCGTTCGCGCCACGACACTACTTGCCATCGTGGGTTTCCACGTAGGCGCGTCACACCCTAGGAACCCTGCCTCGATGTCACGGCCACAGCTCAAGCTGCGCATGAGCTCCGTTCTACTCAATTGCTCTCCATGGCAACGTCGATTGAGGAAGCATTCACCGACACCGGTGGGAGGCCTCGAGGCAGCACAAGCCATGGCACTGCGCAAACAAGAACGCTTCGCCGCGGCGCTACGAAGATTCACTCTCCGGAGACCCGTGGCGGAATGGTGTCGATCCGAAGTCTTCTTCGGCTTGTGAATCACCATCTTGACTTGGCTCGCAGATTGGCTCAGTAGTGCCATCTGCTTCTTGAGTTCCGTCAACGTGAGACGCTCCCATGCGCGGGCCCCATGCTGCCGAAGGACGAGCCGCTTGTCCTTGCTCCGGCTCGTTGTTTTCTGTTGCGGCGAAGCACCGCAGCCCCAGACAGTACGTGGTGCAGCCTATGATGTGTGATTGAAACTGGATGGCCAGCGAGAGGGAACTGCACGAACGTCCGACGTCGAGGATGGATGGCAAGAGTCAAACGCGTCTGGGCGTCATGCGGTGCCGTAGCAATGGCGAGATTAGATTAGATAACCACGTGCGCGTTTGTGTTCAGAGAGTGGCCGGCTCGGGCTCGAGCGCAAACGGCCCGCTTTTGTCTGCGCTCTCATGTGCAGAGCGATCTGTATCCCCGTCCTTGCTCTCGACGTCCATCTCGCTTGCTAGTACCAACGCATCTTGTTGCTTCTCTGTCGCGCCGACATCTGCCAGGTGCTCCGTGTTTGCTAGGTATGTCTGCGTGTTCCGGGAACACGCCTCGGCAGCGCGCTCACGACTCCCACTTACAGCAAAACGCCGCGCATACCTCAGGATCTTACACAATCTATACACATTAGATACCGGCAACATCTCAGCTTCTCAGTCCGCCCTCTCGGCCGTTCGAAGCGCTTGTATACACGGACGTCCGGAAGCTGTCGAAGGATTATAGAGCACCTCGTTGTGGCAACCTGGTATGTCTGTGTTCCGTATAGCGCGCATGTCGCGTCACGTTTGTCTCATATGTCTCTGTTTGGGTGAAATTGGATGCTAGTCTGCGAGGATGGACGGGTTTGACAACATTACCGCGATACCAGGCTCCCGCCATCCAATTGTCATACCCGACTCCCGCCTCGACGCATCGTCGTCGTCATCCCATACGCCCACCCCGCCCTCTACCGATTCCAGCAACCTCTCTCTTCCTACCCTTCGCAGCCGCCGCAAGCCGGCCAGGACCTTCAAATCCCCGTCCGCCAATGAGCCTGCGGGGTGGGAAGGTATCATCGGTAAGCGCCCATTTAGCAGAGACCCGTGTCACGTGCTAACATTGATCGCGTTGTGTCACTGTCACTGTCAGTTCCCCACAAACGGGGAACCCCGCCGTACGAAAAGCCTCCGTCGCGGCAGTCGACATCCGAGTCCGCTCGGTCGTCGCCACCAATATCCATACCCGCTAGGAGGGCCGCGGCGCAGCGCAAAGTGCCGTTATTGCCACTCTACCATCCCCTTGGCCCCCTTGCGCAGTCTCTGCCAGAACTCGATCCCGGATATTTCGGCCTGCCGGGCTCGCTGAATATCGAAGACCCGGACGACCAGCGTGAAGGCGATCCCGCGAGACGCTCAACGTCGCGTACGCAGCGACCGGGACAGAAGACTCGCGAGCGCGAAATGGGTGACGACGATGCGCAGACTAACGGCACCCCGAATGGCACGGGCAAGCCTGGCGCGGAGGCCGCGACCAAAAACCCAAGCCCGCGCAAGCGGCGTGGGGGCGGTGCCAAGCGCAAGAGGAAGGACGCGGACGATGGGGATCCCGCCTTCCCTGCGCCCCCAGCGAAACGCACACGCAACCCGCGTGGTGCAAACTTAAACGTGCCCGTCGCGCCCTCCCCTCTCATCAGCGAGGCGGTTGTCGCGTCGGACCTCGTGGAGGATGCCGTCGAGGGGGGCGGGGAGCCGGACGCGCCACCGGAGGAAGCACCTCCCGCGCCGAAGCGGAGCGCGCGTACGCGGAAACCGCGTGCAAAACCGGCGAAGCGCAGGGACTCAAGCGGCAGCGCGAGTACGACCACGTCTGTGTCGGTGACCATAACAGCAACGGCCAAGTCTGCTGCACAGTCACAGCTGGAGGGCGAGCCCGCAGTGGAAGTGGCACCCGAAGCGAAGCCCGAGCCCGCAGCAGCGCCGCAGGAAGACACCCCGACCCCGGCGCAGGCTGAAGAGCTTATCGTACCGCAGAAGGAGGTCGAGAAGAAAGTCGAGGAGCTTCCTCCCTCACCGTCAGAACCACCTCACGATGAGACACCCGCTATTGTTGCGCCGGCTGTCATCCCTAAGCGCGAAGAGCCCCCGCCGAAAGCCAGTGCGCCCGCCGACCCCCCGGCTCCGCCGCCGCCGCCGCCCCCTCGCCATATCTCTCCGCCTCCGATGCCAGCGCCCGTACCGGTACCACCGCCGCAGAAAGAAGAGCGCGAAGAAGGCGAGTTAAGCGATGACGCGTGACGTCAGGAACCAGGAGCCTGCATCGCGGGATGATACGGAGACTGTGGGAGGCGGTGGATTGTACATATCTAGTAGTTTGGTTCTCTCTTTGGCACATCTCCTCTGGTCCGGGTCCGGGCTCGTTAATCCCACTGTATACTACCTCGTCGTACGCTGTCGCGCCCACATGTACCGCATAGCTGTAGCCTGTCTCCCCGCTGTGTAAATGTATGAGCTATTATTTCTCTGTGATGTCGTTTGTAATGTCGTTTGTGGTTGCTGTGTGGATTGCGCATACTTCTGCTAGGACGGTGTGGTCTGTGACTGCTAAGATGCAGCGTAGCTGTGCAAAAGAAGGACCACGAATTGATGTCTTGAAACGAAGTACGACAGGACGATCAATTCTCGCACCACAATGCTTTCCAAACTGCTATTCGGACGTTGTGTCGGAGGCCAATATATCATCCACAATGTATCATCGTAAGGAGCGGGCTGTAACCGTAACACGTTGACCAGTGAAGAATTCTGACCGCCCAGGGTCTATTGAGTAACAAGTTCCGCCGGTGCTGTCACTGTCAGAGTCGGCTCCCGGATGCAGAGTAGCACCGCTCCGGTCGCACCAGCGGCGGACCCACAGGGTCCTCATGTATTGCGCCAGTATCGTGGAGTCTTATCCGTGTTTGAGGCTCCAAACGCCCGCCCTTATTGACTCGGTGTGCATCGTCGTTAGTCAACCACGGGTTCCGAGTGGGCGATTGTACACCCCGGTGGGGACGGAGTCCTGTTGAGTCAACCGGGAACCTCGGGCTCAGGATTCAAACACAGCCCCATCGCGCGGCAAAGAGGGAAGATCCTTGAGCCGGGACTCGTCGTAAGCTGGTGTGTTGAACTCGGCCATACACGCATGCGCGCGCCTCGCTGAAATATCAGCGTGAAGCTGTGTACGAGTACACACCGCTTGAATGATTGCAGTCCAAGGTCCTTGAGGAAGCTATCGAGATCCATGTTCCCTACCGGAGGAGCGCCGACCTGTGGTTCATGACTGCATAGATGACAACGGTGAGAACATAATGGAGCGGGGTCTAGTTGTGCCCGAGGTGCCATAGCCTACCTGGGGTGTAGAAACCACTGATACTAGTAAATTTCGGCTCAAAAGGGCTAGTCGCGCTAACGGCTAAATGTCCGTTGCGGCCGACAGTACCGCATTGCTGTGGACGAACCATGAGGTCGAGCTGCGAGACGGCTTGTTTTAGAGGGACTCAACCGGTTATAATCGGTCATATTCGGCGCCACTACGACCGTGGTCGGAAGCCATCAAGCCGCGACCTTACTCGTTCTTGAAGATACCCTACCGTTGTTGAGCGGTTGTCAATATGGCGTCGAGACAAGAGAGGGAAATCAGCGACTACTCACCTTGGGACTGTGGCGTCCAGGACCCTTTTGGGGCCGTGAACACTACATGGTTTTATCGTCTTCTCGACTAGTCTTCGAAGATGGAGTAATGTCATGCTCGTCAAATATAGCCCGGGCCGCTGGGGATAGGACCATTATCCTTCGTCTAGAATGCGCAGACCGCAAGGACCAGTTGGCATGCGGCACCATGACACAAGTAGTAATATGCAGGTACCCACTAGATACGGAAGCAGTCAACGGAGATTTCAGAGCCGAGCCTCATCGTAAGCTCGCTGGTGAGGTTCAGCCACCGTATATCTGCGCACCGTCAGAAATGCCGCCGCGAAGCAGTACTTGGTTTCGTCCAGGGTCGCCGAAGGTCATCTGCACCTATGGACATTTTCCACGACCGCCGGGGGAGCGGCGGCGGCGGACTTTAGAGTCACAGCATATCGGCGGCGGCGCGGACGTAATTAAGCTGGGGTCGAGCGGTGCGGGTGATCTCAGGTCCAAGTATCAGCTCGAAAGGGCTCTTTACAAAGCCATACACGTCCGTTGTGTCCGTCGTCACCGCTATGCTGTGGGAAGACCATATGGTCAGTCTGCGCAATGACTTATTATGGAAGGACTCATCTGGACATGTTCGGCGGCGAACAACGCGGTCTCACGAGTGGGCGGCCAACAGCCGTAGATCTACGTCTTCATCTTGTGGATAGAAGCATGGAGGCTGTGTATGCAGTATTGCTGTGGCAAAATGTCACGGTGTTGGTAGTCCGCGAAAGCAATGCGGTCCATATGATGTAGACAATATTCACCGGGAGATAATGCGCGCACTAATGCCAATGGGGTAAAGGGTTTTCTCTTCATGAGCACCGAATAAATCATAGCTTCCGTGCAGAGGGGATAAGGCACGTCAAGAACTGAAATAAGAGCAACAGGAAAGTATACCGGGCAAGCGTCGACTGGAAGTTGTACTTTTACCTCGCGGCCGCTCGGTGCCTGTCCCTCCCATCAAATAACCTCAGATCTACGGCTAAACACATGGCTGGGATCGGGCCAGGCGTCGAACAAGAACGATAGAGTGCGCACCCATTACGCGCTGTGTCGTTCTCATCGCAGGCAGGCGGGCCCAATCGACCGGCGGGGCGACGTGGAGGCGTGAGCATAGGAGCGTGGCCGGATCATCCGGTGTATTGCCTTTCGTCAAGATGCTTACATGGCGCCTAAAAGAGCTAATGCCAGTAACAACCCGTTTGAAGCGGAATGCTTACTGGGCTTAGCGGAGTAAGCTCCGCGGTAGTAAGTCTGGGACTCGGGCGACAGGCGTGGGTGACGTTCGCACCCAAAATGTCTCCCACTTCATTGGATCATCCCACCAGCCCAGCTCGGCTCTATAAACCCTCTTCCACGTCCTCCTGGGTTTCGAGACGACCACCATGTTTCAGGCTACACGCAAAACCGCGTTCGCTCGCTCTTTGACGCGCTCGCTGGCAACACTCAACAATGCTCCGCCGGCGGGGAAGAGGTGAGGGGCCGACGCGCGTGAGTGATGCATATATGCGTTTCTGACACATTTCCTCAGTCCAACAGGTATGCCGGAGCGCCTGATATCGCCACGGGGAGCTGACGTGTCGGGGACGTAGCGATTGTGATGCTGAACATGGGCGGTCCGTCAACGGTACGTACCATGTCGCATTCATTCGGTCCGGTCTCGCAAGGAGGCAAAGTGCCTCGCTCCGGGTACATACTCACTGAGAGAGGATAATCTGTGGGAAGACCCTACTCTATCATGCAGAAACTCTCGTACAGTGGGAAACGCTTCAGGCTCGCGTGGCCGTGCCACCTCTAGCGGCGAGGCTCCAGGAAGCGTGCTGTCTGCAGCTAGCACATTGGTATTGACTCTTTATTCAGGTACCCGAGACCCACGACTTCCTCAAGAACCTCTTCATGGACGGTGATCTCATCCCCTTGCCCTTCCAATCCGTCCTCGCGCCATGGATAGCAAGACGCCGCACACCACAAATCGAGAAGCAGTATGAAGACATAGGTGGTGGTTCCCCTATCCTCCACTACACAAAGCTACAGGGCGAACGCATGGCCACGATTCTTGACGAACTGCACCCTGCCACGGCACCCCACAAGAGCTATGTCGCGTTCCGCTATGCGCGTCCCCTTACGGACGAGACGGCCCGGCAGATAAAGGCAGATGGCGTCAAGCGCGCGATCGCGTTCACGCAGTATCCCCAGTACAGCTGCAGCACCACAGGGAGCAGTCTGAACGAGCTGTATCGGAAGGGCAAGACGAGCGACTTCGGGGACGGGGTAGAATGGAGTGTGATTGACCGGTGGGGTACTCATCCCGGTTTTATCGAGGTATGTCCGTCGCGATGTGTTCTCGAAGCTGCGCAGCTTAACGTGCTGCATACAGGCGGTCGCGCAGAACATCGAGCGTGCGCTGGCGAAGTTCCCTGCCGAGAAGCGCTCAGAGACGGTCCTGCTCTTCTCCGCACATTCGCTCCCGATGTCCGTGGTGAACCGCGGCGACCCCTACATTCTCGAAGTCTCGGCGACAGTGTCCACAGTCATGGACCGCCTCGGCCACTCGAATCCGTATCGGCTTGTCTGGCAGTCCCAGGTTGGGCCTTCGGCGTGGATGGGCATGCAGACGAGCGAGGCAATCAAGGGTCTCGCCCGACTTGGGAAGAAGCAGGTGGTGCTCGTGCCGATCGCGTTCACAAGCGACCATATTGAGACGCTGTACGAACTAGATCTCGAGTACGTCAAGGAGGGACAAGAGGTAAGCAATCCGCATATAGTTGCACCTTCTCTGCGACTGACCATCTTTGCAGCTCGGCATGGAGGTCCACCGCGCAGAGTCTTTAAATGACTCTCCCGTGTTCATCCGTGCTCTCGCGGATATGGCCGCGGCGCATTTGAAGGACTACACCGGCGGAAAGATCGGCCCGACCAGCCTCCAGCTGGGCTTGCGGTGTCCTGGCTGCACAAATGCCACGTGCGGAGCGCAGAAGACGTGGTTCGCCAAGGGCGGCCGATAGTCTACCGCGTCGCTGCTGACCCCGGCTGGTGTTGTTATATGTATCCTGCTTTCTTGGTACGACGTCGCTCTCTTGTACGGCTATACACATTCCCTGCTCTGCAATTTTCCGACGCCGTGGTTTGCTGCTTCTCAACGATGCGACATGAGGCCTTGCAGAACATCGAATGTTAGCAAAAGCGATGTCCGCCAACATTGACCAATCCCATGCCGTGTCCAGCCTCGAATTCGCGTCCAGGTGAGCCGGTTGCAGTCCCTATGAGTTCGGCGATGAATCAGCATGTTCGCAGCGTCGAGGCATACAGGCACCCCGATTCACGTGAATGCGTCTTCAATCGCCAGATTATTGCCACCGACGCTCTCCCAAAGCCGCTGCCGCATTGTCCTCGACGCCCTAAACTCCTGTTCACAGAAATGGCAACGTCTGTCAGACACGCCAGTGTGGGGGGCGCGGACCGCGAACAAGGGTATGCCGTCATACACGGGCTGGGAAGGGTGCCCGACTGCGACATTTTCCACGTCTCTGGGAGGATAAGCTGATACACGTCATAAACAGACTCTCCGTGAGTCAGAGACACGGCGGCGGGCCATGCCTTCCGGCTGCCCAGATAGCAGGGATCCCGGGTCGTCGCCGCTCCCACCGTCTGGTGAGCAACACACGAAACACTCCTCGTTCGCGTGTCCCGTAACCAGAAGTGGTGGAGCACCTCGAAAAATCAGGGAAAGCAGTGACTCAGCCTCGGTGGAGTGGATTTCTACCGTCAGTCTGATTTCCCAGCACAATCTCATGCATGCGCATCTTTGTACTGCCCACTTCCGGCTATGATAGTACGCAGGACTCCGGCAGTGCTGGGATGTCGGCCGAGCACCAAGAACGCTAAAAGAGGGTGGCGGCTTATTATAGAACGTGTGAGTCGCTGTCTACCTTTCCCAGTCTACGGTGTGCTGACAGCGTAGATGTACGGCAGATTAGCTTCCAATGGGGATGAGAGAAGCGTGGGCGGTGGGTACCATCTCCCGCGCTTTGAGGATTACCGCGCGAGCGGCATCGCCACTATAACCTCTACGGCACGGGATGGGCCCCCGCTCCAGTGGCTATGCCTCAGGCTGGCTCCCCTGGCTAACGTGGACAACGCCAAGCCACACCACAACTTGGCGATCCCCCCACGAAAAGTCTAACGGTACCGTAGAGGATGCCAAGCCCAAACTCGAGGTGAGAGCCCGGCAGACAATGTATCGAGCCCACTGAACGGCAGAAGTGTGATCGTCTGACGTATCACTGGCATTCTGAGATGCCGTCTAAATGACCCTTGCGCCGGCCTTGCCGATCCATGGGGGCATGTGCAAAGCCGAAAACGGGGCGAGTGCGCGCGCCGTACCAAGTACAGGGATTCGGAAATAGGACAGCACCCGCGGGGCTTAATATTAGCACAGGCAGTCCAAAAATTGTCGTGCCGAGTCCTTGAGACTGGAGTGGCGCTGTTCGTGGGTTTGGTAGAGGGTGCCTGGGACCGCAAGCATCCGCAGCCACAACGAATCCTTCGAGCCGAATCAAGTCGTCGGACCGGGTACGGAGGATTGACACCAGTACTCCCTCCCGTCGGACGACTAGGTATGTATCTCCGTGTCTGCGACATAAGTTGTCTTGGTATGTACGCCTACTACTTGTCTTGCGAATTCTTTGAGCTGATTAACCTCGAAATACCAGAATGAGCTGATTAAACTCTCGCCAAAGGATACCCAGAGTACTGGTCTTGCATCACAGACATCAGGGTGCGAATGATATACCGCTGCGTCCTGTGGGAGACACCTCGGCACTTGCACATCGTAAGCACATACCGGGCCCGCCGACGCTGACCCCTGTTGTTGACAGACTGCCCGACGATGCGGTATGAGACATCCATCCACGGCGCCGTTGCGCCTGCCACTCAGCGCAGCCCCATCCCAGCGGCACGTATGTCTCCTTTCACACTCTAGACTGCGTACATGGCTGATACTCTCTTTCAAATAGACCGAGCGTGCGGAGCGCTCCCACCGACGAGCGATCGGTGCCTCTCCCTGGCTCGCCGCCGTCCGACAAACATCATACCCGGATCCGCCACAGACCGCTGTCATGAGAGGCCGGCGTGCTAGTTTCCACTTCTCCCATGAGGGGCGCGACCGCAGGCTCCGCCGTGCTTCGGCGCAACCCTCGTTCTAGGGACGCAGGCCTGCGGAAGCGAGGCGTAGCGCTATACGTAGTAAGTAACGCCTCGCGAGCGGGTGTTCTCGCTCGCATGTTCACAATCATCCGCCAGTGATTGGACAGTTCGTGGTCGACGTGCTCTCATCTGCAAATTCCAGACAGAGTGCAGCGCTCTTGCTTGGGTATAAAGGATGCCCTCGAGGTTGCCAAAACGTCAGGACATCCAGTTCTCTGCCGGTCTCCCACTCATCGCACAATGGCCTTCAAGACACTTGCGAGCTTCGTCTCTGTCCTTGCCGCCCTCCAGGTCGCCAGCGGTCTGTTCTTCTCCTTCTCTACTCGTTTTCAACCTGCTGACATTGCACCAGGTGCCCTTACCCGCCGGGTCGCTTGCCCCGACGGCGTGAACACGGCTACCAACGCGGCGTGCTGCCAGCTCTTCGCCGTCCGCGATGACATCCAGAAGAACCTGTTCGACAACGGCGAGTGCGGTGAGGACGTCCACGAGTCCCTCCGTCTCACCTTCCACGACGCCATTGGCTTCTCCCGCTCTGCGGAGGCTAACGGCACCTTCGGGTGGGTCCATACACCTATCACGACGTCGAAGCGTTGCTGAATCCTTCTCTTCACAGCGGCGGCGGCGCGGACGGCTCGATCTCCATCTTCGCGTCCATCGAGACCAACTTCCACGCGAGTCTTGGTATCGACGAGATCGTCGGCGAGCAGGCACCTTTCATTGCCCGCCACAACATCAGCGTCGGCGACTTGTACGTCTTCTACTGCTATATCTCGAACCTCTCCTAACACAAAGTCGTGCAGCATCCAGTTCGCTGGAGCCGTCGGTGTCAGCAACTGCCCTGGCGCCCCGCGCCTGCAGTTCCTGCTTGGTGGGTTACCAACTCTCCAAAGCCTTGGTTCTTTACTGAGCCGCGTCTATCCCAGGCCGTCCTAACGCCACTCAGCCCGCGCCCGACAAGACCATCCCGGAGCCGTTCGGTAGGAATCAAGAAACGGCGTGGCCTGTAAGGAGTTACTGACGCGTTCGCAACACTAGACACCGTTGATAGTATTCTCGCCCGTTTCTTGGACGCCGCTGACTTCAGCCCGGCGGAGGTCGTCGCTCTGCTTGCGTCGTATGTACCCTTCGAGCTCGTCGTTTCATTCTAACACTGACGCGCACGCTCACACATCAACAGGCACACCATCGCTGCGGCCGACGAGGTCGACCCGACGATTCCCGGAACGCCCTTTGACTCCACGCCCGAGCTTTTCGACACCCAGTTCTTCATCGAGACTCAGCTGCGCGGCACTGGGTTCCCTGGGTACGCTGTCCTGTGCTATGACGCGGAACGTTACTGATGTAGAGCAGAACGGCCGGCAACCAGGGTGAGGTCTTGTCCCCTCTTCCCGGAGAGATGCGCCTGCAGTCCGACTCTGAGGTAAGATCACGCCTCGGCGGTTGTATGCGCGGACTCAACAAATTTCTTTCTAGCTCGCTCGTGACTCTCGGACTGCCTGCGAGTGGCAGTCCATGGTCAGTAAGTATTGCTCAATTTCTCTATACTAGACTATGTCCTGACTCGTATTTCACCAGACAACCAGTCCAAGATGATGACTGCCTTCGCGGCTGCCATGGCTAAGCTCGCAGTTATCGGCCAGGACGTCAGCCAGTTGATCGACTGCTCTGAAGTGGTGGGTTCTCACACGTACCTTGCTGCTCTGACACATTGACCAATGTTTTCGCGAATAGATCCCGATGCCGCCGCCCCCGGCGAGCGCCGCGCACTTCCCCGCCGGACTCAGCAACGCGGACGTCGAGCAGGCTGTGCGTGTTTCGATGTTGATGTTCTTCCCCATGTTGCTCACGTATGCCGATTTAGTGCGCCGAGACACCCTTCCCGACTCTCCAGACCGACCCCGGACCCGAGACCTCGGTGGCCCCGGTGTAAGTGACTCCAATGCTATCTCACCTGCTAGGCTCTAACTCCTGGATCTCTCTCTAGCCCCCCGTCTTAAGCTAAGCGCGGAGATGTCAGCCGAGTGCTTTGTTTATTTAGAGATTTTCGTGTGTTACCATGCGGTCCCCATGTGTTGATTGTTATCGAGGAATACACATACATATTATTATGACTCTGTCGAACTTGAACGCCTGCCTAATGTGGACACTGCGGCCATTGCCGGCGGCGCCGAATTACGATCGGGCCTGACTCCAGATGAGTCGCGCTTTCGTACATAAAACGACGACCACTGCTCGTCGCTGGTGTCAGTAGACAATAGACCGCCATGTCGAATATTCCTCTGCCTGCTGCTGGTGAATATATCAAATCTGTGCGAGAGTCTTCTCGGACAGCCCGCACAAAAGCGAACGTTTCGGTAAGCAAACCGTCTTCCACCTCAAGCTTCACGGAGTGGGTTGTGTCCAGGGGTGGTGTTAGATGATATGTTATACACGTTTGAGTGATGTTGTTGTGCTATCAAAACGTCTCTGATCTCGGTATGATGAGTGGACAACATGATTCTCTGTAACGCGCTTCTTCGAGAGATCGACACCCCAAGCTGATGCCTCTACTCAACAGATCACTCCGGAGGCTATCAAACGTTTCCTTCTTGCGCCTGCTTTCACAAGCACCTTCGAACGGCTTCGCCACGCCCATGGCATGACACTACCCCTCAACTTCCCGTCGGCCGTTGTGGAGCTCAACGTGCTCTCCCTGCTCTCCCTGCTCAATTTCGCCTCGGGCTACCGCGTTCCCCTGCACCAAGCCACAGGGCGCGGCGCCTTCGACAACATCCGTGCCTTCATCTTCGGGGCCTACATCTCCTCGAGCAGCGGGGGCGATCACTTCTCCGCGCGCGGAATGCAGGAGATCACCGAGGCCACGGTTGCGGACCTGATGGGCGTGACCGACGCCATCCACGTCGAGCGGCCGCACGAGACCATCCCTGGGTTGACTGTGGGCGAGCTCGCAGGTCCAGTGTGGGAGGTCGTCCAGCTCATCGCAAAGACTCTGCGAGAGACAGGCGACGCCTTGGTGAATGGTGGATACCCCGACCTCGGGAGCTTCGTGCTGGAGGCGCTCAAGGAAGGGGAGAAGGCCAAGAAGGCCGGGAACGACGAATCTGAGGTCGCCGTTGAACGGGTAAGTTGCCATGTTCCAGAGTCAGGGACTCGGGCTATTTCAATGATCTGACATGTTTATTTTTGCAGCTTATCCGGGGCATCCCCGCATTCCAAGACATGGCACTCGTCTACGGCGAACGTACGTATCCCTCCATCCCCATACAGTCGATCGCGATCTCTGATGCACGACCAACAGCCGTATACTGCTTCAAGAAGGCGCTGCTCACCATGCACGCCGTCGCCCTCCGTTTCGGAAAGTCCGAATCCTCTGCGATGCCCATCCCGCGCACCGAGCACCTCCCCATCTTCTCCGACAACGTCATCCCCTCGTTGCTCGTCCACCTCGGCGTAATCGACCTCACCAACGCCGACCCCGCGCTCGGCCTCCCACAGCTCTTCCCGGACGCGCAGGACCCCGCGCGGCTGCAGGCGCTGCTCGCCGCTGCCGAGCCCGTAGACCCCGCGGTGAAGAAGATAAAGGAGGTGCCGAAGGAGGGCCCGCTGCTGACGGTCGAGCAGGCGTACATGTTGCGCGCGGCGGCGATCGACGCGTGCGAGCTGATCGTGGACGCGGCGAAGGAGCTGGACGCGGGCGAGGAGCTTGTGTGGTTGAAGGGCATCACCCTCCCTGAGCTGGATGCGTGGATCTGGGCGGTGGCGAAGGACCGTCCTGACTATCGGAAGCTGGAACGCTTCGCGTTGCGGAATACGGCGTATTTCTAGGCGCATGGCATGAACGTATCAGAAGAAGCACTTGTACAATATACATCACCTCCACTCAGCACTATCTGCTAAGGCTCTCGTGTATGAAACTCAACTGCGTAAGAGACAGAACCAAACCAATGCTTCATATTCCTTCTGTCATCTCCATATAAAGTTACAGCCGTGAGTGCGATCGTGAGCGTATCCAGTCTTGAGGAGCAAGAGCATGCCTAGAACTACGTTACATTGCTTTCTATGCCATTCCATCCAAAACCCCCATTTCTCATACACCCGCCCAGATACTGCTCGATTCTAAGTAGCGAGCGCATGCTGCGGGAGGGTGCCAGAGCGCGCTGCTCTATGGGTCCGCGTCACTGTCACTCGCCGCGCTATCGCTCTCGTCCTGACCCCACACTGCGAACGCGCGCCGTTGCGGCGCAGCGTCGCGCGACCGCGAGCGGCTCCGGGGCGCGAAAGGATGCCGCTGAGGCGGGTCCACAGGCGTCGGCGTCTTCATGCTCTCGCCATCGAGGTCGCGATCATGCGGTATCCGCACACGCGTGCTCAGATGTGCCGAGCGCGGCCCGCGAATGTCGTCGCGGTCTCCCCGCTCGCCGCGCACATCCGCCTGTGCTGCGATGGATGACGAGGATGAGGATGTCGAGAGCGCCGCGGCAAACTGAACGTGGCGCGGGGAGACACGGGGAGGGTGTGGATGCGGGCCGGCGAAGCGGTCGGGCGTGTCGACGCCAGACTTGAGGCCGGAGCTGGGGACGTCGTGCGGCGCCTGGAGGTACGGGTTGCCCTGAGCGAGCAGCCGCGCCGCATTCTCCGCGTCTTGCTGCCCGTTCACGTGCCCGTTCTCCGTGCTCTCGTGCACCTTCTGCGCGCCGAGTTTGGCTTGCGATGGGCTGAGCTTGCTGGGGTCCGAGCCGTTCGAGCCGTTCGGCGATTCGGCCGAGGAGAGGTCGTCTATGTCGTACTTCTCTTCCTCCTCCTCCTCTCCGTCGGAGTCGGTGGTCTCGTCCTCCTCGTCTAGTTCGTCAGAGCCGCCTTGTTTCGCGAGGGTATGCTGTTGCTGGCGGGGTGTCGGATGACCTTCGGCGGGAAGCTTGCGCGACTTGTGCGACGGGCTCTCTTCCACGACCACGAACGATTTCTGCCGTTCACGTTCGTTCCACTTGAGCGTCCGTGAGATCGAATGGAACCAATCGCGGGATTGGGACTCCGCGCAGACGGTCGGGAATGGGTACTTGGAGGCGGTGATCTTGATGTGGTCACCCTCTGTACATAAAATGAGCTGCCATTCGGTTGCACCAGGATTGGTACGACTTACGTTTGAGCTCAACACGGCCGCGACCATCAAACGAGGCCCAGGCGGTACTCCGCGAGTTAAACGGCACGCATACACGCAGCTCCATAGTGTCAGGAAGAAGCATTGGTCTGAAAGAGAGGGTGTGGGGGCAGATAGGCGAGATGAGTATTGCAGGAATCTCCGGATGGCATAGTGAGCCGCCGGCCGATAACTAAATCTAGTGTTAGCTATGTGTGACCGTGTGGAGTATGGCAACACTCACTGAGTACGCGGTGGAACCCGTAGGGGTCGCGACACACAGGCCATCAGCCTGGACGGTGGTAAGATGGTCCTCGTCGGCTGTAGCAGATACTTCGTGAGATACAACTCGCAGATAGCATGTAATACAACTCACCGAACAACTCGAGCAAACTGACGTAAGGGCTGGGCCCACGGTCAACGACCAGGTCGTTGATAACTTCGAAGCACTCGACCGGTCTTGTTGAAAAACACATGATCTCCTTGTCCTTCGCCCCTGCCTTGCCTTCCGTCTGGATGCCGCTCTCCAACGCATCCCAACCCCCCTGTTCGACGTTGCGCATGAGAATCTCCCCAGTATCACCCCTCTTGATAGCACGGCAGGCCTTGCTACTCTTGTCAGGAGATATGGCACGGTACACCGTGCACGTGAACCGCATGCGCAGGTTGACACGGATGCCATTGTCGATGGCATTATCCATCACTTTCTGGTGGTTCGCGAAGTCGAAGTTTGTGAGGAACCCGAGGGAACCGAGCGCGAACGGAAGAACCGGCGGGACGATCCTCTGGAACAGCCACGACGTAAAGAGCACCGTTCCATCTCCGCCGAGCTGCGTGGCGTTAGTCAGTTGCTTCGGCCGACCGGGCATTGCAGGGCTGACTTACTGTTACGACGAAGTCAAACAGATGGGGGCTTCGACTGCACATGTCGGCTGTCCAATACCGCAGTTGGCCCTCGACGGATGGCATGTTGTCGCCGTTATACGCGGAAGCAAGAGATGAGCTGCTTGATGTGCGCCGTTTCGGGAAAGGCGCAAATAGCTCGGGATGGTCGCGCTCCAGTCCGGCAGCATCGAATCGTCGCGACGCCCTGAGCTGCGCGTCGACGTAACTGTAATGGACGTTGAGACTGCGACGGGGGATGCGTGTGTGATGTGGGACTTACACGATAATTCCCCGCTCGCTGCTCCCTTGCCGCTTCTTCTTCATGAGGTATAGCGCGAGCTCGCGGGTGAGCTTAATGAGACGGTTGTCGCGCGCCTTGGTTACAATGAGGATGCTCTGGATGTGGGAGTGGACGCGGGTACGACCTGGACGCGCTGTGAGCACCGCCGGGTGGCGGGTGCGCCATCGCAAACCAGATGGGATGACTGACCAAGCTTTTTGCTCACTTCCCGTACCCCAACCGCGGTGGCGGCAAGCTGTTTAGTGATGCTTGGGGCGTACTGCCGTTCGTCATCGTCGTCCCCGTATGGCGAGTGGGGGTCACTGTAGTCCGATGCCGTCCCGTCCTGGTGAACATGCCCGTTCTCGCTGCGCCCTCGAGCCTCGTTCTGGTCGGGGGAAACGAACGACCCCAGCCAATCCATGAGAGATGGGCCTTGTAGTTTCGAATGCAAAAAGCAGGGGGATGCGATAGCAGGTGAGGGGACGCGGCGTGGTGGTTGTGGAATCGGAACCGAGTGGTGTGTGATGGTGGGAGTATTCGACAAGAGAGGAGGCCCTTCTATGGTCACGGCGGTGCCGTTAACCTTGGTGCCGTTCGTGGACGCAGGTGTGCCATTACCGCCCTGGGTCTTCCCGGATGCGATCTCGGGCGATTGCTGCGGGTCGAGGACGATGCCCGGCGTCCAGTCCGAGGAGTTATGGGATAAGTGGAGATTCGATGGGCGGCTCGTCCTGCGAGAAAGCGATGGCGGCATCTCGGGCATGAGGGGTGTGGTAGGCGGGGTCGAGAACGTCTCGGTGTCGGGAGAGAACATGGGGGCCCAGAACGAGTTGTTGTGTAAAGATGGGGAGGTAACAGGTTTCCGGTGGTGATCTGCGCTTTATAGCAGCTCTGCGCGTCGTCTAGCGTGTCCCGAACGTAAGATATGTTGTCCAGACGACGAGGAAGATGTTCAGGACGGTGTGCAGATCATGACTGGCTGCTCGCCGCCTACTGGCCGATTGGTGGAGCAAGTCAACTTGTAATCGATAAGGAACGCAGTAAGTAACTGTTGAAAGGCTGTTACATTTACGTAAGTAAGGAACAAGCGGCATAACTATTAGCGTGCCGACGGCGGCCAGGGGGGCATGCCTCCCACTTACCTCTTCCCTCCTCTGAGCTTGACCGCATACAGCTAGCTGATGGATCTGTTCGGCGTGTTCTTGTCTATAGCCTTCAATCTATCGAGTCTTGACTCTTCAGACAGCGCTCGCGTGCAGTGTTGATCAAGGGGGCCGCGGGATAGATGGCATCTCGAAGGACGAAACATGAACAGTCAACATGTGCAGTCGACCGACCCCGTTGCAGAGGCACTGCTGGAAGTGAATAGAGAAGAGATGTTCAGGACGACAGTCGACTCAACAAAATCCTCCCGGCTTCAGGCGAACGCTCGGAAGGACCAGGTTGAAGCATCATCTTCCCCGGATTCCGGCAGCCGCTGAGATATTTGCTTGGCAACACCGTGCCTGCCATCGGGCCATCTCTACTCACTGCCGTAGTGATGAGCAGGAGAGCAACTCGAATATCAGTATGTGTATCAACCCCACGCAGTGTGGCCAACGGCACATTGAACCTCTTTCACCTCAGATGCACGACGCGTCTATATGCACCGTCATCGGACATTTCCGAGCAACTCCGGCTCAGTTCGTCGTTGTGCACACCGCCGCGGCAAGGGGCTCGATTAAGGGCAACACTGTAACGGTGCGCCTGCGCTGATTTTGATGCTGGCGCTCTGCAACGCTGTGAAATCTCCTCAACCCACGATGAATGCAAACTGAGCAGACCACCACGGCTGTTGGTCTGTCCATTTGCGCTTGGATTCACGCGAAGCATTCACATGGGCACCTGCTTCCGACGTTCGAACGTTCTTCGAGAGTTCAATGGACATACGCATACGACTGCAGCATGGGTCCGGCAGCATGCACCGCGGAGTGCACGTGTGTACGAAGCAACGCACATCTGATGGCCTCTGTCCAAGTGCGGCTGTGTGACCTACGGCGATCCCATGCTGAGCCCCGGCACATCAAAGGCATCCGAGCATATGCACCTTGGCTTTTCCGCTGTGCTAGCAGTGTGCCCGTGCATCAGCTGTCATGGCATCGAAGACGTCTCGCCCATGTGCGCCATTTCCTCAAATAGCGCGCTGCGAGGCTTCTCTTTTCCCCAGCTGCCGGCCCAGCCACTTTAAATTCCCTCAGAGTCCACGTCTTTCCCTCACGCCCATCCCTTCCTCACGGCCTTCAGTTTGTCGAGATGCGCGTCGCGTCATTCGTTTTCAGCCTTGCCGCCGTGGTCGCCTCGGTCAAGGGTGCTGTAGTGCCGGCGAAGAGGTGCGTGATTTCATTTTGATATCTCCGAGTGGTGTTGCTCAACAAGTGTTTGCGCGCCAGAGCTACCATCTGTAACGGGCACGCCGAGCTCTGCAACAGGAGCTATGGGAACACGACGTTCCTGGGAGGTGCGAACCATTCCCAAGCTGCGTACTGCGTTTGAAGCTGACGATCCCACGCAGCCCATGATTCTTTCGCGTTCAGCGAAGACCCCCTCGCTCGTCAGTCAAATTCCTCCTTCGGTGTGACCTCGATATTGAAGTTATCCCAGTTGCCCGTGACCAGGAGGTTGATATCCCCTCCCAACTGGGCCTCGGCGTCCGTCTGCTTCAAGCGCAGTCCCATGTGTTCGTACATGTGTTCCTTGATTTAGATTCGCCGCTCACCGCCTCGTATCTCACGTAGGAATGACGGTGTTCTTCACTTCTGCCATACCAGTCAGTGATATTTTTCATTCTCGTGGTGCATTCGCTAATGCGTTATCTCTTCAGGCTGCGTACGTATCGTACTTCGCAAGTAACACAGGGTGTTACTAACCACCATGACCTATCAGCTCCTGTTCGATGGCGGAACCGTCCAGGACTACCTGACCAAGGTCCACGACTTCTTGACGGCGAACCCCAACGAGGTCCTCACGCTCCTGTTCACCAACCCCGAGGGTGCCTCGCTCCCGGACCTGTGGGACCCGGCTTTCCAAGCCTCGGGAATTGCGGACCTTGCCTACGTCCCTCCATCACTGCCCGTCAAGCAGAGTGACGTGCGCCTCCCTCCTTCTACTTGCCACGACCCCGCGCTGACGGCATGTTGCAGTGGCCGACGCTCGGCGAGCTCATCGACAGCGGAAAGCGCGTCATCGTCTTCCTCGACGCAGGCGCGGACACCGACCGCAGCGTGCCGTACATCCTGCCCGAGTTCCAGATGATCTGGGAGACGCCGTTCAGCGTGACGGATGCTAAGTTCCCATGCAGCGTCGACCGCATCAACGGGCCCCTCTCGACTGAGGACCACATGTACATGATCAACCACTCCCTCAACAAGGACGTCTTCGGCACGGGCATCATTGTCAGTGATCCTATTGACGCACGCACCACGAACGCAGACGCCTCGTAAGTCTCCCTCACGTTCTGGGCGGTTGTATGCTGACCAGACGGCCTTGTAGGATCTTGGCGAACGCGGCCGGGTGCGAGGGCTTCGCGGCCGGACGTGCGCCGAACTTCGTTCTCCTCGACTTCGTCAACATCGGCCAGGGCCTTGATGCAGTCAACAAGCTGAATGGGCTGGCGTGAGTGTCACCACCACAGTCGTGCCTTCTTCCACTCCCCTCCTCCCTCTCTATGCCTTCCCTCACCTCCCCTTTAATCTTTATGTATGCGGGAGGGCGTGTCGGTTTACTTGGACCGCCTTTTTACCTAACGTACTGAGGTTCATGTCATGTACCAAGCGACGGCCAGGCGGCTTCGGGGGCGATTATACCGCGACCACCTGGATGGGTGAGGGGATTGGCTGTACTTTTTACGATCATAATGACGATGCGTGGACTCTGAACCTGGGGTGATTATGGTGAATTTTCAGCCATAGGTAAGCAACGTACCTTGGATGGTGAGGAGAAACGGGCCTGAACTTTGTCCTTCTGGGTAAGTATGCATATGTTCAGATGTGGCGCCTAAGCATCTCCCTTTTTCTTTCGGACGTCCATCATCCACCAGGCACTTACTCCTATATCTTCCGGAACAGCATACGACAAGCTTCAAATATCCAACAGTAGCTATGACGAAATAATATGGGACACAGAACGCTAAAGACGGTCCTTGAGCAGGCTCACTGGAACTACGAACTGAACAAACCCGTATCCCGCCGAAGAAACGTCCTCCTCGTGATGTTCCAGGCTATCTCAAAGCCGAAAGTACGTCCTCGGCATCGCCGGACCCTGTGATTGCTGTTTTATACATGCACTAGGTGACATGTCTTGGTTCTGGAAAGCCCCCCTGAGGATATGATAGCCGCACTTCAGCAGCTTTGACGTTTCCCTGAAATAATCTCCGCACCTCTTGGCTCACTCCGAGTCGTGAAGTGTGGCGTAATAAATGGTACAGCGTCATGGATGTCCATTTGCCTCTCATCAAGGGCTCTACGGCCGCACAAAGCTCGGCCGCCACGCCGTTCAACATATTATACGTCCATCGCAACTCCTACTCCCGATGAAGAGTGCCTCTTAGCGTGGTGCCACACAAACATGCATGTACGTTTTCTCCACCTCAACACCCGGATCCTTGGCAGCAAGGCAATCGCCTGATCCAGAGCTTCTTGGACGTACTCACCCCTCAGATGACCTTCGCCAGGTGTAGATTTCAATGGGCCGCATACGTACCCCGATGCAAAAATCGGGGCTTCGTCGCGGACCTATCCCGGAGAAGCCCGTTCTGCCCGACGTTCCCCAGCGCATCGATTCCGTTATACGGCCTCGCCGCCTACGTCAGCGACCGCGGAAGCGGCAGAGTACGAGCTATATTCTGCCGTTTACCACGCTCTACTGCCCGCGATGCGCGCTGCGGGCGCGGATTACGTCCGGATGCACGTTCTGTGGGCGGGTGGCATGACCGTGGGTACATTCCGCCCGACGAGGCATCCAGCCTTCTACAGCAGCCGTGCTCGTCGCCCTCCTCAACGGTAAACCAGCACCGAACCGTCCCCAAGGAGAGTCGTAGCATGCCGCTGCTGTCAGTCTGCCTCAGCGCGACGCGTGCGGTTGGGCCGCGGACGACGACGGTCGGTCTACGAAGACTCTTCCCGTCACCCCTGATACCGAACTTTGCGCTTACGGGAAGGCGAGGAAGCGCGTGGCAGACGCAGTCGCCGCCGCACATTCAATTTGGGGGCAAGACGCACCCCAGTATACGAGTCGCCGCTTCTCTGGTGCCGTTTTCGTAAGGCCTTATAAGCCCCCGCCCCCCGGGGGCGAGGCGTCCTCTCGCCCGTCACGACCGCTCCCCGTGGCTCGCGTGCCCTCGCTCGTTCAGCGCCGCTCCTTTGTGCTCGCCCCCGGCTATGAATGGTCAAGCCTCTCCAGTTTCGGAACTCATTGCGGAAATCATCACCGGAGTGAGGGATATCCGCTACACCCAGCTCGTCTCGTGTGAGTATTCGCATATCACCGTACTTCGTTCTTCCCTCCGCATACGAGGATCCTGACGGCAGTCCAGTCGCGACTGCGACAATTGTGATATATGATTATAGCGAGTAGAGTTCGTACCCTCAATCACGGACCGGAGGGCTAACCGCATTCCGCGAACTGGCAGTCGTATGTATCGAGCGCGAAGTCGAGCTCATCTGGGTGAGCCTTGTGTCGTAAGTGCATCCGTGGATCGTCCTCACACATCGATGCAGAAGAAGCGGTGGTCCGTCATCAAATTTGCCTTTCTCTGGGTACGTCCCCGCCCCGGCGAGACCACAGAACCCCGCACAATCGCCTCTGATGCACCTTCCCTACCAGCATCGGTACTTTGGGCTATTGTGTGTGATGTGAGTGGGCGTATTCCCTTCATGTGTCGAACGGGAACCCTGATCGCCGCCTTTTGCATGTGCGCAGTCTGCAAGTATACGGTCAGCAGCCCATGGAGCCACTGCTGCAGGTCGCGTGAGACTGACCGAGGCGTGCAATTTACAGCTCTAAATCCAAGCGTGGTCAACGACCAAGTAAGTTCATGTTCGCGTGCAAATGTATCTCGCTAGTCTAAACGTGTGTCAGTTGTGAGCGACAGCTTACCATCCAGTCGACCTTAGCCTGGGATTGACAGCCGTGTGTCCGAAGCTGCTCTTTCTGGTTCTACTGGGAAACCTGGGGCTATTGCGCGGTGCTGTTCACTTCGGAAGGTATGTGACCCGTATTGTCGGTCATTCAGTTAGGCCACTAAAATGTCCTTCGCTCAGCTGTGTTGCTACTATGGATATACGTTGTGTACAACAAGAACCGCTGGGTTTTGGCCGTCATGGGGGCATGCTATGTCGCGGAAGTCGCTAGCGTGCTTACTATCCTCGCGATCTCCTTCGAGAACTTTGAAGGTGCGCGAACTCGGCCTTCGATATCGTGGCCTTTCTCTCATTGAACTACGGCCTATAGCTAGCGCATTGCATTTCCTCGGCGTTGAGTACTGCGTTATGGGCGACTTCCCGACAACCTTCCGACTGCTATGGGTGCCTATTCTGGCCTACGACACACTCCTGCTGCTCCTCTTTCTCTACAGAGGTTGTCGGTCCACGTTGGGCTGCAACCGAAAACACTCATACAGCCACGACAGCCTACTTGACATGGTTTACCGCCACTCATTACTCAATTTCCTTGCGTGAGTGAACCTTCGGTCCGAAACTCTATCGCAGTTCCACCGGTAACTCCGTGCGCGTAGCATCTTCGGAACCTACTTAGCCTGTGCAGCCATCTGGCTCACCAGCCCCGTACGTCCACCTTCCCGCGTTCGCCTCCTTCCCAACCGCACGCGTTCTCACCGCGCGCCCTCCCCCAGCTCGGCCTGTACCAGATCCCCGTCGGCTTCGCGCTCGCGCTCAGCATCACGAACTGCACGCGCCTGTTGCTCAACATCCGGCGCGCGTACTACTCCGGCGCAGGCGACCCGCTCCTCTTCAACATCCGCGACATCCCCAACACAGGCGCGAACACCCCGAACATGCTCGACGCGCCGCCCTCCTCCACGTCCCTCATACCCCTCACGCCCCCGCCGATACCCATGTCCCCGCTCTCCGCGACCTCAGGCTTGTCTGGAGAGACCCTGCGCGAGCGGAGCGTCACCCCGATCAACACCCTCCGGCTTCCGGCGCCTCACAAGCGCGCGAGTGCGCATGCGCATGCGCTGAGGATATCGATCGCGACGACGTCGTCGGATATGATCCAGGTCGCACCGCGGTATGCTCACGAGTATGAGCGCGCGGAGGAGGCGGAGGGGGAGCAGGGGCGCGAGGTGCCGCGCGCGGTGTACGTTACCCCGAACCTCGACTCTGAGTGGTGGCAGTATGAGCTGCGGGAGATGCGCGCGGACCCGGAGATCGCGTCGGGCGAGGCTCTTTGACGGGCTGCCCGGGGAAGACTTGGACGCAACTGAGAGGGGGTGAGGTACGCAGCAGACGAAGCAACCTTTTCAAAGCTGTGCGTTGGGCTGACGTTCTCGCGTCTAGGGGGCCTTTGTAGGATGCCGCGCGGACAGTACTAGTATACGCAGCCTGTAACATTATGACTATTGTATCATGACAGGTGGGGGGCGTCCCGCCTGGTTCTGGATCAACAAACTGAAGTCTGCCTTATCCGCTCGATCGACGAGGATGTAGATTTCAGATGCAAAACGTACGCGCGCAAGTGAGAGGGAAGCCATCATATTTCAAACTGGCTAACTTCTATGAGCCTACTTTTCGAGTATCTGCAGATGCAGAACGACAGGCGATCGAAACACGTCCACAGGGGGGCTCCGAGCCGAATGTTAAGTCTCTTCGCAGAGATAGACAGGAAGGACAGCGCGGGACGCAACGCGCGCCCCGACCTGCATAGGAACCAGCACGGGCTTGGAGTTGACTCCCGTTCCAGGAGCGTTGCGGCTGCGCGGAGCCCGCGCGAACGTACGCCTTCCGAGCACCAGCCTTCGCCTCCTCGTGATGTTCTTCGCCGTGGGCTTCGAGTCACTCGCGTGGCGAGCTTCTGGACCTCGGCGTGAGAGGTTGTGTGATCGCCTTTCATCCCCGCTGTCTGCAATTCATCACTCGACGCTCAATCACCTATTCACCATCACGCTACCATACCATGTCCAGACGGACGAGGTCGCTCAGCGATTCAGGACAGAGAAGTATAACGTGAGGAAGAGCCGCTCAGGGTTCGGCCTGCTGGTTGGCTGGTTGGCTGTTTGATGGAGCGCGTTGGCGGGGAGCCTACTGGATCCGGGGAAGGCTTTGCAGGAGAGAAGGATCGTCGATGGGGTGTTGCGACAGGACCGTTCAAGTTCCAGAATGTAGAATGGGCGTCGCTCTCGAGTGAAGGACAGGAGCAGTAACGACCACTTCCAATGCCTTCATGCCAGTGAGGAAGCCAGAGGGCCAAATCACACGCCCTTCGGGTAGGTGAATGTAGGCGGCATCCAGTCGAACTTTTCAAAGGTGATCTCCTGCCTTTGGAAAGCTGCTACGGGCGGACCGCGGCAAACGCGCTAACGCAGTAGGGCGCGTTCCCCGTGGCGATGGATGGTAGGCAGGTGTTGTCCGGGAGGGTGAAGAACATAGATCCTCGGCGCAGTGTAACGCGCCGCTCAGAGTATCACAATCGGCACGGCCCTGGTTCGACCCTCAAGAGGAGCAACGCGATGGCGATTATATCGCCGCCCCGCTGCAGAAGAAGAACATCCAACCTCTCCTTGAAGGCTTCTGGTGTCTGGGCGAATGCCAAGCTCGTCAAGCAGGGGGACCGTTGTTGACACCGCGCGGCGAGGCCGTATAAAGCGAGGCTGCCGGTCTAGTAGATGGAGAAGCGGGTTCATGATAGCCAGGGTGGGTGAGATGTTGGCCATCGGGATACCGTAAAGCCTCTGGTCGCAGAAATCGCTAGTGTCAACGTCGTTCTCGAAAATGAACTGTTGAGGTTCTAGTAATCCATTTGACGATGGCCAAGTCCCATGAAGTTCCACAGCTCGGGGCGATTAGCCACAGGCGCTCGGGGGTGTGCCGGCCTTGAGTACGACGATGGAGAGGGCGCGCCCCTGCTCCATATCAAGGCCCATCAGGTCCATGCATCGGCGCGGCGTAGCAGTATTGGGAGGAGAGTGGCGATAACGCGACTTCGGAGATGGATGAGAATGAGGAGATGAAGTCGCTACGACCATAGCACGGCGGCGAGCTCATCTTCGGCGAGAGGGTCGATAGTTCTCAACCTTGGTCCGTGAGTACTCTCTCTGGTCTCTGAGGCCCCATTCACGTTCGTGCCAGGAGCAGCCGACCGCCTATGGAGTAGTAGTGTCCTTGTATGCGGTCGAGTAGGATGTCGCGGGGCCATAGGATGTGGAACAAAGAGGAATCCCCCGGTCGATCCAGAGCATAGCCCTTCCCATCCTTGCGAAGGTGACGGCGTGCAGTTACGAGGAAGCCGCCGAGTACCCTGTCTGCCGACGCACATGGTGTAGTATGCGCTGAGCATGGCGTGTCGTTGCACCAAGGGTATAGCTCCTGGGGGCGATGTGTGTCAGCTAACAAGCAGCGACTCGGAGCTCGAGCATCCTCACGCATAAAAATGGTAGCACATAGCCGGCGCGACTTGAGGAGTTTGTTGATAGAAGGAGAGACATTGCGCTGGCTGGAAACATGGCGAGGTATCCGGGAGCGACCGCGTGGGACATCGGCGGGTACGACCAACTTGAATGGATAGGGCCGTGTCCGCGCGGGACCGACACGGAGTCCCTGAGGCTATAAGGACATAGGACGACGGGTCAGCTACCAAGTGGTGCCTACTAAGAGCGCAAGCACACTCACCTATACTATCGGTGGCGAGTAGAACTTGACCTCCATGGTTAGAACCTCAAGCCGCGAGCCGCCCTGCCCTCGGAAGGTTGCGAATGCGTCGAAGGCCGAGTCAGGGAGCCTTTCACTTGTCCTTCGAGAGTTGCCGAGGACGCGCATTGAATAGCGCGGGACCAAGCATGTGTAGCGTGTTCAAGGTCACCTCGCATGAATGCATTCGTCCCACCGTACACGCGAGACCGAGCGCGTAGATTTCGACGAGGTTCCCGTCGAGCGTTTTCCAGCGCCTTCTTCCACGTGCAGCCCAATTCGACCTGATCGGATATGTCGTCAAGTTGCCGGGAACAAGACGGCATGTGCACTGCAACAGTCGACTTGGATGCAGTCACGGTCGGGGCTGGATCCGGCGGCGCGCTGGCATTTCGGCGTGTACGTCGATCGCGGCGGGAGACCAAGAGGCCTGAGGAGGAGGCCTACTGCTTGTGCGGGTCTTCGACATGGAAATGCCGACGATGTACGGTGGGTGAAATGTACGCTGTGGTCTGTCCGTCGGGGCGTCCTAGGGGTGGACCTCGAAGAAGCCCTGCACGGTCCGGAAATGCTCCTCGGTCTCCTCTTCGGTTGCCTCCTGCTGAGCCAGGATCTGCGCCATGTACTTCTTCGACACTCGCGTGTATCTGTAGTTAGGGTGCAAGGCGGCGTGCACCTTCTTCGCATCGTGCGCGGCCTGCTCGTCTGGCTCCTTCGCCTCCGCCCCCATCGCCTTCCACCGAAGGCTGAGCTCGGTGGATATAGCGTCCATGCTGAAGCGGCCGTCAGGCTGTGCCGCCTGCTTCAGAGCTAGCTGCTCCGTCCTGAAGCACATCCACGAGTTTGACAGGCAACAATGCGTGGATGGGTATGGCGCCGTCGAGGAGGGCGCCTGACGCCTGCTCCTGCGTAGTGCCATTGCATGGCTTGTACTGGTACTGCTCCGCCTCTGGCTTAACAACGAGGCGGCGCGCAATGGGGGGGCGACGAGACGAGAGTCGACCACGCCCCGAGGGGCGTTCGCATTCACTCCCCGCGTCGGTCTTGACAGTGGTCGCTGGAGGGGGCGCTCAGGCTCTGGCGGAACCGGCACGCAGCCTGCGTTGAAAACCATTGCGCGTTAGCATGAGGTACCGCGGGACTCTGAAAAGAGGGGAGACATACGATAGCGCACGTCATTTGCGCATGTAGCAGTTCCGCCACAGCCCCTTGGAGGGGAAGCACTCGCCCTAGGAGTTTTAGAGTATACATGGGTTTCGCATCGCGCGCTGAGGGGCGGCGCGTGTGGGGACACATCCGCGAGGGCGTCGTTCAGGCCGGCCGCGAGGCTGGTGTCATGCGCTCCGGTACGCGAATGTGGGATGCATCGCGCGCGCCCCTTTGGGTGGTCTCTCGCGCAAGTACGCGTGGTAAGAAGGCACGTCTTCAGCGCAAGCGGTAAGGCTGTAGCTTTGGAGGACACGGCCCGAGAGGGTCTCTGCAACGAAGGGTCAGCTCTGTGATACAGCGGGTGAGTTCGTGGGACGTACTCTTCGTAGCGCAAGCATAGCTTGCATGCGCGTAGGCTTCTGCAATGCTGGATCGAATGTCGTGGCGAGAGGATGGTGTTGAGTCGGTGCGGTGGGCGTTGCAGGATATGACGAGGTTGACTCGCTTTACAGTGACGATTTCATGGCGCGCAGAGGCATTATATAGCTGCGCGTATGCGCGCGGTAATACGGTACAGATAGAGACCCATTATTCTCGCGCGCTGAGCATAGGCCGAAAGGACTCGAAGGGAGTATGTTGGTAGTCGACGCACCGTTCGACAAGGAGGATCCAAAAGCCCACATTGGTTAGTCGTCAAATCGCCATTTACACTTACATGGGCGATTGCGCCTCGCGCGGGAAGGCTGGAGGGCAAACATCGTTTGCAGCCACGACCGTATGCTGTGCGGTGCGTACCAAAGATCACGCCAAACGGGTTGCTGCATACCCCTCAACGGAATTGTCCGGAGGAAAACCCGAGGTTTATTGCAGCGAGAGACAACGACATAGCGCATTGCTCCTTCGCCGCGTCAAGCTTTCAAGGGCAGCTCTGCCAAACGGATAATGGCGCGACCGCGACTCGACAACCCTTGGCACGACGAGCTCCGCGCCCAGCACCCGCTTGCGAGACGCCATCGACACTCGGCGGCCTGTACACTTGAAAGGAGCATGGAACGCGAACACCGTCTAAAAAGAAGCTGCGCACGCACCTCTCTCCCCCCGCATCCCCCTCCCCGTCGTCCAATCCCGATATCCCGAAAACGAGCTGAGACAGGGCGCGCCACTGGCAGTGGCCGACCGCGCGGGGGGCTCGAGCTTCGGGTGACGGCCCTGCAGCACGAGGCGTGCGCGAACGCTTCGGCGACCACCCGGGCAGTGTGCAGGGGGCCGTGCGCGGGGACGGCCGTGTCCCCCTTGGGCGGACAATGAACGGGCGCCCGTGGCGCTTTGGGCGGACAATGGGACGAGCGGAGTTGACACGGTCCACGTGGCACACGTGATACCCGCGTGCAAAATGCTTCCGCGTTGCTTTCACATCGCAGATCGTGTCGCGTGTCGGACCCCAGGGACCCACTTTCCGGCGGCTGTGTCGTTCCGTCAGCGCTAAGGGGATTACCGTTGAGGAAACTGCCGTGGTTGGTGGCGAGCCTCGAGGTACGCTGCAGCGCAGCGCTCGAGCATGGATGTCGAGAATGTTGGCGTACGCCCCTTTCGGCACAGAAAGAGGCTGCTCCGCGTGGGCCCCTTGTTAGCGTTCGGAATACACGATACTGCCTGCGCGGCGCATGGCTAAGGAGGGCGACAAGCGGGCTGGCGACATACGCACCTCCGGCCGCCAGCACGGGCCCCGCGTTACAACATCCCGCCCTCTAGCCGGATTGCGGTCTACGTTTGTAGTGAATGAGTGGAGCTGTAAGGATGAGTCGGTTCGATCGCCAATTAGTGCCCAATTTGGCATACACGGCGGGCGTCGGGTCGGGGCTCATCGCGCGCAGCTCTGCGCCACCACCCTCTCTGATCAGACCCACCGAGCTTGGGTCGGGTACGGGTTCCAGCCGGTGCAGCCCATGCGCAACTCGATCGTGTTGGAGCAGTCCGGAGGGTAGGTTCCGCGGGGACGGCTGCGCTCCTCGAGTCCCGGAGCGAGGAGGGGCCGGGGCACGCCTGTTCCGACCGCGAGCCCGCGAAGACTATGCTAACGAACTGCGCGCGCCGGACACGCAGGGCCATGCGGCTACAGCCCAACGCCGTCGCTCCCGTCGAGGCAAGCAAGCGTTCAGAGGGAACAGTCGCTAGCGTCGCGGTGGGCGCGCCCGTGTCCCGCGACTAGCGAGCTGCAGCCTCCGAGGCCTGACGCGCCCAACGATCGTCGCCTCGCTGCTCTGCGGGACATGTCTCTTAGACTTACCCCGCAGAACAGCATGCTCAGGAGGCGGGACGTTCTCGAACGAGCGGGCGAACGGCGTACCTCACGTGAAAGACGGCGCTGTACTTGGAGGTGCATGCCGCCGGGGCTACAGACAACGACACATTGGATTATGCTGCGAAAGCATTGTATAGACAGATTGCGTGCAAGAGAAAGCGAGACTAGGCTAGCGATGACTGCGTGCACGACGATAACGGGGACGAGTCCGAAAAGCATGTTGGTGTATAAAACAGGGTAGCATCGAAAGGGTGGGGATTGGGGGAGGGGTAGGGGGTTGGTGACGACGAGCGGAAAACAGGGAGAAAGCGAGACAGAATATTCCACGAGACATAACATATACAGCAAAACGAAGAAATCGATGAAGATGAGAACGGGAGAGCATAGATGGAGGACACGATACAGCGGATTGTAACGTAACGAAGCAGGATGGGATAGCAAAGGACGACGCGCAAGCGCGGAGAGGGGTGCGAGATGAGAGCGAGACGGGAGCGGAGAGTATCGTTGCTTGTCGTAGATGTCGTTAAGAGTAGACAGGAGTTGCGAGCGATGCAACGACGAAAGCGATAACGATAAAGATAACATAAAACGAGGCGAATCCGGTTGAGCGAGGAGCGTGGACGATGTCGAATAGTGAGGAGTCGCGGACGCGGAGGACGCAAAACCGGATAGCGAAGGATGCGGGGAGAGATGCGGGGGAGCAGGAGACGATGGCGGGAGACGGGCGGCGAGACAGAGATGGCGGAGCAAGACGGGAGACCGAGGCAGCAGCGGGCATGCGGGACGTTCCAAGAGGGCGACCTGAGGGCGCTCGTCAGTGTCATGATCCCAAAGCACGAGCCAGAGAAGACATACCAGTGACGACGACGACGATCATGACGACCCTGGAGACAACACCCCGACCCGCGCGAGGGCGACGAAGAGCGCGCGCTCTACGTCGACGACGACCTAGAGCCCGACCCCTGCGCCTGCCCGGGCACGAAGGGCGGACGAGGGAACCGCTGCCCGACGCGGCGCCGAGAGGCTTGCCCTGCGCCGCCGGGGGGCACATAGCGCTGCAACGCCGGCGTGTTGTCGACCGGCGTGGACCCGAAGTCGGCGGTCTCGACGACCGGCGTCGACATTGGCGTCGGCGCGAACGGGGAAGGGGCGGGCGTCGGCGCGAACGAGGAGGGGGCGACCGACGACGCGAACGGGGAGGGGGAGACCGACGACACGAAGGCGGAGTAGTCGACCGTCGGGGTCGGGGGGAGGGACGCGCCGTAGAACGCGTCGTGCTGGGTGGGCGTCGGAGGCCCGGAGTGGGAGTGGCCCGCCCCCGAAGAGGGGCCCGAGGCGTCGTGAGACTCCAGCGGGACGCCCGCGAAGAGTTCGTCCATGGACTCCGTGTTCGAGTACCACTGCAGCCCCATATCGTCCATGGAGAAGCTCGTCGTCGGGGTGTTGAGCCCAAGGTCCTCTGCGAGCTGAGGGTATTGCACTGCCGCCTCCGCGGCCTGAGTCTGGTAGAACTCATTTGGGTCCATGAGTTGGCCGGCCGTATCCGGGAAGGTGTTCTGGAACTCCAGGGCGTCCTCGAAGGAGCGAGGGTTCACATCCAGAGCAGCATCGAAGCTCGACCCGTTCGTCGAGGCGCCATAGGACGAGTTGTCCATGACTTCCTGGACGTCCCCGATGTTCATGGCCTGTGCGAGCGCGTCGTCGCCGGAGCCGTCGCCGTGAGGGTAACACGTCGCGGACTGGGGGCTGCTCAGGAGATGAGCCAGGTGCATATCGACGTCACCCGGCGGGGAAGCCGCCCAAGCACCGATGGATGGCGCCAACTCCAACGCCCGGAGAACGTCGTCGACGTCCACCATCTGCCCCGGCATGGCGATAGGCAAATGGGCCGGGAACGGCCTCTGCGGCTATGAAGTCACCAATCAGCGTGTGCAATGTGACTGAGGGAGACGAAGACTCACATCATTGAAGGCCATCGGTGGCCCGCCAACCCACTCGCAGCGCATGTTGAGCGCGTCGAATTGATTCCCTTCGGTGTACGAGGGAGGGGAGTCCCCTGGAGTGGACAAGGACGTCGACAACGTCCCATCTGCGCCCATGACCATGACTTGACCAGATGGCCCCTGCTGGAGGAAGTCCGGCGACAGGTAACAGACGTTGTCGGCCTGAGAGAAGCCCGGCGCAACAACTTGGCCAAAGCCGGGTACAGGAAGCGGCGCGAAGCCAGACATGGCCGCCTGCATGGGGTATGGGAGGTGGAGGAGGGTATCCCCGTCGAAAGAGAGACTGGGCGTCGAGGAGAGCGTGGACGAGTCGTCGTCCGACTCAAGGGGTGGCGACGCGCCTGAGCCTCGGGAAATGGGCTCGCGAGGCTGGGGTGCGCTGAGGATAGCGGCGGGGGTGGATGAGGCCGACTTTTGCGCCTTGGTCGCGCTCCTCGTGGAGGCCCGACGCGGCGCGGGAGCTTGGACCGGCGCGGCCTCCGCGGAAGCCCTGCGGCTGCTCGAAGCCCGGGGGGACGCCTTGCGGCCGCTCTCCTTCGCTGCCTTCTTCGCGTCCGAGAGGAGTTTCTTCTGCCTGGCCTCCTCCTCGCGCAACGCTATTCTCACCTCCTTCTTGACGGGCTGGAATTTGTACTCCGGGTACATCTCGGCGTGTATCTCCGCGAGCCGAGCTGCCTCCTTCTCGTACCTGTTACGCACCGACTGAGGCTCCGCGCGCCACTGTTGCCCGACGATCTTGGAGACCATTGACTGTCGGTAAGGAGGCTCCTTCTTGGCGAGCTTCTCCGCTTTGAGGCGCGCGGCGTGCTCCGTACGATACAGGATCCAGGCGTTCGATGGCCTGGGGATCTTCCCACCCTGGCTGCCTTCGGGGATGTCGGTAGGCTCTGGGAGCAGGTGTGGCGGTTGGGCCCTGTGGGGTGTGCGCTGGTTACGCGTGGGTGCCATGGTGGGAGGAGGTGGAGGGGTTGGGGGTGGTGGAGGATTGGAAAGTGGGGGAATCGGAGAGTGCGGGACGCGAAGGCGAACGCCCGCAGAGGCCGGGGGGAACGAGAAAGAGCGGGGGTGTCGAGGAACGCGAGGTGGATGGTGGGAGGAGACCGAGGAACGTCTGTCTGTTATATACCGCGCCTATCCACTTCAACTTATCTCCCCGGTCCCGTGTGGGCGTCTACTTCGACCGTGATCAAGCCTTTGTTTGGCCTCTGTTTGTACACCCCTCCCGTGCCCGGGGTCCTACCTCACGATCGCCCCGTATTCCCAATCAGGCAACCATAACACCTTTTCAGGGTACTATTGATACCAGCTTCTCCGCCTTTCCGGTTCTCAAGCGCTCAGTGACGTTCAACGTCCAAGACTATCTCCTCCCGTACTTTCAAGCCCCCATCGGACTCTCCGGGTACCGTACGCGCCTCACACACCGGGGTAGACCCTGCATTCCCCTTCGCCTCTACTCTTACCCAGACAGGCGGGAGTGAGCTTCACATCTGCTCGCGAGGATTGGCCCATCTGGGGGCAAAGGCAGATTGCGGCGGCGTAGCCGACTCCATGATGATGGCGAGTTGCTGCAGCAAATTTGCCCTCGCTATCCTCTGGCTAAAGATGACTCAGCGCTAGGCCGCCTAGTGCTGCACATGCTGCGCAACACAAGGCCCAGCCCCGGAATGGAGGAGGACATGCGGGCGCACGCGGGGCGGGAACCTTGGCACCCAATCCGACGCATTTCGGAGCATGGACCGTCGCGTAAACGCACCTCGACGCTATGTGATCATAGAGGGGGGTACGTACTCCCGTCACCGACGGTATTTGGTCACCCTGATCCTAAGGCAAATACAGGAACTGCTCCTCCGATCGCGCGCTGCGGCGCCTCCTCCGCTCAGAGGAGCAGCTGCTCCCAGCATCCCATATCCGTCCTCGTAGCGGGTGAATCGTGCCCCCGCGAGGGGTGCAAACAAACGACGGTCGTACAAACAGAGCCTCAGGCCGCGGCCCCCGCTTGGACGAGTCTCCGTTCCACAGCACGCGACGCATGGCTAAGGTGCCATCTCCATGTCCGCCGACGCGCGGTCATGAACGTCCTCGGCGTCGTTCCTCCTCCCGGCCGCCGCCTCTTGCCTCTCACGATGTGGAGTACTGTTGTACTCCGCGCGCTGCGCGATCGGTCGACGTCCGCGCTGCGACTCCGAGACACGGCAGGCAGACGGGAGGCAGGGGGCGGCCGCCTGTGGCTAGCACGGCGACCGCCTGCTCTGCCCGCCCGTCGCCCCGCTCCTCTCGTTGTCGGGTGTGCAGAGTCCAGCCTGGGTGCCGCCTCGAGAGGCCAGCCCCACGGAGAGGGCCGTTGAGCAGAGCACCCTCTCGGGACCACGCCGGAGAGCACGGTAAGCGCTCAGGATGGCTAAGAACGGACCGGGACTCATGCGCAACATCAGCCGCCTACTACACCGCTTGCCACCCCTGCCAGGGGCAGGTCTGCCGCGGCATATGTCTACACCCGTCTACGCTCGACCGTGACCCAGGCACACGCAGTGAAGCTAGCAAGGCTTGCCCTAAACCACTGGCCTAAAACGGTCGACAGAGGTGAGCGACCTGGTCTCCATCAAATGATGGTAATACCACCTACCTGATTCGGACTAGTCGGGTTCCACGGCTGATTTGACGTCAGACCACCCCGAGAGCTGAGATCTGGGAAGTGGCGGTCCACAGTGGGGTGAAGCTGGCTGAAGTCGAGCGAACGACCACCATGCTGAACCAGACCACTGTGTCATACCACTCTCACTCAGTGCCTTGGCCAGCTCGAGAGAATATGGCACACTGGACGCCCCGTCGGCGGCAAGTGGGGGAGTTGTGCAAGCGGCGGGACGCAGTCCGATCGTCAGGCACAGGGCGCCTAATACAACTCCTCCTTCGGTACTGGTTCAAGCTCAGCGCTGGTGGCAGCGCCCGTTCGTCTCGATTTCGGAGTTCAACGTTCATCTCGCACTTCATGTCGGTTTTTCCTCCAGCGGGCCTTTTTGAGGGCACCTATTGTCCTGCCCCCCAAAAGCGCGGAGTACCGCCAAGCAGTATAGCCGCACGCAAAGCCTGGCGTGAACGGGCCGAGTCGTGGCCGACGCTTGGTGTGGCCCCCGTCCACTGCTCAAAGGCGGCACAGCCCGCACGCATGGACCTCCAAATTGCTTAAATGCCCGCTTGGTCCATGCATTGTACCCCCCACCATCCTTCCACCTCAATCCCCCCGCTATCAACGCGCCCCGCATTCTCTCTCTGCGACGCCACCATCCCGGCCCGCATCACTCACCTCACGCATACACCACCACCCTCACCACCCTCACCACCCTCACCACCCTCACCACCCTCACCACTCTGCAATGGCACCGCACCGGACAAGGAACGCCAAGGCCTCATCATCCACTACGCCCTACTCCCCACCCACCGTCCACATCAAGCGCCCACCGAACGAATGGCTCTGTTTCCGGTCAGAGCAGCTAGCCTTGAAGAAGGCGGCACATCCTGGTGGCAAATTCTGCATGGATGCCATCTCCACCGAGCTCAGCATTCGGTGGGCGGAGATGGATGCGGCGGCGAAGGAGCCGTATAAGCAGGCCGCGCGCGACGCGAAGGCGCTGCACGCCGTCTTGCACCCCAATTACAAGTTTACCCCGCTGTCGAAGAAGGCCAAAGCGGAGCTGCTGGCTCAGCAGGAGGCAGCGGAGAAGGAGGGGAGCATCGCGGAGGTGCGCCCTAAGCCACCGCGCCGCCGCTCTCGCCGGAAGGCCACCGCGCCGCCCAACCCGACCCCCGCCGCACCCGCACCGACGGTCGCGCTGCACATGCCGCTTCCGTTCTCCTTGGACGCGCTGGCCCTCGCGCTCCCGCCAGCCCCCGCAGCCCCGTCGGCCTTTGCGCCCCCGCCGACCTTCGCGGCCCCGCCGAACGCACATGCCTTCGCGCCCCAGCTCGGGCAGGGCGGCGCGCACTATGCGCCACAGATGGGATGGGTGAGTGTGCTCGAGCTCTTATGCGCTACCTGGTAGCTGACCCGTCGTCCAATTTCCTCGTAGCCACAGGGAGCGCCGATCCTGCGCAACGGCCCCGTGCATTGGGCGTACCCGCCGCAGCCCCACGCGCCACCGCCCATGCAATTCGCGATGAGCGTCCTCGGCCCGCAACATCTCCCGTACTACCCACCGGCCCCTCAAGCTCAAGTCGCGCCGGCGATGCCACCTCCAGCACCCCCGTGCGACATCGTCCCCGCGCCGATGTACGGCTCGGACTATCCCGGGGACCTGTTGGGTCAGTTCGTCGACGCAGGCGCGTCCCAGCAGGGAGGGGGCATGGCCGACGCGCAACTAGCCGCCTACTCGTCTGTCTTCGACTTTGTGCCCAGCGGCCCGCCGTCGGATGCGTCCAATGCGTCCAGCCCCGGCGGTGGGTGGAACTTTGGCGAGTCGGCCTTGGACACGTTCGACTTTATGGATCGCAACGCGTAGTTTGGTGAGTCGCTGCGGTCTTCCGGTTGCTCCTATACGTCTGTCGACTTACGCTCGGTCTTTCGCAGCAGTGTCCGTCAATGCCGCATACGCCTTGTCGACGCGACGGAGTGGCGCGGTTTGCTTTTCTGTCTCCTGCTTTGGCTTTGTTTCCCCTTCTCTATCTTTCCTATCGTCCATGCTCTCTCCCTTCGTTGCTTTACCATCGGCTTTCATTGCCCCCGCATACGTTATACCTCTGCTCTTGATATCCAATCCCCGCATTGATACCAAACTCGAGACCTTACATTATCTGTAGTCGCCCGAAAGTGTTCAACAATGCTGCTGTAGTCGTCCTAGCTGTACCACCACCTGTGTCTTGTCTCAATGCCAATGCGTTCTTAACCTATTGACCTCCGCCAGAGTCCGGTACTGGCAGGTGCGATGAGTGTGATCTCATAGCCTCCGACGGCAAACACTATGTCCGCGTCACTCGCTTCGACTCGGACTTGTTCACTGTTGCACCGCCACCTGCCAGGCCTGCGCTTGTCCCTGACCGTGGTTGCGCCTTATGGTTATACGGTACGAACTGCGACGTTGTGCTGCAATGCTCGGGGGACGGCTGTCAATAGCTTGAGGACGTGCGAGTAAAGATACACGGTGTCCGAGTCGGCTCGAATAAACATACACTGGGGAGTTGATTGTCCAAGTATCTCATCCAGTCCATAGTGACCTCAGTATACAAAAACAGTGTAGGGTACACAGACATCTCTAGGAAGCGCATATACAAAGGCACACCGCGCATCAAGGTAAACGCTATCTCATATCGAACCTGGCACCATTCATCGTGAGCGGACCGGCGACGAGTCCGGGTACGCAAACAAGTCAAGCGCATCGTCCGACGAGGGGTGCGCGGGCCCCGCCCCACGGACAGGGCTGCTCTCCGGGTCAATATCGCTCTGCCAGTGCGCCATCAACCCGTCGTCCTCGTCGTCAGAAATCGACATGGTCTCTTGGGACGACGCCTGCCCGAAGCGCACGCTCTGCTGAGCCTTCCGCGCCCTCTCCTCGCGCAACGAGACCACGTTCCGCTGTGAGTCCGCAAGGAGCGTCGTAAAGTTCGACTGCCGCCGCCACGCTGCGATCGGCGGGGGCGGCGCGGAGATCGCGTGCACGGACGACGTGCGGGAGGAGGTGAAGGGGCCGCGCGTGGGTGCCTTCGTCGAGGCTCTGGCTTTGGCTTTGGCCTCGCGCTCGGCGCGGAGTGAGATGACGTTCATCTGCGCGTCCGCGAGGATAGTCGCGAAGTTGGAGGAACGTCGCGCGGGGGTGGGGGTGTGGTGGAGCCTGCTAGTGGACTTTGATACCTTCCGAGGCGGTGCAACGTTCTCTTCGTCGTCAGACGACCCAGCACGCGAAGGTGCGCGGCTTGAGGTAGCGGATGTGGATATAGATGTCGCTTTCCTCTTCAACGGGTTCTTTGTGCGCACGGGCACCGACCGACATGTCGACGCGGACGCCTCTGGCTCTGTATTCGTCGTCCGCCGGGCTGCAGTGAGGGCCTCGCGTATCAACGACCCAGCTGGAGGGCGAGACAGCACAGGAGAAGCGCGGGCCCCGGCCTTGCGGCGCTTGCCCGTGAGGCAGTGGTCCTTTGCCTTCTTGGTGAGGGCGGGCGCGGGAGACTTGAGCACCCACGAGCCGACCATTTCCTCCCACTCCCATTCGCCCTCTTCGGGAGGCGCCGTACCCGCCATCCCGCCGCCTGGATTCCCACCGAAGCACCTGCTTTCCGCGTCCTCCATGCGGTCCATTACCTCGAGTCGGAGACTGTAAAGCTGGCTCTGGCTGAGCTTCCGCCCCGGAGTGGTCATGCTCTGGGTGACCGTCGGCGTGGCGATGAGTATCTCGACGTGCTGAAGAGCGGCCAGCCACAGGGCAGCTTCGCACCTCAGGAGACCCTGGGTACGCAGAGGAGTAGCAAGCGCGGAGACGGCCTCGATAGCGTCTCCATGGATGGTGGGTGGAGTAGGAGGGGGTGTGGGCGTATTGGCATCTTCAGGCTCTGCGAGGGGCATGGCGAAGAGCTCGATGCGTGGGAGGGGGAAGATGTGAGAGATGAGGTCGTTGAAGGTCCCGTTCTGCACGTTGGCGGACCGAAGGATATCCTGCAGAGAGGAAAAGTCGTGCGGGTGTAGAGACGCAGAACGTTGGGATGAGACACAGTATGCAGTCAAACAGACAAGCGCGTTCGCCAAACAAGCGGGGCGTGGAGTCGGTGTGTCGTGGCTCTCGTGTAGCCCATGTGACGCAGCAGCGACCAGGAAATCTACGCACACGACGAAGTCGTCCATTGAGTCTGGGCTGGATGTATGTAGCCTGTCGAGCATGGTGATGGCCCATTTCCGCAATCGTTCAATGGCCTCGTCATATAGTTGGGCGTGGACGTCGTCCAACACTTTCCCTCCTTTCCTTCCCCCTTTCGCGTTGGGTTTGACATCGGCGACAGCCTGCACTAGGCCCGTGCATAGAGGGACGAAACAGCCGCTGAAGTCCTGTTCGCGGAATTCGCGCGCGAGACGGTTCACTGCCTTCGAGGTCCAGGCGTGCAACCTCGTTGAGGCTGGTTCAGATAGGCAGTCTATGACAAGTCGAGCGAACGTCCGGTTGTTGATTATCGACTGTGTGCAGGACTTTCGTAGTGTGCTGAGGAAGTTCTTGTGTGCGGGGTGCGTGAGGGGACAGGTATAGGTTGACTGAGCGCGCGGCTTGATGGCCACGGCGAAGAGATGTGATAGGACTGTCTGCGCCTCTGGCACCAGGCCATGAGACAGGGATACGTCCAACAGGGCGCTCAAGAGGGTGGGATGGTGTGGGCATGCCTCTAGGATGTAGGTGAGAGCATGTGCGACAAACATACGCCTAGATATCCAGCGTTAGCGGCGTATTCTTCAGACCGACGTAATGCGTAGATGGCTTGACAGTGTCACTCACGATCGATACGCAGGCGGCACTTGGTCATACAAGTCATCCATGGCCTGAGTGCCTCTGTCGTCCTCAAGGACGTCGGAATCCCGTAGGTCATCGAAAGCTGCCTCGATTTCCGACTGGACGTGTTCGCCGATGAGTCGAGCGCAGATGCTTGTCAGGTCAAGAACACGGCCTCGTTCTTCGTGATCAAGAGACGGCGCTGGGCCAAGGACAGATTGTACGATGTTCCGGAAGGCGTCCCGAACTTCGTAGATGCGTTTGGAGAGTTGCATGTTCTCGATGATGGCCCGGTCAAGGTGCAGCCTGGTCCCGAAATTGTCCAGAGATTGAAGAATAGCCAGGGGAGGGGTTCCGTCATCATCTTGGGCGTGTTTGGAAACATTCCGGTGCGAGCTCCCGTACGTGACAGAGACCGCGGGCTTAGTAGGTGCGAGAGTGAGAGCGTTGAGACTTGTGCATTTCATGCGCAAGGATCTCAGTTGGCGGTTGATCCTTGACGAAGAGAGTTCGGCCATTGCAGCTCTGGCAACAAATACCGCGACGCGTATTCGCAAAGTCAAGATGGTGGTAGGAAGAAAGAGGTATCCGGCGGAGGTATGATGGTTGAGCGTAGAGGACGCTTGGAGGATCTCAGCCACCGACGCGCCTTGAACTTCGGCGCCAATCTCGACGCGACTGTGGCAATTTACAACTCCGCCCGTAATGAGCGCGACGCGTCGGAGGAAACCTTGTCTCATCCTTCCTTCCTGCATCCACCACCTCTCGACGCGCATCTCCTCTCAAATTCACAATGGCGGTATGTCTAGGAGCGTGAAAACTATGACAGAACGCTTATTCGTTGCGTACAGACCCCTCGCGGTGCCAAACGGCGTCGCTCAGTCACACCTCCCCCGGGATCCTCGCCCGCGGGACCGTCGCGCGCAGAACGCGACGAAGAGTCATCCCTTCCACCGTCCTCACCACCTGCGCCTTTCTCTGACACAGACGAGAGCCTGGATGAGCGCGACGCGGTCAAAGACATCGAGGATGACGCGGATGATGCCGAAGACGGAGACGATCTATTCGCAGAGGAGTTCGAAGAGTAAGTTGCGAGTTTTCGCGCTCATATCCCTTCATTCTCACATTTTTGCACAGCGATTATGCGACGAACGAGCTACTGGACCGATACTCCGACCGCGACATTGACGATGACCAAGACTTTGAGGAGATGTCGGCCGCTCAAAGGCGCGCTGCTGAGGCCAATATGGCTCGCAGAGACCGTCTGGAGCGCGGAGGCCGGAGGGGTGCCCGTGCTGCTGCTCGAAGTCGCATGCCCGACTTCCTTCAAAGCGATGATATGGAAGACGACGACGTCGATGGTGGTCTTCTTGCGGGCATGAAGAGGCGCACCCGGCGGCAATACGATGAGAGGAAGGACCTCGACGACTTGGAAGGTGTAGACGATGTGAGTATTACGATGGTGAGTTATAGTCAGGTCGATCTAACAGTGTGTGCAGGAACTTCCGCTGGAGCAACTGAGTGATATCAAAGCGAAGTCGATTGCGGAATGGATCGCCAACGAACGTGTTAGACGATCTATCGTTCGGCACTTCCGCCAGTTCCTCATGACATATGTTGACGAGAACGGCGCGTCGGTGTACGGTCAACGCATCCGACACTTGGGAGAAAGTGCGTATCGCGATCGAGATGTCGGGGTAGCTTTACTGATCAGTGTCACAGACAATGCCGAGTCGTTGGAAGTATCGTATCTGCACCTTGCGTTGTCGAAGCCCATCCTCGCTTACTTCCTCACCAACTGTCCGAGCGCTATGTTGGCCATCTTCGACGAAGTTGCGTTGAGCGCGATCTTGCTCTATTACCCGGCCTACGAACGTATTCATTCGGAGGTGCACGTTCGCATAACCGACCTCCCCCTCGCTTCCTCTCTTCGCGACCTCCGGCGATCACATCTCAACACTCTTGTCCGAGTAACCGGCGTCGTGACTCGTCGAACGGGAGTGTTCCCACAACTCAAATACGTGAAGTTCGACTGCCGGAAGTGCGGGGCGGTGCTGGGTCCCTTCTACCAGGATTCGACCCGGGAGGTGAAGATTAGCTATTGCCCCAACTGCGAGAGCAAAGGACCCTTCCATGTCAATTCAGAGCAGGTAAATTAACCAATTCTGTATCGATACTATGACTCTGATGCGTCGGATAGACGGTGTACAGAAATTACCAGAAAATGACGCTGCAAGAGTCTCCCGGCTCTGTTCCCCCTGGACGTCTCCCACGGCATCGCGAAGTCGTGCTGCTATGGGATTTGATAGACAGGGCGAAGCCTGGCGAGGAAATTGTGAGTGCATTCCGTGGGTGTGCTTCTTTTATAACAATGGCCCCTGCTAGGAAATCACTGGTATATACCGCAACAATTTCGACGCGTCCCTCAACTCCAAGAATGGCTTCCCGGTGTTCTCGACGATCCTAGAAGCCAACCACGTCAACAAGAAAGAGGACCAGTTCGCGGCCTTCCGCTTGACCGAGGATGACGAAAAGGAGATCCTACTGCTAGCGCGTGACGACCGCATTCGTAAACGCATCATCAAGTCTATCGCCCCCTCCATCTACGGCCATGAAGACATCAAGACAGCCTTGGCCCTATCGCTTTTCTCCGGTGTTTCCAAGGATATTAACCGGAAGCATCGTATTCGTGGTGATATCAACGTCCTTCTGCTCGGTGACCCAGGAACGGCCAAGTCCCAATTCTTGAAGTATGTGGAGAAGACGGCCCATCGTTCTGTGTTCGCCACGGGTCAGGGCGCGTCTGCCGTCGGTCTTACGGCGAGCGTGCGCAAGGATCCTATCACGCGCGAGTGGACTCTGGAGGGTGGCGCACTCGTGCTCGCCGACAAGGGAACTTGTCTCATCGACGAGTTCGACAAGATGAACGACTCCGATCGGACGTCGATTCACGAGGCGATGGAGCAGCAGTCCATCTCGATATCCAAGGCCGGTATCGTCACCACGCTTCAGGCGCGGTGCGCCATCATTGCCGCGGCCAACCCGATCCGTGGCCGCTACAATCCCACCATTCCTTTCCAGCAGAATGTCGAGCTGACAGAGCCCATTCTGTCGCGTTTCGACGTCCTGTGCGTGGTGAAGGACACGGTCGACCCCGTCCAGGACGAACTCCTCGCTCGATTCGTCGTAGGCAGCCATCTGCGGAGCCACCCCAAGTTCGAGGCGCACAAAGATGAGATGGACGTCGGGACTACCTTGGATGCAGACGTGAGTGTCATATCAGCGTGTGAGACAGTATTCTCACCTCCCGCATAGATCATTCCGCAAGATCTGCTCCGGAAGTACATTATGTACGCGAAGGACAAAGTGCGCCCCAAGTTGTTCGACCTCGACCAGGACAAGATTTCGCGGCTGTTCTCCGACTTGCGTCGCGAATCGCTCGCCACTGGTTCATTCCCCATCACCATCCGTCACCTGGAGAGCATCATCCGCATGTCAGAGGCGAGCGCGAAAATGGCGCTGCGCGAGTACGTGCGCGCGGACGACATCGACCTCGCAATTTCCGTGACCATCGGGAGCTTCGTGAATGCTCAGAAGATGTCGATCAAGAAGACGCTCGAGCGAGTAAGTTCCGTCTTCGATCCGCATTCTCGTATAGGGATCGCGATGCGTTGCGAGCAATGTAAAATCGCCTTGCTCGCCGCGTGTAGCCTTTTCTGTGGTGTGCTTGTAGTCGCCGGACATGTTACTGATCGTTTGCGCGCAACAGGGCTTCCGCAAGTACCTCACGCAGGCGCGCGACCACGAGGAGCTGCTCGCGTTCCTTCTCGGACAAATCGTCAAGGAGAAAGCGCGCTACTACCAGTTGCAGAGGCACTCGCAGCCCGATTCTGTAACCGTCAAGACCACCGAGCTGGACGAACGGGTAAGCTTACCTCTCCGTCGTACGCCACATGTAACCAACCATTCTTCGCGGGTTTGCAGGCCAAGGAACACGACATCTACGATACCAACCCTTTCCTGCGCTCGAAGCTGTTCGCAGCGAACGGGTACAAGCTGAAGGACGGCGTAATCGAGAAGGCGTTCAAGCGCGGAGACGAAGAGTAAGGGAAAACGCTGTGATATATGTCTGTCTGCGGAAGTCTCTGCTGTGCGAAGTGTATGTCTGCCTTGTTGTCTTAGTCCGTATCTTTGCTAGTTGTGGTGTTTTCTGCCAGAATCCTATGTGTACTGTTACTACGATGTCTGTGCGTGTGTATATGTTAAAGTCCGTGTCAATGTCAATCAACCTGTTAGCTGTCCAAGCTACCATGCTCACAGATTCCTTTCGACATGGATGCCTTGTATCCTCTTCCACAAGTCTGGTAGCTTTGCCAAGCATGCCAAATGGCCCGTCGGACGACGGAGGCACACAGTCCTGACATCGGCGGCTGCTTACTCCGACCCGTCGGGCGCGCCCTGGCGCTCAGGCACGTCATCGGCGGCATCATGATCCACGGCGCGCGCGACCCTGCGCGACCTGGCGCGACGCGCCGCCGCAATACCGCCGCGCAGTGCCCTCGGCCTTCGTCTGCCGCCGTGCAGCAGTCGTCGACTCAACGTACGAGCGCACCTGTGGCCTGAGACCTGAGTCGGGGACGCATATGCATGAATGGAATTGAAGCCGGCAGAGGCGTCTTATCTGACATCATACTCGATAGACGGGAGGCGGCACCGGGGGCAATGTCGAGGACATCGGCATGCTCGACCCGGAACGCGACATGAGCAGCAAGCGAGGCCGCTAAGTCCAGGGTGAACGTCTTCCCGATAAGAATCCTAGCCACAACACGAGGCGCGGCTTGTCTTCAACCACAACCGCGCGCAACTTTTTCCATCGCCCTCCCTCTTTCTTACGACCCACGACGACGTCGAGCTCAGCGACGACGGCGGCAACGACCACCATGGCCCTACCGCTCGCGGACCTCACGCCGCTCTTCATCCTCCGCGTGCTCTCACCCAGCATCGTCTTTCTCGCCACCCTCTCGCTGCTCTTCGTGCGTGCCCCCGCGCCGCAGACGTCCTCCGCGCCATCTCCCATCACCGCCGTCGTCGTTGCTACTCGTACGCACCGTCGCGCTCTCATATATGCTTTCCTTTCTCTCGTTGGCCTCACTTACCTTCTCGACGGACTTGCCTTCGTCGTCTGGGCCGTTATTGGCAAGACCTGGCCCGGGTTTACCGGACTCGAGATCAACGCGGTCGTAGGTCTCGCTGCGTTCACTGGACTCGCGGCCCTTGGAGCATGGAAGGAAATCCGCGGCGTCGACGTGTGGTCGCTCCGCCGGCTGAAGCACGGGGTGTTCTTCTCCCTGGCGTTGGATATTGCACAGGTCGTGTTCTTGGCCCTTGCAATTACGCGTACGTCTCCCTTTACACTTCTATAGCGCACGTTGCAACGCGGCGTGGATGTTGGCTAATCGTAGATACGCTTCACAGGCCCCCTCTCTACCGTCTACCTTGTCCATCTCGCGTTCCCCGCTTTCCGCGTCCTTCTCCTTGTTCCGTTGCTCTCCGCCCTCCTCTTCCCGCGTGTTTCCTACGTCCCCGCGGAGACTATCGACGAAGAAACACCGACGGACACGAGCCTCCTCATCCCTGCTCAAGACGCCGCGGCGCCCTCGTCGGGGCTCTCTCCCTTCTCCGCGGAGGCAAGCAAGTATGGTACTTTCCGCAGCGGCCGATCCGTCGCACAAAGCTCCGGGCCCACTACGCGTACTCACACTCCTGCTCCTTCTACCGTGCGTGTACCCCCGCCCAAGGCTCATGTGAGTACAATTGTGAGCTTCTAGCGCGTCTGCGTCGGAGCTGAGACGCGTTTGTTTTCATTAGGAGGCGAAAGAAGACATTGCACTCGATCCGTCGTGGTGTGAGATCTTTGCCCGCATTAAGCACATTGCGCCTTACCTGTGGCCATCGAAGAGTGCCTCTCTGCAGTTCCTCGCAGTATGTGATACACATGTTGCTCGCGTGACCGGGTGCTGATTGGTGCCTTATAGTTCCTGTGTTTCCTTGTCATGCTCGTGGGGCGCGTGGTGAACTTCCTCGTTCCATTGGTATTCGCGCAGCTTGTGCGCATCTTCGAAGAGGGTTCGCAGACGTCACCATGGCCGTACCTAGGTGCCTATGTCGCTCTACGCTTCTTGCAGGCTACGGGAGGCTTGGCTGCTCTGCGTGACGTGAGTAAATGCAGTCTATAGCGCATATATGCGGTCCTGATGGGCTTTGGAACAGACTCTTTGGATCCCGGTCATGCAGTACTCCGACAGAGGTACGTGAAATCTAACTTCGCGATTATTTTGCGCCATGTCTGACATATCTCTAGAAATGTCGCAGTTGTCGTTTGATCACCTCCTCCAGCTTTCGTTCGCGTTTCACGCGCGTCGCAAGACCGGAGAGGTCCTGCGCATTCTTGACCGTGGCGCTGCTATCAACCACACTTTCGAGGTGCGCTCGCTCACGAACGTTTTGAATGATCATTCTGACGGCAATCTCCACGATGTAGACCATTATCTTCAACATTCTTCCTACGTTCTTCGATATCGCTATTGCGCTGGTCTTCTTCGTGGTGTATTTCGAGTGGACTCTCGCCATCGTCATTTTCTTCGTCATGGCCGCATATGGTGAGTTTCACTTTCACCTTCTCCTATGGTGTTCAAGTGCATATACTTATCCACTACCCCTTAGTTGCCGCGAGCGTCGTCCTTACCAGATGGCGCACCAAGCTCCGGCGGCAGATGAACGAGCGTGACATGGTTATTCGTGGGATCCACACCGACTGCTTGCTCAACTACGAGACCGTGAAGTACTTCAATGGTGAAGAACACGAGGGCGAGCGTTACCGCGACTCCATCCGCCAGTACCAGAATCTCGAGTACAAGGTTATGGGTACGTACATTTACACCTACCTTGTACCGCGAAGTACTGATTACGCGTGGTTAGTTTCGTTGAACCTGCTCAACCTCGTCCAAAACTTCATCATTGTACGTTGTCTTCTACACACTCCCGCCGCATGCGTGCTGACAAGGAATATAGACTTTGGGTCTCCTCGTTGGCTCCATGATTGTCGCTATGCGTGTCGTTCGCGGCCAGTCACAGCCTCATCAGTTCGTTTTCTTCATCACGTACCTGGCCCAGCTGTATGGTCCTTTGAACATGCTCGGGTACTTGTACCGAACGATCAACCAATCCCTCGTCGACACGGAGCGTCTTCTTAAGCTGCTCAGCGAGCCGACCGAGATCAACGACCGGCCGAACGCCCCCGATCTCATCGTCGAGAATGGCGAGATCGAATTCGGTAAGTACCAACCTCAAACCATGAAGGTCGCCATGAGGTGCTCACTATAGCGGTGTAGACAACGTCAACTTCTCGTACGACGGCCGTAGCACGGCTCTGGAGAGCGTATCGTTCAAGGTGCCCAAGGGGTCCTCTGTTGCGCTCGTCGGCGAGTCTGGCGCGGGCAAGTCCACGATCTTGCGTCTTCTCTACCGGTTCTACGACCTCAAGGAGGGCGACGGCCGCATCCTCATCGATGGCCAAGATCTCCGCGATGTCACTCAGGATAGTCTGCGGAAGGCTATCGGCGTTGTGCCTCAGGACCCGGTGCTCTTCAACGCTAGCATCGGCTACAACATCGCGTCAGTACTCATCACAGCCCTCTCCATGTTTTTAACACTTACCTGTAAGCACATAGGTACGGCAAGTTCGGTGCTACCCAGGAGGAGATTGTCGCCGCTGCGAAGGCTGCCCAGATCCATGACCGCATCCTCAGCTTCCCGGACGGCTACGACACCAAGGTCGGCGAGCGTGGTATCAGGCTGAGCGGCGGCGAGAAGCAACGTGTCGCTATCGCCCGGACGCTCCTGAAGGATCCTCCCATTCTGCTTTTGGACGAGGCCACAAGGTCCGAGTGTATTTGGGTTCTGTCCTACATAACGTACTCACATGGCCTTCTACGTCAGCGCTCTGGACACCTCGACCGAAAAGGACATCCAGAAGGCATTGCAGAACCTCGTCCAAGGACGTTCCTCGCTTTCTATCGCGCACCGGCTCTCGGTGAGTACCTGTACAGTATCAGATAACGGAACCTTCGCTGAATCACCGCACGTCTAGACCATCGCATCTGCTGACCTGTATGTGAAATTTTGCGCTGCCATTAATACGGCGCGGGCTTATTAAATGCTCCCGGCAGGATTCTTGTTTTGAAGGATGGGCGCATCGTCGAACAGGGCACTCATGGCGAGCTTCTTGCCCTGGGTGGCAACTTCGCCACAATGTGGGCCGATCAGGTGTCCAGCACGGACGAGGCCGTGTCCTCGCACAGGAAGTCTGCTGTCGTCACTGGCTTTGACGTAGAGGACGTGCCCGCGGAGGACCCTGTCGTTATCGCAGAGGACCTTGAGGGTGTCCCCCAGGTTGGCACCGAGGAAGTCGCCCAGGACGCACTGGCAGATGGCGAGCCCGCGGTGGAGAGCGCCCCCGAGGCCATCGCCGACGAAGCTGCCGCCCCTGTGGCATTCCCGTCCACTGATGGCGCCGAGGATGCAGTAGAAGCCGCCCCCGAATCTAGTGCCGAACCCGTCCCTGAGGCCTCCGCCGCCGCCCCTGTCGCGTTCCCGACCTCTGCTGACGATACCGCGCCGGTATCGTTCCCATCGAGCGACGCTGCGCCGCTGGCATTCCCGACTTCTGACAGCCCGGTCCCTATCGCGTTCCCTGGCTCACCGGACACGGCTTCCCAGCGCGAGGGTTCTGTCGCAGAGCGTGCGCAGAACCCCGGCGTCACGTTCCAGGAAGCTCAGACGCCGTCCCGCACCGGGACGCCTGATCCTGAGGCGGACGGGAAGCGGAGGCGCACGCTGTCGACGCAGGGCATCCAGCGCCTTGCGCGCCGGATCTCAATCACCACGCGCCGGCAGGGCTCGAGTGCGTCGTCCATTCCAGCGATTGCGGGCTCGTTCATTCCAGGCCTGAAGCGTGCGGACACGTCGAACTCGAACAAGGACGAGGGCAGCTCCTCGAAGGACACGCCGCAGGACAGCCCGCGCGCGAGCGTTTCGAGCGACATTGGCAAGGCCAAGTTGACGAAGAGCAAGAAGGAGAAGAAGCTTGAGAAGCGGAAGACGATGTCTTGAGTAGGTTGATTGCCCCCCTGTTTCTCGTGCCCCCTCCACATGACTGCCCCATGTTCATTTCCCCCTCCCCGTCTCCCACCGTTTTTTCCACCTCTGTTCTGTTCACGATTCACGAAACGACACGACCCTCACCCCCGCGGCGATACTGTATAATGAACGCTCCCCGCCACATACATCATATCATTTCCGCACATCACCATCCACTGTCTCGGTCATCTATCGCGCAATTGTTCCCCGCTGTTTCGCATAGCACACTTGTCTGTTACTTTCTCACTTGGCTGGAAAATGGATCGATACGCACCGTCCGCTGTGTGCAGTGCAGTATCGGCACCGTGCGTGGGTCGCCTTGTCGCCCAATCGCGGTGTCAGACAAGGTTTGGCGGGTGTGGCAGAAGTTAGAACTGTGGCTCGTGCGTCCAGATGTGGCGATGGAGCTCCTCCGAGGGCGCATCTTGGGCGCATTCTGGAATTCCACGGCCGGCACATGACGGGCGCCGATTGGCTGAGACGGGCCTGGAGCGGCGAGAAAATGGGGGGAGAGATCCCGCAGGGATTGAGTTCCGGAGTTTGAAATGGGCGGGAGGGGCCATATAAGCCGGGCGAAAATGAGCGGATCAGGCATCTCGCTCTTGCCCCCCGTCTCCTGCTTGCCCAAGTCTCCGTCCGGTTTTCGATTTCGGTTTCGTCGGTTCCCAAGAGTCCCCCGGTGTACTGTAACTTTCAGAATCCATCATCATGTCTACAAAAGTATACGTTGGGTCAGTTTCGTTTGGACTCGCAGGCGGCGTCTCGCCCGCTAGACCCCCGACTGATTCCGTGTTCCCCGTGTAGCAACCTGAGCTGGAACACGACCGATGACAGCCTGCGTTCAGTCAGTCTGCTTTTTCTGCGCGGCGGGCGACCGTCGCGCCTGTCTCCGTCCCGAGTCTGATTAGATACGCTTCGCGTTCCCCTTTAGGCCTTCTCGAACTACGGTCAAATCCTCGACGTACGCGACCGTTCCTTGAGGCGTCTCGTGGCTGTGTTTCATAAAAACGCACCATGAGGCCTCTTCTCCGTATGGCATGGTGCTGATTCCGTCTCCGCGAACTTGCAGTCCATCGTGATGCGTGACCGCGACACCGGCCGCTCCCGCGGCTTCGGCTTCGTCACGTTCAGCTCGTCTGGCGAGGCGCAGACCGCCATTTCCAGCCTCAACGAGCAGGAGCTCGACGGCCGCCGCATCAAGGTCAACCTCGCCAACGCCCGCGGCAGCGGCGGTGGCGGAGGCGGAGGTCAGAACGACTAACTACATGCTGGTTGTAACAAACACTGATACCTGCACGTATAAGAAGGCGGCTACGGTGGTGGAGGATACTCTGGCGGTGGGTTTGGTGGCGGTAGGCGTCGCTGCTTCTTACTTCGTAGTGCTTTTGCTCACAGTCTTTTCAGGCCAGGGTGGCGGCTACTCCGGCGGCGGAGGCTACTCCCAGGGTGCGTTTGGTGGTCAAGGTCAAGCTGGCGTCATCGCAGCTAGGCGGGAAAGATCGGATTGCTGACGTTTTCCAGCAGGTGGCTACGGCGGCGGAGGCCAGGGTGGCTACGGCGGTGGAGGTTACTCCGGCGGCGGAGGCCAGGGTGGCTACCAGCAGGGTGGCTACGGCGGTGCTCCTCAGTACTAAGTGCTGACAGGTAAGCTTTCGTGCTCTCTCCTACTTGCTCAATGTACTGATCATTGTACAGGATAACATCCCGCACCCCTTCCCATGCTTTCCATTCCGGCCCTATCCACGGCGCCATCTCCGATTCTCTGTCATCTGATCGTATTTCTTGCCCGACCCCCCATCCGCAACACTCCTTCCCCCACTGCCATTCCTTACTGGTAGCACATGTCGTTCCGTCCTGGTCGTCTCGTCCGAAGCGTCTCGGTTCCCGTCACAATGCGGCTTGTACTATTAGGAGTCCCGTCCCCCGTGTACTGCTTCCCCTCTCCGCATAGGTCTCCCGCAATGCGCTGTTGTGGGTGGGTGTGTCATTCTTACGCTCTGCGTTGTATCACAATATGATCTGCGTTCTCGTGCCCCTCCTCCGTGTGCATTACTTGTGATTCGGAGTACGCCTTCGACCTGTTCGATACGCGGGCGTCGCAGCCGCGATCTACGGTACGCGGATGAGTGTATAGTGTGCCCTTCCGGGTGACACTTGCATCGTTATCTCGTGAAGGACACTGATGGGTCTGGGATTGGAATTCCATCCTATGGAGGTTGTCTTGAGTCAATAAGGTGCTACCACGTACGCAAGTGAACATTTGCGTACAAGTCTCCGGGTCGATCGACTCGTACTGTTATATCGTCCTGGGTGCCAACCGAGCCGTTGTCTCGTGCTGTCGTGCTCGATGACCGTGAAGCCTATAGTAGGTACAGCTTGATAGTGTTGAACGATCTATGTTAGGACCCTTAACATCAGTATAAGAATAGATCCAGCCTTAGCGATACGATGATCGAGTACCATCGCGGTCTCGAGTCTATCCAGCGACTAGCCCTAGCTCCCCGGGCAAGAAGCTTTCTCTTGTACCTCCTATCCACATATTCATGTTGATAGCTGCAAGGTCCCGGCGCGGTGAAAGGGGACGATGTAAGGCAGGGCTCCGAATCAGACGTGCGCGCGGAAGGTGTTCGACAGGGGAATTGGTACACTGCACGTACGCATGTAAGTAGTGGCGAACACACATCGCCGAATCTCCCAGAGCTCTCGTATGGCGATCTAGCACGCTGCACCGATACTGCGCTACACCGCACGTGTGGATGGTCCAGGACTAGGAGGGTTCTCATATCGGCAAACACCCACAACCTCGCACATACCGCACAAGAACTTGGTTTGCCGTATCAAGCCGCTAGTGGGCAAAGGTACTTAGAAGGGGACTATACATCTATTGGTACACAGCACGCTGTCCCTGGTAGGCTAGTCTGGTTATATCCCCGCACGCTTCAGCTCCCCGAACCCCATATCACACGTCCACCTCGACCCCGGTGACAGCAACCTAGAGCTGCGGGCCGGCGAGGCGCACCTTCTCCTCGACGTCGCTCTCGTACAGCGCGAACGCCTTCTGGAACATGCCCGCGAGCTTGCGGATCTCGCGCTCGAACGCCTCCGTGTTCGCCCACGCGAGGCGCGGGTTGAGCAGCTCGCGCGGCACGCCCTCGAGCGCGGTCGGCACCTGCAGCCCGAACACGCCGAAGTTCTCGTACTCGGCCTTCGCGAGCTCGCCCGAGTGCACGGCGTCGACGATGCGGCGCGTGTACTTGAGCGGGCAGCGCTTGCCCGTCCCGAACTTGCCGCCCGTCCAGCCCGTGTTGATCAGCCAGCAGTCGACGTTGTTCTTCGCCATGCGCTCCGCGAGCATCTCGGCGTAGCGGCCGGGCTATAAGGAGGGGAAGGGTTAGCGTCGTGCGTGAGGGGACGGGGAGGAGAGGGAGGACGTACGTGGAGCACGATGAACGGCGCGCTGTAGCACGTCGAGAACGTCGGGATGGGCTCGAGCACACCGTCCTCAGTGCCGGGCGTCTTGGACGTGTAGCCGGCGAGGAAGTGGTAGGAGGCCTGCTCGGGCGTGAGCTTCGCGACGGGCGGGAGGACACCGAAGGCGTCGCAGGTGAGCATGATGATGTTCTTGGGCTGCGACGCGACGAAGCACGGGATCTGCGCGTTCGGGATGTACTCGATCGGGTACGCGCAGCGCGTGTTCTCGGTGATGCTCGCGTCGTCGTAGTCGGGCACGCGCGTGAGCGGGTTGTAGACGACGTTCTCGAGCACGCTCCCGAAGCGGATCGCGCTGAAGATCTCGGGCTCCTTCTCCGCGGAGAGGTTGATGCACTTCGCGTAGCAGCCGCCCTCGATGTTGAACACGCCGTCGTCGGACCAGACGTGCTCGTCGTCGCCGATGAGCTTGCGGCGCGGGTCCGCGGAGAGCGTCGTCTTGCCCGTCCCGGACAGCCCGAAGAAGAGCGTGACGTCGCCGGTCTCGCCGACGTTGGCGGACGAGTGCAGCGATAGCTGCCCGAACTTGACGGGTTGGAGATAGTGCTGGAGGAACGGATTAGCACTGATTACGATCCCGGACCGAGGGCGCGATACGGGGTATGGGGTGGGGCGGGGTCGGGACTTACCATCACGGAGAAGACACCCTTCTTCATCTCGCCGGCGTACTCGGTGCCGAGGATGACCATCTCCATCCGCTTGAAGTTGATCTCGACGGAGGTGGTCGAAGACATGCCCTTCGTGAAGCGGTTCGCCGGGAACTGGCCCGCGTTGTAGATGATGAAATCGGGGTCGCCGAAGTTCTGGAGCTCCTCCTCCGTCGGGCGGATGAGCATGTTGTTCTAGGCGAGACGGACCGCTGGTCAGCGATATTCTTGCGACGGAGGGCCGGATTGGGAGGATCGCCCCCGTTTGGGCTAACGCCTTCCACGCAGCGGGAGGATTCGGGATGTGCGACTCACCATGAACAGAGCGTGATAGGCACGAGCGCAGATTACCCGCACTTTGATGCGGTACTTCGGGTCCCACTGGATGCGTTGCGGGAGGTCAGGCCCGGAACGAGAACAGAAAAAAAATTGCGAGGGCACTCACCCCTGCGTAGCCATCGAAGACGTAGACATTATCCCTAGTGTTAAGGTAGTCGATCGCGCGTTCACGGTTGATCTCAAAGGTGTCTGTAGGAAGATGTCAATCCATGCAGGCGAATAAGCTGAACGAAGCACTTACGCTCGTCCATCTTGATGTTTACGGAGCCCCACCAGATCTCGTCCTTCGAGGTCTCCTCGTAGACAATCCGCTTGTCCTTGGGGCTGCGTCCGGTCTTCTTGCCGGAAAAGTTGATGAGTGCACCGGAAGACGAGATGATGGCACCCTCGTTCCGGACCGCATCCTCGTAAAGCACCGCGGGGGGAGCGTTGCGCTTGATTTGGATGCGGTCCATGTCGAAACCGGCCTGGGAGAAGTACTCCAACTCCCGGCCAATCACTGTACGATCGCGCGGGCGATTAGAGTGTATACGAGACGTATTGACGATAAAATGCTCACAATTTGAGGTCTCAGCATCGTACGCCTGGGCGTAGTGCTTGTGGAGGATGTGGGGGGTGACATAGGGGGTGCGGTTGTAGTTCGACATGGTGGTCGGGTGCTAGAAGGGATCGCGATGGTCAGCGACTGGAGCGGAGACGAGCACGGGTCAGGAGGCAGGTCCGAGGCACGCGCGCACCGGACGTCATGGCACGCGCGCTGCCCCGGACGGTGCTCGGGCGGTCTCGGGCGACTCACTCGCGATGGGGTATGATTGAGACGACGATGAGGGCGATATGGGGAGGTGTGGGGAATGCGGGGTAGGGGGCTGATCGAAACGGTGGAGCCTGGGGGAGGAGACTTTATAGCAGCGAGCAGGCGAAGCATCCAATATTCCTGACCCCAAAAAAGGAAATCTGCTCGTGCAATCACGCGGCATCCAATCGCCTGCTCCCGGTTCTGTCCGCGCGGCGGGACACCGTACGGAATTTAGCACAAAAGCCTCCCCGCGCACGGCCACGGCGAGTCGACGGCCTCAGCGGCGACGCGGATGATGGTGGGGAGGAGGGAAGGTCGTGGTCAGCGTACGCGTTGCCGCCAGGCCGACACTTATCCGTCTGCGCATCGTCTTCTTTCCCCAGGCTGGCCCCTTAACGGCCCAGCTCACATGCCCTCTCCCACATGTCGCTAGCTATATGAGGATGCGCAACCCTCGCCGACGACCACCTCTCGCAGTGCCATTCACCTCTCCATCGCTCGCGACGTCAAGAGCTGCGCGCCCCCAGCCAATGCCGATCGAGTTCCTAAGGCGGAGGCGGCTCAGGAGGCCCCCTCAGCGGACCTCCAACGGGAATAGTTGTATGTTCTGGGCCTACCGGCATCTGACCCCGGAGCACCGGGCGTGGAAACACGACATCTGACATACGGAGGCGGCTCAGCCACAGCGGAACCTGCGCCCGCCAACACACCGCCCCAAGCGAATCATGTCCCGGCCGAGGTCTCTCGCGCTCTTGGAGCACAACGATGGTCGGGTCTAGGGAGAAGTGTGGGGTACAACGTGAGTCATTTGTATATTACCGTTCTAGCGTCGGCCAGTCGCTCTCATGACGCTAGATGAGGAGAACCATCCTCGAACGAACGAGAGGTTCTCCTCTTAATGCACTGATCACTAGATCTGCAGAATGCACAGGTTTATGCGAAACCTTTCGTGCACGCTGAAGACCAATATCATCACGGGTTTAGGCGTGGCCTCTGGAGCTCCTAAACGCACGCGTTAAGGTACTGCAAGTCAGGCTCAACACCGCCGGCCACATGCGAGGACACCCTTCACTCGATCCGGCCGTCATCCTCGCACTGCCGATGGGAGAGACATCTCGTACTGGCAACACAATCTCACAAAGTCTTCCCGGCCCTGCCTCAAGGAAGCCCTGTGGCCCTACACCCTCCGTTTCGTCCCGAGCTAGGTCCATGTTTGGAATCTCGTTCGTTCATGATATTCTGACCAATGGACCCCGTGCATGTCCGGATAATGCTTACTGTATTGCCCAAAGATACCACGAGAACGGATGCACCTAAACATACACTTCGCCCACGAAATATTCAGCAGATCGGCCACGGCGTGGTGTCTATGGATGCCGCTTTGAGAATAGGCATTTAGGCTATACCATATATACCGCACTGGTACACCAGGTACTATCAACGATTACAGCTCTATAACCTTCTGCCTGCGCTATATTTGTGCATAAATCGTATGTCGCGCCTTGCACGATATGCTGAAGGTCGGTACGGAGGATCGGACCGGGTCAGCGAAAGCCTAATGCGGGGCTGCCACGGGCGCCTAAAGTAGCGTCAGTTGTCCTCGGCGCGGCGGCTGCAGCGTACGCACTCAGTGCTACGTTCCTCGGTGTCCGCCAATTTTCCTCCTTGCGCTTGCTCAAGTCTGTCATATATCTGTCTATTCCACTCAGATGCGCGTACTTTCTGTGGTCAGCTTTTTGGTTGCGTTTCTAGTATGCTATGTCGTCTCGACTCCACTGAGGTTGTCTGATCCCCCTCGGCGACCACTTGTCATCTGGCACGGACTAGGCGATTCCTACGCGTCGCCGGGCATGCTTCAATTCATGTCGCTGATCAAGGAGATGCACCCTGGCATTTTTATTCACTCAGTCTATCTGAACGAGAGCCTGAAGGAGGACGAGCGGGCGGGCTTCGTACGTGTGTTCAAACCTCTCTTTGTTCTGACCTCCAACGCGTAACATAGTTCGGCAACGTGAACGAGCAAATCAGCACCGTTACAGAGCAGCTAGCCAATGTCACTGAGCTTCAGGGTGGCTTTGACGCGATTGGTTTCTCGCAAGGTCAGTGTTCCAGTCCCTCCGCTTCCCCTACATATGAGCCTGAACTCCGTGCGCAGGTGGCCAATTCCTTCGCGCATATGTCGAGAGGTACAACACGCCTCCGATTCACAACCTCATCACTTTCGGCTCGCAACACATGGGCGTGTCCGACCTGCCGCTGTGCCGTCCCTGGGATGTGTTCTGCCAGCTCGCCCGGCGTGCCGCCCGCGGGGGCGTCTACACCGAGTGGGCCCAGGAAAACCTGGTGCAAGTACGTGTGCCCACAAATGACACCATATGCACAGAACCCGCTAAACGGCACGTAGGCGCAATACTTCCGTGACCCAGAGCAGCTCGACTCGTACCTCGCACACAACACATTCCTCGCGTCGATCAACAACGAAGTACGAGAGGAGCACAACAAGACGTACGCCACGAACCTCGCGTCGCTGAACACGCTCGTGCTCGCGATCTTCTCCCAGGACAAGACTGTCGTCCCGAAGGAGTCCGCGTGGTTCGGCTCGTACGATGCCCCCAAGGACGCCAGCGCCGAGCTTGCGGAGGAGAAAACCATCGTGCCGATGCGTCTGCAGCCGCTGTACAAGAACGACTGGATCGGGCTGCGGACGCTCGACGAGCGCGGGGGCGTCGTGCTGGAGACGTGCGAGGGCGAGCACATGCACCTCTCGGACGAGTGCTGGCGGCCGCTCGTGCAGCGGTTCGTGGGGGCGGTTGTAGATCGCGAGGAGACGTACCGTGGCGTAGCCGCACAGGACGTGCTTAGGGTGCAGTGATTGCCCTGAGGGGTGTGCCTGTGGTTTGGTGGACTTTGCTTTCTTGTTGTGTATCTGTGTAATTGCTTTGTATTGTTCCTTATCCAGCGCGTGGATCGTGACGTGCACTGTTCTGACGAGAATCGCAGATCAGGACTCGCTCTCATTCGTGAGTACTCAACTGGCACTATTGTACAGTAACCCATCCATCTGACAACAAATACAGGTTCAGTACATTCAGTTGGCATCATTCCGCCGCACTGCTCAAGCCTTCCTACGTTCCAACCAGCCTGCGAGTTCTTCTGTCGAGCGCTGCGTAACAGTGAGTGCCGGGTTCGGGCTCGGGATGCGGATGCGGACCCACCCTGAGCCACTGTCCGCGGGAATGAATCGTGTCCAGGGTCTGACGCAGAGGCAGCTCGTACGTCGCCGTGTTCTTGTCCTGCATCCCCATCCATGTAAGAAGTGAATGAGAGCTACAGCAGAGTCACTCACTTTGAAGAAGTCGGATATCCTAGTATAATCTTCTTCCGACGTTAGCGCACCGAAGGCCGCCTATTGGAGCGCGGGGTGTGAACAGGTGTGTACCTTGAGAAAATATGCTTCTTACCTCGAGCCAACCGTTGAACGTGAAGGTGCCAGCGTAACGCTTTTCGAGCTGTACGAGTTTCCCAGGTAAGTGGTGTTCCATTCCCTTACACCTACCCCTCGTCCTGGCTCACCTCATCAAATCGTTCCATGACACTGTCAGCCAGGAATCGGCGCGCCGTCACGTTCGCCTGCAGGCTGCGGATATAGTACAGGGCATCCTGATCGCGCACATCCTTGAGGGCGTAGCGGAACGTCTCCGCGGCGAGCTGCAGGTCACGGCTGTGGCCTATGGCGGCCATGGCGGCAAGGCCCTGCGCGGGGTCGCGGGGCTCTTGCGTGAGGCGCTTGACGAACGTCCACTCCTCTCTGCCACCTTCTTGCACCCCCTGCTCCGTCGCACTACAGTGAGCGAACTGCAATACGCGTATGGAGATGGAGGAGGAGACGTACGATGCGGTAGGTGATGTTGCGCAATGCGCTCGGGATCTTCGACTCCTCGCCCGTCTTGACGAAGTGCGCAAACCGTGCCTTCAGCTCGCCGACCACCCTGTGGGATCCGAGATCACGCAAGTGTCACTCCGCAAGGTCGGATTACGACATACCAAGCATCGCCTGCGTCGGCGGCCTGCTCTACAGACCTGACCCTGAGTTGCTCTTCGTGTAGGGACTCCTGGGGGGAAGGATCGATGCCCAGCCGCTTGACGAATGGGATGAACAGGCTCTAGACAACGCACGTTCCAATGAGCAGCGTGACTCTCTCGACATGCAGATTTCTATGCCACACACCCTGCGGAACGCGTTGAGCTGGTCTATGATCTTGGGGTGCTCCCACCACGTCGCCGAGATGTAGGACAAGCCCGTTGCGCACGCATCCCATGGGACCAGATCTATGAACAGGGTGAGAGACGTGACAAACAGTCGTCTCTCGAAGAGGGAGCTCACGTTCGCTCGCTTTGCTCAAGGCATCGACGAGGTCAAGCACGGTGCCGATGGACGTGTAGCCTGCTTTGACGAGCGAGAAGGCGTCGCGGACGAGCCCGACCCGGTCTTGGGTCGAGAAGGGGAGGTTTGGCGACACTACCTGCTGCCCAAGCTTTTCCAGCAATTCTGCGCTGTACTGCACCACGTCTAGACAGGCGGCCTCAGTACGGGCGCACGGCTTCCGAAGGATTGGGGACGTACAGAAACCGGTAGTGCCCGCGTTGAGCTTGAACGGTTGGCTGGAGTCCAATGGGACAACCATCTCTCGGTCGTCGAGGACGAGGTCGGATCTTATGCTGTGCGAGCCGTCAGCAGATACAGTGAGCAAATTTAGCGGGATCGTCCTGCAGGGGAGGGTAGTCAGTATATGCGTGGCCCCCGATGGCGGATGAGCACGGTACCAGATCGTCTGGTTGTTCTTGTGGTCTACTGGCCCCGTCTCGAGGAATCGATCCTGTCGAACGAGTATTCCGTCCCCCCTTTCGGCAACGCTGACGACGGGGTAGCCCATCTAATATATTGAACGTCAACACCTTTCATTTGTCGCGCTCGTGCCATATCAGCCTTACCTCCTTGACCCAGTTGTCCATCAACTTCGGTATATCCTGATCTGAAGACTCGTTTATAGCGTAAAAGATAACCAGTTCATCGGTATCTACACGTACCAGTGGCCGCTTGAATGCCCTCCCACAGGTCCTTCGTGATAGTGTTCTTGTATTTGTGCTTCTTGAGGTAGATCGACACACCCTTGAGGAACTGACTCTCGCCAACGTAGGCTGCAAGCATGCGAAGCACTAGGAAATAGAGTCAATATCCCTCGTTATACTCTGCTGGCGTGTTGGGAGGGCCGTGGACAGTACTCACCGGAAGCACCTTTGGCGTAGGAAAGGTCGTCAAATATCTACGACGCGCCGATCAGCCCTACGAACGGGTACGTCCAGATATCATAGCTACCTGGATAATCTTGTTCGCGTCCGGGCACTCGACCTCGATGGGATGCGACGAAAGCTTTGCGTCGAGGGCCAGAGCAGAATAGAACTTGGAACCCAAGAAGCGAGCATCGAGCTGCCATTCGGGGAAAAGTCTGTGAAGGCAGAAGTTGTGTTATCTTGGGGCAAACCATGTTCAGCGGGTAGTGCCGGTACCTGTCTACGGAGGGCAGAGAGACTAGTCAGCTCCAGAGTAAGCAGCACAATCGATACGTACTTACCGAGTACGATCTTCTCTCCCATCTGTGGAAGCAATTTAGAGGCAGCTGCGCGGTACTTAGTCTTTGGCACTTACAAGGGTGGCGAAGCCTGCCAGAAAGGTCTTGAGCGCAGTCAGCAGGATTGCCGCGGAACGCGCGACATACCTTCATTGAGGTACAGATTATCCCACCACTCCATCGTGGTGATGTCGCCAAACCTGGCAGCAAGTCATCAGCGGTGAACAGAGGCAATCCGGCGGCTCACGCAGCTTCTTACCACATGTGCGCGATCTCGTGGCTGACCATGGAGGCAACGTATTGCTTGACTTGCAGGCTACTGGAGTCAGAGTCCAGTAGGAAATATTGCGTCTTGCCTATGATAAGACCCTTCGGACCCGCGTTGTTAGTCATCAGACTAGCAAATGAAAAATGAGAAATGATCGGACTGACCCAATTTTCCATGCCGCCTATACGTCATAGTTCTTGTGAGATGTATTATCACTAGCGGACGAACGGGTGAACTCACCCAGATCAAAGTCGCTGGACTGAGCGATGCGTGTCAGACAGCAGACCGATAATACACGTTGAGACACATCTCACCACCAGGATATCCAACTTTGGCAATGGGTATTCCAGATCGAAGACTTCTTCGTATAGTGGCATGACTCCGCGCATGATGTCAAGAGCGTACTGTCCCTGAGCGATGTTATCCTCGGTAGCTGCATGCCGGATATGAGTAAGAGCTACACCTGTCAGAGAGATAAGAAGGATTTAATCACCATAGATTCGTAGAGGACGTGTGAGCCCGCTGATGGGGCTCGTGTAGTGGCTTTCGAGGTGTGCGAAGGGCCCGTTCGCATATGCGACCAAGTACGTTGAGACCTACAAGCCTCAGGTTAACGAGAGAGAACGACGTCGCCGGGGAAGGTACGCACGGGGGGAGTGGTCTCGAAGCGTGTGATCTTCCAGTCAGTGATATTCTTCGTTACGTCCAGTTTCTTCGCTAGCCACGAACTCGCCACTCCCGGTGTGTACACTTGTTCGGAGATAGAAGGCATATTGCTGATGTTCACGCCTGAGTCCACATGGGATGCCATGGTTATCGCGAATGTGGCCTTCAACGCGGGCTCATCCCAGCATGGGAATGCTTTCCTTGCCGCGGTTGGCTGGTAAACGTCACGACGAGCTAACGAGACGGCTTCAAGAAAGGCGTACCTGAAACTGGGTCAGGGAATACGACGTTTTCCCATCCTTACCGCCCATTGAAAGGTAATAGCCGCTCATCTTTCTCGACAGCTCTGCGCTGAACTCGACCGTGAGACGCGCATCGGTGCCTGCATCAAGAGACTTTGGGAAGGTGAAGATCGCTCGCTGAGCAGTGCGATCGAATTGCATCTCCACGGCTTTCCGCTCCGCTTGAGTGCCAGAGAACACCCCATGGATAGACACATCGCCTAGCTCCAGATCCAACACATTCAGAGTGATTTTGCTGGTCTGCTTCTTGACATCGACACTATCGAAGAGATCCCTCAGAAAATCGACGGGCTGTTGAAGTGCCCGATGATGCTACGTACGTGATATGAACCACACCCTCGAACTTCTTCTGCACCAAATCCGTCCACACTGTGAGATCATAATGTTTGGGGATGACGTCCACGGGTAAACGGTAATTTTGGGGGCTCGTTGACTCGGCCATTGTTTACCGGAGACGCGAGATTCGGGATGGGGTGGACAGGGAAGAGGATAGGACACCTGCCGCAGCAGATCCTGTCGATGCCTTGGCTACTGCGGCTACTTGGAAATCGATGGTGCGCAGCTTCTGGAGTTGAAGCCGACTCGTCGGTGGTTGTGCGCTGCGGGGCGACTACAAGAAGCCGCGGTGGCAGATCGAGCGCGCTGAACCATGTTGGCCAAATCGGGACGACACACACGGCGGTTGGGCACGCGGGCCGAAAATGCCGGGGCGCGCGTTTTGACGCGTCCGCGTTCGCTTTTCCCCTCGTCGTCGACGTCCACGACGCGGAGCACGCCCTACATAATCGCGTTCATCTATACTCTCCACACAATGCGCGCGTCCATGGCAGCATCCAGGCAGTCTCAAGCACCGGGCGCGATTGCGAGTGCGGCTGCCACTGCGAAATTGCTGGAGAAGAAGAAAGAATATGAAGCAGTGGCTGCCCTGGAGAGAGCCAGCGCGCAGTTCTTGAAGCGCATCGAGGATATCGGGGAGGACTTTGACGTGATCGCGGATGCAGGCATAGGTGAGCGAGGAGGTCGCCATGGGGGTTAGCCGTCATTGACTCCAGTAGTACACGGCCAGGTTCTAGAGCAGTGGCCGAACATGTTCCGCATCCTGAGCCTCTTTCGTAGGTCATTTCACTTCACCGCAACACTCGCTTCCAACACTGTTGTAGTGTCGCAACGGGAGCAACACACAGAAGACGAGAGCGCGCCAGCTCCAGCGGCCGGGGAGCGGCTGGTTCGTGTACCCATAGAAGAACTACGACAAACGGAATCAAAAGCCACATGAAGACCACTCCACCATATGTATCGTATCGCACTGTATCCCGGGTATTTCCTCTCCATGTATGTATTACGTCTTCGAATCTCCCGCGTGTTTCTTCTGCTCCTTGAGAGCTGCGATACGCTATGTGTATGGTCAGCTTGGAGGACGATGTGCGCAGAAAACGAGTGCGTACCAATCTCCTTTCCTCTTTCCGACGTGCCATCTCGGCCGCCTTGTCCTCTTTGGACATCCCGGCCGTACTGTGTGGCGGAGCTGCGGGCGCGGTCTCGCCCTTGCCACCATCCGAGGGCGTCGGCGAACGCGCGATAGAAGATGGTCTGGGACTTGCTAGAGGTGATGATACCCCGACGCGAGAGCTTGAGGTGCGTGATGGCTTTGGGGCCAGGGTGGTGTGTAGACTGCCCCATTCACTAGATGAGTGCGGTTTGACGGGTGCTGGCGCGGCCCAAGGATCCGGGGTAGGTGTTGACCCGATTGTGCCAAAGCCTAGCCCGCTATCTTGTACACTCGGGATGGGAGCGGTCTCGAATGCACCTACGCAGGAACTTAGCAATTAACACTTAAGGGCCAACGAAGGTCTCACTCCAGTCGTCTTCATCGGCGTTGACATCCATGAGATCATCATTTCCCCACGGGCTTGCGCCTTGCGTCTCGACCGCTGCAGCTGCCTCTTCTGCCCAGTCGGGGATGGACGATATGTTGGACGGCACCTTCGTCGCGCCCAGCTGCATGCCCTTGCTTCGGCTCGTGGCCGCTGACGCTGTGGTCAGCGAGCGCGTGGGCACACCCGTGGGGGAGGAGAACGTAGGCGTAAGGGGTGGCGGCACCGCCGCTGCGAGGAGGCTCCCACTCAGACCACCATTCACGCCCATCGGGACCGGCGCAGATGTTGGGCGGTCGATTGCGGCCCCCGCTGCGGAGGCCATGGTGGTCTGGAGGTCGCCCGCAGCGAGCTGTGTCAAGGGTCGATCAACTATGTCATAGAATAGCAGAGGCCAGACTTCTCTCACCTTCTTGCCTATTGACGAGATGGCCCATCCTGCCAATGCACCAGCCGCACCTGCAGCGTTGTTGACAAGCGTGTTTGATGTTGCGTTGAGAGGCAGCATGCCGCCAGGGATTAGTTCTGTCTCAGGGGCAGCGGTCTCGGGCTGCATGGGCATGATTAATCAGTCTGTCGTAGCACAAGGAGGGGAACAACTCACCATGGTAGCCGCATGCTCTTCGACTTTCTTCATGAACAGCTCCATAGCTTTGAATGCCTGATCCCGCACCAGCCTACGGGCAAATAGGTAAACATATACACATATCGGCATGGGTGATATAACGGGCACATACTTCTCCTTGTCGATCATCGTGAAAGCTATGTTCGGAATGACCTTGGTCGCCATCTCCTCGACGTCGAAGCACTCGATAGTCGCCATGAACGCCATCAGGCCCGCGACGCGCGCATGCACGAAGGGATCCTTCAGCGCGCGTGCGAACGCGGGAACAAGCACCTTCCGTTTCGTGTTGTATCCGAGCGACGGGCCAAGGCGTCCGATGAGGATGCAGGTGTTCGTGCGGATTGACGCCTCGGGATCCGCTTGCATGCGCGCGAGATGGCGAAGGAGGTCGTTGTTCATGATTCGCTCGTTGAACTGTTGGTACAATCAATTGGTTGTTGCTGTGAAACGCCCTGGGGTGCAGGAACAGACCTTGTCCGATAGAAGGATGATCGACTTGACCGTCGCTTCACGAATGAGCGCGACAGTGTCGGTGAACCCAGTTTGCTGGTTACGAGCTGTGCTTTAGTATAACCGCGCACAACAGAAAGCGTAGAAGGACGAACTAAGTTCGGCCAGATCTTATCGACGACTGTCTTCTTGTCCAGCTTGTCGGCGTATTCGGGTAGATGATCGAGCAGCGCCATTCGTGTCCCTCTATCCGGGCTGGTATATAGCTTTACCAAGTGCGTCAGGATAACGTTCGGATAGTCTTCTGGCGGCACGTTCTTCCCGAATTGCAGAACCAAAGGCAAGATCGTCGCTGCAGAAGCACCGCCAAAGTCAAGCGCAGATATCAACGCCGGGAGAACGCGATATGAGGTAAATTCTGTCGGGAACGAGGATGCTGATTCCTTCAGCGTCCTGTCTCAGGGTAAGTCTGCATTTACGGACAGGAGAACGGTTGGCGACTCACTTGAGCAGCGAAGCTTTCTCGCCCTCGCTAGCGACGTTGAATCCATCTAGCCCAGCACAAACCTTGACGAGTCGGTTGCTGGCGAAGAAGCCTGAGCCTTCGCCCGCTGTTTGGGACATGCCTAGCTCAAGGAAATGAGCCGGTGATAATCGCGCTTTGGGATTGGGGTTAAGGAGCTTCTTGTACGCGGGGAATATCGTGGTGGGAATCGCGCCTCTGGAAGCTGCAGTTGGTGGCGGATGTGGGGGTTGCGCTGTCGCAGGGGGTCCTTGGTTTGCATTGAACGCGAAGTGTATGAGGAGACCCAGGCCGTATGCGTCCGCCGCGGCCGGTGGTAGCCTGTATCGGGATGAGTAAGTCTTCTGCCTTTGAACGCGTATGTGGTGCAGTACTCCTTCAGAGCGGAAAAGCCACCCTTCTTCACTTCTGGCGGAGAGTATGTCGATGCATCTGGGAGCATGCTACCCAGGTTCTGGCGATGAAATGTATTCATTATTTGGCGGGCTAGGATTGTACATACAACGTACATAGAGGACGGCAGCATCGTCTTTCGGGTTGCTCAGTACATCAAATCCGCCGAGCTTCCACTCTCCGGATGATGAGATGAATATGGAATCCACGCGTACGTTACCATGAGCGGAGGCAGCGGATTCGTTCAGGAATGCCAGGGAGACCTAACCTTCGCGTCAACGCCTAGATCATTCGAATGAATATAGCTAAACACGCACCGAAATACGGTGTAGGCCCCAGATGAGCCATGCCTCTCGTTCCAGAGCACCCTTGGTTTGCCACTCGTGGATCGCAGGTCCCAGTGGGCGAACGCGTTCGGTCATGACGTGAATAGTCGTATCGGTTTCGACGACCTCCATGAACTTTAGTACATCTGGATGCCGCACGGTCCGCAGCTTGCGAACGGCATTCTTTGCCAGTGGAAGGAGGTTCTTCTTCGCGGGAGTATTCGCCTCAAACTCGAATACAGACACAGCGGAACCATCCTCCTACGACAGGTGAGCTTCACGAGATAAGGCTAAATAAAACATATGGATCATACCCGCTTCGTGCCATCGTATAGCGACCATATTGTCCTGTTCTCAAAGGAAGTGACCTTGCTACCCAGAGAAAACGGCAGCGTAAGTCCGGATTTCTGAACCAAAGATGATACCGCCGCAGAGCCCAGAGTCCTCAGATAGTCCATATTCGTAAAGCCAGCAGGACTCCGAGTCTGGATATATGTGGCCGGGATCGTCGGAGACGGTGTACAGGAAGAGCTCGGGGTCGCGCGCGGCAGCGATCATACAAGCGCTTGACGACGAGCGCTTATTGTGTCGCGTGTTGGCCTCCGCGCGCGTGGCTGCGTCTTGTCCTTTCCTCACCATCTGCGACGACGTGCTCCATCTTCTCGGCGTTTTGCTCGTCGACGAGGGTGACATGGACGCGTCTTTGCCGTCAACCGTACCTCGTCTGCGCATCTCTAGGTTCTCCCCTCGGTCTCAGTACGATACCCTAACTCCGGTTGCTGGCCCGTCTCACAATTCGGACTTTCTGCATGCCGACGATGACGACGAAGATGCGGAGTCTACGCCGCGCATGTCTACATCTGCGATACCTGATAGACGATCACCACGCCCGGGAGCCACACCGGGGCTTCCTGTGGACACACCCGCCGAGCGTCTTCGCAACCTCCTAGCCCGCGTCCCGAACACGCCAGACAGCGCGACTCCTCATGCTAGGCCGCCTATGTTGCCCGCTAACTCAGAGCCTGATTCTGACTTCGAGCCCCCATACTCTACTGCTGCTACGCCGAGTATCGCGAGGGAGAGCTTGAAGGAACTGTTCACGCGGGCTTTGCGCGAGCCGGGGAACACGCCACGGAAGGGCAAGCAGAGGCGCAATAGCATCGACGCGAGCGAAGTGGAGTCAAGCCCACGAGTGGAGGAGGAGCGCGCGAAATATCGTTGGAAGAGGCGCAGTCTGAGCGATGAGGAAGCTGAGAAGTCTAGTGAGTACTCGTTAACGGCGCTTTCATCACCATGGGCTGCATCATAGAACCCTCGCCTTACACATTGCGTTGTAGAACTCGTGGAGCCGTCGGAGCGGTCCTTCCGTTCCTCTTCTGCTGCCTCCGCATTTGACGCGCTTCGACAACGACTCGACGGCTCAACCTCTGCGATGCCCTCACTTCCACCTGAACGTACGTCCGCCATTCTCTGACATTGAACCGCCGCTTAAAGTCTCACTTAGAGATGATGCGGGACATGTCAATGCCACCCTCGAACTCGAGCATGGATATCGCAATGCCCCCAGCCATACCCGGTGATATTTCAGGGACGCCAACCTTTGCAACGAGTACTCCTATGCGCACGTTCCAAATGTCTGCACATCTACATATGCAATCCAGTAAGTACGCCTCATGTATGATAATGTCATTAGTGGCTCATCTCTGTAGACCTTCTTGAACAGGACTCGGAGATGCAGAAGGCGCTTCAAGGACTGGATAGTTACGACGCGGGAACACCAGCTCCCAGAAACAGACATCATAGCACGCCGTCATTGAAGGAGTCGACTGGTCGACCGCCACGCCCTCCACTAGCTTCGTCATCTGCCCGCCCGCTATCCTGGAGTTCCCACTCGAAATCCCATTCGGTCAATAACTTGCCACCTGTGATTCGACGAGGCAGTGAAGATTTGGATACCTCGTGTGCGTTCTTAAGTGAGGGTCAATTATTATAATACTCACCATCGTGTATAGCCTCCCGCGCGAGTTCTTCCCTGTCGGGCGCCGACTGTGAGTTACCGACCATCATATATCTGGGCGCAGATCTAACGTTGCGTAGTTAATGAGCGCCAGGACGAGGGCGTACGCGATCGGATGCATGGCCGCGAGCGCGGATGGAATTCGCCGGTACCAAAGTCCCCAGCACACCTAGTAAGGCACGATCCGTCGCATCGCCACTCCTGGGGATCCCCTAGTAACGGCCGCGAAAGCCCCGCGAACCGACTGTCACGGAAGAGCAGTGCTGCATCCCTCGTCAGTACCGAAGACGGGCGGTCGTCTCGCGCGAGTTCGATCTCATCACGGGCGGATCGTACGTGGGGCATCTCGCTTCGTTGCCTAGTTCGCTGAATGATTGCCAGATGACGAGCGCACCAAGTTTGTGGATCAAGAGCGCGCGAAGGAGCGGGAGCGAGAATGGAACAAGCCGAAGCTGTCGCGGTCGTCTTCGAGCCTGAGTCTCAACAAGAGCGAACGTATTCGCACGCACAGCACGCCCACGCGTCCTGACTCGGCGGCGTCGTATCTCTCGCCGAACAGGCCGGCGCTACACAGACATGGATCGTCGAATTCTCTCGCGGGTTCCAGCAGGCCGAGCTCGCCGGCTGGTTCTATATCTGCACATAGTGTCGAGGAGGAGGTCGAACACGAGATAGAGCACGTCCGCGAGCGCAACTGGAACTCGCCACATCCCAAGTGGGTCAACCCACTGCACCACCGACGATCTCTCTCTCCTCTCCCTAAATCACCTGCCGGGTCACCGCCTCATATCGCACCCAGTAGGCCTGCGGCTACGCCTCGAAGTCGGACGAACAGCACGCCCAGCTTCGCGTCAACGAGCAAGTCTGCAGCCAAGGACGCCACGCGGTCGCACTCACCGCTCGTGCGTTCTACTGCTGAGAATAAACCATCTCCCCGCACGCGACCAAAATCCCCTGAAGAATCGCCATCTCAGGAAAAGGCGGAGGGCTCGCTTGCTGGATACAAGACCCACTTGGGATGGTCCTTTCCACAGAAACGCGCGCCTCTTCCTCCGTTGGAACTTGATGAAGATTCGCCGCGGAAGACCCTTTCCCGACCGTCTAGTCGAGCATCTCTATCTGCGACTCCAAGTCATATCCCAGTCCCATCACCCAGGAAAGGCGGGCACGACTCTATATCGGTTTCTGGTTCTTCAGAGCGGAAGAGAAGCCACAGGCGGAGTGTAACAGAGTTTGCGGAGTCCGTCGGCGGAATCCCCCCTCGTATTGCGATTACCGACGAAACGTCCGCTGAGCTTCCTCCAGTGCCTATTGTGAATGGGCGCGATGATTTCTCTTCTGGTAAGTCAACTCGGAGTAAGATTGCTGTTCATTCGCTCACCTTGAGGTGATATAGCGAGCGAAGACGAATCTATAGGTGCCACGAGCACGCCCACGACAAAACCTATCTCGTTACCGTCGCCCGGAGCTACGACGACGCCCACATCAGCACCGCCGACGAACGGCTTTGCGAACGGAAGCTCTTCTCATTCGCCCGATGTCCACCCTCAATCGGATTCCTCCTTGGTTTCTCCTCCACCCACGCCGCCGCCCACATCGGAAGCACAGTCGATGTTCTCGCTGCAAACTCCACCTCGGAGACCTCAGTTCCATACCCCGAAGGCTGTCTTCGAGACTCCGCCCCCTCCCCGTGGGATGCCGGATCTCCCTGGACCACCCTCTGAGGATGAGGATGAGGAAGATGATCATACGCCGATCTTGCAAAGCAGAGAAATTCAGGGGGAACTAACTGCGCTTAAGACCCCACGTCCTCCTGGTGCTTGGCTTGCTACTCCAGCGCCATCTCGACTGTCCACCATCGAGCACATCGAGCGTGCGGGCTCAGCACCGCCCGCTGAGCAGAAGTCGCCGTCGTCTGATAGCGGGCTTGCAACTCCACCGTCGACACTCTCGCGGGCAAACTCTCTCCCGCCCAAAACTCCCGCGCCGCCGGGCGGCTGGGTCAACACACCTGCACCGGACACGTCGGCGAGGAGGAAAGCAGCACTGAAAGTCCGTTTCGATGTCGAATCCGAGACTGCGTCCGATGGGACTTTCGAGAGGCCCTCGGCTGACTCGAGCGGGGAGTCCAAGGTGCCTGCCAACGAGTCCAGTGGTGCCCCATGGAGCATCGCCGCGCTGCAGAACGCTGATGGGTCAACATCCTCAGCGCCTCCGGAGTCTTCTATCGAGCCCCCGCCCACACCACCCTCCATGCGGGATCGGATTCGACAGAAGTCCCCCAGCATCCGTGTTCTTGATGCGTACGGGAGGGAGCAAGTTGAAACGGGCCCCGCTCCAATAGCGGTGCCTGAGGCGGCTCCAAGGAACGATGAGTTGCCGACGGACACTCGTGCTGTGGTCCACACGACTCCTCGGCGAGAGGCACGGGCCGGGCCCTCCGCAACACCACGCAGCCGGAGTGCTGTGCGCATGGTGGATGCTATGGGTCGGGAGATCGAGGAGGAACCGGTGGTGGAAGAAGAGTCGTTCGCGGAGACGCCGTTGTCGCGTAGCGAGGCTCTCTATCGTATGCGTGAGACGCTTGCGTCTATGGCGCAAGATTTGAGCGACGCCGACAGGTGCGACACAGCACAATCTTACTTAATTTTTATCACTTACCCCTTCGTCAGGTTGAGTGACAAGGCCGTATTTGACGCGCAGTCATATGCTTCCCTAGAGGAGCGATGTCGGTCTGCACAGACAGCGCGGAACAAACTCTCGAAGTCACTGCAGATGGTGCAGAGTGCGGAAGTTGAGCTGAAGAGCAAGTATGCACCTTTGCAGAGTAGGCTCAAGCAGAGCGTCTCCATGGTATGTCCCGGTATCTGCTGCTCATTCGATCACGCACTCACGACCTACGCAGCCCGATTCTCCGCGTCTCAGCTGGCGTGTGGTCGTCTGGCTTGTTGTACTGCAACTCATTCTACTGGCGGTCATGTACCGGTATGTCACTGCCCCTGATCCGCCGCGTGAGCGTCCCACTTACGTTGCTCCAGCTACTCCCTCGCCCAAGCCCGGAAGATCTTCCTCACGACATATTACGACCCGTTCTACCCGGAGCTCTACCGTTACCTCGTGAAACCCAATACCCACCAACACGCGATACCCTCATGCCCTCCATGGTCCATCTTCACCGTCTTCAGCAGCCTGCAGCGCGCCGGCCTTAAGGGCGTCGCCGCGGATGCATGGACGAGCGCCAGCTGCTCTATCTCCTCATCCTTCCAGTCGTTCTGGACCGGCATGAGCTATACTCAGAGTGCGATCCCGTATTCGTGGCCCCCGACATGACATGAACACTATGCGATTGGACGCCATCTATTTAAACATATTCTCTGCGTTAATTGCATATGAGTTAAGTTACAGCACACTGATTGTCGCTTTGGTTTTTTCTTCCTTTTGTTGTATGCACTGTGTATCGCCTCACAATCTACATGCCGCAGCTCTGTGGCCATCTTCCCTGGTCTTCTCCTTCTGTGACCGTCGTTACCCCGCTATTCGAGGAGGCTGTATGTTGTCTCCGTGTCCTCTCTAACTGCGATGCTATGGCACGGCTGATCTATAGACTATCGGTATGCAGCCTTGTGAATGCAACGACGGGCGGTAGGCAAGCAACCTTACATTTCAATCATACGATGCGGTACTAACATATGTTTTAGGTCGATGGTTGTCCGGTTACGGTCGACCGCTCGTGACATACGTTCTCGGACAGGGCCGACGAACCTGTGCGTCCCTTCGTGCTTCTCCTTTTCGAATCTCGCGTTCAATACGCACATTTTGCCAGAACAGGACCAGACAGGACGTGGCTACCACCTTTGTGAAAGGCAGTGCTGCTGTTCGTACTCGCTGTCGTCATCCTTATCAGGCCTTCCTGCATGGACGATACTCGTATGCAAGAACGGGTGCAGTATGGCTCGCGCCAAACGACATGTGCGTGAATGGCGTGGCCGACAGATAGGAGTTGTTTTCGAAGCACGGTGCCTGAAGTTTGTGGCGCGCCCACACGCGGCTGTGGCTGCCACCTGACGAATAGTAATTCACCCCTAGTCGATTGAGCGGACGTGTCCTCCTGCGGTACGTGTATGAATGCTGAAGCTATGCGCAGCAACTGCTGAATCCTTTCCAGTGCCACATATTCTGCCACAACGCCGACGGCTCACCTGGAGGCTGCAGAGAGCCAAGGCCGCGCTCTGCCGCTCTGGGCGCTCGTAATCGCTGTGCCGCGGGGTATCGGCGCAGTTGATCTAATCAGACAAACCCGGAAATAGTGCACAGATCTGGCCACAGATCCGAGGTTACACTCACCACCGCCTCCCGAAAACATCACTTGCACGCACCGCAACAATCCTTCATGCCTTCCAGCGTCCGGACCGGCCACGCACTGTCTTTCCATCGTCATCGCGACGTCCTTAGCGACTGCGCATTCGGGGCTGGATCAGAACATGTTTCCGTTTGTCGCCCCATCACGTTACAGCGCCTGCATGTGGGGAGCTCGAAATGTCGAGCCCGCGACGAGGCAAAACTCGACCCCCGTCCCTTACGATATATCTACCAGGAACCGTGCTAACATGTGCTTCCCCACCTTCTCCGGCTCCGTCGCTAGTCCTGCTTCTCACATTTATCCGTCTCACACGCCAACCACTGTGAACATATAGGACATCTGCCTACATGCCCGGCGACGTCGAAACCATCCCCCAGCTGCCTCCTATCCCTCCGCAGACGCCATTCGGTGCTGGAGCTGATCGCTATCCTTGGGAACGTCACTATCCTCTCAGCTCGTGGTCTCCGTCGGCTATACCGACGGAATCAGGACGTTCGAAGTCAACATCACCAGTCACACGACTGCGTGCTCTACCAGTCCCGCCTCTCCCGAGTTCGAGCACTCTGGGCGAAATCATCATTCCTCTCAGGTCACAGTCCAGGTCTCACTCGCATTCGCGAAGCGGGTCGCGCGTTCTTGTACTGGCTTCCGCGTCGACCGCAGAACCCATAGTCATTTCCCCACCTGCGCGCACCCATTCCCGGAGCGCCTCCGCAGTGATGTCCAAACTTCCACCCACGGCACGGGCATCCCCAGCTGAGGCCCCCGTGCGTCCCTATACACGCACCAAATCACGCCCCCTCCCTCTGCCACTGCCTCCGAAGGACCCTCTTCTTCACGCGGACCGCGCGCTGGTGCGAACTGAATCGCTACCACTGCCAAGGTTAACCCCCGCCTCAGCCCCCGCCGCAACTCACCCCGCACGCCACCACACCACACCCTTGCCTGAGCAACACGAGGAGGTTGCTCCGTTGTCTGCGCCACCGCGAAGATCTGGTCCTTCGCACTCACATGTGAACTCGCGAGCTATGCTCGTTACGATCACCCAAGACCAATACCCACAAGTCCCGCAACTCCCTCTGAAGGAACCTCCCCCCATACCCGCGTCTGTACCCGTGCGGGCGCCCACGCCACCCAGGCCAAAGCCACGCCCCGCGGGTCTCCCTGCCACCCCGCGACGCCAAGACGACAACCGTGGTAGCGAGCGCGGTCGGAGCACGCAGCCCGCGCCGGTCACGATTCGCGCGAGCCCAGTGCGGGCCTTAGAGCCAGCGCCGACCGCGTGGGCGAAGCAGCACAACGACCAGTACGCGCGGAAGTGGGTTCTGGAAAAGAACGGGAAGCGCTTGACGCAGGATTCGATGGTCGTCGCCCAGCAGCTCCGGCTGTTGCGATGACCGGCGTGCTACCATATGGGTAACTTGGTGAGTACCCTTCCGCGGTCCCGCGGTGCACGGCGTATTGACCGGTGGCTTAGTTTGAACCATCTAGAGTGGAGGCTGGGTTGTTCGAGCCGCGGGGGCGTTCTGTCGGCGTGTGGCCGAGTCCCTTGTACAGTTGTTAGTTTGTCTTTTGCGACCTCCGCTCTTTTCACACCGCATCTCTCCCTACCGCACTCACGCCATGTGGCGTACACGCTGATCATGGTATTTGCCAAATCGAAACATTGTCGTACGTAGTTGTAGCAGTAATCATCAAGCAGGCCGACATGAGTTGAAATCCTGGATCATGACATTGACATTGCGACAACTCGCTTGATGCGATTGCCGGGTGGGTGCCGCGAGGTATCGGTAACGAATCCTAGGGTCTCATGCGGGCTTTGTGAGAACTCCGCTGAGGTCATGAAGTCAGGTAAGTACTTATATCGAGCGACCGGAGATACGTGAGTACAATTCTACAGGACGGTAGACGAACGAATATATAAATTAGCGCGCATGCAGACAAAGGCCGTGAACACTGATCAGACAGTACAAGGTCATAGCGAGAGAGGAACTTCCTAATTCATACAACCACGGCAACTCATACTGTATATAGGCGGAAAATAAAGAAGCATACGACGACGAGCGGCAGCTTGGAAGAAAAGTGTTGAGAGTTTGTACATCGGGGCGCATGTGAGGGAAGCATCACGCGGACAATGGTGACGGTTCGAGAGGCATTATGCCTCGGATGGAGTGAATGCGGGTAAGTCGTTCGCCATTGTGCGTTCAGATTCCGGAAAAACCTTGCACCATGTCTACGTAGGAGGATGCCTTCAGACGTCTTCGATATGACCTACACGGAGCCAGTTTCCCGCCAGTTAGTGCATCAAGTAGCTACAGTCACTACCTGACAGAGATGGACGTACTCTGGTACGTCAGGTGGGTTGATCCATCGAGCCGCCGACCACTCTGGGCGCCACCTGCTGCCTGAGGTCGTTGAGGGCTGGCTCATAGGGGCCCCAAGATCCAGGATCTTCTCGGCTTCGAGTAGCAAGTTCGTCGAGCATGCGCACGAAATCCGGAATGGAGTCGCCGGGTATGCATAGTAGCACTCCCGGGCCGTCTAGCGCCATCTGGTCTGCAAGGCTGTCTATGAGATCGTAGTAGAGGAGATTGGTGAGGAAGGTCGGCGTTGGGAGTTTGAAGAGATTGCGAGCCACCTCAGTGAGGACGTCTCCCGTGTAAGTGCGAATTGTTGTTCTCAAGATCCAGTTGTCGATGGCAAGGGGTGACGTCAAGGCTCGATTTGCGCCCTCCAGGAAGCGGCGGACATTTCCCGCGTACCCATGCGATGATTTCAGCGCTTGGATCAGGTTCGGTGACGAAACCTCGAGGAGTTTGGACTCGCTCAAGCGAACTGCCCGATAGGAGTTGGAGACGACTTTTCGTGGGGGTTGAATCAGCATAATTTGCACGCAGCCTTTGAACATAAGGATAACTTTACCCTGCAGCACGACCTTCCACAATGGACCCTCGCGCTTGATTACGTTGGAAAGTAAGGCTTGCATCGCTCCATCGAGTAGGCTAGGCTGGTATCTTGGAGTCTCCTCCGAGGTGATGGGTGCTTGAAGGTGCTCCAAGATCGAGGAAAGACAGTACCCGGCCCATTCTGCGTCAGCTTCCCTCATGTCAGCTGGCCATTGTCCCCAATGAGCGTAAAGGCCCAAGGCCTTGATGTCCTCGGGCGAGAGACTCTTGTCGCCAGCATTGAGCGCGCAAAGCATGATTTGGAACCACAAAAGTTGATGCTCGTTGTCCACACCCAGGGGGCCTGAGCTCTCGTCTGCCTTGGACCCAAAATGCGCGCGGGTGGATTTGCGGAGTCGTTGGAAAAAGCGCAGGACATCGTCGTCTTTGAGAGCCGTGAGGCATACCGCCGCCGCGGAGAGAGCCTCTGGACGCAGGGTGTAGCTGCATGCCTCGACCAGGAGTTGAATGTCCAGCTCTTTAGCGATCTTGTTGATGGTCGACTGTTCTCGTCCCTGCCTTGTCGGCCGGGTGCCGCTTTTCGCACGAACGAAGCCATTGACACCCTGGAAAAGCTTGGTGGCCAGCTGTGCAACTGCTGGAACGAAGCTCTTGATGTTCTGGACAAGCTTGGTGGCCAGCTGTGCGACCCGACCAACACGCTGTTTGCGAGCAGGACGAGTGGCCACTGCTATCACCGGGCCCGGGTTGGGCCTGGCCAGCCGCCATAATGGAGATGATCTGGACTCGGACGATTTGGTGGGAAGAGTGGGTATCCAATTCTTGAAGTGGTTCGGCTGTAAGAGGTAGTCGAGCATATGGGTCTGCGGAGAAAGATAGGCGCAACTTTCTTCGAAGAGTGGGAGGAGTGTAGTAGCGATTGTGAAGATGGCGAGGAACCCAACGAAGGCGGACACGGCGATCGCCAAAGCATGATGCAGCGTCCAGAGGAGAATGAGGAGCCCAGCAAGAAAACACGCGAGCGCAAGCTGAAGGAGGATGGGGATGATGTCGACGATGTCGCTTACACGCCACTTGTTGAGGTTATTCAGTCGGTACTGCCGCGCCCGAGCGACAGACCGGGATGCACCAGACAGGCCCCTGCTATACTCGTCCAACCATTGTTTCACCGAGATTCCGAGCGCGGCCGAGGCAAGGCTAAGGACAAGACCCGAGAACCACAATCCGTTCAGCCATATGGCCCAGGCGCGTATGGAGGACGTGCTCGAGGATTGGGCGGAGACAGGAGTAGATGGGTCCCGCGCGTCGGGTTGGAGGAGGACGTATGACTGTACGTTGAATGCGGTGAGGATCGCGGAGAACAAGCCAGCCTAGGAGGTTGTAGAGGCTTGATAAGTCATAGTGTCACGCATTCGCGAGTTGCTTAAGTACGTACGAAGACGAGATAGGTATCGATCTCCTTGTTCCACTGCTCTACCATCTGGTCGCTCCATTTCTGCACTGTCTCCGCGGAATCTGACCAAGCCTTTTTCTGCTGCTCTGGCGTGTATACTTTGGCGCGGGGATCACTTGAGCTCATGAACTGGATGATGCAAACGCTGATGAGGGAACGATCCTGAGGTATGCAGGACGTATGCAGGACGTACTCGCGGATATATATCCCTGAGCGAAGGAATATCAGGTCGCTTGTTGACTGTCTTGTCTATCGGAGGCTGCTGCTGTCGCCGGTGCATATGCTTCAGAGGTCGGATTCTCGGGAGTTACGCAGTCTACTTACGGCAGGCCCGCCGTGGTCTGCGCCAACGGAAGCTGTGTCAGCATCGGAGAGACTAGCAAGGTGTACGACAGGAGGCGGCTGGAATGATTCGCCAGCCGAGGACCTGTCGACTTCATGAGGGGGATAAGACATGTCCTCTGAGATCTGAGGGCTGGTGGTATGGCTGAATGCTACGAGGGGCAAGGGGTGCGAGGGGATGGTGGATTACTGGCTCGTGTTAATCAGCGGTTTAAGAACGAGATCGCAATGAACGGGCCTAGCGGGGACAGGGCACCCCCGTCACTTCCTTTGGCTGCAAGTCATACGTCACATTATGGTTCAGCACCCAGATTGCCGTTTTAGAAAGGCAGCGCCCAAATGTACGCACACCTAGCGCAAGGGGTGCGGCATGAGCAGCCCATTTCCCGTTAATGGCGCTTTCGACGTACCCACCAGACACTGGTGACTGACTGCGGTGCGTGTGGTGGCTTCTTCTTAGCTCCGTGCCTGTGGTTGTGGGCTGTGGCATGGGAAGGGGCCGGTAGACGTGCCGTAGGCGGTCCACCTGGAGGTGGTCGGTGGCTCGGACGTGAAGAAGGATCGGTTGAGGGGCGTTGAATAGCGCGCACAGCCTCGCGGCGAAGGATGCGAATGGGAAGGGTTGTTACCTCTAGTACCACCACTCAGAGCCAGAAAGCTCCGCACCCCCGCTTCGAATGGGAAAATTCACTAATAATTAAGACCTGTCAACAGCCAGTCAAGGTTTTAATATCTGTTGGATGGAACATGCCTGAGTGTGGTGTACTAGGTGCATGCAGCTGGCACTGACATTAATGACGAGCTCGTATCGTGCCCTAGCTCGCCGGTTTCTTCTGAAGGTGGGCTCGGCTAGGATTGAAAGAAAAGACGTCCTTCGACGACCTGCTGCACCGCATCTCCCCTTAGCACACCGATCTTTCAGCGTGTTGACACGCTATGGCGCGCATGCTCATCGTGGATTTTGAGTCTAGACATTGCCGCAGTCGTAATCATCATGCAGGCCGGCACGAGAGATGAATCATTGCAACAACTGGCTTGATGCGGTTCGCCGATTATGTACCGGGGCAGACGGGGCGAGACCGCGAGAGGATAAATGGCACCGCACGGACACTGTGAGAAGTTCTCCAGAGGAGATAATGATGATAGGACGAGTGGTAGGAGGAACTTGAATCCAATGCAAAGACATTCGCAGGCGAGAAGGGGCCGCGCGAAGAGGTAGGAAGAGGTCTATGCACAAGGAGGAGGAGGCGCCCGCCGCTCTGCTCATGGATGGCGCTAAATTGATCGGGGCAATTACGCGTTGGGCGTCTAACAACGCGTCCGAAACTGTTCGCGCCGCTTGTGGCTCGTTTTATTCTTGTCTCCCGCCACCACCACCCTGGCCACGGTCGCATCGGCCGCCCTTCATCTGGTTATACATGAAATAGCGTAACATACCGCTCAATGGAACAGGCTGTCAACGGCCTCGTTGTGAATGGCACATCCTCGCACCTCCCTCCACCCTTCCAAAACGGCGACCTCGCACCGCATGAACCTTCCCCGGAAGAACTCGAGAAGGAGCTCCCAGTCGTGACGGATGGCCAGATTCCCCTCGGAGAACTCACATCCAGACTGGTGCAGGCGATGTATGCTGAGCTGACAGAGTTCGCCGAAACGTAAGTTCGCGTGCTGCAGGTGAGGTCTCTGTGGCCGGTCTCATCGTGTCTGTGGCAGCATGCCCACTATGTCCGACGCCGCGCGCAAACGCTCCCTGGCCGACTGGGTAGTCAAGTTCAAACGACAAGTTGTGAAACTCTATGCTATTGCGAAATGGTCTCGCGACGCGAGCGTGGTCCAGAAGGCCATGGTGCACATCTTTGCTGCTGCGTGGCTTGGTACCCCCGTACTCATTCAGCGCGATAGAACATCACGGCGTTTCTTATGGACCAAAACGGCCAGTTTGAGGAAGCAATCATGGGCCTGAAATATGGCAAGGAGAGCTTGGACCCTGCACGGTGCGTCTGTCTTCCGTAGAGCGGCATCATCACCAGGTGCACATTCGGTCGAAGCGCTGCAAGGTCGGCGGACCGCTATCAGCCCTCATACTGTGTCTGTGTTTCATATGTGCTCACTCACTCTGAGGACAGATTACGAAATCACGACCTATTGACGTCTCTGGACGTCCTCACCACTGGCACCTACCGTCGACTACCATCATGTATCAAGGTATGATCTGGATATTTGCGACTGCGCCTGCGTCATCGTCTGTGCTCTCTCGTTATTAAGGACCATATCCTGGCCCGCAAAGCGGCCTCACCATATTCTTCCTTCATATAATGCCAGTGCTGATGCCGACTCTCCTAGGAGCTTATTATTCCCCCTGTACCATTAACTGACGAAGAAGTGGCGAAGACCTTGGCGGATATCGAGGATGCTATGCGATATCGACTTCGGACATCCGAGATTGTTCCATGGGAGTTGTCCCAATATCGAATAGGTAGGTAATAAGACAGCGTGGGTAAGTGCAATTTCTCATCTTGCACTCTCGTTAGCGGAGGGACGTGTCTGGTTCACCGCTCCAAAACTGTTCGAGGCGTCCCTCTGCTTGCAGGGAGCGGGCAAGACCGACGGGTGGTTTTTCGTCAACGTTACGTTCCTTTTTAAGGTAGGTGGGGACTTGACGGGAATGCAAGGTAGGAGGGCATACGCCATCATATTTGTGTATCGTACTGACAGTCCGCAGACTTTCCCCGCACGCCGACGGGGGTCTTGAAGCGCAATATCACCGATGAGGCAGACGCCCGATTAGCGTTCTATTTACCCCCCGACGCGCCGCCTCCTCCTGGGGTGGAGGCTCCAACACGACCGGAATTGCCAGAAGGGGTGGTGGATGCACCCCTTGTGCGCGTGTTCAACTTCCTGCGTAAGTAGTGCCCAAAGCTCCGCAGCCTATCTTCCTATCTTGACGTCATGGTTTCTAGAAATGATGTCTCTCTCTTACCAGCTTGAGATCTTGTGGTATCAGGTTGGTCCTTCCTAATACCTAGAGACCCCTTCAGCTGACGACTTGTTAGGCTGAGCACATGCGCTCTCTCGGCTGGGCAGACTACCTGAAGGTAGAAATGACCAACAGTCGGCAGAAGATGGTCGTCTCGTACTGGCTATGGAAGCCGCTTCCCGGCCAGCAGGCCTCCTCACAAGCACGAAATCGAACGCCGCAATTAGGCGGCAAATTGAGTATATCCATCATACGAGTCAAGGAGAAGACGGGGCGGCAGGCGATGCGCTCACCAAAAGCGCGTGTGTTGGCGGAGCTGCAGGAGCGCTCGAAGCTGGAGCGCGCACGTCCCTCGGACGAGGTTGAGCACCTGCGATTCGACGTACAGTGGGAGCCCGCGCAAGGCACGCTCGGTGTGAACATTGGCCCAGAGGACGCGTACATTCCTCCAGAACAACTAGCAATCGTGCGTTTTTCCCATTTGCGCTTCGACATTAGGGCTGAGCTGTGGCCGCAGGACCCTAATGATCTTGACTTCGAGAGCCTGCTCCGCAGAGTCATCCGACGACATACGGAGGGCATCATGAAGCACTTCCAACGGGAATTGATGGAAAACGTTCACACACGCAACGTCTTCTCTGCCCCCGGCGAAGTCACCTTCGTCACCAACGGTACGTCACATAGCTGTCTTATCACAATAGCTGCTAATACTTCGCTATCAGAGGGGGCGCCCTCTTTGCGCGTGCACCTGTGCGCAGACGAGGTGGTCATCGTGACGGTCGACCCCAGAACGGGACGTCTTACTCTTTGCGACACCGGTGATCTCGCAGCGGCGGGCCGTGGACCTCGCTTTGCTGCGATATCGGACAGGCTCAACGACTCGCCACAGAGATTGCCCGAAGCCTTGATTCGGCTGCGCCTCAGCGTGCGTGCACAACCTCTTTCATTATAATTCAAATTAAACTAACGATCTTCTCTCTGTAGACTATCACGGACCTCGCAGAGCAGAAGGTGCAGTACGTCGGTCTGCAGAGCTTCCGGGAACGCAATTTCCTGCCCGAGGGTCAGCGGTTCCTGTCATGCCCGTATTTTCCATGCTGATCCCGCTGCACAGAAATCGCGAAGCTGGGCCCCGACGCGCGAGGGAAGCTGTACATCCAGCTCGCGAACTTCACCAGCCACTACCTCGTCCTGGTCATCACGGACAACGACTACCGCTATGCACTGATCAACGTCAAGGTCCAACGCGACACGATGTACAACAACCTGATTATGGAGGATATCGGATGGCTCGACATTCACCGCTTGCATACCGGCGACATGGTGGTGGAGCCTGGACACGGGCCGGAACCTGTTGTGGGGCAGAAGCGGAAACGGGATGACCGAGCCGACGCTGTCCCCACCGCACCTGCGGAGCAGAACCCTACCAGGTGCGTCTCTATCATTTGGCGCCGTTGCACACGTATTGATGCTTCGCAGCTTCCGATTGGAGACCAAGGTATTGCGAGAGCTCTACGCGTACTGCTGGTAAGCCGCACCCCGACCACATAAGAATAAACAGGACTAACGAAACTTCAGCGCACGTGTGGCGTACACCAAGGTCGAGCAGCAGTTCAAGCTGCGGCAGATTCCATATACACACGTCAACTCGACCGCAAGCATCGGTGCTCTCGACGCCGCGCACATCCAGTCATCACTCGCGCGCTCCATTCCCGCGCTCTGTGTGCTCTCTCGCGACATCCTATCGGGCGCGCCCGCTGAGGAGGCGGCGATGCCGAATATCCGCGTCATCCCGCTCAACTGGTGGTCAAACGACCAGGCGAAGGTGGTCACCTGCGTGAAGCTCAAGTACGTGCAGCAGCCGATCGGGAAGCGTGCAAGCGGGACGTCGGTCATCCGTCCCTCGAAGCGGATTGTGTACGACACGCGCGAGGCGATCGTGTCCTTCTTGTCGGACGACGTGGATAAGTGCGTCGACGAGTTCCTCGAGGAGTGGGCACGCGTGTCAAAGATGGTCGTCATCGCCCGCGAAGGTACGTCTTGCGTCTCAGCTCAACGCAGACTGGCATGCTCATTCGGCGGGCAGTTGCCCAAATGTCGACGAAGCATCTATGGACAGACGTCCGGCTGCTCTCGTTCGACCTACAGACTGTCGAGTTCGCATACGCGGCAGACTACACGCTCTCGCTCACCTGCACGGACCAGCTCAGCTCCACCGGCGGGTCGTACCACCTCCGCTTTGGGCGCGTCGAGCGCGACGACGACATGGAGGTCGACGGCGAGTCGCTCCCGGCGACGCACAACCCGCATGAGGACGTCGAGCCGTACATGCGTAACTTGCTGCGGCACGGCCCGCTCACAAGCACGTTGCATCGGCTGGTCAGTCTCTTGCGCGAGACGCTCCCGATTGTCGCGGAGCTCGAGGAGATCCGCGCAGCGGCGGCGCGTAGCGGGGCAGTTGTGGACACGTTCGCGAAGTCCGCGGGGTGGTTCCGGATCCTGTATGGAGACCTCAGGTGTGTACATACCCTGGCGCTTTCAGAAGGGAACCGTACTTACAGGTTGGGCGTTTGGTGCAGGCACGCACTGGACTTCAGGTTAATGGCGGGCGCGCGGGTCGTCATCCTCGATGGCTCGCACTCGCTGTTCGACGACAGCGCCGACGGACACACGCTCCGCCGCCTCTCCGGCCCCTCCAAGGCGTTCGCGTCGCGCGACCGGGAACCAACTGCCGCGCTACAGCCAATTCCAAACTTCCGCGGGCTGGTGCAGGACGCGATCAAGGGCGCGGTCGCACGAGGCGTGGCGGGGCAGTTTGCACCGATCGACATTGGGGTGATATGCGATGTGTCTGCGGTGCGGGTCGTGGGGCGGTTGTTGTACGAGCGGGTGCTGGAGAAGCTGGCCGCACAGGCGAGGCCCCAGCCATAGCTCGAGTTTACATACACGCTCGATATACCACTGTCCACGGGGGATAATACTGTCTCTTTCGAGCCTGCATAGACGCAAATACTCGAGCCGTTGTCTCTCCTAGGAACCCCTGGGCAGACGGTGTATGGTCTACTGGAAGGAAGAACGATGCTCACGTTGACAAGCTGAATGGCAATCGTCCTATTAGAAGCTCACATTTTACACTTCAGGCATGCATTAACGATACTAAAGCACGAGAAAATTGCATTATAAAATCAAAGTACAGAAGGTCTATCAGACGTACGCCGTCCTCGCTGGCTCGCACGCCCGCAGCTGCGAACAGCGTGCGGGAGACGCGAGCCAAACGTCCTCGAGACCGCGCGAACGCGGCCATGTTCTCGGTTATGCGAGGGGGCGCTGGTGTCATCGACTAGACAAGAAGGATGTGGCATGTGTAAACATGCGAGACTCGAGTTAGTACCTATAAAATAGATCCTAGCTGAGTATGTTCTAAGGAAACAACCATGTCCGACAGAGGATTATATACCAGGCCTCAGGTGGTCCGTGCACGGCAGAAGTTTTGGGCCACGTGCCGCTCCTACCGGTTCCTATTGCTCGGCCGTCGGGTTGGAGAGGCCTGAATTGGCGGCCACGGCGGTACCTGTCATGACACTCTATGTTTCTCTACTATGTACCCCTTCACGTTTCTATCGTCGACAGCTTGCGCAAAAGATCTGGACGAGCGTGTCTAGTGACTCTCATGTATGGAAGGTGATCGGATGTGTGCAACACGCGGCTTCGGCATGCAGCACGACGCGCCGTGCTTTACGTGCCAAGAGGGGCTCACCGGAAGATGCCGAGACCTGGGGTCGGGGAGGGGGGGGGTCCCCGGGGGCTTATGTCGGTTGATGTATGCCTTCCAGCTCCACCCAGTTTCGGTGGTTTGAGAAGGTATACGGTCGATTTTCTGTGCTCAACAGACCTCAGATAGCAGAAAGCGGCCTTTCCAGCCATCTGAGCCGTCGAGAAGCCGAACATTGCGACCCTTTAGTGTTAAAACATTGATGTTTCATTCTTTCGAGTCTGTGTGCCCCTCGAGCTAGTGGATGTGTACGGCGAGCTCTCGCAATATAGCTGTTGAATTTATCTGGACAGACAAACATGATGACCACCGAGTATGTTCTGGGTATGTCTGTCATCCTATGGGCGCCTGCAGCTTCCGTTTTGAGCGACATGTTGAAAACATATGCGAAAAATTGCCCGATATGGGAGGAGGGGGGGAGGGGGGTCCCGGAAATGGGCTTATGTCGATAGACCGACCCCGGTAAGTAAGTCGATTCCTGAACCCCTCTTGTTACGTGCTATCGCTGAAGAAGCCAACCGTCGATGAGGGTGCTGATACTGCATGCAAGCTTCAAGTACCAAAAACCCCCGGACGCTGTACACGTCATATGTAAGACCGACTCTTGCTATGTTCTCATTCACCATACCCATGCTCAGTGCTCACAGCGTAGTTCAGATGATGCCAACGGCGTGCTAGTCAGTGGTCACACACGAGGGCTATAAATGAGATCGCAGATCGCATCTGGTGTCATCTTGCTTCGGAGCAGGAGGCCTAGGCACATGTGCGCCCGATTCCACAGGCGTGCTCTGCAACGAGGAACGAGCGTGGTACGGCAGCAGGCGGTGCTGCGGTAGCTGCTGCTCTTCTCAACACAGTCCCGTGCGCTGCATGCCCCGGGCTTGCGCCCGACTCCTGCGAAGTGGTGCTCCCTCATAAACCTACCTATGTCTCTTGCTCTGATCATCATCGTCTTCACCGTGCTCGTCTCGTCTGCTATAAGCGCGCTACTCACATTCGCACCCCTAATCGTCTTTTTCGGCCTTCTGACCTACCTTGTGCTCAATGTCGTCCCCCGCTAACAGCGTCACGGCGCCGGCGCCGATCGATATAACGGTCGTTATGGAGCTTTTGGGCTCCATGAAGACGACCCATGGCATGTTGTAAGTGCGCTTCCACCGATCGGCGCAGGTCGCTGCTGATGAATGTTTGCATACAGGAATCAGTCCTTGAACAGCCTTGTCGACCAAGGCAATAGCGTGAAGGCCTTGGGCCCGACCATCGTGAGTGCCCATTTTCCCGGCCCATAGGGTTCGCTCTAACCTGTCGGGCGCGCCCGCGCGAAACAGCAAGAGGGACACGACCAAATTAAGAAACTCCAGGTCGATATCGAGAACCATGACGCCCAGCGCGCGGACATTGTAGCCAATGTGAAAGACACAATCAGAGGCAAGCTCCGGGAGGAGGCCCTGGAGGAGATGCAGTGAGCGTACTTTCCTGTCTGCACCCCCCTCCTTCGTGACCCACTGACCGATCCCCGTTGGCAGAAAGCGCATCAAGGAGCAGATCAGCGCGGAAGTGAAACGGCAGGTTGAGGCGGAGGTGAAAGAACAACTCGTGCGCGACCACCTCGGCACGCCCCTCAACGTCCAGGTCGATGCCGGCCGCGAGCAGATCACAGCGCTGCAGGCTGCCGTGCAGAACTCGTACGCCTCTGCCATACTTCCTTCCGCACAACCCTCTGAGAGAATATCCATTTTTCTGGTTGCGCTCGACAGCAAGGCGCGCCGCGAGAACTCCGCCATCACTTGGAGCGACATGACGACCAACTTCAAGGACGTCGTCCGCCCGGACGGCACGCGAAGCGCCAAGTGGCCCGCGAACGTCAACTCCCTCGACGGGCTCAGCGGTAAGCCCCGCTCGCCTTCTTGATCCAACTCGTTCTAACCCTTCCCGACATTTCCGCTCATGCGCACCCGGCAGCCGCGGACCTCGCGGACCTCCTGCGCGACTACGACCTGCACGTGCACGCGTCGCACGCCATGAACCTGAACAGCTTCCTGCGCCACATCGGCGTCGACAAGGTCACCCTGCACTAGTGGTGGAGCGCATCCGCCCACGCCGTCGCGTCGCCCCGGGGGCTTCGTCGTCGAGGCCGTTGGTCGAGCTCCCCACGTACTATGCACATGTTCAGCTTCCCGGCAGTCGATTCGCATTTGTTGTCCTTGTCGGATTCTCGCATCATCATGTACATGTACCATATCGCATATCTCTGCCGTATCATATTCTGTTGTACGCTCTCAAACCCCTCGTCCCTGCCTGGCCATCACCGCCAATATGCCCCCGACTGGCCCCGCGGCGATTGCCCTGGGTGGTAATTACCGTGGGGCGGTGTACAGCCACCGATCTGCATAGCGCGTCGGCGCGCTGCGCGGAGAATCGAGATCGTGCGTACATACGCGCGCGGGAGGCGCATGCACAGTGATACACAACCCCTGAGCCTCATTATACTAGCTCAGGGGTGTGTACGGTAGTAGGTGGCGGCAAGCGCAGTCCGTCGGCCTGAGGATGATCGGGTACCGTCGACGACTGCGCATCAGGTACTTCTGCTCCTCAGGATATTGGAAGATATAAAACTCGCCGTGGCTGCGCCACGTCGTTCCTCCTCACCGCGGGGCGAACTAATCACGCCGACAGCACCGAACGCCACCGCGTCCGGTTCCGGTTCCGATTGCGAAAATGCGTGCATACCGATTCGAGTGCGAACAATGAACATCGACAAATGTGGTGTGCAGAGGAGGTGTGCGGAGACGGGCAGCGGGGGTGATCGATACAAGTTCCAAACAGACGAGCGAGAACACGATATCCAGTGGGGGAGGGTATCTACGGAGTACGGAGTACGGGTCGTTGCGGGGGGCGGGCAGGGGGCGTCAAGAAAGGGCATGAATGTGCGGGGACAGCGGCGTGCGGGGGTCGTGGCGGAGGGGGGCGCGACTTGCGCTTCGAGTCTGAGGGGAGGGGGAACAATGAAGGGAGGGTGGGACGAGGCGGGGGCAGAGTACTATGTACATATACATATTCAAATCGTCCATGCGAGTCGGGGAATGGGGAATCACAGGCGCTCCCCGCGCGGGGGGCGCACGGTCGAGGGACAGGTGCCGAGGACCCTGGGTCGTCCGCGTTTTGGAGCGGAGGACGGGGCGAGCGCATGGGTGTCGGTCTCCGGGTTGAAAAATATACACTGATAATGATGAATAAACAGATAGATACGGGTCCGTCCGTTTTCGTCGATGGCGTGGGCGGTTCGACCGCAGTCTTCACCGTCGCGGAGGGCGTGATTCAGAACAGAACAGAATAGGGAATCGAGCGGGCGTGCGCCTTGGAGTCGGTCGTACTGGTTGCGGGCCGCATGGAGCTCATCATCGCCCTGCGACGATTCTCCGCGTACCCACACTCGCTCTTCTGGCGGCCACCTCAACGAGCTTCGCGCCTTCCTCCGCCTCCGCCTGTGCATCTGTGTCCATCCTGGCGCGGGCATCGTTGAGCACCGCCGGTAACTCGCCGCTGCGCAGGAGGTGATGCCAGTACACTACCTCTCCTGCTCTCAGCGGCTCGCGCTCAGGCTCGGGAGCAAGCTGCACGGGGGCGCGAGGAATGAAAGCCTGGAAACCAAGCGGGTGAGCGGCGGAGGTCGAGGCGGCGCGCACGCGGGAAACGGATGTGGTCCCGGGGGTGGGCGGGGAGCCTTGCGGGCCTGGGTCGGCAAAGGTAGGTGTGCCGCTAACGGAGGGAGACACGGCGTGTGAGTTAGGTGGGGCGGGCGACATATCCTGGATCTGGCCGACGTCTGGCACAATCGTACTGGGAGACGGACCGCTGTTGGACGACGCGCGTGAGCGAGCAGCGAGGGCGCTGGGCGACAGGTACCCCGGTGACCCGGGGGACGTTGGGACCACGTAGGAGGTGTTGACGGAAGGCGGCTGGTCCACAGAAGTCCGTCTACTGGTGCGAGCAACAACTGGGGAGGAAACGAGGGACGGCATCGAGGGCGACGTGGGCGAAGACGGAGAGTACCCCAGCTGCTGCTGGGTAGTAGAGCGCGGCGGAGTATTCGGGCCAGGGGCAATCTGGAGGCGTCCCATGGCGTTCTGCACACCATGCATTGTCGCTGTCACGACCATGGGCCCGACTGTGGTGACCTGCGGAGGCGGGTGGAACGGGATCACGCCAGGCTCGCCCGCAACATAGTGGCGCTTGCATGCAACAATCTCACTAGAATAGAAGACGAATCGGTGTCCGTTCGTGGCGCGGTTGTTTGCGGTGATTGACGACGTGCACCGCGTGCAAGGCGCGACAATCATATATCCAACCGCATTTCCGCACCCATGACAGCATAGCGTCTGCGTCAAACATTCACATGTCCGTGAAAGAGGGCGTTCGGCAGGCGGTGCGGGAGGCTCAGCTGAGCTTGAACTCGAGGGGGACGAATCTGCGGAATGCTGCGGGGACGGACGGTCGGGCGGGGAGGGCGGGTCGGTGGGGGCCGAGAACGCGGAGCAGTTGATAGGGAGAGCATCCGTGGAATAGAGAGGGACGTTGGGACGTAATAGAAGGACGGCCTGTGATCGAGGGCGGTCAGTCTCGTATCAAACCTGCCATCGGCGAATACGCGGGCGTAGCTTCGCGGGAGCGCTCTCTGTGGTGCATCCCCTGCGTATGTTCCTCCCAGCCATCATCGATGGCGTGCTGGGTGACCTCGCCGACTATATGCGCACGATGCCAGGCGGAAAAAGACTCGCGAGTAGCCCATGCACCGTGCATTGTATTTACGCGTTCTCACAGAGCAAGAACAATTGAATGATACCGGACATCATTGTCTCGCGCATCCCGAACAACAGCGGCGCGCACACGATATTCCGGACACCGTCTCGTGCTCTCATGATGCGAGATATGCTCACCTTCATGCCGCGGTTGGTGAGGAACATGCCGCACGATTTGCAGTCCAAGATCCAGACCTTGTGCGGGATCGGCGGAGGTGGCGCGCCGAAAGTCTGTACCGGGTGCATGCGGGTGTTACTATTGACGTTGTATGCGGCGGCACGAGCCCATGGGAGTGTAGGATTTGTTTGGAGCGCAGTACCGGGTGGTCCGGGCGGGCGGGTGTCGCGAAAGGATGGATGGACTTGCCAGTGCGGGGGTATCGTAGCTGGGTCGGGGTATACACGGTGAGGAATGGTGGACCAGCCTGAATGTGAGACACGTTGGTCTGGGGCAGCCTGGGAGGGGACTGCTGTTGCGTTCGCGCTGGTGTCTATGCGCACGCGCTGGGCGGGCATGGCGAGGGCGTAGGGCGGGTGCTGGGGACGTGGGGGCCGGTCGTTGAAGGCGTAGACAGAATCGGGCTCGTCGCGGTCTGTGCGGCCGCGTGGATAGATGAACTGAGGGGCGTGGGGCGACGGCCGAGGATGGAAGCGAGGAGGGCTGAGAGCGGGCTCGGGCGAAGTGGGGAGGGTCCTCGCGGGCATCGAACGGGGCGGAGAGGGAGAGAGGAGGAGCGGAGGAGCGGAGGAAGGAGCGGAGGGAGGGGGACGGGGAAGGAATGGAGGCGTCGTCAGCAAGGCAGGCCGTCGTGGAGGTGGTGGGTGAGAGAGAGCGCGAAGAGGGTCGGAGGACATCGTCGCGACTCCCATATCCGAACTCCGGGTGATGCCTTCCCCTGGCTTGTACACTCTGCCATCACCATTCCTATTAGCCGATCTAATCTACCCCTTCCGGCCTTTGCCTTCCATCTTATCGCTTCTATTACTCCCGTTGTACCCTCTCCTTACCTCATTCATTCGTGGTTTCCTCTTTATTCCCCGGCGTCCTCCTCAAACGCCATCTCGCGATTCACCTCCACACTGCGATTCATTTAGCTATCGTCTCAACTCTGCGCCCCTCTGACATGCTCTATCTTGCCGCTCACCACATCTGTCGAGCGCCGCTGCGAATCCTGTGCAGCGAACCCCTACTCGATTCACCAAAAACGCGGACCTCGCTCGCCTCGGAACGCCCGGGCGACTGCATCGCTCAAATTGAACTCCCCATTCTTATGACTCCGCACAAGTGCGTACGTACACGCCCTCTATGCACCCCAAGCGGCTCTCCTGGCGGCAATCTCGACGGCTCGACAGGGAACGCATCTCCGCCTCTTGTTCTCTCCCCACGGTGACAGACTTGCCATAGCCTGCCACCCTTGCCATTTTTCGCTGGACGAGTTCGACGTTTGTTCTGCTTTCGCGATCCCGGGCGGCGTGATCACTAAGACTACTGTCGCACGAGCGCCGCATCGTGGGCGGCATGATCACAACTCGGACCGTCCTCAAATGAGCCCTAATTTCCTGTCGGTTTGTTGTACAGCCAACTAATATGTTATAGTGTCTGATGACACATGCTTGATGACATCGATACACCATCTCCCGTATCGATAGACCATTTCGAATAGGTGGCATTCATGGAGTTTTCACTTCAACGTCCTCGTCCTGATGCTGTACTATCAAACAGGGACTCTGGCGGCGGCACCCGACGAATCAGCTTCTCCTTTGCCTAGTGGATGTATCCCTGCCGAGAAGTATACGCTGCACCAAGTGTCAAATATCTCATAACAATGAGAACAAAGGCCGAAAAGGCATGTATGTTCTTTATATTGAGCGTATACCGAGCGCACTGATGTGTGAAATGTATGCCGGTAGCTTAGGCACCTCTGGGTTGTGCCCACTTGTGGCAGCGACTCGCGAGCCCGCGGTTGAGGTCATCTCCTACCGGTCGGCTGCGCCAGTGTGCGCCTGAGCAATTAGACTACACTACCACAGGAGTCTTGACAGTTGCTGCCCTGTCGCATATGCGTGCGATCACGATCCGCCAGCTACCACATGGTCGCCGCCACATCAGGCATATAGACAGGTCAATGGCCGGTCCCTCCGATTTCAGGCGGAATATCGATCAGTTGTCGCGAGAGAACGTTCCGCTAATCCCTCCTGACCGGGACCTACCGCAGTTGTCGTTCGATCGGGCGCCGCTCAACAGAAGACCACCAGATTCAGGATGCCCTGTAGTGACGCATCCGATACGGATAGGTGCGCATATGTTTTTTGATGTGCCGTACTCACGTTCACACCCTTGCGCAGTCGGCAACTGCATGTGAGTTACGCCGTACGTGCATATGTACATTGACCACCACAGACTTTCAGCCCAAGTTCACAATACCGTACGGTCGACCGTCGCCGCATGGGTAGCTCGCCCACTGGCAGTAGAGAACGTTCCGTCAAACTCCTCCCGGTCTATCGCTGTCGCGGTCTTGCCGTCCGACGACCTGCGTAAATCTCCCCACAAACGCCGCATCCGTTACAGAGAGCGTCACATAAGTACTAATTCAAGTCCCCATTGACTGATGCCTCGATGACGCAGCCATGTTTACGCCTCGCTCGCGCCATCGTATCTCACGTCTGACCATCTAGACAGATCGTGTTACCTGATGGTACACCCGCTTCGCGCGTGAGCCTCGTGCACAACACTTGCATGTGATGATTGGCCGGTATATTCCCCCCAGGGTCTGCGACAGCGCTCGTGCGATTCCGAAGATATACAGCTAATACAGCCACCCCGAGCGTGAGCGCTGCACTGACCACATCGCCGCCGGCTGTCTCGAAGGACGCCGAATCCAGGGAATGCTCACTGCGTAGCTCGACCCTGCACTGCGAGCTGCCAAGTGCGCCAGTAAGTGCTTCTATCTGGATACCAGCCCACTCGCCGCTCGACTGCGCCGGCCCGCTCATGACTTTGGCAGTTACAGAGACCGTAGCTCATCGAGCCAGTCCATACTCACTACAACATATCGATAGAACATCATGGCGAAGCGCCACACATCTCACCGGTAACGCCGGCTAGTATTACACATGCCGCGTGCCGCGCTTCCTACATCTTTTATACAGCATCTGTTCTAACACGCCTCCTCTACAGAGACGGTATCTCGCCCGGCCAGAACGCAGGACCGCCCTTGTTTTCGTTATACCACGGGATATCGTGCGCCAGCAACACCCGTACCCTCGGGTTCTTCAACAGCTCCTGGATGCGCCCCACGTGGCGCATCGACTCCTCCGGGTCCGCGTACAAACATCCGACGACGGGGTGGTGCGCGAAGTGCGCCTCCCCACGCAGGACGCGCCAGTCGTGCGCGCTGTCGCCCGCGAGGTATATCCACGCGCCGTCCGCAGACGTGCGCGCGAGGAGGTTTATATGCCCGGGGACGTGCCCCGACGCGTCCACGACGTACACGCTCCCGTCCCCGAAGAAGTCGAGCGCGTGCGGGAACGGCCCGAGCGGCGGCCACGCGGCCGTGTCCAGGTAGCGCGTGCGCTCGGGGGGCGTCGCGATTGCGAAGATGCTGTCGTGGAAGTGCGGCGCCAGACGCGCGATCTCGGGCTGCGCGTCGCCGCCGAGGTGGAACGTCGCGGCGGGCAGGAGGGACGGGTCGCCGGTGTGGTCGTAGTGGATGTGCGAGATGATCGCGTGCTGGATCGCGTCGGGGGTGAGCCCGCCCTGCGCGAGCGTCGCGTGCAGGTCGGGCTGGCCCGTGAGCTTGATCCCCATGCGCACGTTCACGACGAGCGGGCCCTCGGGAAGGTTCTCGGGGTCGGAGCGGACGCCGAGGTCGAAGAGGAACGGGGTGCCCGTGACGGAGTGGCGGAGGAGAAAGATCATGTCGGGCATGTCGACGCGCTCGCCTGGTTTGGCGACGTCGACGAGCTGATCGAGATCCATGTCGACGCGTCCGCCCTCGAGGGCAGACACCTTGCAGTACGCCTGATTGGGTGCTGGTGGCGGCAGACTCATGCTGGGCTACGGTTACTGGTGAGGGGTGGGTTTGTACACGTATGGTGAAACTGCTTACTGATGTGTACGATCTGCAGGAGGCGGCAGCAGGAAGCAAGGGTGTGCAGGGATAAGGTTGGTCCTCCAGCGTCCACCTTATATGCCGGGGATCGTACATGTGCCCCGGATATCCTCGAATCACATCGGCAACCTCGAGGCATCCACGGTAAGCAATATTGTCCCTAAAGCTGCTTTTGTGAGAATTTACACGCGTCGCAGCAGCCTTGGCAGCAGTTGTGAGGTCATACGCAACCGGCCTGGTGCGCCCCGTGAACGTCTTGTCCTTCTGTGCCCCAACAGAAGGCTAACCGCCCTCTCACGCGAGGTGACGCAACCTAAAGGCTTGAAGCGACCTTCCGACACCGGGAGAGCATGTCGGGCATGCATGCCAAAATGCACCCCGGATATGTTCGCGTACGATCCGGGGTGGGATTGACCGCATGGACACGGGGGTTACGGACGTAATCACTACAGCTGTACTGAAAGACGGAATTCTGTGACTTCGTTCGACCCGTCCTTCCAGCATGCAATCCACTCGGCCTTAGCACATCCACCAGAACCAGGAACGAGAGGACGATTTTCCCCACCCGTTTGCACGTCATGCGGATATAGCAGCTGTTTCCGCTCTGTCATGGCCTCTTGGGCCCATCCGTTCACCTACGGCTTCGGAAGCCGGGCGCGAGAGAAACTTATGATCGTACGTAAGGCGGTGTTAGTGGTCAGAGAATGTGGTATTGATCACACAAGGAACACCAAGTCTGGTCGTTGGCAGTCTCCCCGAAGATGAAAGAGCACACGCGAGCAAAGGGCCGTTAAAATAGATGAGCGCGCCACGCGGTGTATATTGTGGACGACGGTATGAGCGGTGGTTAAATAATGATATGTACAATCCGACACAATGTAATTTATATCTGGATAGTCGGTAGCGTATTAGCCCAACCCACACGCGCAGACAGATGGAGCACGATAACGCACCAATTGGGGTATCCTAGTTGCTACAAAGAGGGAATGACGCCCGGCAAGAAGGCTGAGTCTTTGTTTTCGTTGTACCACGGCGCATCGTGCGCCAGGATGACCTTCACCCGCGGGTTCTCCATGAGCGTACGGATCCGCGCGATGTGCGCCTCTGCCGCCGGCACGTCTCCGTGGGCACAGCCCAGATGCGCCGTTTTCCCGATCTTGCCCTCACCCGTGATGAGCGACCAGTGGTGCGCGCTGTCGCCGGCGAGGTAGAGCCAGCCACCGTCCGCAGAGGTGCGGGCGAGGACGTTGATGTGTCCCGGGAAGTGCCCGAGTGCATCGACGATGTACAGGCTCCCGTCGCCGTAGAAGTCGAGCGCGTGGGGGAACGGCCCGAGGGCCGGCCAGCTTGACGAGTCGAGGTAGGTGGTGCGTCCCTCGGGGAGAAGGTTAGAGAGTACCGTGGCGTTGGGGTTACCGGGATAGCCGTCCTCGACGGCGGGGCGAGCGCCCTCGCCGACGAGGAAAGTCGCTTTGGTGTATGGGATGGAGTCGCCGATGTGGTCGAAGTGGAGGTGCGAGTAGCAGACGTGGTTGATGTCCGTGGGCTGCAGACCGCCCTTCGCCAGCGCCGCAGCGGCGTCCTGCTCGACCGTGACACGGAAACCGAGGATATCGACGACGTATTTAACGACGGCGGGAGGGAGGTTCTCCCAGTCCGACCGGATGCCGAGGTCGAAGAGGAAGGTGTCCTTGTTGGTAGGATGGCGGAGGAGGAAGGCCAGCGCGGGGGCGATCACGCGCTCCTCGGGCTTTGCGCCCTCGAGGATCCATGCGAGCGGGATGTCGACGATACCCGCAATGAGAGCGGACGCCTGCACGTAGGCCTGGTTGGTGGACGGCGCGGGAAGACTCATGATTGGGCTGTATGAAATGGTTAAAATGGGAGCATAGTGGGAAGCTTCGCGGATGCTGACCTTGTGTAATTGGAGGTATGGGATCTTGGAAGAAATGGTGAAGCTATGCTAAAGTGTCGCGTCAAGCGGCTCGTTTTGTACTTCCTTGAAGATCCGAGCCAAGGATGCCTGAGTCATACTATCCATCGGATGACTAAATGCAACGCCATGCCGCCTGAACACGTCGACGCAAGTACAGGTTACGACTGCGGTCGATCACTCTGGCTGACTGTCGAAAGTACGAGAGCCGGCGCAGACCGGAGGATACACTTGGTGAAGCGCCACATATTGATTCAAGAATAATGTATGCTGGGGCTGAATGCGCTCTAGCTCTGATATGGTTTCTCACAGATGATGTCGTGTACTTCGCAACATTCAAGTATCATGGTATCTGTAGTTGAGGATCTTGCAAGAAATCAAGAGCGAGCGCCGAAATTCAGAAAGCTAGCTGAATCCCACATTTAGTACTCGAGGTTAGCGTACACAAAGTTCTCTATCGATGTTAAAACGGCTGGGAAGTGCGGAGATGGATGGTTCACGCACCATCCCACTTGCAGCACCGTCTGTGGCTATGGTCGATCAATTGAGTAGCTGACTTGAAGCTGACTGAGGGTTACGTGAGTCAGTAGAAATGAGCCCAAGAAACGCCACCCGGACCCACCTATACAACCATGAGCACATTCCCCTCCGTTGCGTTTGAGATCAGTTTTCAGCAGTACAGGTGGGGAGATGCTCCAAAGAGTACTGGCTCGGAGAAGAGCGGGAAGGGAATGTGGTGCAAGCGCCCTAGGCTAGAACGATGTGTGAGAGGGGGTGGTGAAGACCCCCGTGGGAACGGCTGAGTTTGAACGTGCCGACGGCGCCTGCTAAGAACGAGTGGCTGGTTGAACGCGCAGGCCTTATGCGTGCGGTAGCGATGCTATCTTCCAGCGCGCAGGCCCTAATAACGAATAGAGGTCATCAGAGAGCCCTCGATTCTGCTGGTGCTGGCAAAATCCATACGGAGTACGTCCTGGTAGTTATTGCGCGGTCAGCGGTAATTCGTCCTGCAAATAGAGAGCGGGGTACCTCATTTTCACTACGCATATATTCTGCGCGGCGCGCCGCGAAGACGGCGGGGTCACCTGCGGGCGTGTGTTTGAGCTGCGAGCCTTGGGGCGGAAATGGCACTAACGACTGCGTGCCAGAATTGGGCTTGTACAGCAGCTTAGCACGATTTTCGAAGTTCTGTCACTTATGAAATGATTCTCCGAATATGGGACAGGGAAAATCGCAGTGCAGAGACGCGTACAAGAAATTCAAATAAGATAGGACGCGCTCTGGAGGTATCTTCAGAAACGCGACCGCGAGTGCCAGTTCGCAGTGGTTCGAACGCGGTTCAACGCGCGAGTCGGTGCGACGCGACTCTCGAGGCTCGCGTGCCGTCGGCATTTTCAATCTCAGCCGTTCCCACGAGGGTCTTCACCACCCCCCCTCACACATAGGTCCAGCTTCGGGAGGAACGATTGTCTTCCGCCTCCGAACGTGAGGCTGGTTCACGAGCCTACAAGCGCCCATCTGGAAGGCGATTGCCGAATGGCGCCCGTACTTTTGTCCTTTCCCACCGCCGCCGCCCGAGCTGCGTCTAGCCGGTTTAGACGTGCAGATTCCATGTGCACCATGTGGTCGTTCTCATCATGTTGTGTACATATCCACTCCATTGTGCGCCCAATCTCCCAAAGCTTTAGTGCGAGAGACGCGACGTACTACTCAGCAGCGCCAGGGCCAGCCATCCCGTAGCGTTCGATTGCGACTTTGGCAAACCTCCAAGAGAACGAGTGCGCGGTTCGCATCCTCTCTCGCGTGCTGACAAAATCGCAGGCAACGATTTCGAAATCAGACCCCCGCTGATCAAATGACGCCGTGGATGACATACCATCCCAGTTTGGCCTCCATGGTATCATAGATCGACCACACCGCCGCGGAGGTTATAAGCAAGGCCGTTTCTTCTCCAGCAAGGTATCAGCCACCTCTACCTCCATTCCGACGTCGCCACGAACATCATCGTTTATCATGTCTTCCCTCGACCCAATTAAGCCCTTCTCCTCTAACCTGCACGGGTCATACTCCTGGCCGCAGAGCCTGCAGGGCATACACTTCGGGCCTGGTTCAATCAAGACCGCCCTGCCGAAGCTCCTAGCTAAGATTGGGGCCAAGAAGGCCCTGGTCGTCACGGGCCGTAGCCTCCACGAGAAGGTACGCTGTCTATTACTGCTACAGCGAACTCTAACGCTAATCACCCTTCCACATTTAGACCGACGTGGTTCGCAGGGTCGAGAACGTGCTCAAAGAGCTCAACGCTTACGGCGCGACCTTCTACGAGATCGGGCAGCACTCGCCGATCGCCGGCATCGAAAATGGTCTCCAGCAGTTCAAGGACGTCGGCGCGGATGTGATCGTTGCGGTTGGCGGTGGCTCGCCTGTCGATGCTTCCAAGGCCATCCTGTACTTCCAGCAACAGGAGACTGGCGGCCCCTATCTTAAGCAGATCGCCATTCCGACGACTCTGAGTGCCGCCGAGTACACCGTAAGCTGCACAAAGTATCGTTATCTGTTAAACCCTACGCTTATACAGTAACGCAGGTCGGCGCGGGGTATACCAACGAGGAGGGCGTAAAGGTCGCGGTCAACGCGCCCGAGCTCGTGCCCGCGGGCATTATCCTCGATGCGGAACTTACCCTTGCGACCCCGGAACGTCTCTGGTATGCACTGTTCTTTTGCGCGAGCCATATGAGTACTCATATCTTCATACAGGCTTTCCACTGGTATCCGTGCTTTGGATCATGCTGTCGGTAAGTCCCGACTTCCCTTCTCCGCTGCGGCCGACCCGTGCTCACCTCGACACAGAGAACTTGTATCGCCCCCTCGTTGCCCCACCGCTCAAGCACCTCTGCTATGCTGCCCTTGTCGATCTATTCAAATATCTCCCCCTGTCGAAAGCAAACCCGCAAGCGGTAGACGTCCGCCAGAAGCTGCAGCTCGCGTCCTGGATGAGCATTTGGCCGCTCCAGCTGGAGCGATACGGCGCGCTCGGACTCTCGCACTCCCTCGGCCACAAGATCGGTGCGCGCTACAGCATCCCTCACGGCATCACTTCGGTGAGCACACGCAGCTCCATGAATCCCGTGCTTCCGGGGCTGAACGAGCGCTCGCACGCAGTGTCTCACTCTCGCGCCTACCGTCGCACTCCAAACCGAGCTCGCGTCAGGCGAGGACAAGGAGTGGCTCTCGGGCGCGCTCTTCCACCTGCGCCAGCCGTCCACGGGCTCGATCGACGGCGACATCCGCAAGCTCTCCGCGGAGATCTACAGGTAAGCAGTCGTGCTTGCCCAGATTGATACGTTCATCTACTAACTGGGATTTGAAGCCTGGTGGAGGGACTCGGGCTGCGTTCGACGCTCACAGAGTACAACGTGCCGCGCGCGGACCTGCCGGAGATCGCGCAGCTCGCGCTCGGGAGCAAGGAGGATCCGGCGCAGCCAAAGGTTGTCGCTCTGCTCGAGGCGCTGTATTGACGTGGGTCAGTTGAGCCCAAGGGGGGATATGTAGCTGGCTGTGATGAGCACAGTTGTAGAGATCAATGTATACCAGAGGAACGCCACTTCTCAATAGTAATGTAAAGAGTATCGCGCGCAACGAGAGTGGGGATGCCCACACCTGTGTTTCTGTCGTCATCGCGGGCCCTATTAACGCAGACGTAGTAGACAAAGTTGGGCACTGCTTCTTCCACCACACCCTATGACTATGTTACAACGTTATGCGAACCCTACAAAGTCCATGAGACTAATACTTGAGCGCCACATGAATCGTGAAACAACTAATCACATACCAAAGTACACTTCAGAGAGATTCAATCCTTCCAGGCCAGAAGGCCAAACCGTCCTTGTTCGCCTGCCAGTGATAGAACGGACTGTCATGCGCAAGGATCACCCGCACGCGCGGGTGCGTCTCCATGAGCGCGCGGATCCTCGCAATCGTTCCCTCCCTTATCGTCGTGCGCGCACCCCAGGTTCGGATGAACTGCGATCCCTGCCTGGCCTGTCAACAGCCGGTGGTCATGCGCGCTATCCCCCGCGAGGTACACCCACCCTCCGTCTGCGGACGTGCGCGCGAGCACGTTGACGTGGCCAAGCATGTGCCCGGGCGCGTCGATGATGTACAGGCTCCCGTCCCCGTAGAAGTCGAGCGCGTGCGGGAAGGGCCCGAGCGGTGGCCAGTCCGCGGGGTCGAGGAAGCGCGTGCGGCCGTCGGGGACCACGTCCTGCGAGTAGCCAGATTCGGGATTGGCCGGCCACCCGGCCGCGATGAGGGGCTGGGCGGCCGCCCCAGCGAGGAACGTCGCGTTTGTGTAGGGGCGCGAGTTGCCGACGTGGTCGAAGTGGATGTGCGAGAGGCAGACGTGCTTGATGTCGGGGGGCGCAAGCCCGCCCTTGGCGAGGGAGTCGGCTGCGTCCTGCGGGATCTCGAGGCGGAAGCCTAGCTCCCGGATGCGCGCGAGGGTGAGGGTGGGCGCGTTCTCGAGGTCCTTGCGGATGCCGAGATCGAAGATAAAGGTGTCGCCGTTCGTGGAGTGTCGGAGCAGAAAGGAGAGCGACGGGAGTACAGCTATTTCGTCTTCTTTCGCGATGTCAATGAACACGCTCATCGGAGCGTGCATAAATCCGGCCTCGAGTGCGGAGACGTCGCAATAGGCCTGGTTTGAAGTTGGGGTGGGAAGGGCTGACATCGTGAAGGGCCTGTCGGATTCGTGAAGTTGCATTAGCGTAGGCACTGCGGAGATCGGCAAACTAGTCCTTTCATACCTGTGACGATGGAAGGAGTGCAACAGGATTGCAGGGCCGACAGCTATGCACGGGTGTCGCGACTATATAGGATCCTTACCGTGGCAGCAATGCGGCAGGGCCGCTGCCATCTGGTGCTCGTCATGGCCATTATGCGTGTGGTGCTGAACCGACGAGCATACGAACGTGGGACGCGATATGATGGGAACCCTTTACGTATTCCCGAGTGCATCATATGAGCAGTATAGTTTGTGCAGCAGGAAATCGCAGTGAGAATGTACCACGTGGAGATGCCCTTATGCTTCTGTGCTACGCAACCTTCACTCGGTTCTTGCCTTTTCGCAGACTCGGAGGCTGTATTGAAGCATGGTCGGCGCAGCTGGAACTGATATACCGCGTGCATAACAGCTGCGAACGGTGTTGTGCACCAGTGAAAATATTGTGACCTACAATGAGTATCGGTGTTGAGAACACCGTCCCTGCACCGTCGGAAACACCTTAAAGAAATGTTGCGAAACTGTGCTCCACATCGGGAATGAGCATGCAAAACACCTGGGAGAGGCGTAAAAATGTCTACTTGAGGTGTTTTGCACATTTATTTTCGACACCGCACAAAAATGTCAAGAACACCTTTTTCAGTTGTTCTCTCCCTCCTGTTCCGAACACCTCTAACAAATGTAGATCCTTCCCACAGTGTTGTCGGCACTGATCTCGCGGCTTGAAGGTAAGTACTCTGTTACGCCGATGCTCGTGCTCCCTCTGATGCTGGATAAGAGATGCACTCCACTGCTAGGCCTTGAATTCTAACATATACCACACGCTACTTGAGTCGCAACCGACGGAGCAACTCGGGCGGCGGTTGACGGTAGAGGAGGGAGGAAGCTTGAGAGAGAGCTACCTGAGGCTTGGGCGCTCTCCGGCCTTCTCTGGTACACTTAGACGCCAAATTTAACGGCACAAACGGTCCGGTCTTGGTACATGCAAATGGGCGTCTAATGAGGTACTCTTGCAACCTTGCCACTATCTTCGAAGTTTGCGGCGTCCTTCAAGGCTTTTGCTGCTCGTCTTGCATAACAATCTTCCTTCTGTCTGCGGAAACTATATTGTCCAACTACGCTGCAGAGGATGCTCGGGGCTCGTAGTCTGAAGAGCACGTCTCACACCTCTCGAACTTCATTATGGTCCGGAACCTCTCAGGTGCAAGCTTGTCGCATCCGATTGGCATCATCACCTCGTGACTGCAGAGCAGCGTCGACGAGCGCGAATCCGTATCCGTTTCCTAAGGCGACACACCCAACGCCTCACCAAATCTTCCACCTCCCGAGGAGTGCTACCCGAGCTGACGTGAAGGCGCGATGTACGTACCTGTCCTCTCTGCTCCGGCTGTCATATTCATCTCGAAAGCGCAGACTACGACCTAGTCCGAATATACCACCCGGACTCTCCGGTAGCTTCCGCTGGGGGAATCTCTCCTGAGATAGCACACGCTCGCTTTCAAGCCATTGCTTCGGCTTATGCCGTCCTTTCCGGGAAGAAACCTGCGTCTTCATTAGACGGTTCGAATGCCGGAGAAGGACCAATGGCGGCCTCCCGGGCTACTTACCACGACCTCAGTACCGCAATGTGGCGAGCGCGACAGGCGAAGCGGGCAGAGCTGGATGTTGGCTTGGACGACCGGTGGAAGGAACGGATGATGTTAGGCGTCATACTCCTGGTGCGTCTTCGCGATCCGCTTTGAACGTCGCATGACATGCTCCCGTAATGAGTGTGCTTGGAAACTGATCCCATGACGAGCCCAGACTATCAGTTTGTTCGTCTACCAAACCTACAGCACCCGCTCGCAAGCGCTCTCGGAAGCCAGAAGTTCTCGTCGGCCAACAACAAGGGCAGAGGCTTCAACGACGGCGGAATCAAACGATGATCATCGATTATCCTCAGAGCCCCGTCCGCCCTCCCAGACCAACTCGTAGTTGGTATCCTACTGCCGTACGGATACGAAGCCCGGCATGTAATGGGCGAACACTTGTTACAATGTTCATAATGATATTTCTGCCTATCGTTCCCGCTGAAACTTCTTGTTTCTTTTTAGTACAGGTTGCGACATGCCAGGTGCAGCTAAAAGGCCGAGGCTTGATAATTTACCGAACAGGCTACGTCAACGCCTGCACCGCTTCATCCGTTACGCCGCAAGGGACGAAGATGGGGACAATGTTCGATCCTTTCTTCACGGAGGCCCGGTGTCCTGCGTCGAGTGTGCGACCATATCTCTCAACAATGCGGGAGTACGTGACATGCCCAGGCACATATACACAAAGCTTCCGGGTCGCCCCAACACAAGATACCCCGCATCATCCCGCCGGCCAGATTCGTGTCCTCCGCAGGCCCGTGCAGGCCGAATACTGGTGTAGCAGTCACTCTGACGCAGTCCGACGTCAGCGGACATAGAGTTCTCGCAAAATGACCCGCTACTGCAGGAAGGTTGTCGGCCCGTGTACGATCAAAGCTTAGCGTCGGCGGCATGGCTGTGCACACTATGCGGTATCAATGTCACGTAGATCACCTGCTTGACGTCGTTAGAGTGCATGGTCGGTGGAACTTCAAGACCGAGTGCATTTGAAAACTATAGCGCGGAATGGATCAGGCTCGCGAGGTTGGGCGTAATTACACTAACAGAATTGTTGCCACGCTCGAGGGAAGATCCGATGCAAATCGGATGGGTGCTATCCGTGACAGCTTTTTCTGCCTGCCGACGCGGACTGCGCCCGTACGTTGCAAGCGACACCTGTGCGTGCGAGTTCGTGCGGATCATTATTATGTTACATACTGGACGCCTCAGTGCAGCCAATTTGGAGTCAACCCAGAAAGTACTCAAGATTGCCGCCCGCAATTGTATCCGGACACCGTCAGGGACACTGACCACATTCTTGTGGCATCGGTGCACTGCACGCCATCAGGTCATCTTCAAGTCCAACGAGCTTGATAGGCTTGAGCTCGGGTCACCCTTTTCCGTTGCCGACCGTGACGTTGGCAGCACTGGTTTACTAGCAAACATCGGGCATTGGAAATTACGTGGCGCCACCGGCACCAGACTGAGGTAAGTGTCTATTCCATGGGTTCGAGCCAGCTAACTACCCGACGTTCAGCGCTGATTCTTTCGTCACTCACCGGTCCTCCGGCGGCCAGTCGGCATCTGTGAAGGCGCTGCATTCCCCAAAGCTAGTTGCACTTGGATGCAGATTTTTTTCGACGCCCCATAATGGCACAACTCCTTGCAGCCTCAGCATCGGTGATCGACCCGACCTCGGAGGGTTTTAGTATAGCGTCCACGGTCCACCTCTCATCCGGTGCATACAAGGACATGGTGTAATATCAGAACGGTCCGCTGATCAGTAGTGTCCGCGATGATCAACAGGTTACGAAATGCCCCGCCTTGGCTTCGGAGTCTACCAGAACTACACCACGCACGACTCCGTCCTCGAGGCATTCAAGGCGGGCTACAGGTAAGTAGTGTGCCCACATAAATTACGATCCGCTGATCATACAATTTACTAATAAAAAACTATGGCGCGATCGCCAGACATGTGGACTCCGCCCAAGCATACAGGAACGAGGCACATGTCGGCTCGGCCTTCCGCGCAGGCGGGTTGCGACGAGAAGACCTGTTTATCAGTAAGTGTGTTCCGCCGGAAACCCCGGGCGCGCCGAGGTAGAGGCGCGTCCTTATGCTGATGTGCCGTACAGCGACGAAGTGTATCAGCAAAACGCACGGCTACGAGAGCACCCTGAGCGCCGTCGATATTTCCCTGGAGCGGTTCGGCATGGGTACGCACCGTTGCCGGTATATCTGACGTGGCCTCGCACTCACCGCCGCGGTGGACAGACCACATTGACTTATACCTTATCCATGATCCGTTCAAAGGGAAGGAGCTACGGCTGCAGACATACAGGGCATTGTTAGAGGCGCAAAAAGCGGGCAAAATCCGTACGGTCGGCGTATCCAATTTGTGAGTCCCACGAGACCTCGCCCCATCCGTTCCTTTGCAGCTGACAAAATTCCCGCGCGGGTGCAGCGGTGTTAAGCACCTAGAGGAAATCCGCAGCGCGGGCTTGCCAATGCCTTCTGTAAACCAGATCGAGGTCAGTGCCGTAAGATTTCGCCCGAGGTCAGCATCCATTATGACGGCCCTATTTGTCCACCGCTGCGAAAGTTGCATCCGCTGTGTCAGCAGAAGCCCATCGTGACGTACTGCCGCGAACACGGGATAGTCGTCCAGGCGTACTCGCCGCTCATCCGCGGCCAAATGGACCACCCGGTCTTCACCAATCTAGCGGCAAAGGTACGTATGCATGTCGGCGACGTCCCGGGCCCCACGGACTCAACCTCAGCTCCCAGCATGGCCGCGACCCAGCGCAAGTGCTGCTGCGGTGGTCCCTACAGAACGGGTGAGCGGCGCTCACCATTACCCGCGACACGATCGAACCTTGACGGCGCCCGGGTCACAGCTTCGTGCCGCTACCGAAGTCGGCGACGCCTGCCCGCATACAGACGAACGCGGAGCTTTACGACTTCGCGCTTGACGCCGAAGACATGGCGCTCCTTGATGGGCTCGACAGGGGCAAAGAGGGGGCGGTGACATGGAACCCTGTCGACGCGGAGTAGAAGCGGTGTGGGTGCGGCGGATCTGCAGAGACACAAGCTCAGCTGGATGATACCGCCGTAGTCAAAATCAAGCAGGGGGCGGCGGGGGCAGGGCTGCTCGGGACAGGTGTTCAAAGATTCCACCGGGCGGCGCTCTGTCCAAATGGGGCTCAGAAAATATGGCTCGAGCGCCAGCGGAAGAAACAGCCTGAGAGCGGGATAGCCACCATGCCCGGCCCCGTGGATGGAAGCGCAGCACACCGAGGTCATCACGGGCTGCGGAAGGATGTGCAACACTCACCCTGGCAGCGGTGCGTATCGTAAGAGTGTGCCTTGCTGCGTCGAAGGCCACCGGGGGCTCTAATGCGGCCACGCGTTCTTTCTCGAGCACGGCGGATTCTCTCCGCAGGTCCTGGAAATAAACGGCAGGAAGATCGATAGCGGTGGCAGTAACAAGAAGGCACAGCATAAAGAAGGTCAATCCTCGTCCATGAGGGACTCGCCCTTCTTTTTCCTCTCTATTCGCTCCTGGAGCGCCCTCTTCGCGCCCTCCTTCGCGCCTTCCAGCTTGCCCGCCTTCGCCATGCTCAGGAGCAGAGCATGGATGAAGCCAAGGTAGTTGTGCCTACGCAGACTGTTCTCGAACTATGGTGGGGCACATCAGTAGCCATTCGCCTCGGAGGGGACGCGGTGTGCGCGAGACTTACCGCCCATCGTTCGCGTTTCGAGTTCTCGTTCGCAAGCTTTACGACCAACTCCGCCGCTTCAGATTGACGTCCAGCCGCTTGAAGCTGGGCCAGCTGCTCTTGCAGGCGCGGCACTGGATCATCGCGAACCGCGAGTAGACTGAATTCGAGCTACGCGAGTGTGAGAGTTCGGCATTTCCGGCAAGTACAAAAGTTCTACTCACAGCACCAGCGGGATAGGTGGCTATACGGGCCTGGATTACATCCCTGCGTGATGAATATGCGGTCAGCTCATCAGCCGACTGTAAATATTTTTGGCAAGTACCTAGCCTTTGCGACCCATCCCTCGCCACTGTCCGAGAATGCACCGTGATTCACCGGTGCCTCCTTGAGGCCGTCCATCTCGTATACGGAACCCGCGTAAGGCTGATACACGATGAAATGGTACGCGTCCTCCGAGGTCTTCGCGAGATCCAGGCCCTCGAGAGAAATAGCGGAAGGTGGTGACAGCGCATTATGCGCTTCACGCAGCCAATCAGAACTTGTGATAGCCATGCCGCTGGTCTGAGGATCCATCCCCGTGGTGAATTCGAGAAGTTCCGCGAGTTGCGGTCCCTTCGTGAGTCCGGGGATATTTCCGATCGCGTTCATGACAGCGAGCGTCGCGCACGCGTTGTTGACGACTTGGTGCGCGAAGAAGCCGGGGAACTCGGGGTCGTACTGCCCTCCGCTGGACGGCACGCTCGATTCGCCCGCGACCCATTTGAACAGGAAGATCAGGGCGTGGAGAGGCTGAAGTTCCGCAAGAGACTCAGAGTCCAACGAATACAAATCATCGACAATCAGCGGCACGCCCAGTGTCTTCAGTAGTTCTCTGTGACTTCCGTCAATTCAGACTCTCCCGGGTCGGAGTTGTGCTCGTACGTGAAGACTCCGGGATCCGATTCGGTAAGTTGCCAGCCGCTGGAGTCGTCGTCGGCAGACATGGAGTCTTGCTGGGCTGGGTAGGCAGACGAAAGGTTGTGGTGGCGGGAGACAGAAAGCAACGGCGAGCTCGCGGGACCCGGGTGCCACGGTCTGACGCGTCGCGCCCGTCACGTGGCCCCTCCACAATTTAGCTGTCCCAATCGGGTGCTTTGTTTGGCAACAGCCTCCGATCCAAACAACCGCTTCTCGAAAGCCACCACCATTCGGCTCTGCCGTCTCCGCCCCACGTGGCTCTATCATGTCGCAGCCGGAGCCTAACCCGGACCTTCGCAGCGCCAATCGGGCACGCTTCGAGCTCGAGCTCGAGTTCGTGCAGTCGCTGGCCAATCCTTTCTATCTCCATTCTCTGGCCCAGCAAGGGATCCTGAATCAGCCGGCGTTCGTGAACTTCCTCAAGTACCTCATGTACTGGAAGGAAAAAGACTACGCACGCTTCATACTGTGCGTAAAGCCCTTATGAACTCTCGGTTCATGCTGATAACTCGTACCGCAGCTATCCACACGCACTGCATCACCTAGAGCTCCTGCAGCATGCGCAGTTCAGGACAGAAATAGGCAAGGACGAGTGGAGAGAGTATCTGAACCAGAAACAGTTCGATCACTGGCGAACATGGTGAAGCCTATCCCGCCGGCCTCTCGTCGAAATTTCGCTGACATGCAGCCGTAGGCGCGACCCCAGTCGGATCCAGGCGGCGACGACGGCAGCGACGGACTCACAGCCGCAATCTGCTGTTTCAGAGACGCATAACGTACCAATGACGAACGGGGCATGAACCCTGAGTCTTCGAGGCACTGTAATCCCACGTTGGCGCTCCAACTTGAACGCGCTCCCGACATGCCAGCGCTTGTGGCTAGATCGAGGCTCAGAGTTGTTGCGCCCAGAGAACACCTCTTTCTCTACAGGCTGCTGAAGACATGCTGTCTTTTACGTGTGGTACATTTCTAGAAGTTTCTCAGCATCGCGCGCGCGTTGTTTTGAAGACGCTTCATATAGATTGTGGTTGGTGGTGGCCGGGACAGGCTCTCATCGGTCTTTGTGCCGCCCCTATATGCGATGCATAACGTTCTCAGACGGAAGCTACCGTCCAATCAACGTTCTGGAAGCACTACGCCGGCGCCCAAGTGCCGAATCGCAGTTTGGCTCTGTTACGACACTACTTCTCTCCGCATCGACAGGGTCTCCCCTACTTTGCTCAGCATCGCGCCTGCAGCCTTCGGCCGATACGCTCGTTGAAATGCACACTAGGATCGATACGCTCTTTCACCGAGACAAAACTGCTGATAAATTATCTCTAAGCTCTCGGGGACCCTGTCGGACGTCATTACAACCTAACGATACTACGTATGTCCACGCCCTGCGTCGTCCCAAACCCGATGCAAGGGCTCCGCGCCATCGTCTGAGTATGGCGGCGGTAGAGAGTCTGTCCGTACGGCCTTCACAGGCATCCCCGCCGACTCCGCCTCGTCCTCCTCGTCCTCCACGGAAAAGAGGAGCTGCTCCTCCGCGAGCCGCCCGTCCGCGTGCTGGCGGTTACCAGTTAGAACACCTAAAGGACACGTCTGCGCCACATTACTCACATGCCGACGCTCGGCCTCTTCTGCATCTTCATCGTCCAGGGGCCCATCGATATCTTCCGTCAGCCGCTGCATCTCGCCTGCCTCGAGCGCGATGTCCCCACAGGCGACTTCTTCCACCGGCAGCGGGTTCCCATGGGGGTCGAGCGCGATGTCCGTGTTGATCGACCGCTCGTATTTGTGCCACGTGAAAAGACCAATACCTGTGGCATTAGGACGGCGGGTTAGCGTTCTGCGTGCACGGCGAAGAGCGTTCTTCCGTACCGCACGCGGTAATGGCGACTCCGGTGATGTTCAGCGGCGTCAGCTCGTCGCCAAACAGCCACGCTGCGCATATGATGGTGGTCACTTCTTTCGCAATACCGGCGATGGACATCGGGACGACCCCGGCGCGCTGGATGATGCTGTCACGAGAACGTGTTATCGGACGCCGCGCGAGCGGAAGATAGAACGCCGGACGTACTAGAACTCGCTGAGGACCATACAAAACGCGAGGACGCCCGGGCTGAACAGGAAGAACAGGGTCTTGAGAGTCTGTTCCGGGGTCGCGAAGAACGGGCTGCTGAAGACTTTGGCCCAGCCATCGACAATCGCGGATGTGATGGCGAGGGAGACTCCCATTATCGGCGCTAGCCAGAAGAGTGTGGCGGCGGGGTTGCTCATTCCGACATCCTTGCTTCGTAGAAGCAGTTGTGTGAGACTCCACCGAAGACCGCCGAGAGCGCTAGCGCTAGTAACGAGAAGGAAGCCCGAGAGCACGAAATGGGTCTCGGTCGCGACCATGAGGAGGACGCCGATGCAGATGAGGACGATGACGCCGACCAGACGGAGTGAGAAGGTCTCCAGCCGAAGGAGGAAAGCGAACGTTAGCACGAATACAAGTGAAGACGACTTGCACATCGCTGCCAGGAGTTGTGAGCCGAAGTGTAAAATGGTGGTGGAGTCGACTTACTGTAGAATGATAGTGTGATTAGTTTGAGGGATAAGTTAGACAGGCCGATGTCCAAGCCGGTGGCAATGCCCGTCGGAACTGCTTTGCGCCTGCGAAGCTTATGAGAACCATTTCATCGTTGGAAGTTCCTGGCCCTGTTTGGCAATGTTCTACACACGACGGGGGCGCTGGCCCCGCAGCACGGCACACGCGCGCCCATCAGAGCGACCATTGATAGACCCAACAACGACAAGCACTAAACCGCACTTGTCGTCGTTGGGCCAAGGATGTTTGAATAGCTGGACGCAACTTACAGGTAGTCTCCGCGGGAAGGGCTCTGGGCTGGCCGGAAGCGCCCTGGCATCGTGTACCGCAGCATGGCTGCAAGCAAGAACTGCACCCACATGTGGATGGTGGTGACAAAGAGCGGTGACGGAAAGCCGTAGTGTTCAGGCGAGAACATCCACTTGTTGTACACAGATATCAACGTGGCAAAGAAGAACCTGCGGGAGCATGTTCAGAGCTGCTCGGGGAGCATAGGTAGTGTGTACTGGGCCTACCATGATGCTATAAACAGGCAGTTGATGAGTGCGTTCCTCCACCATAACCGTTTCTTCTCCGCCAAGGACGCGATGTGAACGGCATGTTCGAGGTCATCCATGTCTCGCTCGCCATCTTCAGCGCGGCTTAGCGAGCTGAGACGGGCGGAGCCGCTGGAACGGTGCTGTCCTGAGCTCAGCATGTGTTCGGCGATCGGGACATGAGGGTTCGTAGCACAAAGTCACGTTTCCTGAGATCCTCTGCTGGCACCCATCTCAGATCAGATCGGGCGCCTATGTACCTTCTCCGTCCCCATTAGGACTGGATATTCACACGCCTTTGACAGGCGCCCACACTCGCCTAGTGGCCGACTGCCTCGGGGGAATCGGCCAAATTCACACCTACCACTCTTCCGCCACCGAACGTGAGGCTGGTTTACGAGCCTAACCTACCACGAGCCTCGAAAATATTCTCATCTGCACCCATCCCTTGGTCAGTCAGGCGTGCCCAATTATTTGTGAATTTTGCTTATCCCATCTTCCCAGGTTCGACCGCTACTTTCGATTGGAAATGCGCACATTCTGACTCCGAAACATGATAGGCGGCGACTCACTCGGACGCAGTCTGCGAATCGAGCGGTGTCGACCGCTTTTTCAGCGGCGGTGCACTCGACAATGCCAGGAAGAGACGCGTTCTCCTCGACAGACGGCAGCGCGCTATAGCATTGGACCTCGCGGCCACGGGCGGCGTCCAGCGTGATGTCTCGCTGATGCCTGCCGCCCCATCCGCTCAGGAACATCGCGCGTGGATCGTGCTTTTTCGTGGGCACTTGAGAGGGCACAGCAATGAGCGATCGTACGGGGGCTGCTCGGCGCTGACGCTGAAACTTTGTCGTCGCCGAGTGCCTAAGCGTTTCACGTTTGCTGACGCTTCCTCCCGTCTTCTCCACGGCGCTTTCCGCGAACATGATCTCGATTGTCTGCTAGCGCTGAACATGCGAAGCCCTACGGTCGATACGCGGGTCTATAAAGACAACATGTCTTTAGCGACCGCGCCACTCCCCTACACACATATCCCTCCTCACCATGTCCGACATCGAGTTCGTCATCGAGGCGCCACAGTCCGCCCGCCAGAACAAGAAACGTCCACGGCTCGTGACCTCTTGCGACCACTGGTGAGTGTACTACCAGCCCCAATGCGTACCGCCACTAAACCTTTGCTGCTTATGCTGGCCCCAGTCGCGTCAAGAAGATTAAATGCGTCCAGCAACCCTCCACGGGCAAATGCGAGGCGTGCGCCACGGGGCGTCTCCCCTGCCTCTATCGCGACCGCGAGCAGTACTTCGCAGAGAGGACTCGTATGCTCTCGGGGGCCACCTCTGCCGTCTGTGACGCCTCAGAGGTCGATCACAGCCAGGCCCAGCTATCTGCTATCAGCACATCGAGTTCCTCGGGCAGCAGCTCTTCCCGCCCCTACACCCCCCCAAGCAGCGTATCCCCAGCAACGACCCCCGATCGCTCATATTCACCCACGCACTACCCGCATATGGACATGAACGCCGTGGACTTCGATCAATATCATGCCTTCTCTGGTGGACTGGGCGAACAGGCTGTGCTGCCACAGACGTGGTATGTGTGCTGCGCAGTTTAAGACGTCTACTGCGGCTGACAATGTGGCCGTTTCCCCAGGCATGATCCTGTACAGACGTCCCAATGGTCACCGAACGGTGCCGGGACCCACCTCGGGCTCCAGACACCTTCGCCGTTCTCCTCGAACGGCCTCTTCGACCCCAGTGACCCGACCCAGCCTCATCCGAATCTCATGATGGACTTCGTGCCCGCCTTCTTTGACAAGTTCGGCGCAGCATACCCATTCCTGTCCTCGAGGAATATATGCGACCAGTTCTTCCGCCGCAGGCTCTCGCCACTGCTAGCCAACAGCATTGCGGCCTCCGCAGCCAGGTTCGTTCTCCCATTCATTTGCGTCTTGTGGTCGCCGTACTGAATGTATACGGCTGCGCGGTCTAGGTTCAGTACCGTGTCAGAAATACAGCAGATTGGACCGGCGAACGTTGCAAACGTGTACTGTCAGATGGCGAAGGTAATCATTTCTCGGCTCCGTCGCACGGGTCAATGGAGAACTCATCGCGCGTCTAGAGCCTTGTTCCACAGAACGGAACACCCGCCAGCCTGGACGCGGTCCACGCTCTCATTATTCTGTCCTGCGTCGAATACAAGCGCAGCCGGCATGCAATGTTTCTTGCATATGCTCGAGTACGTACCCATCCCCCTCTTCGAAGTCCCGGCGGTTTCCACCGACCGCCCGGACTGCCCCCGAGCGTTATTCACGTTGCTCGTCGCCTGCGCAGACCGCAATACGTCAAGCCACCGAACTTGGCATTTCCGAATCCATGCCGCCGCCCCTCACGCACGTCCTCGACCCCGAGACGGCACACATCCTCCAGGCGACGCTCCACAGTATTCAGCACCTGCGCCGCACAATCTCCGCGTCGCCCTTCGTCGCGCCCTCACCAGCACCTTCGGCCGGTACGAGCACCCGCGCGTCATGGGGGCACCTCGGGCCACGGTGCTGACATGCCACAGGTGCGCTATTCTGAGGACGGCCTGGCGTGTCTCGGCGTGCGGGATCCACGACGAACACGAGCACATGCGCCTGATAGCCGGCCCGTCCTCTCTCGCAGACGGTGCGCGACGCATTCACCGGTCTCAAAGCCGGCTACGTCGGCCTATGCACTACCTGCGATCCCGCCCCCGCACACGAAGGAAGCTACGGGCTCTCGTCACGCTACTCATGATATTTCCCGGTCGGCCGGCCGTCTCGTCTCGACCCTACTCTCTGTCGTATCACATCCGCAAGAACTGTATCCATGATCCCGCCCGCACCCCTAATCGTCGGCCGCCCGTCTCAGACCCCGTCGGACGGCGTGCTGTTGTACAGTGTACATACATACTACTGCATGTCGATACCCGTATACCGATCATACCACGCTAGCGTCATCAACCTGCTGCGCAGTGCGCACCCGCGGTCTCACCCCATCCCGCACGCGTGACAAAGCCTCGACACTCGCCGTGCCGACCCCGCCCCATCAAAGTCCGCTGGGCACCACACATCGAAATCAAAAACAGAGGGCACGGAGCCGACATGACGAGGCCGCACGGCGCACGCGGCCGCCACATGGGATACGCACACCCCCTTGCTGCCGCGGCCGCGCGGACCACCATTTTGCGCGACCTGAGATCGGCGGGCCCGGGAACTGGAAGCCTGTTCGCATCGGCGGGCCATGGCAGATGCACCTGCCCCTGGGCCCGATGCTGTTCGGTGGCACTGCCCGGCATCCCCGCGTCCATACGTTTTCCGGTCGACACGGAAGTGTAGCTATGTGCAATGAAGAACGATGAACTGTCAAACGGAGCGTCGAGCATCGTCGCTTTGCGGTTACGCCAGGAACTGGCCTACGGGGGCGTATCATTCGAAGTCAAGAATTCGGTGGGTATCAGCTCCATCTTCAGGCTCGTGGCCGTATCATTATGCGCACAGTCCAGATCCGCCTGCGTCCTCTGTGGATCTGGCATGGAGGGGTCACGAAGCTGCGCAGCAACCGTTCCGCCAACGGGCCCGGGATCACGTACAACAGGGACGATCTTTAGAAGCATGTACAAGTCCTGCAAACTAGGTTTTCGCATAAGTTAACAGTTATCCATTACTGCCCGCCAGGCACATCCTACAATACCTACTTAGACGTACACAGCACGATGGGCCGGAACGGATACGAGACACACGATCAAAACGTACATGGGTGCGGTGTGCGCACCTATTCAAGAACAACAACACGTACCATAGATGGACAACATTCTCCCACTGCCACACGCGCGGGCCGTCCCCCTCGTACACTCGAGTCTCATCCGCACCCGTCTTCCAGTCTCAGATTTGCAACGTTCCATCGGGCATCCTCCGCATCCAAACTTCCAAAGAACCTGCACGCATCGGAACGACGAAAGGCCCGCACACCTGATCGCGTCCTGCGCCGATCAGTACCTGTAGCTCTGCCCGTACCGGTCGCGGTCGTAGTCGTCGTACCGGCTGCGGCTCGACGACCGATGACGATGGTGCCGGTGGTGGTGCCCGCTGGAGGCACTGGAGTCCCTGCGCGACCGGTGCTTCGAGATGATCACCGTCGAGCCCGCGGGGGCCACCTGTCCATCGGGGAGGACGATACCCCCGCCCGCACCGTACTGTTGCGCGCCATACTGCCCGGGGTATTGTCCGGCACCGTATTGGCCTGCACCGTATCCCGGAGCGGGGTATCCTGGCGTGGCCTGCGGGTACGCACCGGCTCCGTAGGGCGCCTGCACGCCGTAGGGGTTAGGCGAAGCTCCGCCGTAGGGATTGGGCGACGCGCTGCGGTATCCATAAGTCCCTCCGTAGCCTGGGGCTGCGCCATAGGACCCTGGGATGCCTGGCGCAGCGCCGTAAGAGCCTGGCATTCCTGCGCCGTAGGGTGCCGCGGCGCCAGGGATGGCACCAGGGATGGGCATTGGGGAACCGCCAGCGCCGTAGGGAGAGCCGAGCGGGTCGCCATAGCCGGGGGCCCCGACACGGACTACGGCGGGGGCGTTGAAGGAATTGTGGCGACTGCGACCACGCCGGCCGGAGTATCCCTCGTCGTATGCATACGCGTCACCAGTGTTGGAACCGCTGTAGGAGGAGCCGTATCCGACACCTCCGCCGCCGCCTCCACCACTAGTCCAGCCGAAAAGCTACGTGGAAACGAACCTTTGGTAAGGAGCTAACTAGCTGACTACGGAATGAACTTACCCTGTCTGCAAGAACGTTCGCGGCAGAAGCGGATGCCTCACAAGCAGCCCTCAAGCCGTACGTATCCTGAGGCCTTCCAGAGTATTGCCAAAGGCGTTGCGCTGTAAACAAAAATTAGAGTGAGCTTCTCATTTCACTACAGGAGCGTAGGCAGGTCCAAAACCGAGTGGAAATGCACGATGAATACGTTTCTTTCAATCACAATCCAGATACTTATTATTTGGCAGGGGGGATACTTCAAGATCAAAGCAACGCTGTACTTTCATTCCCGATGCAGGCTGATCACATCTCGCTATGCAGGCTCTCGCTACCGCCGTGGTACCATGTAGGCAGTATCACACCGCGTATAGCCAACCCGTACGTGGCCCATCGCATCGCGGTTCCCCTCTTGGCTGCGAAGACTCTCAGGCGTGCGCTAATGTGCATTTCAGGAGATCCGGAAGCGCAAACAGTGCTTTCGGCCCTTGACTCACGCGCGCGCGCGCTTGCCGCTCACCACATGAGCGCTCCGAGCTCAGCTGCTCCGAGTTCCGAACAATCCGCCGAAGCCTAGTCAGAGAAGAGAAGGACGTACTCTCAGCAATCGCCATTCCAATCAAGCCTTCCCGCTGCAGTTCCCGATCCGCGCTGAGGGGCTCATACAGGAAGGAGTTGTGTTTCCAGGTGCGGTATGCTTCATATGCGGCGGCCGCGCCGATATCCGCGGGGAGGAGCTGCTGGAGCTGGACCTGTGGTGCGAGAAAGACCGTGAGTCGTGCGCGGGGGTGGAGCCTGTATAACAGGGCGGGTGACAAAAAAGAGGCTCACCATCCCGCTATAGATACGGCGATGCCAATGCCGCGCTTCGTGGTGGCCGACACCCATGCCCAGGATATCCCTCAATCGTACCATGATCGACTCGTAGAGGGAGCTGGTGAAAACAATCGTTGACCACGGTGTGAGTATGTCAGCCGCGATGTAGGCCGGTGAGCGACTTACGGGTCGGGATTGAGGGCGTGTGCGTTATAGAAGTCGGATCCCCGCCCTAGTGTGGTGAGTGAGCAGACGGAAGGAGAGAAGACAGAACAGTGCGGCTGACATGACGGCTGAGGCTGGAAAACTGGCTGAGGCGGAGCACCGAACTGGAACTGCACGGAACCCTCAAGGCCTGCTCTGCGCGCGATTAGACAAAGAACGCACCTGCGAAGTCCCCCAACCCGGCATTTGCGACTGGTAGTAGTTGTAGGCCATCGCTGAGGAGGAGATGAGAGTCAGAAGCAAGAGGCAAAAGCTGTCGAGTGTGAGAAGAAAGCGGTTGCTGGGCAGGCTCGGTTGAGTGGCCAGAGAGAGACTAGCGGCAAGTCATCTGCCACAGCGCGAATCGCAGCATCTTATACTGTCCCGTGACGTCACGCTCTTGGCCGTTTGTTTGTTCTGCCGCAACGCCGGCCATGACCGGACCCTCGTACGTGTCGTCGGGGAGGCGGAGGCGAAGGCGTGAGGTATGGGGGCCCAGAGAAGTCGAGAAGTTTCATCTCCGGAGGTAATAGCAACTGGATTGGCATTTATGCAGGCAGGTCACCCAACCCGAGCTTGAGGTTGACTGTGTCCTGAGTTCAGCTCATGGAGAGATAGATGCGACTGCCAGGCATGGAGAGAAGACCCAGATGCTCAGAGACTACCGTTCTTTGAGAAACAAAGAAGAGCAGACAGCACGCGGATGGACGAGGGCTGGGCATGAGGTGGTAGTGGAGAAAGAAAGAGTACGCCTCGCGGACGGAACGGGAGGAGTGTCACTCGCGATCGAGATCTGCTATAAATGGGCGCTTACTACAGGGACGCGCTCTCGCGCGCGTCGACGGACACAACGCGGCTTTGATCCTCCTCCTTTCTCCTCCCGGCGAGACCCATGCCCTGCTCGGATGTCTGGTCGGTCTCACACAGTCTTTGCTTTGCCCTTTGGCTCACAATCTAGCAGACTATGCTGTCTTCGCACACCCCGACTTTGACCCGAACGACTACGCGAACGCTATCCTAGCAGGGGAGCCGTACCCTCCGCAACCCGGCAAGCCCAAGCCTGCGAAGAGCACAGGCCTTGCCCCGGCCAGCGAAGATGTCTCTGTAGCCATCTCCAAGCTTACGTTCAGCCTCGACGATGTGGAGAAACAACTCAAGAACGTGGTGAGCACCCCTCCTGCTTACCGGCACCTCACTCCTGTGGGCCTGGCTGCGGGAATAGCATGATGACCCTTTCGCCACGGTATAGGTTACCACGCACCACGAAGATCTTCTGGTGCAGGCTGCCGGAGTCTCAGACCTCCAGGGCTCACTCGGGTCTGTCCGGACCGGCCTGAACGAATTGGATTCGTCTCTAGAAAAGTGAGCGTGGCGTTCAGTGACGCAAGGCATCCCCCTCGCGATTTGTGCCCTGTTTCTCTGGGATGCATTTGGGAGATCTACACCGCTTCTTCGGTGCGCCATACGGGTTCTCACTGCGGTACACGATGAACGCACAGTGAGCACGAGTGTCGGCTTCTCACATTCAAAGCGCACCACTCCGAGCCGCCGGGATTTGGCGGCATATATGCGGCCCCTTTCAGTGAACATGTCGCAGCTGCTGTGGTGGCTCCTAATTATGTTTCAAAACATAATATACGCGTTGCTCGGATCACTTGCGAAACGTCATTCGACCGCTCAGCAGCTCCGATGTCGACCCTGCAGACAGAGGCGTCGCCGTCTCGTCACTCGTATATTACGTTCCGCTATCTTGTCAGACTGTTCGACAGAACCCAACTCGCACTCGTGATACTTGGTGGCGTCAGTGTTCGTGTGAACGTATTCTGACTGCTTCATACACGACCTTTCGAACCTATACTCACCGCCTCACTCACAGACTCCGCCTGAAGATACGCGTTCCTTACCAGTCTCTTCAGACACATGTATCCAAGCTCGAACGTCTGCAACAAGCCTCGGATATTCTCCGGCGCACCTCGCGTTTCGTCATCCTCGCTCGTCGGCTTGAGTTGCAGCTGGCTGAGATGAACAAGGCCGACGGCCCCGAGTCCGAAATTACGAAGGCGAAACCACAAACGAATGGCGCCTCGAACTCGGGCCCTGGGGCTCGGGCAGAGACGCCAGTGACGCTCGAAAGCGAGGACGAGAAGGAGCGCGCGATTGCAAAGGCCGCGCTGACGATTGCCGAGTTGAGTTAGTGTTTCTCTCCCTCGTTATCGTCCGAACCCCGCCGCGAACCCTCGCTGACACTTAATATAGCTGCGCTGCTTGACGCGACCAATGAACTCCCTACCGCGGGCGCCCCTCGCGATGGCCAGACCGCAGGCGAGGACAGTGGGAACGACGCTGGAGAACGTGTGCCGTTAAACTCGATCAAAGCAGTCGCCGCGCATCTCCCGTTCATCGATGCAGCCCGAAGCAAGGTCACCGCGGACATGGAGGCGATGGTCTTCACCGGCCTGGCTACTTTGGTAAGCCCATATCCCTAAGCAACCGGTGGTTGCGCTGACCGGGCTTCTCCGTAGAACCAGTCCATGCTTGCGAGTTCTCTCCAGACAGCACATAATCTCCGCGTACTGCCGGATCTCGTGCAGAACTTGGTCAGCGACTTGTCAGAAGCTGTGGAAGGCCGCATTCGGTCCGCGTTCGACTTGACGCGAATATCCAAGGACATCATGACCAAAGGTCAGTCCCACGTCTCCTTCGCGCAACTTCGCGCATTTCCACACGTGGTATGCTCACACACATGTGCGCAGACTCCGCGTCTCTTGGCCAAGGTCTGCTGTACAAGTCTCGCGTACGGACGGAACCTACGAGCGTGACCGCACCTCAGTGGACTGCCGCACTATGGGGTAGCCTTGAGAGCCTCATCGAGGAGATGGCAGACTGCTGTATTAAGGTGTACACACTCGAAAAGGTGCTCAGGGTGAAGCGGGATCCAGTCACAGACGTTGTTTTCCTGGACGAGGCTATGAAGGTGAGAGAATACAAGGGAGTAGCGCGGGAGGTGGGAAGCTCAGTGCGCTTGTGCAGGTTCTCGAGAACAAGCCAAGTACCACGTTCTGGGCTTCCCTAGGACGCTCGCTGGAAAAGCACGCGCGCGACGCAGCGAAAGGTACGTCAGGGCCCGCTCATACCTGTCCAGACCCTCATTCAAATGCCAGGGTCGAGCTTCCTCCAACAAACTCTCAGCACAGGATATCCGAGGTTGCTCCGCCTGTTCCACTCGTTCTTCACCAAGATTGCGGTCCACACGGATACAGTGTATACTCAGAGTCAGCAGAGGTCAGCCTTCACCACCCATTATCGGTCATTTGCGCCTGACAACGCCCCCCAGTCCGGAGACTATCCTTGTTCTGCGCGCACTATCCAACTTCGAGTCTCTCTACCTATCCCGCTCCTCGAACCGGTTGAACGAGACCGTCGGCCAAGCCTTCTCGGGCGGAACTCGCGCACCTCCTGGCACATCCGAGGGCGTAAACATCGCGCGCGCGGTCGCAAACGAGCTTGATTCGGCGAAGTTCGACCCACTCCTTGTGCAATCTGTTGCACGGTATGCGGTGTCGAGCCTTGAGCTTATGCTCACACGCGCGGACAACTTGGTCAGTCGTTTCGAGATTCTCAGCCAGCGCAGTGGTTAATGGTGTCACTAGAAATCGAGAGACCGCACCGCAACGAGCCTCATCGGGCCTGTCGCGTCCCCGCCGCAGGTACTGAACGCCTCGCTCGCGACGTGTGTTTACCACACATGGTCCCGTTTGGACAAACTACGGGAAGAATACCCAGAGAGCGTCATCTCAATTCTGCGACCAGTCGTTACGGTACATGTCTTCCTATCTTGGTTACAACGTCCCCTTGACTTTGTCATGTTTCACAGAAGCTACACGAGACGTTCGAGCGCGTTACGGACCCACTGCTTGCCGCGATCCGCCGCGAGCTTGGCGCAATCATCGCGAAGCTGCACCGGATGGACTTCAGCGACAACGTCGATCCCATGGCAGCAATGGGCGGCGGCCCAAGCCCGTACATGAAAGACCTCATCGAGAAGCTCGCGTTCGTCAAGAACGAGGTCCTCGCGCAGTACAACGTGCCCGACGTCAGTCGCCAATGGTACGTCCCCCTCCCCCTCTTGCCACCCCTGCGACAGTGGACAGAGCAGCTGACCTGGTGGCAGGGTGATCGCGACGGTACGCTTTGTGATCAAGACGTTCGTGCTGCACGCGTCGATCGCGAAGCCGCTCGGGGAGAGCGGGAAGCTGCAGCTCACGAGCGACATGACCGAGCTGGAGTTCGGCCTCAGCGCGTTCATGGCCGATAACAAGGCGCAGAGCAAGCGCGGTGCCGACTGGGACGCCGTTGGCGCGGACTACCGCGCCTTGCGTGGCATGCGGTGCGTTCCATCCCCTCTGCATCCCCTCCTCACGAACGGTGAGGCTGACTGGATGTAACGCAGACAGCTGCTCTTCCTGGACAATGCGGGGCTCGCCTCGCCCAGGCACACCGCGGGCCTGCCGCCGCTTATCGTGCTGCACCACATCCTTGTGCGCTCGCCGATCACGCTCCCGCACGCGCTGCACGGGTGGGCGGAGGCGGAATACGTACGCTGGGTGGAGGAGCACTCCGAAGAGGAGGCGTGGACGCTCGTCGACGGGGACGTCACACACTGGGAGAAGATGGCGGAGGCGGAGGGCGGTGACCCCAGCGCCGCGGCGGAGTATGTGCAGCTTGCGCGCACAGTGCTGGAGAATACGCAGGAGAACGGGGCGGCCGCATGAGCGGCGGATATTTATTGTGTGGATACCGTTTTTGCTTTGCTGTCGGAATATAGTAATGTTTGTTTGAAGAATTCTCAGGAAAACCAAGCCTACTTAGAGAAATGACGACGCGATACAACCCTGAAGTCGCAAACATAGATCCGTGCAGTACTTTTAGTGCAAATCGAGAGCCCTGGAGCTTAACCAGGGGGGAGCAGGCTGGCATCAACCACTCCGCCGTCCTCAGACTCGTCCACATCTTCCGAGTTCCTGATCGGCGTACGCGGCATGACCATGAGACCTGCGCGCCGTCAGCCTCCGCACTCCCTTCTCCAACGCAAACACACTCACCAGTACGCGCCGACTCGAGCAAGCCGAACGGCTTCAGGAGCGCGAGGAACGCCTCTACACGCTTCGTCTTCCCGCACATCTCCACGATCACGCTGTGCTCGCTCACGTCCACAATATGTCCGCCAAACTGGGCGGACAGCACCTGGATCGCCTGCAGATGGTCGCTCTTCAGACGCAGCGTCTGGCTCGGGGTGAGCGGCGCGGGGATATGCGTCGCGGCGTCCGGGTCCGCGGAGTGCTCGAAGTGCTGCGCGAGCGCGGCCTCGCGCTCGAGCTTCGGGTCCGTGGGCTCTTGTGCGGGCTGGTGGCGGCGCGGTTCATGTGTTGGGCCACCAAGCAGCTGCTCCTCGACGTACTCGGGGCCGAGAACGGACACCTTCGCGAGGAGGAGCTCGCGCTCGATGCAGTGCGTGTCCGTGTAATCGAGCACGGCCCACACGGGGACCTACGCAAAGCATGGTTGGAAGGGGATATACGGGGAGAAGAGGGGGATACGCACGAGGTCCTCAAGCTGCCTACGCGCCTGCTCTACAACGCCGTCCTGCCCGCGCAGGACGATGCACATCCGGGAGAGGTCGCGGATCTCCGTGCGGCACACGACCAGGGAGTCGATGTTGAAGCCGCGACCGGCCAGGATACCGGATACGCGGGATAAAACACCGGGCTCGTTCTGCACGAGGCAGTTCAGCACATGCCTGGGCACGCGAGGCGTGTCAGTGCTAGAACAGGGACGGGGGAGAGGTAGGATGCAAAACGCACTTCTTAAACGGCTGCAGACTCGGCGGCGGAGTGTTGTAGAGAATGTTCGTGACCGCCTCCTCAGCAGACCTCGAGCGCGGGAGGTCCATAGACGGCAGCGGTGGTGGGCGCTGCCGCAGGGTGCGCTTGTACTCGAGAGCAGAGGTAGAGTCATCTATGGGTTTCGGTGGCTTTGGCGCGTTGTCTGCCTCTTGTCTCCTGAGGGACGAGGAGAACGCGCGGGGCTTAACCGTCGCCCTGGCCGCCACTACGAGGGGTGTGCGCGCCGTTCTGGCAAAGATGGTGGACATGGCGAACGACGAGGAGAAGGAGGTCGTGGTGGGAGAGAAAGCGCCAACGTTCCCCGCATTTTCATGAGCAGCTCTACTCCCGAGTCACTGCTACTCCTCGCACGTGATCGCTACTCACCCATTCCGGAATTTGAGCGCGTCGGCTCTCCGCTGTTTCTCCGATGTTGCACTCGCGAAGGGAGATCATCCTCTACTTAGTAAATTCCGGAGGCTCGTGAAGGAGAATCCGTACTCGTTTTCCATTCAAGGTGGATTGTAACCAGGCATACTCGAGGATCTCGTCGCGTGAAACATACAAATCGACTCGAACGCAGCCATACAAACATAGTGTAGAATATCAAGATATTTGATATATATATCCTAGGAGCCGGTGGCTGGGGTGAGTGATCTTTCCACCTCACCAAGCTTTTGGAGCGACTTTTATTTGCCCGCGTGTTTTGACTCTCCTCATGACTCATTCCCTCGAAGTTTGGGTGCCAGTCTGTCAAGGTACATACAGGTGCATACAAGCTAAGGGCAGACAAATGCAATACTATAGAGCAACATTATCCGGGCAGCGATGCGATGCTTGGTAATATGTATCTAGAGAGCAAGGTTAATACGATATTGCTATGGACTATGATGAATGTCACGCACCACATACCAGGCCGCCAGGCGGTAGATGGACGAGCGAGGATCTAGAGAGATTGAACCACTGAGCTCGAGGACGACGGCGATGGAGTGTCCCCCGGGTTCCCCTCGCGAGAATCAAGCCTGGACACCGACGTTCCGCTCCCGCTCCAGCCTCCCGCCTCATCTCTGCTATCATGCATCCTCTCTAGCCACCGTCGGCGAGCCTGCCTGTAGTAGCTGTAAAACGATCCTTCCCTGGGTGCTCCCGCCTCCACCGCTGCGATGCCCATAGACTCGCAGCTGCGTTCTATCTGCCTTAGCACATCCATCCTGTGATGATGATTCGCCCACGCAATTCCACAGCAGCCGCATGTGTAATCGAAAGGTCCGGGGCCTGGCTGCACCAGAAGATAGCGCACACTGGGATACGCGGATACTCCGGGGGTCACGATCAGTTCGGACGGCGCGCCGGGCTGCCAACCGTTGTTGTTGAGCATGCCGTGCGGTTGCTCTGGCTCGACCCGTAGCCCGACCGCACTGGCGATATCTCGGAGGTAATCGTCCGCGCGCGACATGCCTAGATGTGTGACACAGGGGGCATGAGTGAACCAGAGCGGGAGGCAGACTCCGCCGCTGCTGCGATGGAATGCGGGTGCGAGGTACAGGTGCGTCATTGTGGGAAAGAGTGGCTGGCTTTTTGACGGGTCTATGTTCGATGGGATGAGCGTGGAGGGGTCTTCGAGACCTACGAACGTCGCTTCCAACAAAGTGGGTAGGGGGCTCTCGAAGATGGGCAGGTTTAGGGCGCCGCCTCCGCCATAGGAAAACCCGGCTTGCACCACGAGAGTCACCAGATCGGGTGCGACTAACCGGAACAGCGACTGCGCCTCGCTGAGGTACTCTTCATAGGTCGCTGGGCCTAAGGGCTTCGAGAAGTTGGCGGCTGGGATGCTCAAGCGATATGGGAGAGTGGCTTGGTGGTCACGACGGCTGGCGGAGCGACGACGTAACTTCTGCATGGCCGCCGCACAGTACCGAGAGATAGCGAGGGTCGATTTCTTCCAGATACTGGGCCGGACATTATGTTGCCGTGGTTGCAGGGGTACTATAACGAGAGGATCGCTGAAGTACAAATTGCCATACGCTAGGGGACTCGGAGCCGGCTCAAGCGAGCGGAAGTGTGCTAGTGGCCAGGATACCGCGGCACCATCAGTATTGCGCGCCTCGAACTCCAAGTCTGTGACAGGAAACGCCACATAGAGGTGCTGAATGCGAGGCTTGTCTCCATGCGCGGGGTCGCACTCGCGCTTGTACAAGGCGACGAACAGCTGGAGGCGGTGGGGGCTTGCGATGAGGGAGACGGAGTGAAAGCGGCTCGTGCGCGCTGCCGCGCGGATGCCCTTCGACACGAGCGAGAGAGAATGGCCGGTATATCCTCCATCAGTGCATGCGAGCTCGAATATCTGCTCCAGGGTTTCCAGCGGGAGAGTGTCCATGGGCGCGAGGGAGGAGGGGCGACGTACTGCAAGTGGTAATATTGTAGGACTCGGAGTCGCAACGAGTCGAGTCGTGAGCGATGCTTTATGGTTTAGAATAAGCGCACAGCTCCTCAGGGTGTGCGAACTGATAGTTCTCACATGGCCAACTGGACAGTGCTGTAGTACCTCGGGAATCCCTGTATCACAGTCAGCTGGCAGATCCGTAATTCGCCAGGCTTCTGGCATAGCCCCAGAGAATAATTCTAGACGCATACCTCACAGTGCTTTAAGAGTGAGCATGCAAATGCCAGCCATTTTTGCGAAAGACCTGTATAGATGATGGAGGGATGAAGAGAGAAGAATATTCTGCTCTAGTAACCACATCAGCACGCGTACGCATCGGGTAGCCGGCCCGTCAGTGAAATAGTATCATTTGTACGCATCTTCCTTCAAATTTAACGTATGTACATCAGGGTACGAGTACACACAAGCCAAGAACAGACATATGTCTATACTGGAACAATAGTATCAGGATTCCAGATAGTAGTGTTATGTTGAGTATGACGGCGTAGAACAAAACTCGAAAGCAATGCGATGGTCCTATGCACTTTCATGAGAATTACACGTATCATATGGGAGGGGGCTGGGTAGGCGAAGGGGCGTCAAGATACCGCTGAGCTCGAGGACGATGGTGATGGAGTCTGCTCTGGGTCCCGCTCGCGAGAGCCGTGCCTCGATACTGACCTCGCCTACCCGCTCCAGTCGCCCGCTTCATCCCTGCCGTCGTTCATTCTCTCCAGCCATCGACGGCGAGCCGGCTCGTAGTAGCGGAGGAACAGCCCATGTTCAGGTGCTTTTGCCTCAACGACCATGACACCAGCCACCTCACACCCACGCTCAATCTCCCTCAGAACTTGCATCCTAGAGTCATAAGCCGCCGCAGCATCCCCACAGCAGCACATGTGACATGCGGGTCCCGGGCCTGGCTGCAGTAGAAGGTGGCGCACGGTCGGATACGCTGGCACGCCAGGCACTGTGGTCGGGGTTGACGGTGCGCCAGGATCCAAAGAGTCGTCATTGAAAGGCCACATGCCATAAGGGTTCGGCTCAGGCTCGACCGGCACTCCGATCGCACTGGCGATAGCGGCGGCATGGTCGTCTGCGCACGATACGCCCAGGTGCGTGACAAAGGGGGCATGGGTGAACCAGAACGGGAGGGAGAGTCCTGAGTGCCAGGTCGAACACAAGAATGGGGGGGCGATGTACAGATGCGTCACCGCAGGAAATAGCGGTGCGGCAGTCGTCCCGTCTGTACGTGATACGAGCGTGAGGGGTTGTGCCACCCCAACGAACGTGACCTCTAGCAAGTGAGGGAAAGGATGTTCGATGATAGGGAGGTCTAGATCGCCTGCACCGGAAAACCCGCACTGCACGACGAGAGTCACCAAGTCGGGCGTGATCAACCGGAACAATGTCTGTGCCTCGCTGAGGTAGTCCTCGTAGGTCGTCGGACCTGGGTGGTTGGCGATCGAGATGCTTGCGTAGGACACCGCTGTGCCATTTCTACTGGTGGCCTCTAGCTGTTCGTGCTCTGTGACGGGAAACGCCACATGGAGATGCTGGATACGAGGCTTATCCCCGAGCGCAGGGTCGCACTCGCGCTCGTAAAGTGCGACGAATAGCTGGAGATGTCTCGGGCTCGCGATAAGGGAGATGGAGTGGAAGCGGGCCGCACGTGCTGCTGCGCGGATGCCCTTCGATACGAGAGAGAGAGTATGGCCTGTATATCCTCCATCAGTGCATGCGAGCTTGAATATTTGTTGCAGAGTTTCCAGCGGGAGAGTATCCATGAGGCGTGAGGGAAAAGGGAGCGGCGTACTGCAAGTTCTCCAAGCTGTGGGAGTCGCACCGGCAGCTCGAGCCACAAGCTTTGTTTCATGGTTGTCATATGGTTGCGATAAGCGCACAGTTCAATTGGGAAATCAGCGAAATCAGCGCTTCGACATGTTTGCTCGGCGCTCACATTCTCCCATATCCATCATTCAGTGGTCGAGAACTTCCCTGGAATCGCAGTCAGCAGACCAGGTGGCCCAATCTGTGAACATACCATAGAAGAGAATTGAACGCGGAACTCTGATATCAATGTGTTTCCAGACAAACCATCACTCACTAGTAGTGTTTTCGGAGCGAGTCCACAATATGCTAACCAGCTGCCAGTGTCAAGGAAATATTTCGAGGATGGATGTGGACGAAGAGACTCAAGAGAGAAGCGTTTCGCCTCTCGCGTCGTGTTCACGAATGTGGCATGAATCTTCCGGCCCGCCGGTTCCGCCGAGTGACTATGATAATGGAACGGTCGTCGCCGTGGCACACCTCTAGATCTTGGCAACTCGGGCGATTTCCGCCACGACCTCTCGCACATCTCTCCCGAATACTGTAGCGACTCAGTCGCGCCCAGTCGCGATCGCCTCAGGCCGACCACACATCGAGACTACACCGCCGTCCTGAATTAACATCGGACTGATGTCCAGCGCCGAAAGTCAGGCTATGTACTGCCATGTGGCAGCGGGATGTATCGGCGGTGGTCCCAGACGAATTTTCAGACTGGTTTGGAAAGGTGACGCCCACGTACGCATCGCCCGGATGCTCGGGCATGTTCGCAGGCACAAGGCTCTGTCGCGGCTATGATTTCGAACGCAGTCGTGTACTTATACACACATAGTACGGGGTATCGAGGTGTTCGGCCGCCCATGATCCGGAATCTGGTGAGTGATTTTACTATATCACGAAGCTAGTCGAAAGAGAAGACAGGGGGCTCCTCCACCACCAGATCGAGGGAGACGACCATATCCGCCCAGCAGCCCGCCCCGTCGCCATCCTCCTCAATCCTCTCCAACCACCCCTGGCGCGCCCGCTCGTAGTAAAAGCCAAACGCCTCCACCGCCGGTGCCGCCACCTCGACAACCTCGACGCCCGTGGCCTCGCAGCCGCGCACCACCTCCCGCAGCCTGCGTTGTCCGTGCTCGTAACCATCCCACGCGTTCCCGCACGGGGCATTTATCGGCCCGCATCCTATCTGCAGCAGGAGATGTCGCACGCTGGGATACGTCGGCACCACCGGGGCCGCCGGGTCGACCGGGGACGGAGAGTCCAGCTCCGAGTCGTAGTCGTAGTCGTACAACCCGAGCTTGACGCGCACCCCCACGGCGCGCGCGATCTCGTCGACGAAGTCGTCCGCGCCCGACACGCCCAGGTGCGCGACCTGCGGGGCGTGTGCCGCCCACAGCGCGAGCTCGAGCCCGCGACCCCAGGGCGGCACGACGTACAAATGCGTCATTGCCGGGAAGAGGGGCGGGGCCTGCGTCCGGTCCGGGGAGTCTAATAGGTCGGATGCGAAGAGGGTGCGGGGGTCTGCCACGCCGACGAACGCCGCCTCTCGTAAGTGCGGAAAGGGATAGGCTATGACGGGGAGATGCAGCGCGCCCCCGGCGGTAAAGCCGCATTGCACGACGAGGGTCGCCAGGTCGGGGGCGGCCAGCCGGAACAGCGTCTGCGCCGCACGCAGGTACTCCGGGGAGGCTGTCGGGTCCGATGAGCCATCCGGGTCTACGGGAGAGGGCGCGGTCGAAGGCGAGCGCCGTGGCGGCGGGGAGACCGAACGCGCCCGGCGCATCCCATACATCCCAGCCGGGACGGTATCGTCGTCCAGCCGCGATATGCGAGGAAATGCCACATGGAGGTGCTGGATGCGGGGCTTGTAGTACCCGCGCGCGGGGTCGCCCTCGCCCTCGCACTCGCGCGTGTATAGACGGACGAACGCGTGGAGGCGGCGCGGGCTCGCGGCGAGGGCGACGGAGTGGAAGCGCGCCGTGCGCGCGAGCTCGCGGACGGCCTTGGACACGCGGGAGAGGGCGTTGCCGGTGTGTCCGCCGTCGGTGCATGCGAGCTCGAATATCCGCTGGAGCGTTTCGGGCGGGAGGGTGTCCATGAGGGCAGGAGAGGGTGTTTGGTCGACGGGAACGCGAGGAATCGCTTCAAGGCAGCCTGTAAGCGTGACTCCGTGAGGCGGTTCGACGGACTGATTCGAACTGATCCCTTGCAACTGGCTGCGTTTGGATAGATCTTGAGATGGCGCTGACGCTCACCGTCACAGCGCAACAGTTTGATAGCCAGGGCCTCCTGCACCAGACCGCAGTGTATGTGCATATCATTCCGACAGAGCATCGTTCCTGATACAGTGCGGTGAGCGTGAGTTGACACCTACTGCCACTTGATATATTCACTTACATGGCTTGTCCTGGTGTTGACGTTTTCCCAACGGTGCTCCGAGCCACCCAAGCCCTACTAGTATGCGCGAGTCAGTACACCGGTACCGCTCGCTGTGGTGAGGTTGACAGCCTGGCTCCGTTCTCCTCGATGTCCGAGTGGGAGGGGCAGCACATAGTCAAGGTGGACCTGGTACCAGGTTTCCGCTCGAACCACTTGCGGAGTATCCCACGCCAGTCTGCGCACGGTGTCATGTTGCTGCCATCTAGGATGTTGATCAGCGAATTTGCGCTGCCGCCGAGAATGTGGACCGGCGGTACGAGCTGCTCGCTGTTCAAAGCCTCACCTTTATACCAGCATCACAGGTTCTCTCGGACGACCAGGCCTAGGAACGACTGCTGTTTATCACCCCGAGCGTGGTCATGAGGCTGGTTCAAAGCGAGCCTATCTCACGACCACGCCGCAGTGTGGCGGTGGCAAGTACTGGCACACGTTGTCGAGCGCGCCAACGCCGCTGCGCCTCCGACTCCATGTCTCTCCACGATGTGCTCCTGCCTAGCTCCCTGGCCAGGCCGAGCGTCATCTATGACACCGTCCTCAGCTCACTGAACCACGACCTCGCCTCGAAAATCACTTCGTTCAAGCCCTCAACGAACAATGCAATGAAAAGCAATATTGCAATACAGCGACCAAAGTCCCGTGTATGAATATAAGAAATTCTACAATACATCTTGGGTTTGTGTTTCGTAAGTACAGTATACAGAGTCCTTCGGCATCATAATATACAACGCTTCTCGTTAACGGGCATTAAGAGTCGTAACAGGTAGCAAGCCGGCCATCACTAGGCGCGACGAGTCCGGGGTGGTGGTGGTACAAGTCCGTGCAAACGACGGAGCGAGCGCTGAGGGAGCGACATCGGAGGAAGCGACGTCGGCGATATCGTACACACGACGCGACGTGGGGTTGACGTCAACAGACGCGGGTCGGTGCGCGAGGCGTTTAGACCTTCGCGACGGTGACCTCCGCGCCGTGTCTCAGCGCGCGGCTGTACGGGCAGAACTGCAAGATAACCCATTAACATCGTGCCACAATAGCATCAAGAAAGCAAAAACACACATCGTGCGCCGCGGCAATGACAGCATCGTCATTACAGCCCTCAACATTGATCTCGACCCGCAGGCCGAAGCCGTCGATGTCGGGCTCGGACGGATGCCCGAGGAACACGTTCGCCGTGACCTTCGCGTTCTCCGCGATCTCCATCTTGTTCGCGCGCGCAGCCGCAAGCTGCAACGCCCCAAGGAAGCACGCTGGGAAGATGCATACAGGTAAGCAGCTGCATCACAGGCCGCGAGGACCCATCTAGAATGCTCACAAGAGTAGCCCATAGCAAACAGCTGCTCGGGGTTCTGGCCGTCGCCCTTGCCGCCGGTGACCTTGGGCATGGCCATCCTGAGCTCGAGCGGCGCGTCGCCATTGGACTTCACGGTTCCGTTGCGGCCGGGGCCCTCTGCGGTGGCCTTCGAGAAGTACTGATCGGGGACGGTTAGGCTATGACGTCACGAGTACGGAGTCGAGGAATATATGAGCTTACCACGTGGTCCTTGAGTGTGAGGATGCTTCGCTTGTGCACGGCGCCGGGCTGGAGGCTCCGAGCATAGCGGACGCCGGCGCCGGTGAGGACGCGGTGGGAGAGGGGGCGGAACACGGCCTGGGTGGGGTGCATGGTGGGCAGGCGGGGGTGCGGTGATTACGATGGGGTGACGTGGGGATTAGAATGGAGAGCTCGATAAGGTGCGGTCGAGGTAAACTAAGTCGGCGAAGTCGTAAAGAGGGGCGATACCGAGACGGAGAGCGAGGGACCAGGGTAGCAGGGTTGAGGTTGAGTTGGAATGGAACAGAGCAAGGACAGCGCTGGGGGGAATCGTGTTGTGTGAGCATCGTCAGCGAACTTTCCCCGGTCCTATATACCGTGCCTAGCGTCAGCGGGGAATGCCATTGCTGGGCAACACCGACTCCAGCAGAAGCTCCAACGTCGTGCCAAACATTTGCGCAGTCAGGGTGTCATAGAGGCAAACGGAGGAAGGTGCCGCGGCGCCTATGTCATAGGCATCAAAACATTACGTCGGTCCACTCCGACGTCGCTCCCGGGCCGACCACCACCCCGAACTCAACAACCTGCAACCACCATCGTTTGGACACCGTTTCCCTAGGCGCGCCGGTCGGGCTAACGTTGGGACATGCCGCGTCGCCGGCACCTCTCACACTCTCATCAACACATGGATTACTGAGCTTGCCGTCACCTATGGGGCACTTCTGGGGTCTACATCATCCGCGACGCGTCCAACTACTGTGCCTTGGTGACGTTCACCACAGCGCCATGGGCGAACGCGCGACTGTATGGGCAGGCCTATCATGGAGTGAGCTCTCGGGAAACTCCATAGGAGGCTGTCCGAAACACTCCGAGAGGGTGCGGGTGTGGCCATGGTCCGGGAGCTTATTGGAAGTGCGCTTACCTTGTGGCCCGCCTGAATGAGCTCCATGTCGTCTATGCCCTCGACCTGCAGGTCTACCTGCAGCCCGAAACCTTCCATGCCGTCCGGCTGGCCAAGATGGACCTGGGCATGGACCGCGGCGTTGCGCGCCGCATCTGTCTTGCCGGTCTGGCCGGCGACCATCTGCAGGGCGCTGAGCATGCAAGCTGTGTGGTGCGTACCCAATGTTCATTCGGGGATGATAGGTGAAGGCGAGGGATGATGAGCACCTGCGTAGCCCATGGCGAGGAGCTGTTCAGGGTTCTGCCCGTCGCCCTTGCCGCCGAGCGACTTGGGCATGGCGAGGCGCAGTTCGAGGCCGCAGTCGTCGTCGGATTTGACTTGGCCATTTCGGCCTTGTCCGCGCGCGGTGGCGTGGGCCGAGTACTGGTTCTATTGAGGGTGCTGTTTGGCATGGACGGCGCTGCATAGACGTACTTTGTGGTCCTTGATGGTCATCAATGAGCGAGTCGCGTGGATGATCGCAGAACGCTGAATGGCTCGGTTCGCGTGGCGAGCGCAGGTGCGAGAGAGGAAGGCAGACATCTTGGTGGGGGAATGAGTGGGCGGCAGGCGAGGTCGGCGAGCGGGGAAAGGAGGGACGTCGACGATGGACAGCATATAACCATTATAAACGTCGCGCGGTGTGACGGGGAAGAAACTGACGTCGTTCACGCGTAGGCCTGTCCCTTCGCGGGAGCATCGACAGGGCGGCATCGATCGACTGAGCAGGGTCCTGTCTCAGTATGGTGCGCACATGCCTATATGCGGCCACTGACATGGGCACCCTCAGCAGGTCTTCCATCGATACCAGGCAAGACTAGCTACGCATCGTCTAGAGGGAGACACGCAACCAGCCTGCGCGTCGTTTGCACCAAGGTCGAATGACGCGGTCATGTGACACGCGTTACGCGTCGAGGCCCCCCCAGCTACAAGCTTGAATCTCATCCAATACTCGCTACAAGCTTGAATCTCATCCAATACTCGCTACGAAGATCTGTGGACGGGTTCGTTGGAGAGGAGTGCGGAGTGGCTCAGATCTGGTCAACCCGGGGCCGATCCCGCGCGTTGTGCGTGCATGCGGCAGCGGCGGTGATACAGCCCTCCCTTGGCCCTCCCCGCTCTTTGTCCCTCCCCGCAGGGCTGAGACCGCGCACCCCCACATCTTGTGCGCCTGAGCTTACTGAACACGTCCTCTTCCGAGCCCGTCCCTTTCGCGATGCCCTCCAGCCATCCATCCAGATCTCCGCCAGCCTCAGCCTGCGCGCCCGCTCTTAAAGCTTTGTCTGCGCGCGTCCACAAAGCGCGCTTTGCTCGTCCATCCTGCAGCTGCAGCCCCCAGCACACCACATAAATCGCTGCGATGCGCCCCACTCCTGCTCCCGCAGACTCGCGTCCCAGTCCGCTCCTCAAAGGCATCCGCCGCCCGCGGAAGTTTAGCGCCATCAGACGCGAAAACGTCCTCGCAGCCATGGTGAGCCTCTCATCCAGCCCGATCGTCGACCCCGCGCTCACCCCGGTACCCCGGCGTCCTACAGAGCCCCCGGCGTCCTAGCAGCTCCCTCGAGCCCTTCCTCGGCACCTACCGCATCGTGTGGGACTCCGAGTCCAACAGCTACCCGCGCCGCGAGGTCTTCAAGAACAACGACCCAGAGGACGGCCTCCTCGAGCTGACGCGACCGAAGCGCGCACAGGCGTGGCCGAGGGAGCACGCGGCCACTTCGAGCGTCGTCCTCCGCTTCTGCGACTCCTTCCTCGGCGCGGACCACACCGCGTCCCACCTCAAGCCCTCCCTGCGCCCCACGCCCGCCTCCGCCTCCCCACCCCAAAACCCCTCCGTTTCCAGCCCGGGCTCGTCCTTGCTCTCCCCGTCCCCCACCTCCCCATCCCTCTCGCGCTCATCCTCGCGCCGCTCCCGCCCGAACACACCCTCTACCTCCTCATCCCGAAACGCCGACTCCTCCTCCGCTCACGACCCAGACGGCCCGCCGCGCTTCTGGCAGCTCGACTGGGACCCGTCCTTCCCGCGCCTCGGCTTCCGGCACGAGGGCATGGACCTCACCGCGCCCTTCGGCCACGCGCTCTCCTTCGCGCGCGTGCGCGACGACCGCGGCTTCCCTTTCGCCGTCCTCGACCTGCGCCCCGCGAGCGACCAGGGAGGGGAAGGGTATATTACGGTCGTGGCGAAAAGGGTGCCGGACCGGTTTGCGAGGGAGGGCTTGTCGGAGGGGGAGAGGGCAAGGTTGAGGATGGGGGAGGTGCAGGAGGGGTGGGTGTGGGATTGTTGTTGATGGGGCGGGGAGGGGGTTGTGGGGGAGTTTGGTGGCGAGGTGTAGGCTGGTTTGTATTTTGCTTCGTCTTCTGTATCCTTTAGGTTGTATAATGCATCTCTCGTTGGACTTTGGCTTCACTGTGCATGCAGATGGTCTGTTTCTCCGTGCGTATATGGATGCGCGCGAGGGGCCATCAAACGCTGAGCGGGCGCGGTTTGGGTCCCAGCTGAACGATGCGGACCTTTCTTTTGACTGAACGGCATCGCGGATTCATCGTTGGAATTTGTACATATAGATAGACCTTGTATGTCGACCTTTCAGCTCGGATGGTGTTCGACGAGGTTTGCGTACCGGGTGGCTATGTTGTGTTTCGGCCCATACCCCCTTGCCCTAGCCAGAGACTGCGGCCGTACAATGTTCGCGATGTCCATTGTCCCCGCGCGTATATGTAGCGCTCCGCCCGCGCCCCAGCGCCCTCGTCCACTTTACGCGACATATCACCTCTAACATGTTTCTTTTCCCAGAAGAAGTTATCGAACAGGCCGAAGCGGACATCGCAGCGATGCTGCAGCGCTCGCGCATCGCACTCGACGTCCCCAAATACCTCTCGAGCGACCACGACGTCGTCTGGGGAGTCGTACGTTCCCCTCTTCGTTGCCCGTGCCGGTCGAGCTGACTTGTCCTTGTTCCCGTACAGGCGACCCAGCCATCGGAGGAGGTGAGCCCAAGCGCCCACGCTGGGGTATACGACGCAGTCTCGACCTCCTTCTCCTGGCACGGCGCCCCAGCCGTCCCTGGGGTACACACCCTCGACGCCGACGCGCGCTGGACCTTCCGACGTGCCCACCCCGCTCTGTACGAGCTCGCCATGAGCAAGGCCGTCACGCTCACACTGGCCCACGCCCCGCTATTCCCCGGGGACGACCGCCCCAGGTTCGCGATCCTAGACGCAGAGATGCGCGACTCACCTTCTCCCCCTCATACGCCCTCCGCCTTCAGCGAAACGACGCGGATGCCAGTAAGTGTTGATATCCGGTGGTGCGTCCCGCGCCCGCCGCGTCGCACGTGCACGGGCGCGCCCACGCTCGTCGAAAAGGACGCCATGGGCGCCCTCGTGCGCACCGACACCGGGTTTGCCATCCCAAGCTGGGACTGGGAGGAGTCCGAGCCGCACGCCTCGGCGAGCCCCTTCGGGTCTGCGCGCGCGGTGCTCCGCTTCAGCTGCGAGCCCGACGCCGCGCGCCGTCCGTTCGTCGCCCTCGAGTGGACGGTGCCCGGTGGGGAGCTCGTGATGCTGACGGTGTTCAAGCGGTGGCGGGAGGAGGAGAAAGAGAACGGGGTGGGGCGTGGGCTGGGCGTGGAGGAGCGGAGGAGGCTCGGGATTGGACTGGGGTATGGGGAGCTAGTGGCGAATTGGGAAGCGGGGAGGCGGTACTGGGAGGGAGCGGAGCGGGAGCGCGCCGGGGCTGGGGTGGGTGTGCGCCGGGGGAGTTCTTCTGGCACGTCCGACTCCGATGGGTGGTTGACGGCGTCCGAGTCGTAGGTGCCACGATCCTCAGCGGAGCAGCAACGCCGTTGAAGCCTAAAAGTGGTCAATCCACGATGTAAGTAGAGATAATGAGAACAACGAATTGAGCAAGACGGCTGCGCGAGGACTTCCGTAGGCTACACCCCTTTCGATGGTGAATGCGGCTCTAATCACAAAGGATATCCAGCTGTTTGCGACGCTTCAAAGTACCAGTTCCTTCACACTTCGTGCCCTGTAGAGGACCTAGGAGTAAAAGTGCGTCAGCATACCAAGAACACAAGAAGGCGCAGAGTGGCTCTGGTAGGATTTATACGCGACGTACTCGAGTGGAATGAGACAATTTCCCACTACTATCATGCTCTCACCCTACCTCTCACCCTACATCGACGCGCCCCGGAAGACAGGCATGCCTGGACCGTTGACCAGGAATATGTGCGATAGCGAGAATGTTCCTAAGATCCTAGACGGAGACAAAGTAATATGGGGCGTGGTAAGTTCTTCCGCACTCCCACCACGAATCGAGAAACTCACGCACCGCTCTCTGGAACCTTTCCCGGGTTCCGCTACGCAGAATACGCGACATCCGCATGACGTTCTCCCCAAACCCCGTTATCCAAGTCAGTCCAGACTCGGAGTATACGACCTGGTCTCCGTGTCCCTCTCCTGGTGCGGCGATCCGTGCGTCTCCAGCTTGAACAAGCTGTCGACCGCCCAGCGCGGAGAGCTTTATCGTACCTATCCCCAGCTGTACTGGCTCCTGGTTGGGCCGCAGGTATCCTTGACGATGTTGCCCTCTGGGTTTCTCCCGGAAGGCGTCCCGCCTGTTGCAACTTCCGTGATTCCTGTTGTCCCGGTTGCCCCACCCTCCCCTTCCATCGCTTCAACCCGTGCACTCGACCCTTCCCCTGGCAAGTCGCAGACGCGTGCGTTTGTTGGCGAGATAAACTCTGCGGGACCAATTGAGGTGAAATCCGAGCGACCGGTGTACAAGGCGTTCGGTACACACAAATATCCAGCCGAATTGATTCAGCGTGCTAAACAACGAGCCGCCTCGATACCGCCAACGGGAGCCGTGTCGGGGCTTGTACTGGGGAAGCGAGCGGAGATGGACCAGAACCAGAGCAAGATGTTCGAGCAAGTCGTCGCCGGCGCCACAGGAGGAGAGGCCATCGCACTGGACGTCAGCAACCCGACCAAGCCACAGGAGACCAGTACTCGTCAGGTCCCTGCCAGGGCGGTGGGGGTGCGGCGGGAAGAGTCCACTATCGTCCTGCCCAGACCGTTGTGCATGAGGACGCCTCACACCGTGGAACCTATTAAAAGAGACCTCAGGGTCTGGTTGGGGTGGCAGGTGCGGAAAGAAGTCCGGCGGTCGGGTGGCACCTCGATATCGGGTCTTGAGACATGTACTATCGAGCACTGCCGACTTGCGGGGTGCGTTGAAGAGAGGACAGTCGGGGCTAGTGACTCCCCGGCGGAGTATAAGACGACGTGGACCATCAAGTGGGACCATCCAGGGCATTTTGGCGGAGGGGCCTGCACATCGCTGTCGCTGGAGTTCAATTTCCAGACGGATGAAGAATCGGAAGACACAGGAGCCCGCGCGCCGCTCGCTTGTATGCTGTGGACATTCCTCAGCCCAAAGTCGTGCAAAGTGATTATGGTGTTGAAGAAGCGACAGGGGTCTTCGACCGACAAGATGCTGACCTCAGAGGAGAAGCAGATGTTGGGTATAGGAATGAACTCGCAACAGGTGAAGAAGCATTACGCGTCCCGGAAAGGAGCAGCATAGGGAGGACTAGCGGCGAGACTGCAGATGTTGCGGTGAAGGACGCGGCGGACTTGGAGCCGAGGGTTACAGATGTTCATATATAATATCCGCTTTCCTGTCCTTCTGAATATATAAGTAGGGTTCTGATGTATATAGACAGAACACGAACCTGCAACTGACCGAGCTCTTATTTTATCTCAGCCACCCGTGCTGAATAAACCATCCCAAGCTTGGCCGAGTCGGCAGATCGAATACATGTGCGCGTTTGTTTGGCGCTTTCACGCCTGCCTGAAGGGTCGGGCTAGCAGGAAAGAGAGTATATTACACGTACAAGATAAAACACAACACATTACAAAGACGACCGACGACCGATCAGAACCCGCTCGCGGTGACGCGCAGCTGCTCGAGCTTCTTCAGCACCTCTCCGACAGTCCGGTCCAGCTCGCCTGCAATCGTGCTCTGCTTGTTGGCCGGTAGCTTCGCGAACGACTCGCAGAGGTCGCCATCGACTACGGACTTGACAGGCACGTAGTATCCTCGCCATGTGAGATGGTCCCGGCCGACGAGACTGAGCTGCTCTGTGCGCATGTGTTGCTCCAACGTCGTGAGCAGGTCGACGTCTTCCTTGGACACGAATGGCACCAGGATTCCGATCGTCCCGTGTAAGCAGGTGTACAAAAGGACTTCACGTCCTCCGGCCACGAGCGCAACCTTGTGTAACGATGTCACGATGTCGCCGACGTGGAAGTGGGAAAGCATAACGCTCTTGTGGGGAGCCCCGAACAAGACACCCTTTTCGTGCAGGATACCAGCACCGGTAGGATCGTCGTCGATCTGGTCTGAGATCTTGGAGTCCAGCCGGTTCACGAAGACATTGCCGAAGCGGTCGCCCGCCACCACGGTGTTGTAGTCCAACATTGTTGTTGCGGTGACCCATCGCGGCTGGGCATCGTCAGCGAAGACGAGCAAGCGGTTTTCAGGAGCTTTGTAGACGGCATAGAAGACAGATTCTTGCATGTCGCCGACGATTATGCGAGAGCCTTGGGTGTTCAGGGTGACAATGGCGGCCGGGAATCCCTAGAGCGAGATATAAGAGTCGGGTTAAGACTTGTGAGGCAACAACGTACCTTGTTTTCCACTTTGCGCAACAGCTTCTTCTTGCCCACATCATATAGCCGTAATGACTTCCCGACACCTGCTATGAGCTTACCCTGGAATGCCATCACTGCAAGTGGGACGTCGCTAGTCTCAGTCTTAAGACAAACGCGTTAAAAGAGGATCACAATATGTGTTGATAGGCACACACACCTTGTGAAGGAATTCCAGGTCTCGCCCGTCGTCGATGAAGCGATATGTTCTCAGGAAACCGCTTGTACATGATCGAGGCGAGAGGAACGTGTCTTGGGCCGTGCCGACGACGAGATGCAGCTCATTGCCGCGAGCTGCAAACGGAACAATAGCCATCGAGAACGCGGCCTCGTTGTTGTCCAAGTGGATGACCTTGACAGTACTTGACTAAGAGGATGTGAGTAGCATATCGAGAAAACTGTGTAACAAACGGACCTCCAACGGATTGATGATTCGTATGCAGGAGGCCCATGTGCCAGCAGGCGCCTTCGGCCGGCCGAATTGCTCAGGAGGCAGAAGCAACACTTCCTCATCAATACGCTCACCCCGTGCTCGCTGTTAATCAATATTAGCGTATAGTGCCGTGGTCGGAACACTTGCACTCACCATTTCTTGTAGCTTCTTTGACGCCGCCTCCTCGCTCATCACGCGGTGGTCACCCTCAATGAGGTAGAGAAGACCATTTGTGGGATGCGGCATGAATTTGCGGGGAGTGTAGCTGAGCGGTAGTGAGTCCTGCTTGAGCTTCGTACCGAGCTTTGGAATCTGGAAAATTCTATATGTAACGTGTCAGCGCGACACTCATGCCTAACGAGACGGTTGATGGGTAGCACTCAGAAGGAACAATTGGTATATGAAAGGTTGTGTCAACATACGCGCCGTGGGCGCATTATTGGGTACAGTATGTCATCTCTGTGACCACCCATCTAGTGTTGCAACGGACGGCGTACTCACCTCAAGAGACTTCCAGAGATACCGATCAGGCCTTCGGTACAGAGCTCGGCGGAGAAGCTCCACGCGTAGTCCAAGTTCTCGAAGATCAGCGGGGTGAAGTGCATGAAGTTCTGGTAGGTGTAGTTGAGCCATGGCCGAGACGACAGAGCGAGGATAGCAGGATTCTGTTGAATGTTGACCCGGAGCAAGCGGATTGGCCGAGTGCCCAAGAACCGAGTACGAGTGTCCGTTAGCTGACCGTTGACAGGGTCCAGAACTGTACGCAGTAGAACACCATTCTGGAGACCGATGTTGACGAAGGTTGTCGGCTGAGACTTGTTGATACTAGCATCAAGCATGTCGGCTATGCAGATAGCGGAAGGGGGAGCAGTGAGAGCCTGGAGACTGATGGTTTCGAGTGTGCTCTCCGGATCGAGCGAGACGATTCGGACAGTCTGGTCCTCGCATCCGACGGCCTATCTCGATATGAGCTAGCAGACATATGAGCATGAACAAACGACGGACCAGGTATGGCGTGCGCTGGCGTCCCTCCGGGACTTCCGCAACACTGAGGGCGAGAACGGTGCTACCCATCGCCTTCCGGTCCTGGTATTCGTTCAACTGGCCGTCAAGGTCGAGTTCGAAGTACACGAGTTCAGCGGAACTAAGTGCGACGACGACTTGCCGCTTGTTGGTCGTGGCGCACACGATGGTCTTGCCTGAGGGTACCTTCCACTCGTTGACGCGGCGATCGGCGAGGACATGACGGATGCCATGCGGGTACACCTGCAACAGCGCATCCGCACCGATCTGTTGTACCGCAAGCGTAGGTGCTGAGGAGAGGAAGCCCGTGTCTTGAACTTCTTCGATAGTCTCGCCGATGGAGAGCACCAGTGTTCCGTTGACGAAGGATAGGATGATGTACGAATCATAGAGGTCTGTGGGAGCCATATCAGCAAACACTCCCGAGCTAACCGTGGTGGCACTGACCGTCCTCCTTCAGCTTCGTGGTCCATACCGCGTTGGGGATACCAGGGAGATCCGAGCTGACAACTTCTTCAACCTCTAGACCGTGTCGCAAAGTCCTGAACGTGCTACGAGCACCACGACCGCACGCAGTGAAGATCTGAGGGGTGTCGGAGTTCGGCAACAAGTTCATAACCTTGGAGTCGATGATGGGACACAACGATTCCAGCTCATCGACCAAGGTCAAGTTGTCCAGAGCTCGAGGCCTGAAGTAGCCGCGAGGAAGGGGCGTCGAAGGATCAGCCATGCCGTACGAAGGGTAGTCTGCCGAACTCCATTCTGGCTCGTTGTCGTCGTCGCCGAGTTTTTGGAACTGGTAGAAGTAGCTGTGATATAGATTTCAGCGACGTTCCTCGAAGACGCTGGGAGTGACACTTACTGGTTGCCGAACTCTGACGCTACGAACAAAAAGCCAGACTTCAGAATGCAAAGACTGGACGCAACGGGAACTGTGTCAAAGTACTTGATTTTGACGGCCTTTACATCCTGCTCTTCGTGCTCGATGGTGACCTTGTACAAGTCCCCTTCCTCGCTCTGGAGAAGGAAGAAGAAGGCCCCCTGAATTCGAGGGGATGTCAAGGCGCGCCCTAGGTGTTATTCAGCGACGAAACTCACCTTCATCTTGTGCATCACAGCTGCAGTGATAATGAGACCACGCTCAGTGTCTTCCAACGGGTGCTTCCTGCGAGGAATTGGGACGCGGTGCTGAGGCGAGTCCATATGCCGATAGATGATGTGGTCTTCACAGCACACCAGCACGCCGGACGGACCATCGTATCGTTCAGACGCAGCTAGCTGCCCTCCGGGTACCTGCACCAAGAGGTTCGCGCGAGGGTCTGTGGGCTCGCTCCACTTTCGTACAACATGATTGAGACCGAGGTCGAGCTCGTAGTATGTCAACATCTGCGCTTCGAGTTCTCAGCGGTCTGTCTCAGAATGCATCTCGGAGAAACGCACCTTTTCCGCGTTGTTGAACGCTTCGCCTGTGGGGTCTTGGTCCGACTCAGAGTAGTCGACCTCTAGCGCGGCAAACGTTGGGTTCTCGAAGCCCACGTCCAACCCGACGATGTGGTGGATGATCGCGTTGTTTTTGTGCGCCTCCAGGGGCGACGAGATGGTCAAGTTCGCAGCCGCGTCTCTGTTCAAGATGTACACCAGCTTCGCCTTCTCCACGGAGCCGATCATGACGCTGCGCCCCTTGGGGTCGGTCGCGAGATATTGCCCCGGAACTATTCGACGCGCGCCAGACTTGCCGTATGTCTCCTGGTGAATCTTGACGAAGGTGCTTGTCCTAGGGTCATAGTCCAGAATGACGATGCGCCCCGAGTCGGACCCTACGATGACATAATCTAAGAAACAGAAGAGAAGTGAATACGGCGAAAAGGATTGGACACGTACAAGGGCGCACCCTTGGTACCACCGGTGAGCCTGAACGCGGCGAGCGAGCGGATGGAGCCGAAGACTTCCGTCGCGATCACCGTCAGGACCTTCCCGCTTTGCGCGTCCGGCCTCAGCAGCTCGAGACGCGTGCCGCGCGAGACGATGATTTCTTGCGCTCGCGAGCCCGAGAAGTTGCCCGCGACGGCATGCGTAATGGCGGTCGGGGGTTGGAGTGTGAGATTGTACAGATGCATGCCGGCGAGGGGTGCCGTCAGACAGCAAAGTAAACAGATGGAGGTTGATCGGGTCGTCGACGAGTCCTTGGAGGGCAGGTGGGCAAGAACAGGTAGCGCGAACGACGAGGGCGAAGGCGAGGACAGCAGCGACTTCAACGCGAAGAAAGCGCGAGCGGTTCCGGGGTCACGATACACAAGTGGACCCCGAACACAGCCGTAGCGTTTGGCGTCTGAGTACAAGTCCCCGAGCGATGAAGACTATATACATGATTACAGGGATTATCTATCATAATAGTAGTGTTTTACAGTGGCGTGGGGGTATGTAGTGATCAATTCCATATATCGTCAGCTGCTGAGAAGTTCGACTTCTTCCGTCCCCGGGTTCCAGTTTTGCTCCCTCGACCCCGACCCCGCCCTCGCTTACCTCCCCTCGAAGAACCAGAACCGCGTCGAGACGAAGTGCCTGCAGAAGAGCCTCCAGGACATGCTGTCAATCTATGTTAGCTACATCATGACTGGCAACAGAATATCAGGCGACTCACCATTGCTATAGTGTCCAGGCTCGCCACATTTGAAGCATGCATTGCCGCCGGCACCCGACGAGGACGACTTCCCCTGATCCCGGCGCCCATTCGGACAGGCTGTTCTTGGTTGGATAATGTATGGACCAGAGGTCAGAGAAGGCACGCACCACTGCTGAAGTGCCCTTCTTCGCCGCAGCTGAAACATGCGCCGCCACCGGAGCCTCCGCCGCCTCCTCCGTTCCCGAAAGTTCTTGGTGCTTGCCCCGCGCTCGTACAAGCTAATTGCGCAAACACGCGTCAGTTCAATATCGCTCGACGTTCGAAAACAGACGTACCGCTTGCCCAATGCCCCTCTTCGCCACATTTATAACACCCACTACCAGATGACCCGCCGGCCCCACCGCCTCCACCGCCATTTGGCGCGTTCCCAGCATTACTCGAGAACGTCCTCTTCGGCGGCTCGATGGGGCCATCCTCGTCATCCGCTGCCCATTCGAAGTACGCGCACCTAGCCTGGCGCGACCCATTGGGGCACGACCAGTACTTGCGGTTCGCGTTGGACGCCGACTGCGACACCTTCAAGACAGCGGTCAGATCGCACCCGCAGCGTCGCTCGGCCCCCACAGCACTATGCGGGCGCTTTGCAGGGACCACAGCCGATGCCGATGAGTACGCCGTACTCGAGGGATAGGCGCGTGAAGATGACGAGGACGCGGCGGCGGTTGGGGTACCGCTGGCAGAAGGCCCGTCGGACCACTGGAAGAACTGGCATGTTTGGTTCTGCCCGCATGTCCAGAACCGCTTGCCCTTGTTGGCGGATTCTTTCGTGACGGTGCGTTCTACAGCGGGTATGTTGCAGTCGCATTGTGGCAGCGCAGATGCCGATAGCGAATGTCCGCTCCTTGGGGGCACGGGACGAGCTGGTGCCGGTGCTGGTGCCGGGCGAGCCGGCGCAGGACGAGCTGGTGGATGACGAACTGGTGGCGGAGGCGATGGAGGTGGGATCGGGTCGTCGCTCCAGTCTAAGAAGCGATTGTCAGTACAGCGATGCATCCAGAAGAGGACATGGTCTTACAGTGCTCATCCTCATCATCGGCAAGCGCGGCCGGGGCTTGTCTGCGCGCCGGCGGAGGAGGAGGAGGTGGGGGTGGTGGTGGTGAAGGTGGTGGCCCGTTGGCTGCCGCGGAGCCTCCACGGCCGCGGCCGCGCCGAGCTCGTGTCGAGCTCGCGCCTCTGGTACCCGCTCCTCTTGTTCCACGCGTTGCACCTCCTGCACCACGACCGCGGCCCCCGCCTCGGCCCCTTCCTCTGCCACCGCCCCCGCCCCCAGGGCCCCCACCGCCGTCTTCGTCATCATCTTCATGAGCTTCCCCAAGGTCCACCTCTGGTACAGGGCCTTGTCCATTAATACGATGTCCGACAGCCTGAATAGCGAGATCAGCCAGGGTAGAGTGGATGAGAAGGTCATACTCACTGCGACGAGCTTCTCGAACTCGATCTTGGTCCGCATGAACATCTCCTTGTAGCGCTCAATGCTTTCTGCGAGCACCTCGTTCTTCGACTTGACGCCTCCGCATATATCAACCATGCGCATCTCGGTCTACCAAAACCAAGTTATAGAAAATGTGACGCATATATCCAGGGAAGATGCAGACATACCTCGCGTCGGAGCTCCGGCTTGCTCAGACTATGGTCGAAGCCAATAGCATCGTAGCCCTCTACGAGCCCTATGCCGAGTGTTGACGGGACAAGATACTTGGTAGCGCCTTGCATCCGCTCGATAACATACCCGCGGTCGATGATCGTTTGTATGTGTTGGGCGATCGTGGCGTCCGTTCCTAGTGTAGTGTGGTCAGCCACGCGCTCCGAGCGTTACGACAGTTCTGACTGACCAATGCCATGCTCGTCCATGAGACTGACTAGATCTGCTTCTGTGAGAAGAGTCGGTTTGGACGTTTGGCCTTCGTCAAGCCTACACTCCGTCGGAACGAAGGCCTCCCCCTCTTGGAAGTTTGGCACTTCCTTGTCCGCCCATTTGTCGTACGGGAAGACGTCCAGGTAGTTCCGCTCTCGGATAACGAGTCCTATAATACTTGTTCAGCTACAAGTCCCAATCTGTGGTCGAGGAATGCGTACCGGTGGCGTAGAACTCCTCCTCGCCGTATTGCACGTCTATTGTTGTCAACCAACCTGTCGCATCCTTGGAACAGCTCGCGAGGAAGCGACGCGTGATGTACTCGTACACCCTCTTTTCGTCCCCAGCGAGATTCCCTGCATGCGCGGTGGGATGAATTGGGGGATGCGCGTGATCATCGTGTTTGCCCTTCCTCGGAGCATTGAAGCCTCCATTCTGCAAGCTTGATAAACATAGCGGGAGTGAGCTGGTAAAGTGTACGAATGGAGAAGGTCACCTACCCACCAGCAAATCCACCCCATGCGGGGTCTGCGGTTTGCTTTCCTATCAAGGTCATGAAGTCGAATTGGGGGTCATATACGTCAGTCTCAGTGCGCGGATAAGACAAAAATCCTCTCTGGTACAAGCTCTCTGCGATCTGTCCTCGTCGTATTGAGCACCCGGGCGTGCGCAAAAGGCTAAGCTACTTACGTCGAGCACCCGTTTGGGCGAGATCTTCAGCAAGCGCGAACCCGCCTTCTGCAAGTCTACCGTGGTCAACGGGAGCGGCTTCCTATCCCAGAGTTGAGCTTCACTGAGACCTATGGAGCAACAGCGTAACTCACCACTTCTTGGTATCCTTCACGGTCACTTTCGAAACTCGAGCCATAGCGTGGGCGAGTGCCGCATCATACAGGGCCATCGCATTATTGACGTCGAATATGTGCCCTCTCCTCCACGTAAAGACGGTCTCCTCGCCATCCGAATCGGTTGCAGACGGACGGGTTAGCGACAAATAGATATACCAGAACGGCTCAGGTTTGAAGTTCTTGAGTTTGTTGTACCGGGCGACGACAAACCCAAGGGTGGGGAATTGACACGGACCTGGGTTGAAGTAGTGAACATTCGAAGCGGAATATGATGATTTAGAGTAGGGCTTATGCATACCGTACGATATCAGCTCTCGTTTCAAGGCCTCGTGACGGTTTTGCAAATTGAGCGTTTGGAGACGGGTAAATGCGGAGCCTATCCTAAGGTCCAGCAAAATGCGCGTCTCTACTGCATTGGCTTGAGCCATGTCAAGTTGCACCGGGTTCTGGGCGGCATGGTGAATTTGCCTGGTATAGTTGACATTCAGCTTATATGCGAGGTACGTCTGGGGCATACGTACTGGGCAATGATGGCGCTGAACCTAGCACGCCTGACCGTGATGTTGGCATTCGCTTTCCGGCAGATCTTCATGATTTCCGCGCCAATATTCTCGCCCTCACGATCGCAGTCCGTCCAAATCATGAGGAGTTGCGCGCGTCTTGCTTCGGTCTTGAGGTTCTCGGCTATAGTGTCGGCATCCTTCTTGACCCTGCACTCGACCGGGGCTTCGAAGAGAGCGAATGGGTCGCATGAGGTCCATTTAGAGTACATGATGTTAAAGTCATGCTCCATAACATGGCCGGTGACCGACGTTACGGTGTAGAACGAATTCGTCTGGGGATAGTTGAAGTCATAATTCTTGATATATTTGTTCCGACTGTTCCTCTAGAGGCGAGTGAGATATATTTCAAGCGACTTTATATGTCAACACGCACCGTCGTGAACTGGCCACCCGACAATATCTGAGTGATAGACTTCGAGATGGACGGTTTCTCCGCAACACAAAGGACCCTCATGGAATCTTCCAAGGGTATTCCCTGATGATATGTTGCAAAGTTGAGCTTGAAAACTGGCCAGCCGGGTGGTGTGCGTGAGGGGTATCTGAAGAGAGCAAGGAATCGAGGAAGTATGGTGAAGTGGCTGGCCTGGCGGTGCAAGTTATGGGGAAGTCGTCAAGACGTGAGAGTGGGCTAGCTGTTACAGGCGTGCAGGGCGCAGTGTGTCAACAGCGGCAAGACATGAGCAACCTCCGGAGATGGCGAGGTGAGGGTTGGAAGAGGTGGTCAAGAAAGAACGCGTCCCACGGCGCGCCTTGCGCCCGTCGCGTCGCGTCGACACGTGATGGCAAAACATCATAAGCGCCCGTCGCGATCGCCACGGTCGCGTGCGTCTGCTAGCGCATTCGCCCTTCTTCACCCACGGGATCCGACCACATAGACCACTTCGTGACAGTTATGTGGGCCGCCTGCGCATCTACGCTATCGCATGCCTACACGGACTCAGCAAATCAGCCTTAGCCGCCGCAAGGCGTCTCATGTACGAAGACAGTGGACTCCATTTCCTCGAGCAATCCGCCATGCCCCCCGAGTTCTCTGATATCCCTGCGGCAGTGATCTATGCGCTCCTCGACTACCGTCGTAGATGCACTGACGTGGTCCTCCTCGACTACCGTCGCAGATGCACAGACGCGGTCATCGCTACTCTGAACGACATGCACTGGATGGCGTTTGGCCGTCACAGCAGAGCGTTATCCAGAGCTCCTTCTAGGAATCCCAGGACCCATGACTCATGGGCATGGCTGTCCTGCCGAAACCCTCACGATCGCTACGAGAAAACTCGAGTGGACGGGCACACGCTTATCGTGAAGGTGTGGATGAAGGACTACCTCGCGGAAGTGTCGAAGACGCTTCGGTCGTCGGGACCGAACCCTGCAGCTGTCTTGAAGCGTGCCGCGCTCCGGCAGGCTGCGCAGAGCTGTGAGTCGTGCCCCCATTGCGTGACCACTGGCTTGATGGACTTGGTGGACTACGGCCTGATGGTGAGGAGCAGAATGAGCGAGTCTTTGAATCAAGTAGGTTCAATATTCCTATACCCCCCCATACATGCATTAACACTGTGTTCTTCCCAGGTCGAACTCCATTTTCCTGCCTAGCATGTCCACTACGTCCGCCCACAGGATATGTTGTCTATCAATATTCCTCGCCTTTCACCTCGCGTTCACGTCCAAATTTGCGACCATTTACTGTCCGGATCCGTGATCTGTTCGGAAGTAAGACTAGTTTTCACCATTGAGCGGCCGTTCCGGGACGTCCGGCTTGGCCTGTTCCCATGACACACGCGTGCAAACTGACCTGCCTTACCGCAGCACCTTTCATTTGACGTGGTACGTGATACATCTCTATCTCTATCGCGACTCATCGCGAGCGACGTCTAGTCTGCATGCATTTGAGGCATGCTTGGAGGAGGGTCCCGTATCATTATTTGTCAGCAGACAATTGATCTCCGACGACGCGTCGAGATCTATACACAGGCACACTTGACGCGTCGCGCGCGCGACGCGTCCGGCCTTTGGTCAAACACTCGCCATACTGCTAAGCTAGTCCTACCCGCAAACCTCTTTATAGTCATGATAAAGTATAGCGCGCTGCGTAGGATATTTTCACGCTGTCTACGGGGTGCGGGAACCGTCAAAACTCGCGCAAACCTCTTGTCTCCCTCGCTAGCGTGTATGATCTGTGGTGAACGGGCCTTTAAAGGCAAATTTGCACGAAATCGGGATACAGGGTGCTTGAATATGAGACCGTATGTGGGTGCGAGGTTATCAGACCCCCGCGGAACGTCCAGATGAGCCCATTTGATGATGCGAAGCCGAAGCTGAAGGACAAATGTCCTCCACAGCGGCGCTGGCCGCGTTGCTCAAGGGCATGACCCCGAAGCCTTAGTATTCGAACAACAAGTGAGAAAAATATGCACAGTGTCACTCTAGCTAGCATGAGATGGGGAATCCGCGGCTGCATGGCCAGGGGGATAAATGGCTGTTGATATTTGACGAGTCGGAGAAGAATTGCATTTCTATCAAGCTACATGATGAAAGCGCTATCACTAATTCAAAATATAGCTACCTATGTATGAGATACAACGTATTCATGCGCTGACTGCGTTCTATGCGCTAGTTTGTCGCCTCAAACCCGAGAGGACAGCAGCCGAGGTGCTGTACGAGCAAACCGCCAAAGCTGTTGGCGCCCGCATTTCCCTGTTGGGGAATGCCATATAAGGAGAACACGTGGCGTCTCAATATGGGAAGACCCATTTGGGAGCGTCGGATCACTCGGCATCGAAGAATCGGGACCCTCCTCCAAGGAGGGCGCGTTTGAAAGCAGACGTTAGTGTGATCGTCCTCCCCCCCTCTATAGATCACACATCGTCTGCCTAGGGGAGACAAAGCGACGTCGTGTCCTCAGACCTCCTCCATCCCTTAGACCACCTCCTTCAGCACCACTACTACCAGCATGGCAGGAACAACCATGCGCCCTCCCTTCGATGACGCCGACGCCGACATCATCTTCCGCTCGGCGGACCGCGTCGACTTCCGGCTCTACAAAGTCATCATTTCCAAGTCCTCCGCCGTCTTCCGGAACATGCTTGCTATTCCCGACGTCAATGCGAGCACGGGAGAGCCACAGATCGTAGAGCTCACCGAGGACGCCGATACCCTCGAGAACCTTCTCCGTCTCTGCTACCCCGTGAAGCGCGCAGTCTTCAGTACGGTCGATGAAGCCCTTCCCGTGTTTACCGCAGCGAAAAAGTATGACATCGAGGTTGCGGTGGACACCATGTGGGGCTTAGTTCACGATCTGGCGGCGAAGGAAAGCCCATCGCGGGCTTACGCCATCGCCTGCATTCACGAGCTACCAACACTAGCAAGGAGGGCCGCACGGCTCCTTGTCAAAGAGGCCGACGTCATGGGTCTGCCCTTGCTGCCTCTGGAGCTCCGATCCCTTACCCTCCAAACGCTGTATGCCTTCGCCCGGTACCGGAGGCAGTGCCTGACTGCCGTGAAAGGCGTGTTGGAAGGGAACAATGATTGGCTGCGCGCTGGAGACCACCCGTACAAGGTACTATATACAAAAATCCTCAAAAAGACCGCCCCAAATGTCGAAATGTCCTGGATATGGTACCGCTGCTCCAGCTGCGCCCTCAACCCCTTCGTGAAAATACCGATGGCTCACCCATTCGTTTTTGTGACCCCTTCTACACTCTGCCCGCGTCTGTGGTGGGCCCACTACGAGATGATGGTGGAGGAAAGACTCTTCTCCGTGGGACTCGATGGTTGCGCGGCTACTCAAAAGGCGCTACTAGATCAGATCATATGTGGAGCGGAGACGTGTAGCACTTGCGCTCCTCATGCACGTACGCACCTTATGGTCTACGCACAAGCCTTGGAGCAGAGGATAGAGAAAGCCATCGACGAGGTGAGTGCACTGGCCGCACGCTCAGGCATACCGTTACTTAATTGCATTTAACCCGTTCACCCGCCTTTGAAATAGGTTCATTTCGAGCTGCCGTTCGCTGTTGGGCCGGAGACAGATTCAACGTGAAGAATGGGCCAATGAAGACACATCTGTGTGAGTACGATTGGGGACTTTAGGCTTCAAAGACGCATCTGTGATGCTTATGCACGGCACAATACTCACGAGGTTTCCGATAAACACCGATATGCAACAAAACGGTAGCTCAAGGAGTAGATGCAATATGGTACTGACATGATATGCAAACTATGACCCTCTTTTGATCAACTCTGCGGCGCCCTCCGTTCCCGCAATCCTCTCCAACCTAAGCCAGTCGTACTTCGAGTACAGGACGCGACACGTGACGTCCGACGCGTCCACCCCGTCGTCGAGGAAGGGGTATGAAAGGAGCTCTGTGTAGAATTGAGGGTGATCAGGAGGCCCGTAGAAGACGAGGTTCCGGATGCCTCTGATTTTGTACCTGGAAGAGGAGGTTAAAGCGACGTGGTGCACCAACAGGAATGCAAAACTAACCTCCGGAAGAAGTGGAAGCGCTCGCTGACCAGCAGGAAAGCGTTCTTGCCCAAGAAGAATGCCTGGCGCGCTCGAGATATGTCCTGGTTCGACGAATATCTGCGAATTTATGGGTCAATGGGGGCACCCCCAACTAACAGGTATGCCACACTCACTCCGATAGTACTGTGAAAGAAACGCCAACGTTCTTCCTGAAGTGATTGTGCACTCGGATGAAGTCCAGCGAAGAAGGCACGAATACGACCGTGTTCGAGCTCTGAACGGCTGACTTCAAGATACCAGGCAGTAGCTACGTCGATAGCCGTGAACACGCAGTACCGCACGGATGATTAGAAAACCCTGACCTGGGTAGTGAAGTACTGGAAACGTTTCTCAGGCTCGTCCTTGGGATTGCTGCAGTCAAATTGGACGAATTGCTGGTTGTTTATGAGCCTCTAGAAACGCGATGGAAGAATGAGGATACGTACCTGGTCGATGCCTTCTGGCACTTCGATGGGCGACCATCTACGTTCGGTGCGTATCCTTCCAGCGACGTTCTTGAGAGACTGGTTGAACAATGCACGAGTCTCCGGTGTCTCATAAGCGGACAAAAGGACGGTCTGGCGGAGATACGCTGAGCTGAGAGCGTGATATATCAGCTTGTATACGGGTTAATAACAACTATATGCACTGACTGTCCGTCTAAGTACCACGGCTTGATACGAGAGAAGTCTACGTCGTGCGACTCCTTCGGCAGCTGGTTCAAATGGCTGAATATGAACTAGCAGCCACGATTTAGCGACCCCATTTACAGCAGTATAACAAACAGCGAAGCACCTGTACGTGGTCCCAGTTTTGCATTGTGAGCGCATCCATCTGGTCAACGGCGAGGACTTCGATGGACGAGAGGAAGTCTGCGTTCCTGTGCAGGGCATAAGACCTCTCTTCTAAGGTGCAGGAAAAAGAAATACGCACTTTTCCTTCTCGATCGACATCCTCAGTCCCAGCGGACTCGCAATGATCAAATCGCACCCGTAGAACTCCGCGAACAACTTGACGCTCTTCCGCGTCATTTTCACGCCCAGCCGGAAGCTGTCGTCGACGTTACCCTTGAACATCTCCACATGGTCTCTCGGGTACGTCCCGGGCTCCGCATTGGCGAGCTTGTCAATGGAGCCAGGCGGTAGCCCGTACTCGGACTGGAAACGCGAGTGGTTCTCGACCTGGTACTCCGGCGACGGCGTATGTGCGGTGAGGGCAGAGACCCAGCGTTGTGCGAAGGAGCGGAAGGGGACCAGGATGAGCACAGACGGGCGAGTGAAGCCTTGGTCCTGTACGTCTTCGGGAGGCGGGTTGTGAGCCTTGGAGGCGTGTGCGATGCGTTCATTGTTCTTGAGGATGCGTCGGCGTTTTCTGAGGTATGTTGTCGGTAAGCGTGAAATGTATATGTAGGAAGGCGACGTACTTGGTGATGTGATTGAGTGCATGGAGAGTGAGCGCCTCGCGAACAGTAGATTGGGTCTCCAACGCCGTGCGCGTAATGTAGAGGTCGCGATACGACGCCATGGTGTTCAATAGATCATTTTGCAACTCGACAATTTCTGCGTGCCTAGTCAATATTCCTCGATGCATCCGGTAACGCCTCACGCATGCTCACCCCGAGGAAGTTTTGCTTGTCTCGCTTCCAGTGGTGCCTTCAGCTTTTCTTGGATCTGGAACCATGACAGACGGTCAGACTCGCGGACGCGCAAGCACGGTGCAAGACGTACCTGGTGTTTTGATGAGGCTGCAGTGGAGGATTCCGCGCCCTCCGGCACGGCTTCGACCACACCGCCAAGCTTCCCCAGCTTCCCTCGCTGGGACTTCCACGTCCGCGCGTCCACAGCCTCCCGTGCGCTCTCGGTCAGTGCCTTTGGCTGGAGCCCAAAGTGCGCTTCATATGGGTCCGCGCCACCGTCTAGGACACAGTCGGGTCAGTAAGGAAAGAACGCACACAAGAACTACTCGCACACGCACTGGGGTCATCTGCCTCCTCGCCACCGGGAACACCCTCCTCCTGTTCTGTCTCAACCGGCGCGTCCTCGCCCGCCTTCTTCAGAGGCTCGTCAAGCGTTTCCGTGGGAGCGGCAATTTGCACCGTGCGTTTCTTGTTAAGCTTCTCTGAGGGCTTGCTTTCTTCGAAGGTGCGCTTGCGCTTGTTCGCCTTCGTAGCGGAGACGTTCAGCAGCGTCAGCAGACGCGTCGTCGTGTTTGCGTCTTCGTCTATAGCCATCTCAGAGAGTTGAACGCGAGCGGTAGAACTGAGCAGCGCTAGTTGGTCGGTGAGGCTGAAATGCTCGACAGAACGCGGTGGAGGCGTAAACTTGACGATCGAGATCTCAGAGCAAGATCTCGGAAGAGTTTTGAGCGACTGCGCGTGCTCAGTGCATATTGCGTAAGCGCTCATGGCTCATGACGATAGTGCAGTGGACTGTAGCATCACAAACTCCGGCAGTACTTATATCCTAGGTGCTCTTTGGTTCGACCCTGCGCAGGCGCATGTTAGCTATTCTTTTGCACGTCTCTTCGTTCACGACTTTGGAGGATGTGCAGTCGGCGAGGTCGGGGCATTCCGACTCATACACTACCATCTTCATCGAGTCGGAAGGAGCATCGAGTGACTCAGATGTCGATGTCATTACTGGTTTGCAGCAAGGGATACAAATAGCTAGGGTATGGTGAACGTCCGAAGGTCGAAGGGATGGATACAAGGCAGGGGTTATAAAGGTGATATGCAGTAGATGTAAGTGCTCTGCCGCCAGATGCGGCTTTGTCGACTCGAAGGGGTATGGGGTACCAGCAGTAATGAACTGTACCGGGATGTATGGTCTGTGCGTGAGTAAATGATGCTGGTGAGGTAGGTTCATGCGGAGTCCGTGTTGTCCAGTCCGTGTTGAATCAGTGTCCATATCAGTCCTCCGCCCCCTAGAGGAGGGCCGCAAACAGCGAGACGGAGAGCAGACCCGAGACGAGGAGAGCGGTGAAGGATTGGAGCGACGGGCGCATCGCGGCGTTGTCGTGGCCCTGGCTGCCGGTGGTGTGCTGCGACGACGAGCCGCTGCTCTGGCCGTCGTCTGCCTGGGCGGCGACGCTCGGCGGGGGAAGGGGTACTTCGTTGTTGGTCGGCTGCTCCCCGACCTGGCCTGAGCCGACCATCACATGCACACCGACGGAGGGCACACCGTTGACGACGACGAAAAGCACTTCGCACAGGTGTCAGTGACCGAAAAAGTGAACCTTCCGAGCTATAGAACTTACGGGCGGGGCCGGGTGCGAAGAGCGCAGCGTTTGGCGGAACTTGGCTAACGTGAAGGACCGCGCTGCCGTCGGAGTTGCCCGTGTACGTAGAGTTGAGCTGCAAGAACCGCTGGCCCATGTTCTACACATCGAGAAACCGATCAGCGTCGACTTCCACAACATCTTAAAAGGGCCGCTTACCATCGTGTGAGTGGAGAACCCGGTTCGAAGCAGAATAACCGTCGCCTCCTTGACGTTGTTCACATCGCCGGCAAGGTCCTCCTTCGCGAGGGTCACGTTGAAGTACGGGCCGCCGTACGACAGCTGCTCGACCAGGCCCTGCGGCTGAGGCCGACGCGAGTTGTAGTACGAGGGGTAGAAGTACTCCACGCGGTACTCGGTCTTGTACTTGACGTTGTCCACGGTGTAGTCCGCGTGCGGGTTCGAGCCGGAGACCAAGACCGAGCCTATGCATGTAGCAGATCAGTACAAGTCTCCATGAGGGATGTATGCATGCTACTTACCGTCGGGGAGGAGCGTCGCGGTGGAGTGGTACATCCGCGGAATTGTGCTCGCAGTCAGACCCTCGCGTGACCACCGAGAACCCGCAGCCGCAGTGGGGTCATATACAACGGGCGTGAGCACCGAGTTGTCTGCATATGACTCGCCGACCGCCCAGTCCTGGGGACCGTACCCAGCGACACCAGTCTCCGCGCCATTCAAGCAGAGGATCTTGCCGTTAGGAAGGAGTATGAGGTTACCCATAGAACGGCCCTCGGGAAGGGGGTCTTCCTTCTGGTAGGTAGTGGACACATCGGGGGTGATGCTCACGCAAGACGTGGACGCCTTGTACTGTGCAATGTCCCAGTCGGTGGTCCACCTGTTGCAGACGCGTCAACACGGCAACTTTCCGGCACATGGGGAGGAGCCTACCTGTCGGGCTGCAGGTCGTTCCCTCCGCAGAACAGGATCGTGGCCGTGTACCCGTTCGCTGGAGTCAACGGCAGCATCGCCGTACCACCACTGGCGGGGTATACACGGACGGCCTCAATCATGTCGTTGATCGGCGTCTCCTTCTGGTTCTTGTAGTCGAGGAAGGAGGTCTTCCAGTTCGACTGGATCAGCAGCTTCCCCGAAGGCAGGAGCCAAGTCAACGGGTACAAGTTCGCAGGAAGCGTGTTTTCCAGGATGTCTAACTTGACGAGCCCGAGGCCGTTCTTGTCCGGGAAGAGCTCATATGTCGGGTTGTTCTGGTTCGCGTCGTTGACGAATCCACCCCACTCTGCGCCGCCAATCTGCGAAATCTCAGTCAACGATTGGTTCGGGAAACGAGTACGAGACGCCTACGATGATGATGGAACCGTCGTCAAGCGTTTCGCTATGATCCGAGTCAGTATATGCCGACGTTAGCAAGCGTGAGGAAATACATACAGTGTGGGGTACCACCGCCTCGTGGTCATCTTCCCGAAAAGAGCCCACTCGCAGTTACCATCGTCACATGGGGTCAGCATACTGTTTCTGATGCGTTAGTACGCGCTCAAGGGAACAATTGAGTTGTCCGAACTGACCGCATGCTGTGTGAGAGATGGGACGTAGATGAGCATGCAACGTCGCATATGGATAGGGTGCGTTGATACGCACGACTGTCCACCATCCGGGTCCTGGTACGGCTGGCCACCGGTAACTTCGCTGTCGGCGGTCGCACCGCCAGTGGTAACAGCCATGTTTCCGCCGACGTTGATCCACGTCCCGTTTGCCAGCACACCACCACCCTGTGTGACATGCCGCCATAATCAGCTCAAAATCCTGTGGCAGCGATCCAATGACGAGAGAACCGCATACCGCACAGAAAGTGTTGGTAACGATGTCCATCGTGCGCCCGCCCTTCTTGCTGACCGAGAACTCTGCAAACGGTGAGAATCCCAGACATGAGAGGCAGGTACATGGGACATACCCGATGCCCACGCAGGGTGTCCATTGACAGTCGCAGGGTTTGCCTCTGTCTTGTCGATGATATAAACCTTGTCCGCCGTCCCCAGGAACATCTAACGGGCGTCAGAAGAAGGTGGACCTACAAGCATCAAACACGACATACCTGCTGCGCGCTGACCATACTGTCACCGACGATTTCAAACGCCCCAAGCGGCGCGTCGTTACGGGCGGGTTGCCCAGGGGTGGGTGCGGTAGCCTGTGCATAGACCGAAGCCAGGAGCGAGAACGCCGCGACGGCGCTCCGCACGGACGGCCCGCGCATGTGTGTGCTGGTAGTGGACATTAGAAATGTAGCCTCGTGAGGGATCCGTAAGGTAGGGCGTAGCAGCCAGCCGTGTGCGCCGTAGTGAGGACCGCTGGAAGGGGGCGGATGGAGACGAAGTGCCCTTCGGCGAGGGGCATAAATACGCGGGCGCGGACACTGAGCGGCCAGCCGACGGTCCTTCCCCGCAGAGGCAGGCGCGTAGTGCGAGCGAGGCCGGCGGAGGATGCGCGGGTAGCGGTTCAAGGACGAGAGGGAGCTCCCGGCGGGCCCCACCAACGCACGCAACGCGCGGGCGGGTCAGAGCCGAATAGCTGCTGCCGCTCGATCGATTCCAGGCAGGCTTTACTCGGTCCCCTAGAGCACGAACTGTCCTCTGCGAGTGCACGCATTGTGCGTGCCACTGTGCCCTGCCGCGCTGGCCGAGAAGTATTGCGTCTGGTCAGTCATTTTCCCGAGCGGGAGCGTAGCGGCCACCACGAGGTTCGTGACGTCCGAGGCGATCACGGTCCCGGTTACAGTCCGGGCATCCCTGGAGAGGCACGCAAACACATTGATGGCGGTACCGTTCAATAAAGGCGGGGAGTGTGAAGAGGATATGACGACGCGGCGCGAACACACCGCGCCGTCACGGGAGGTTGGATCAGGAGAGAAAGAGACGGACCCAGATCAACTTGTGTGGTATGGGCGCTCCGCCTCGATGCGCGGCTATCCGGCGTTTTCGCTTAGAGCGCTAACTGACTGCCTTCCCCTCGATTGCCTGCAGCGAGTGATACTACTACCATACTCATTACTATAACGACTACTATTCTTTACTGTAGGCATAGATACTACTGCGCTTGCCCCCCGCTAACCATTGGAGTGTATGCGTTACGCGCACGACTATGGGGCTTGGAACGGACGTTAAACTGTGAACCAGGCAAAACGATTGTGACTCATCTACCAGCGTTGACGGCGTGCAGAGCCTAGTGCTTGCCCTGCACTTCCACAGGGGACGTGGCGAAGATGCCCGTGCCACGGTCGCGGAGGGAAGGCTGAGAGCGTTTATCTTTCAACGAGCTCGTCCACACAAGCGTCCCATCTCGGACTCAATCAGCTTCCAATAGTCTCTCGCGAGCAGCCAAGCCTCCAGACCATCGGTGAGCCACGGTCGCACGGTCGCCGCAGAACCTAGTGCTGGACTCGCCCGGCAGGCGTCGGCATACTCTTCAGTACACCCAGGCGACGCCGCCTGTGTGAGTGCCCGCTAGGAAGCAGCCGCCGCGCTGCCGCTTCTGGCCTTCCCAGCGACGGCGACGCAATGTTTCTCTGCGTATCGGCCTGAACCGAATCCGAGGAAGTAACGCGACCTGAAAATATGCGGGGGCAGGCACAAGTCTTCCCGCGGAATGACGTGACCATATATGGAGGGAACGCAGAGGGGCTCTTCGGAAGATCCAATGCAAAGGGCGTGCAGCATTTCTCTATAACACGCTGCAAGGGGAGATGTGCCTGCCGGTCTAAACTTGCGTATCCCGCGACCTCAAGATAAACTACTACGAATGTGTAAGTTAGGCGGCATGGGATGAGATGAAGACACGCACGCTGGGAGGTAAAGCACTACTGCGGCATAAGGGTCGAGTACCCGTGCGGCGGTATCGTGGTATAGAATGAAGGCAGCCTGGCGTGTTTCCATATAACACCCTCGTTTCCGCAGCTATGCCACCGGCGGACGTAAACTCGACCCCGTTCCTCGGATCTTGCCGTACAAACCTTATGACCCCCCACTCATATGACGAGCACACCTCGTACCCTATGCACCACATTCGACTCGCAGTGCAGGGCCACGAAGAAGTGTGCTCCATATGTGAACGTCAAAACACTAACAACTAGGCGGCACTTGGGTAAGTCGCCGAGTATGTACGATCAAACGGCGGCACAGCTCTCAGGTCGAAACCCTCGACGACAGCGCATGACGTATGTCCGCAGGAATATGCCGTGTGCTGTAATGCGCGGCCAAGCCTGGCCAAGCTGTCGGCGACTCGATCGCTGAGGCTGATCCGACCGCTGGGTTGACGCTGCTGCACGGCGAGAGATGACTAAGGTCGACGCGTAACGTCGAGCCGCGAGAAATGTGCGAAGATGTACAACGGCTCTGTAAACCATCCGTAGTCTTCCGTAGTGCTGTGTCAGCGGCATCGAGTCGCTTTGACCATTCGTTCCTCAGTCAGCTCGTCGGCGTGCGGCAAGAGGTTCCCGGAAAGCATGCGCCTGCGCGACGTTCGTCCATGCATAGCATGCGCCCGGAGCTTCCATGGGTGACGGCGCCTCGGAGCTGAATGCATCATTCCGTTTTACTGCGGCACAGTGCATTCAGCTCCTGAGCGGGAGACTCGGGTCTGAAGATCGTTCTGCCCTGCCACCGTCGAGCACGTCTCCCCCTATACAAGCAGACGGCCGCCGTTTGCCTAGGACGGCCAAGCGGGGCGGTACATCGGCGCTCGAAATCCGGACGCTCGATCCGACCTCTGGCAGACTCCGAAGGCGGGACATTCCTGTTATGCATGGCTGGCATCTTTGGGGGCACGGTTCTTGGAGCCGCAGTGTTGCGCCCGTCGTACGCGAGTGTACGCCGTATGCAGAAGGCCATCGCCGTTGCGGGGTGTTCATTTCATGATGGCAGCTGCCGACATCCAGACCATTTACTCACCGGACAGTTACGGCAATGGATTGGACAGGCGCTGATGTCATTTCCCGTGCGTACCGTAGAAAAGACCCATGCTCCGGTGGCCCCTGGAAGGCCCTGAGGGTGATAGTTGACCATGCGAAAGCGCATGCTCCTGGAGAGTTTGGGCCAGGAGCACAAAACTCTCTTGGAAAATTTGGACCGTGCACCGGACCTGAGCTGGAGTCAGAGCTCCATGAGCTCTCCGAGCGAGGACGGACGGATAGCCACCAGACGTTCGTTCGCGCCTCCCCGACCGCTAGCGGGATGTCCAGACCGTTGTCGACGACGAGAGATGCATGCGCGAGCGTGCAGGTTGCGATGTGGGGTCTGTTGTTTAGCGAGGACAAGGAGGGTTCTGGTCCAGAGCGAGCGTTGGCGAGGGAGACTACTGACGGGAGAAGGAAATATTCTGTCAAAAGGGACTCCAACGGCGGAGCATGCGTGAACAGGGGGCAAGCGCCGTCCTGTGATTGGCCCAGGAGGAGGCCGAATGACGTCAGTGCGGGGGTGGCATGAAGAGACGCCGGGCGGTCGGGGCGGAGCGAGCCACCGGCGAGGCGTGAGTCGAGAGACTCCAGGGAGCTGCTCATCCAAGATCCTGTGCAGGCCCGTCCGCGTATATCTGCAATTGCCACGCAAAGCAGCCCCACCTCATCTTTGTACGCCGCTATGCCTTTTGAACAACTACCACCACCATCGCCTGCCCAACCCCGTCGTGCCCGTCCTTCCCTCCCCGAGGACCCCTCCTCCTCTTCCTCGTCCTCTACCCCGTCGCTTACGACTAGCGGGACCACAAGCGAAGACACATCGACGCCAGACCTAGTATCGCCTCTACAGCGGCTCTCTCTGCGCCCTGGCCACTCACCAATCGAGAAACGCAAATCCGACGCAACAGGACGGGCGATGAATCTCATCAGCAGCCCGGTGGAGGAAGTGCGTGATTGGATTTCGCACAAGGAGTACCGGGCACAGCAGGAGCAACAGCCATCGGACAGCAGAAGCACTGGTAAGGGCAAAGAGGCTGAGCTGAATACGAGCAGAGAAGGTAAGCTCTCAGCCTTATCTCTCCACCGATTCTCATTTCATGACCGTACAGGCCACTCACCAACCGAGAAACGACGGACTATGAACCTCATCAGCAGCCCGATGGAAGAAGTGCGCGATTGGATTTCGACGACGAACGGAGAGTACAAGCCACAGCAACAGGACCGGCAGCAACAGGACGGGAGAAGCAGGGGCAGGGAGGGTGATCTAAATACAAGCAGAGAAGGTAAGCCTTCCCACACCAGTGCCGCGGCGCTGCATACAGTCGACCGTCTTCGGATACCCTTTGAGAGCGCACGTTGGGGCATGGTGATCACGTCAGGAGATAGTTGTATTCCGACTTTGTAGCGTGTACTGTGTCCCTGACCCGAGGAGGCCGCCTGATCCGCGCCGATGGTGAGATGCGCTGTGCACACAGACCCGGTGACCGCTGGACGTCGCGGGACGCCGGGAGCGGTGGCTAGCGCGGGAGGAGGACGGGGAAGGGAGAGAGAGGGGCGCGGAGATGGGCACTGCGACGGAGGGCGGGCGATTGGCTTTTGGCTTTGAGTTGGGCGTTCTTATCGTTGCCGATTGAGAGAGGGATTGCTCATCCGTCGGGTCACCGGCAGAGGGCGACCGTGCGCGTGCGCGTGCGCAGATGCGAGGGCAAGGGCGGCGACCCCTTGCAATCATATTTGCCGAGTCCGACGACGGTCGACCATGTTGCGCTCATCTGATCTCCTCCACTGATCCATTTCTCACTCCCTCTCGCTTTTCGCAGCTTCTCTCCCTTTCCCCCTTCCCTCCGCCCGCCCCGTCCTCCCTCATAGGACGTCCTCGTATTCGAAACGACACGCCTCTTTCGACTCCCCCAGAGAGGTGCCTCTGCCGTACATGCCCCACCGCCAGCCCTACGCCGCATCCACGTCTCAGGCGCAGGGCTCCTCCGCCGTCGTCCATGACTCCGACCCCCCTTCTCGTCTCTCCTGCGTAACCTCCGAATCCTCCCGCTCCGTCTTCGACGACAACGTCGCAAGCTCTTCCTCCGACAGTACCCCCTCGTCATCCTCGTCATCCTCCCCACCTACCTCCTCCGGAGGGGACTCAAAAACGAACCGGGGCCAAGCTACCGACTACATGGACGTGTCGGGGACATCCTCTCCTAGTATGCATTTCCATTCTTCTCGCGCAATGCCCCCGCCCCGTCCCCAGTCACCGAGGATCTCCTCGTCATCCTCTAGCCCCATCCCACTCTGTGCCCGTCCATATTCTTCCCCCGACGCCTCAAGGCCGCTGCAGGGCGGGATCCACGCGCCACGGCCGATGCGACCACCGGGCGTGCCTGATCGTGGGTCAACGGCGAGCCTGCCCCTGCCCGCGGATACACCGTACCACATCCTGCCTACCTACCCCGGCGGACCAATCCCCGAAGACCAAGAGATGAGATCCGCTGCGCCTTCGCGACCAACTTCAAGCCGCCCGTCCGTCGGGGGTCATCACTCATCGACGTCATCGATACCGTCATCGTCGTCCGCACAGTCACGGCGCTCGCCGACGCTGGTGTCTGACTTGGAGCACGACGAGTTTATGTCGCTCGTCGCCAACCGGATGTTCGACCGCGCTTACTCGTCGGCCGCACGCGTGGATTCTGACAACGCCTCTTCGATTATGTCCGACCGGCCACTCCCCCCACCCGCACCACCAACCGTTCTTACTCCGCCGCCACCCCCGCTGAGCACGGATAGGGGTCCGACAGCACCATATGAACCGTTCCTGGCCCACGCGCCGGCCCCCCAGGACAGCTTCATTTCCGTGGACACTCGGCCGACCGAATATCGGCTCATCGTCAAGCTGCCTGGTTTCAGACGGGATGCTATGTGAGTGCACGTTTTTCCATCACGTGTGGGTCCTGGGAGAGCTAATCACAACGCTGTCCCCGCCTTTTCCGCGCTTATCAGTACTGTCTCAACCCGCAAACGGCGCGTGCTGCATGTTGTAGCTGATTCGTGGGAGCCCGACGGTGGTGAGTGCTCACTCTTCACGCTCCATGCCGATGCAGCGCTAACGGAGTGGATTATCGATTCGTGTTCCATCAAATTTCTTCGCGCTCGCGATGTATCATTACGCCGTCGCTGCACCTCCGTCAACACTGCTCAGGTCACTTTGAGCAACGCATCTCGTTCGGCTACGATGCGCTCCTCGCCCAAGTGCGAGCCGAGTTCGACGGTGAACTCCTGCAAGTGATCGTCCCGAGGCGGGCAGTTCCCATGACGTATTATTGATGAGCGCCCCGGCGCTCGGTCCTGGCTCCCTGCAAGCCCCTTCTGCCGACTCCTCCCGGACGTCTGGCGGCTACCCCTTCACATGGCCGGAGCCCCTCCTCTCCCCTTGCTTGTGCGGTCCTCTGTCAAAAGCACATTCCAGCGGCGCAACGTGCGGCCCTAGCGAACGTGGGCACGGGCATCGGTGCGGGACCCTTGCTCGCCGCACACGGCGGCTTGCGCCCATCCTCTGGACCACCAGCCGGGACTGGACGAGGACACGGGGACTACATACCCCCCAGTAATTATCACGTCACGACCCATATTCCCTTCATGATGAGTATATCCCGCCGCGCGGCGCGGCTTAATGACTACACATATCCCACTAGCTGCACTGGTCACCGCATTCCTCCCCTTCCCCGATATCGAGTTCTGGCGCCCATCGTATCCATCTATCATCGCCCCTGCCGTGCTCGTCGCTCTTCTCCCCTATTCGCCGAACTTCTTCGTATGGTCCGCCGCGCGCCCACGTATCGGCCATCGCGCATCACAATCGCACAAATCATCGACGCTCAACTCTAACGCTGTCGTCTCTCGCGGCCATTTCCCTATCCTCGGTAACGCTTCGCCAATCCCACGCATTGCCGTATGTGGATCGCACGTCGTCGCGCGCCGTCTCCCTCCTGCGCTCCCCGCATAACCTCGCGTATCCAATCGCTGCTTTCAGTGTCGCGCATCATACGTACGGCTCGCATTCGATTTGTAGGTCCTTTGTCACATAGACGCGTTATACCCGCCTGTCTGTGCACTGGGACGCTCGGCGCACCTCATCCTCGGCAGCGGCCCGACCAAGACACAGGATCCACGATGCTTTCGGGGCGCCCAACAAGCTCAGCCGTATCCCACTGGATGCCAGCTTCTCCAGGGACTGTGGGCGCAACGCCCGCGTACGTTACCTGAGCCGTCCTGGCTTACGAGACGGCATGCGGTTTGGAGTTAGATTGGCTGCAATAGCTCCCGCGAGAGTTCGTGCCGGGGTCCAGTGATTGCGCACACGGCTGGGGCCAAGGAAGAATCCGCCAGGCCGGAGCTTCAGGCTTCAAGAGCGGCGCTTCGCACGACTGCGTCCGCCCGAGGTGCGCGCGAGCGTAAATTGCGCTAGCGCTTCGGCGTCGTGTGGCGGCGCCTCGGCGTCTTGGTCGATTGGCCGCGGGCCCCTCCCAGGCGAAGGGGAAGGCACGAAGACGAAGACGAGGACACTTCCGGATACGAGGATGCGTGGAGGCAAGAACCGGGATACGCGAATCTCGGCTGCGGCGATATGGGCGGGCAACCACTGCCTTCTCCACGGACCTACCCCACACATTCCTTACGCCCCTTCCACCCCTATGCACCTGACGCTGCGCGCGCGTTGACATACCCAGTCGCGTGCCTGTATGCGGCCCTGTCCTGCCATATCGCCCCATCTCATTCATCTCCCTGCTACGCGCGCCCATATTTCATCACTTGTACAGTATTCCACCAAGCACACCAACGCACTGCTGCGCTTCTTAGACCGTCAATAGCTGTCGATACTATCCCATCACAACGCTTCACCACCACCACCGTACGTCGTCGCAGTCCGCCGTTGTCCCGAAGTTCCATCATATGTACTATTTGCCACCCCTGCTCGTTTAACCCACTCGCTTAGCCCTGCGCGTGGGGCGGCGTGCCCACATACTTGTAGATCCGCGTTTTAATTATTCCCGTACCGTATAATGACCACATTTCTGATTCCCATCTGACATCTACCCCGCTCTGCATCGTGTATCGCTCGGTCACGCTGTGCCTCATCGCCACCCCTGTCCCCCCCTGTCCCCTCCCCGCGTACATGATCGTTACATCGTTCACCCCGCCGTTCGTACCTCAGGTACTAGCAGTACCTGGCTACACTCCGCCGCTTGTACCTCAAGTACCTGGCCACACCTCCTCGTACCTCCTTCACCCTTGCACTCTACCGCTGGCTCCGGGCTTGTGTTCGTATTTTATTTCACCTGTATGTAGTTCTGCGCGTCGTGCTGTGTTGCGTTCTCGCATCGTCGAGGCGTACGTACATATCCCTATGTATCCTCATGTCCTATGGCCATCTTTCAATGCTTCGAGCTCCCTCATCATTACTACTGCCCCTTGCGCATCACTCTTCGCTGTGCTCTCTAGATTTCCGTATCTCCATCCACCCCTGTACGCTTGCGCACGTTGGTCCGGAATTATACACGCCTGATATTACTCGAGGCTCAGGACGCGGCACACGCGCCATGCACGGCGCACTCGCTGATGGTGGACCCGGTCGTGTAACGAGGCTGCCAGATGGGCAGGGGCACACGCATCTGGCACGTCAGCCGACAGCAAGGACGAGTGGAGCGCGAGTTACGTACCCAACCCTTCCATAGGCACGAGGTCCCCCGAGTACCCGCTGTTCAGGCTCAGACGGGCGCACATGTACAATGGGGAGGCGTGCCACTCGTCCGCCCGAGCCCGCAGCTCAGCCTGCTTTCTTTCGCGGAAGTTGGGGCGACAGGGCGCATCGCCTCGCCGTATCTGTGCCATGGGCGATCCGTGCACGGACATGAGGCGGGGCGGCGGACTTGGACTCAGGTTTCCGCTTCACGAGGGCGACTGGGCAGCGCGCACAGCTACGCGTCCGACGCCTCCAGCTGCGCAGTGCGGCCCCGCACCCTCGAGGCCCGCAGGCGGCTGCTGCTGCGGCCTCAACTTGAGCCGTCGCCCCCGCCGCGCCTCTCAGTCTTGGTATCCCCACCCGCGCCTGCGCCCGGCGGAGGTGCGGAGGCAGGAGGTGGGGAGGCCGGAAGGCTGAGGCTCAGGGTACACGCTCGCCCCACGCCCCCACTCGCGCGCCTGCGCGCCCCAGTCCTCGCGCACGCCCCAGACGTGGTCCGCGCGCAGACGGGGCGCGGGCGGGCGCGCCGTGGGGTGCGGGTGCGGGTGCGTCGCGTGCGCGGACGCTTCTTCGGCGAAGTCGGACGAAGGGCGGGCGGTCACGCGGGCGTCGCCGTCCGAGCGGGCCTTGAAGTTGCGGCGGGGTGGCGGCGGGGAGGAGGGCCGGGTAGACAGCGGGGATTGGGCTTGGGGCGTCTCCCACTTTCGTGCGGAGGGCGGGAGCGGCGTCCACTGCTCGTCCCGGGCGTAGCTCTCGCTCGTCATCTCGCGCAGTCGGGAGAGGGCGCGCTGGAACGCGAACTGCTCGTCCTTGCCTGATAAGATCAAGCTCGTCAGCGTGCGGCTCGTCTTCGATGAATGGGCTCATGTTGAGTGTGTGCCCGGGTGAGAACGTACCCGAGAATATAGAGAGCTTGTCGAGCGCGAGCGGCGCGGCCGGGGCGCGTTCGCGCTCCATGTTCGGTGCGTCGTATGAGGAGACGTTTGGCCGATAAACATCCTGCGTCTCGCCGATGGCCTCTGCCATCATCATGTCTACGTCCTCCGACGGGTCGCGGGCAACTCCTGTACTTGCGGGGGCTTCCGGCGGGGCATCGGGGAAGAAGAGTTGCTCTAGGGGCGCGTCCGCGAGACAGAGGAGGCGGCAGCGCGCCTCGTAGAGAGCGTCGACGAGGGAGATAAAGCGGCGCGCTTGGTTCTTGGCGGATAACCTGAGGACGGGTATCGACGTTATGACGAAGGTGCGATATTTTGAGGCCAGGGTGATGTAGTCGGCTGGGCCGAGGGACTGAATATAATGTCAGCTTAGCCTAACGGGTGCACAGATGTTCGTGATGACGCACTTCGTCGCAAAGCTCGGAGAATGTGAACTTGCACACGCCGTCAGCGGACCAGGGGACGCGTATTTCGCGCCCAAATACGACTATCTGTGTCGCAGAAGCATCTATCATTGCATGTCAGCTAGTTTATCCAGTACAGAGGATTTAGAGTGCATACCTTCAGCAGCGAGAGCCAATTCTTTCAGCCTTGCTTCAAAGTCAGAGCCTTGCTCCAGGGTATACCAACTTCCTCTACCCTCGCTTCCCCGAACAGACCGCCAATCCCGCTCAGCGCGCATAACCACCACAGGGCACCTGGCCTTCAGCGCCTCCACAAACGGCTCCAGCCTCTCGCGCTGCACGCCGTTCTTGTATAGATCGTCGGGCACCTTGTTTGAACTGCCGACAATGATGCCGCCCATACGCCAGAACCACGAGAGCACATCGGCAAGCAGCGTCGCGCTCGACACGTCCAGCAGTTGTATCTCGTCGAAAACGAGTAGCCAGTGTCGCAAGACGAGGCGCTGCGCCACCACGTATGCGATGGACGGCTCGAGCGGCGTCCGTAACAGCGAGAAGGACATGTTGACCCCGCGGGTCCAACGAGTCGGTAACGACCCACTTTGCAGAAGTTCCCGCCATTGATTGCGGACGAGCTTATTCCATGGCATGGATTGCTCGCTTTCGTGTACTTCCGAGGGTTTCGAAGCGTAAAGCGCTGTCATGCGCCGACGGGTCTCTTCCCATACAGCACGATAGATTTCTAGGACGAGCTCGTTGTAATGCTTGCGCGCTTTGTGCGGGGTAGGGATTGTTGAGAACCACAAGTCTATGAGGAAGCTCTTGCCTGAGCCCGGTGGGCCAGTGACTAGCAAGCCCTGCGATGTGAAACGACTGAAGTCAGCACACCGACCTACGGTGGTCATGTTAGACGAACTTTTGGCGTGGTGAGTGCCGCTATTTCCTCTGCATGGGTGCGGACGCGAATGAGACCTCTCGTCGAGGCTTCCTGTAAAATCGGCTCCGACGCTGCCCACCAAGGACCTGAATCGTTCTCACCGGACGCTTGTCCCGGGGGAAACGCATGCGTCTGGTTTAAGTGCCTCGCTAACACCGCTGGGGGAGCATAGCCATGAAGTTCCTTGTGCAGTCTCCGCAGCTATCAAAGACTAGCATCAGCGTGTCATATCTCCCGTTTGGTTCGAAGGCGGCGAATTACGCGAGACACACACCTGCATAATGACTCGGATTTGTTCTTCATCCTCTTGTATGCGACCGAGAGTTACCAAACTGCGGTATCGCTCAAGTAAATCGATTTGTGCCGGTACATTTGATTGAGTTTTTCCGGTGTCGCAGAGCGTTGCGGTTGTGTGCAGATAGCTTGAGTTTGGGTATAAAAGCGTGCCTCTACTCCACGAAGCTGAGCGCTGCAGTAGCGCGTGTAACGCCATTTTGCAACTTGATATACGCGTCAAACGACACGATACGGCAGGAAGCGTGAGCTACCTGTTTATGCAGAGTTTGGGCGGTGTGCTACTGGCCAGGAAGAGCTAGGGACCTGGAAGAGAGACGTCCGCGTCCGGAAGCAGAACGAACGACAGAAGCCATGACGCAGCCACAGCCGGGGCGCCGGACCGCCAGTCCAGCCATCACACAGGAGTCTGTTTCGTCCTGATCTGGAACGTGGGTGCCAGCTGTGATGTCACGTGGAGAGGGGGACCCATAGCGCGTCCTGCAGCGGGGCGAGTTGCACACCTCCGCCATCTGTCCCTTCTGCCCTCACCCTCTCTACATATCATGGCTCAGGCCGCTGTACCTCCCTCTAATGATATCATGTCTACCACATCACTCAGCAAATCCTCCGCCGGCCGGACTCCAGCCGCGAACGGTCACTACGTCAACGGCAGTGCAGCAACCTCGGACGCAAGTTCAGAACGCATACAGATTATCGACGACGAGAAGCAGTTCACGTACGCTGGTCTATGAGCATGCGTCTCGCGCACAGTTGCTGATATGACTGGCCCTGAAGCCCTGCATTGACGTCGCAGATCGAGAAATGGGGACTCGGTCATGCCGGTTTCGATTACGATATTGTATCCGTGTTTGGTTCCCAATCCACTGGCAAAAGTACGTCTCGACATATTCGCTATTCCAAGCAATGCGGTTTGACCGCAATCCTGCAGGTACATTGCTTAACCGACTATTTGGAACCAACTTCGACGTAATGGACGAGACGAAGCGGCAACAGACGACCAAAGGCGCGTGTACTGTCGTCTAATATACTGCGGCGCGTTGCTAATACACTGCCTTAGGCATATGGATGTGTAAAGCAAAGGGCGCGAACCTCCTCGTCATGGATGTAGAAGGAACGGATGGACGAGAACGCGGAGAGGACCAGGTGCGCCCGCCGTCTACTGGAATGACATCATCAATTAAGACTCTCGAAGGACTTTGAACGCAAATCTGCCCTGTTCTCTCTGGCCTCTTCGGAGGTCCTCATTGTCAACCTATGGGAGCACCAAGTTGGATTGTACCAGGGTGCAAACATGGGGCTCTTAAAGACCGTGTTCGAAGTCAACCTCGGCCTCTTCGGCAAGAAGACTGCAGACGGGTGCGTGCCTTGCTTGTCACCATCGAGCCTATGCTCATGCCATACGCAAATCAAGTCGCAACCAGCGCACACTTCTGCTCTTCGTGATTCGTGACCACATCGGCACAACCCCATTAGCGAACCTGCAGACGACCTTGTCCGCGGACATGCAGAAGATCTGGGAGTCACTGTCCAAGCCTCCGGAGCTCAAGGACAAGCAACTGTCCGACTACTTCGACCTCTCGTTTGCCGCCCTGCCTCACAAGATTCTTGCCGCGGACAAGTTCGAGAGCGAGGCCAAAGCCCTGAGCAGGCGTTTCCTTGACAAGACGAAGGAGGACTATGTCTTTTCGCCTCAGTACCACAAGCGGATACCTGCAGACGGTGCGGCCTTCTACATGGAAGGCATCTGGGTAAGCCCTCTTTCTCCTCCCATACTGCGGTAACCTTGAACACCACCGGGTATGCAGGAACAAGTCCAGAGCAACAAGGATCTGGATTTGCCGACCCAGCAGGAGTTGCTTGCGCAGTTCCGTTGTGACGAGATTGCCACGGCCGCGTTGGCGGAGTTCAACGAGCAGGCGAAGCCCCAGAAGAGGCCGGTCGAGTCTGGAAAGGTTGTCCAAGGCCTCGGGAAGATGATGCGTGCATGGCGTAGCGGCGCGATTGGTACGCGGGTTTTGTGGGCACTACTAACGATTCGGTATTGACGGCTGTACCCTGCAGACCGCTACGATCGTGACGCCTCCCGCTACCACCCGGGCGTGTACAAGCGGAAACGCGTAGACCTCATCGGCGTCATTGACTCCACGTTGTCACCGTTGTTCCTCGGGCAGCTCAAGAACCTGCACAAGGCATCCCTTGCGACTTATAAGAAGGAGATGCTGGATGGCATGAAGGGCGAGAACTACAACTTCGCCGACGTCGTGACCGCATCGCGTGAGCGGATTGAGAAACGCTTCTTGGAGGGAGCGCAGGAGGCGCTCGTTGAAGGCACCGACTGGAGCTACGCGGAGGAGCTGCAGCTTTTGCGTGAGGAAGCTCGCATTGTCGCGGATCAGTGCAGGAAAGATGAGACGAAGAAGATGGTCAACGTCATCGAGGTACGTGGTGCTTCATCGCTTGCGAGGTCACCTACTCATTGAAGATGAAACTCCACAGCGCAACTTCAAGAAGCAGATCTCTGAGCCCGTCGACCTGTACCTCAATAAGCCGACGCCCGATATGTGGGACAAGGTTCTCAAGCTCTTCCGCGACACGCTCGAGAAGGCAGAGTCGTCCTATCTCGCGAAGGCCAAAAGTGAGTCATCTGCTAATCATTTAGATCGCGTCTGTTAATCGGACTTCCAGGTTTCGACTGCACGGACGAGGAGAACACCACTGCTCTGACCACGCTTCGCAAGCGCGCATGGCTTGCGCTCCGCGCCAAGATCGAGGAACAGACCGCGGACACTGTCTTCCTAGGCAAGCTCCGGACATACTTCGAGGAGCGCTTCCGGTACGACGAGAACGGTGTCCCGAGGGTCTGGCGGCCGGACGATGATATCGATGGTGCATTCCGCAACGCGAAGGAGCAGGTCGGTCATCTAACTGTTTCACCATCGCGGGGCAAAGCTAACTCGGCAACCGGATACACAGACTCTGGAGCTCATCTCACTCTACTGGAAGATCAAGCCGACAAATCCAAAACTCGAGTTCTCGCTCCCGTCAGAGGCATCGGACTCGCTTGCAACCGGCGAGGAGTTCGACTTCCCCTCGACGCTCGTCGTGTTCACGGAAACGAAGGCGCTCGACCTGACGAACCGCTTCCGGCGGGACGCGGACGCGTTCTACGTTGAGGCGAAGCGCAGCACGGTGTCGGGCGTCGCACAGATCCCGTACTGGGTCTACGGCATGCTCGTCGTGCTTGGGTGGAACGAGGCCATGGTCGTCCTGTTCAACCCGCTCTACTTCGCTATGCTGCTGGTACTAGCGGCGACTGCGTGCGTTGCACTCTCTGTCCCACCGATGATTGCTGTCGCTGACGTTGTGCTGCAGTTGGATAATCATTCAGCTCGGCATGGTCGGCCCCGTACTCCAAATATTCAAGACGCTCGGCGGCGAGGTAAGCACTTCACGTCTCGGCGTCGAAGCAGCATACTCATAACGCATCAGGTCCACCGCCAAGTCGACCACCGCCTGCGCGAGCACTTCTCGCCGCCCCAGCTCGCACAGCCGGTCCGCGCGTCGTCCTCGCGCGGCGCGCGCAGAGACTCGGTAGACGACGACAAGGTCCGGCGGATGAAGACGGAGCCCATGTAGGCCGTCGCGTCGCGTGGTTTGTGTGGCATGGATCTCTGGTTGGATGGACTTGTGGCGGGACTGGCCGTCTGCATTCCTTGATTTTATTTCCGTCTTCGCTGTAATTATTTGTCCGCGGATTGATTACTTATCGCAATGACCCTTCACGATTATCATCACTTGCGGCGTTGTAATGGCCACCCCGGTGCGACAGAGAGGAATTGATTGGTGCGTGTCTTTGCACTCACGGCACTCTCAACACGTCTGATTTTTGCGTTGTCAGGACATGGCACGAGTTTCAATTGCAGCGTCAACCCTCTGCTTGCATCTGTGTAGTCCTTCAACGACCTCTTCGCATATGGCGCACAAACGGACCGCGTGTGTCGGCGAGGAGCTCAACGCACGTGTTTTGAATGGCCAAAAAGTTCCGATATCTGTATAGGCTGATGGTTAGAATACAGGAGGAAATTCAGCGCTCCAATGTGGTGATGGTCGACGGAATGCCTGTGAGCACGCCATGCATGAGCATCGCTGAGACCTCCTGCTATTGAGAGCCCCAACCAAGGCCCACCTCGATATATATATATATCATCGACTGGGTACCCACGCCCAACCTGCCCCCGGGCGAACAGCGAACGGTAGGTCGAATTCAATCTGTTAGCACGGACAGAAGTGTCATAAGTAGCGGCCTCAATATCGTGGATCCATGCATCGGCGGCGCTAGCCCGGAAGTGCGAGGGGACTCACTTCGTCGATAGCTCTCTCAATTCTCTTCTCCATCGCTTGAGCATACACCATGAGGTGCGTACGTGCGGAGGGCGCGCAAGTGCGACAGTTCTCCCCTTCAGATATGAACTGATGTAGCAACGCCCATTTAGTCGCCACACAGCCATCCAGCCCCCCGTCCCCATTGATGAATTCCTCGAAGACCGCCCACTTATAGCGGAGCCACCACCCGCACGGGTGTATGTATTGGTCGGGGTTGCTGGAGTCGTTCGATCGCGCGTCGACGGATGTGCGGGGGCTGCCGGCCTTGCAACGGTACCAAATCCAGGAACCTTGGACGTGAGTGACGTCTCTTTCTCGACGGCTCTTGTCGTACGCGTGGCCCCCGACCAGAAGCTGCTCTCTTTCTGCATGTAGCACGTTCGCTGCGATATGCTCTGCGCATTGCTCCCGATAGCAGTCAAGCGCATCGAGCGCCTCCTCCGGAAGGGAACGAAGCTCGGGGGGCATGGTGTCGGTGTCTTCGGCCGTGAAATACGGCTCCTTAAGGAGGAGCCTAGCGGCTCTCCTCGCCAGCATCGGTATCTCGTAGGTGCAAGCGACGGCATACGCCTGCGCCGGGCCCTCCTTCACCGCCAGCTCCTGGAGTGCGCGTCGCGTGGCGTCCGCTGGGACCTCGATATCGTATTTGTCTGCCGCGTTCAAGACCGCAAACAGCTCGTCGAACGCCTCGAAGACCGGTCGCCGTGTACAGGTGCGTCTGACGGGGATCGGGTAGTAGCAGAGGCGCAGGAGCTTCGCGAGCGTGCTGGCGTTCTCGGCGAGCTCTACGATCTGCGGTTCTCCGGTGTCCGCGTTGACGTCGGGGAAGGCGAACATGTCGCAGAAGACGGTGGAGATTTTGGCGAGGCGCACTTTGGAGAGCCCGAAGTCGACGCGGTCTGCCGAGCGGAGGAAGATGTCGGTGTTGGCGTCGTTGAACTTGAAGGGAGGGCGGCTGAATGTTTGCGCCATACTAGTAGTACTGGTGGTACTGCAGGCGGTTCAGCAGTCGAGAGGATGGGGGTACGTGTGAGAGCTCGATGTCCTCACGACGAGCCGCAGTAGGGATAGAGACGTGCTGTTGTACGTATTACGCAAATATGAGAAATGCTGCGGCAGTCCTCAACGTGCACTCGTACGTCATGGGAAAGACAGCGTAGCGCGATTTTCGATTCAATCCACTGCTGCGGGACCGACCGGTGTTCATGGAGAGGTTGATGGTGAGTTTATATCCAAGTTCAAGTCAAGCTATAAGTTGGGCTATAAGAACAGAATAGCCGCACTGTGGGTGTCCGGCGAATTTCAACAGAGTCTTCATACAGTTGTCTATGACATGACCTAGAAGGGGAGCTCGAGCCGAACCTGTGAATATTTGCAATCACAGTCAACGAGAGGTAACTTGCTTAAAAAGTGGCGCAGACTTACATTGGACACTGCAGCGTCGATTCTTCCCGCCAACAAATGGCTGTAGTCCAGCAAATCCTTCCAAGCGGTTGTCCTGCATCGAGAGCACGAATCAGCGCCCTCCAACGCACGGCGAAGCACCGCCGGGCGAGCAACCGCCTCGCCCTTCAAGTGCGGCTCGTCCAACAACGCCTTCATCGCATCCTCCGTATACAGCCCAAACCACATCCTCACGCGCATCCCGTGCGTCCGGATAGTGCTCACAAACGACGCGTCGCCGTCCACGTTGCACGCGAGCCACGCCCACGAGCCATCCACGACCGGCATGTTCGACGCGTTCCCAAACCAGAAGCCCGTCACCTTCTTCGGGTGCTCGCCGAAGACCATCCAGTCGCCGTCGCCGACGGCCGCGGCAGCGGCTTCTGCGCACCGTCGGCGGTAGTCGATGAGCGCGAAGAGCACCGTCGCGGAGAGCTGCGCGAACTCGGGCGGGATCGCGGCGTCGCGCGGCTGGAGGTGGCGGGGTTTCTCGAGGGTGCGCCGGGCGGCCTCGTGCGCCACGCTGTCGAAGCGGCAGAGGCAGGCGACGGAGTAGATGCGCAGAGGGTCGGCCCCAGATAGCAGCAGCGCCCTGAGGTCTTGCTCCAGGGACGGGCGCAGTGCGGTCATCTCGTATTTTGTCACGGCGTCAGAGGTGGCGACGAGTTCGTCCGGGCTTGTGATCGGCGTGCGAGGGACTGGGTAGCATAGACGCAGAACATGTTCGAGCGTGCTTGCATTTTCTGCGAGTGGGATAATCTGTGGACTTGCTGGTGATGTGTCCGAATCGTCGAGGATGGTGAACATGGACTTCAAGATGGGTGATACGATCGCCAATATGACTTTGTAGACGTGGAAGTCGATGCCGTCTGAGGATCGTAGTATGATGTTCGTATCGGGCGTCGACGCGTCAAAAGGGGCTGCAGGGGCTGAAGGGGATGACGGCCGTGACGGGGCTGCGTCGCAGGTGGTGGTAGGGGCTGGCAGAGGCACGTCCGCATCCATGGAGAACGGCGTAGGGGTGAGGCTTTAGGAGCTGGTGCGAGGGCGCGAAGTGCAAGCAAAGCGAGTCGGTTTATATTGACAGCTGGCATCAGCCCCTTGAGACAATTGAACTCAAAAAATAGCCTTTGACGTTCAGAAGAAGCAGCGACGCTTCGCATGACTCAGAGACGGTTGGTCGGTAGCGAGCGCCGCCTGCAAGAGGTACGCAAGCCGAGGCGTGCAAGCCCGCGTCCCCTCCGCATCCCCGCTTAAGAGTAGTGTGTCTTCGACCGGTCTGTCTGTCTGATAAAAGCAGCAAAGGGCCTTCTTGATATTTGGTGCAGCAGCATAGGAGAAGCCAGCATTGCCAGTGCGTTGAGGTTCGAGGTGAAGCGAGGGGGACAGGCTCGAAGAGCGCTCGTGTTGGCGCTGCTGCATTGATCAACGCGTGGTCCGGAGCATGTGATCGCGTAGACAGCTTGCTCCCGGCGCCTCCTCGCAGCGACCAGCCTTGCTCCTCCCCTCGTACGTGAACATCGATACACTCTGACAGAATATGCAGCGAACACCATACGCACCTCAAAACATCTTTCACTTGGTATTTCAAACTCTGCGGCTCCGCATGTATGCTTGTGAAGGGCGGAGCACGCCGTACTAGCGCCCCGCATACATCGACGCTTCTTCAACGGCCTGCCTCCTCTCCAAAGCTTTCAAGCTTTATCATGATGTCAGCAGAAGAGCAGTGGAGGACTCCAAATGACGCAAGGGGAGCTCATCTTGGACGGAAGAATTGCAAGCACCCGTCTGTGCTTCCCAGTCACACTCTTCCGCGGTCGCGACAAGAGCAGGATCTGGTGCGTTCTCATTTCAGACTTTGTGGTGGCGGATGTGCGGTGCGTGCCACTGCCCGTGCTCCAACAGGGGCGTGGTGCGCTGTACAAAACCGTAATGGATGCGTGGCGGGAAAATGGGTGTTGAGTCCGCACCCAGTCTACAGGGCGGGGGCGGGTACATCAATTCTCATACCGCCATACAGACAGCTCTTCGATTTCTTGCTTTCTAAATTCTATTAAGTATATTCCAGTATTCTATTTTACATGCCAAAATCCACGGCCATGCAGACCTGACCCTTTCCGTGGCGCGGGGAAGCTTGACCTTCCCTCCTTGCAGGACTACTCCACCTCGAGAAATTGATGGTGCACAATGTGCAACACCCGCTTTTAGGACCTCACAAAGTTTCGGCAGCCAACAGGTATATCCTTGATGCGCCTTAAAAGAGCAATTTGAAGCTTATTGGCTCAAGCTGTCGGCTTTATGCCTTTCTTCGTCCTACGATCTTTGCGCCGGAGCTATGAGCCACAGGATGCAGCAAAGCCCATCCCCGTGTTTTTTGGTAGAGACTGCATTCAATCACCCATCCTGTAGGTCTTCGGGATTTCCGTGCACGACTGCACTGCATGCGCATCGTTTTCACAATGCGCTGGGGTGCAGTCATGCTACCGCGCGCACCGGTGGCTGTTCTTGAAGCCTCGGAACGAGAGCACCTAACGCAACTTTGCTCAACTTTCCACAGGTGGCGGCGGATATGCTGCATTTTGTCCTAATCATCCTGTAGATATCCGCTTTGAAGTGGTTCAGTCTTGAGTCTCGGCGTCCAGTCCTTCGTGCACTTGCATTCACGCGTATACATGGCTTAGGTCCCGGTGTTGATCATCCTCACGGTTTTGTGCCTTTAGCCTGTCTTCCCGACTGTCGGCACGTTGGTACCGCTCAAGGGTTGTATGGCAATGTCGTCCACAAGCGGCCGTCGGTGCCACTGGGAAGGTACGTTCCTGTGTAGTTCTCTGTGCACTGCCGCGGGCCAGGATCGATGCGGGAGCTGGTCGTGTCGCTATGCTTTTCCCGAGTCGGGCTTGCCTTTTCTTTGCAAGCTGTCGAACATTTTGCACCAGGGAGCCGTGTCGGTCCTTGGCCTGTTGTGCCCCCGGCGCGGTGTACATTTGATTCCTTCAACAGTCGACGGGGGCGGGCCACCGGGTATAGATTGACCTGCCTTGGTGGGTAGTCGCTTCTTGTATGTCGATGGCTAATGTCGTGTTTCGGCCTCATGTGCGATGTTCTCCCAGGCCTTCGTCTTCAGAAGCCTCGTGAGGTACGATATAATTTGTGGCCACTGGTAGGTGCCCCGTCCTTGCCGTGGTCTTCGATCTCGATCTCGATGACTGACCTGCCGCATGAGGTGCATCGCCATTTTTGCTTTTTTCCACTTCGCGGACTCTTTCGGTGGATCCAAATTTCCAATAGCGTGTTCGATGATGTGTCCAAGTCCAAAGGTGTGTCCTATGTATAGTCTTGCGCGGGTTTCCTGCATGATGTCTCTTCGCAGTTGTTGTGAACATCCCATGATTGAGATCTTGTAACCGGGCTTATATCCGGTTTGCGACCATATTGCGCCGAGGTCATCTGGAAAACCCAATATGTGCGGCGAATGTCGGCCTTTCGGGTGCGTCCTCGTGCGTCCTCGTCTTCGTGCTTAGTATAGTGGGCGATGCAGCAACCTCCTTGAGGCTGAACGCCCAACCGGCACATTTTTCAGCCAGCGCCATCGGCTGCTTTCGAAGGCCTCAAGGTTCTTCGCCGACGTATACGGCACGAAGGACATCCTAGAAAGCCACGACTATGTCAGCGTGGGCGGCCATGGAAACGCTTGAGTCGTCGGCCGAACTGTTCCTCGAACCGATCGCGGCGCCGACCGGAGCAAGTCCGCCACCTGCAGCACGCCGTGGCCGCATTGGTCGCACTATTACGTGCGGGCGCGACCTCGTTTGTGGACACGGTACGCACTTGTCGCAGCGTCGCTTGTCTTCCTGACTTCAGTGACCTGATTAGGACTCGACTGTATATCCAAACAGCGGCGTGCGTACCGGACTATTCTCCGGTGGGATGGCGTGCACGCACCCCGGCGGCAAAGGCAGAAGCGCGCGTCGACCCGGATGTGGCGTGTCCATCACTCGAGAGTACGCGGCTGCCCAACGTCCGGAGAAACCTCTTGAAGGCGTCGTTCGAATGTGTGGAGGAATGTTGGCGGCAAGTCGATGGGACGAGCAGTCATTGTGGGAACGGTGGCGTACGAGACCGAAGCGGCCACACGTCCTGAACGAACATCCAGCGGCGACGTTCAGGGGAGTTGAATGATCCTGGCGATGTTGGCGGCGCGAACCTCAGGGAGCTTTCCAAACGCGCAGGGACGCAGTCCTAGAACGAACGTCTTCGACGATTGTTTGCACGGTGCGCACTTGCCACCTTCCGTTTTGAAGAATCGTCTGTCGCCTTGAGCCCTCTTTATGATATCAGGACCCAACCACAGTTCAAGATGCTAGCAAACGTACCGGTGGACCTCCAGCGTGGTCCTTCAGCACGCATCCCAAGCCACAGGGGCAGGAGCGCCCGCCGACCCGGATGTGGCGCAACATGGCGAGGTCGAGCAACCCCCGGAGTCCGGAACGGCAAGTCGGTGGCATTGCCCGCAGGTGTATACTGCTTTGCGCAACATTGGCGGCCGAAGAGGAAGACGGATAGCGACGAAGGTGGCGCCGAGGGCGAAGGTGTACTCGGTTGTGGCGTCGAAGGATGGCCCGATGCCGAAGCGGCTCTGCGTCCGGAATGAACGCTCGACAGTACCGCCTATATGTGTTGCCCAATTATCGACGATGTGGATGGCATGTGGACGCGACGAGCAGCCATGACGACGATGGTGGCGTCGAGGACGGAGGTGTAGAGTCGGCGGTGGCGTAGGGGTAAGCACCTTGCCGTCAAGCGTGCAGCGCAATGTAACGGTCCGGCTCTCTCAAAAAAAGGACGGAGAGAGCGAAGCACTTGGCGGGGGTGAATGATATGGAAAAGGGAAAGGTGCGTGAGGGAGTGGGCGCGGGCGCGCAGGTTGATATACCCAGGCCCTGCGGTTCGCACTCCGCGAGCGCAACTTCCCGGTCAGCCGCGTCCTGATCTGGCCCAGCTATTGTCCTCTCCTTCGCGGGGCGTAAATTTATGTCGTGAGATGCTGTCGATGCCGCCGTTGGAGGCGGGTGCAGGTGGCTGACCGGCCTAACAGCTCAACCGATTCGTCTGCCAGAGAAGTACGCCACAAGTTGCTGCCCGATGCCCTGCGGGCTCGATATTGCCTTGACCTTCTGCTGTTAATTCATAAGGCTTGTTTCTTTTGGCTTCCCACATGTTCTGCACGAAGAAGTGGTTTGGATGCTCGTCGTCGCAGCATAAGACATCTACGCCACAACGCCACCGCGATTCGGCATAGACGCCCGCGCCTATCGGCTGCCCACGGGCGCTCCGGCGGTCCCGCAGTCACTGTGACTTCGGACTGCGTCCACACAACGGTGTTGTCGGATCTGGTTTCACGCCGCGGTACGTCTCTTACCTATTTTATATACCAGGGCCCTCCGGGCAGACCTGGACTACATCCGGCAAAAGCAAATTTGGGAGCTAATTAATATTCAAAGATTCACTCAGTGCTGTGAAACATTAATATTGACTCCGAGCGATTTACTATAGACCCGGCGCCCGAGCTCCCCGAGCCCTGTAGTACCTGATGACGTCATCTGGTCTTGGCTTTGCTTATATATAGGACAAATGTACACCAGACAACTGCATGTTCTCGCCCTTCCTCTTCTAACGCCGCTCGCACACAAAAGCTTTGTACGTGATTGATTATCGAGAGCTTGGGAATATGAAGCCTTACATTGAATTTAGTGTGACATTTTCCATCTTGACTCAAGGCATTTATTGCAACAGGTGTTGACGAAGAATGTATTGATGTCCTAACCCGCATAGTGCAATATTTGGATAGCACACACCATTACGGGTACACCTGTACCAATGCAAGTTTTCCCATTTGCCAAGTATAAATAATCGCCCCGACCTAAGCGGTATCATCGGTACGCTGTCCTTCACTTTACGTTTTACATTACGGCATTTCACCCTTAAGTACCTCTACTCCACGCACGCGTGCGAATCTCCCACTTTCTTAAACCCCACTCCACGCACCACCCTACAACATGCGCTCACTTCCTGTATGTCTGCCGCATCTTTCATACAGAACTAATCCAATTTATCTGCTTCTAGATCGGGTCAAGAGTCTTCTACTTGGCAAATGGGAAAACTTGCATTGGTACAGTTGTCGGCCATGACACGATTGAGGTATGTTTATCTGTTGTCCTATCATATCAAGCATTGACTTGTTTTAGGGATTACGGTTTGTAATCATCAAACATGACAAGCCTGGTCTGCGCAATGTCCAACTCCCGTACGTTCCTTCAGAATTATTGTACATGTCATCCCCACCTCACACCTCACAGACTCAGCAGTGTGAATTCCGTCACCAAACCCTGAAGGACTAGGACTCACGTGATGTAATCTACGCGAAGTCTGTGTTTGAAATTATGATGCTCCGACACCAGCCACCCTTGTAAACAAAGAGACGCCATGTTGATTGTCTAAGCTCCCATCATGACTTCCCTTCCAGCGTATCGTGTCTACCAGCCTCCACCTGAGATGCCCAACATCTTTGCCACTAGTGCAACCTACGTTCGCACAGGCTACAACATCCACAGCAGTAACCCCGACGCCCACTGGCGGCCATGGCTTTCAGTACAAGACCGTACACGTATGGGGATCGAGACCTTTGGAGTTCGCTATTCCAGTTTCTCCTTCATACCCACGCAGTGGAAAATTACCACAGATGAACCTCTGCCTCTCAACACACCGGTAAACATTGTCGGAAACATTGGGCGCGGGCCAGGTGTCATCATTCTTCAGGAGCCAGTCGACCTTAGGGATGATGGCGAGCTTTTGGTGTATGGCTGGATCCTCGGTCCATCCCAGGCAATCACCAATCACACTGGAGGCTTCCTTACTGCAGTCGACTTCATGGTTCCGCTCCACTCAATGCAGCTTACCCCAATTCTGAGGGTTATACGCTTCCTACCGAGGTTCCTTGCACGGCGTGTCCTGCATCTGCGGTACAGGTATGACAACATGACCATATTCCCAGTATCCTATCTGACATCATGGCTTGTAGAATATATCGTATGTATAAGACGATGAGCGGAGATCACTAGTCACTGCACACAGGACATGTATGTGGTGTACAATTCCGCACCATCTAAGATCTGACAGTCACACCATCTTGATCAGATAACCAACCAAGGGAGGGCGGACGCGGGGAGGGCGGACGCGGGGAGGGCGGACGCGGGGCGGGCGGACGC